ATTGATGAAAAAATATGATAAACTTAATTATGAAATATTCATTTTGAATCAAACAATCAGTGGTTTTGTTTTCAGCATTGAAACCATCTCTAAATTTGGCATTATATTGTGTACATTGTTTTATAGTAAACAAGATTCAATGAATATTTACAATTCAATTATTGTGCTGTTTTTTCTTTCAACATTTTTGACGGCAAATGGTCTTTATTCACTGCTTGCGCAACTTCCTTATTATAATCAAATTGGTAGCCGTGAATGGATGCAATGGTTAGCACGATCACAATGGCAACGATATAAATCCAAATCGTTGTTGGTCGCCGGTTGGCGACCACGATTAATTGGCAACATAATTCAAATGAATTCATTTGCGCAAAAAATGTCCGATAATCGTTTCGGTTTCACATGTGGTCCGGTATTTTTCATTACACGTTATAAGTATCATGAATTATTCCTGATGAATTTTGTTCTTGTCATGTTGTTTTATAAGAAAATCAATTAGATAGTTTGATCGATAATGTATCTTATTTTTGTTGTCGTTTTTCTGTCGTTTATTATATTAATTGATTACGTCAATAATGTCTTTGTTTTCAAGTAATTATTGTACTACCCTTACTGTTACTTTAATTAATTTTTTAAATTTTCATTTCGACTAAAATGAATGAGAAAAAATTGTTAATTTTTTTTCATTTTCTCTTTTCGAGATCATTCGACAATTTGCGGTGAAAAAGAATCCAGAATGCCCCTGGTTTATCATCCAAATAGTTTTATCCGAATCAATGATTTTATCAATGATTGTTTCGAATGTTTTAAATTTTATGCATTTCGTCTGGAATATTCACTGGATGATTATCAAAATCAACGAATTCCATGGACATATCATACATTTCAACGAGCAATATGGCTCACATTGAATTCATGGATAAACATTTTGTTCATCAGTCATATTGTTCTCGAACAAAGCTCAATGCTAACGAAAACAATGAAAGAATTTGAAAAATTATTGCATTCACAGAGATCTGATTTAATCAATCAATTTCTATTACTAACATTTATTCAAACTGAATATCTTTGGTTGGACCAATTTCGAAAGATTCTCTCATATAATTTCAATGCAAATAAATTGTTTATTAAATATAACGTTTTCAATGATAATAATCATCATTTGAATACTAGATATCGTCGTCATATTTCACATTTGATTCATAATGGTAATCTAATATCGAAAATATTGATCAAGACAATGTCTATGAATGCATGGATGTCCGGTGTTTTCATTAATTATTCATTATATTCACTTTATTTAAATGACGAAGTTTCATTCATAACATTGATTACGTATAACTTGTTAATATTTAATACAGCTTATCGTATTGCCGTGCTGATCAGTCAACTGTTTGATGCAATGAAATATCTATTATTCATAATTGAATTTTTTTGTTTAAAATTCAAACAATTTATTATGATTCGATTACATCGACGACGGCTATTATTCTGGTTAATATTCATGAGAAAATATAATGAATTCTTTCGTGAAATATTCATATTGAATCAAACAGTTAGTGGTGTTTTTTTCTGTAGTGAAATGATATCTAAATTGGCAATCATATTCTGTACACTGTTCTTTAGTAAACAGAATTCAATGAATATTTATAACTGGATTATTGTCACATTTTTCTATCGGCCTTTATTTATACCGATTGTCTTTATTCACGTGTTGCTAGACTACCGCAATGTAATCAAATTGGCTGCCGCAAATTGATAAACTGGTTGGCTAAATTTCAAAGGAATCGACAATGTCCAAATCGATCACAAAGATTATTGATTCGCAATTCGATCAAATTGAATCTATTCGCGCAAACAATGTCGAATAATCGTCTTGGTTTCAGCTGTGGACATGTGTTTTTTATTACTAAATTTAAATTTGTTGAATTGTTCATATTGAGTTTTGAACTTATTCTTTTATTTTATCAGAAATTCTCTATGTTGTGAATAGTATGTGTAGTAGTAGTAGTTATTAGAAATTGATGACAACAAATGATGGAAATATTCTACATTTCAACGAGTCATATGTCTTGTTGAATTATTCTTGATAAAGAATGCATATCACGAATTCATAGTTATGTTTATCTATCTTAATCAAAAAATGAATTTTATTTCAATCAATAAATCATCATCATTGCAATTATGTTGTTAAGTAAAAAAAAAAAATGCAATTTTCACCGTATTTTTACTGCGAACTTTCATGTTTTTTAATTTTCTTTTCTCATTTGAATGAGGTTAATTGATTTTTTTTTCTGTAACATTCAAAATAATAATAACATTTATCATGAATGATCAGACCGATTATTGTGATCAAGTTGGTTAGTTAAAAATCATCATTGATAATTTCACCTGTTTTTCTCAATCATTCATTCACTATAGAACAGTAAATTGAACAAGCAGCAAAACAACCATTATGCAACGTATACGACAATACGTTTATCCGACGGATTTTATTCAAATTGGTGATATGGTCAAAGATTTTTTTGAATGTTTCAAATATTATGTATTTCGTTTGGAATATTCACTGGATGATTATCAGAATCAACGAATTCCATGGACATATCAAACATTTCGACGTGCCATTTGGATTACATTGAATTCATGGATAAACATACTGAGTTTTCTTCACCTCATTGTTTATCCTACTAATATTGAATTGAAAACAATGAAAAATTTTGAATCAGAATTACAATTCGATCGTTGTGATTTGATTTTTCCACCATCAATTTTCGTATTCGTAATGCTCGAATATTTTTGGTTCACTCTATTTCATGAGATTTTGACCTATAAATTTAAAGTTAGCCAATTGATAGTGAAATATAGCCATTTTAATAATGATCATTTGGAGCCAGAATATCATCGTTATATAACTCGTTTTTCTCATATTGGTAATTTTGCATCAAACACATTGAATGTGGTGGTTGTTATTAATGAAATCATTTTTTATCTATTAATCATACACCGAATTTATTCATTCTATTTGAATGATGAGATATCAATGTTCTTTATGATTATTTTCATATTACTTATCACCAATTCATCATATCGTATTGAATATATGGCTGGTCAATTGTTTGTTGCAATGAAATATCTATTATTCATTAATGAATTTTTCAAAATACAATTGAAACGATTGGTTATTCATTTACGATGGACAATAAAACTTGATAGATTTTTACTATTATCTAAAAGACGGTCAATTTGGACTAGATTCATGAAAAAATATGTCCAACTATATTATGAAGTGGCTATATTCAATAAAACGATCAGTGGCGTTTTTCTCGATATTGAAGCCATATCAAAATGTTCCATTGTATTCTGCATTATGTTTTATAGTAAACAGATTCACATGAATATTCACAATACAATAATTGTCATATTATCGCTCGCACCATTCATCTATACTAATGGCTTATATTCACGTGTAGCTCAATTTCCACAATTCAATCAAATCGCTAGTCAGAAAATGATGCAATGGTTAGCACGTTCACAATATCGACGACATTATAGACATGATCGAAATCGGTTATTCATTCGTGATATTATCAAATCAAATTTATTCGTACAGACAATGTCTAAAAATCGTTTCGGTATCAGTTGTGGTCAAGTGTTTTTCATTACGAAATTTAAATTTGTTGAATTATTCTTGTTGAATTTTGTTCTCATTTTAATGTTTTATAAAAAATTCTGTTTGTTATAAATTTTATAGTTACTCGAAATATTAATGATCTTTCTTTTTTATGGGTTTTTCTTCCACATTGATCAGTAAATCATTAAAAAAACATGAAAATGTTCTATAATATCAAATAATTTCATTCTCTATGGAACAAGTTTAAATTATTTTTAAAAAGAATTCTGTAACCTTTCATTTTCCTTTACTTGTACGTGAAAATGAAAAATGGCCTTTGTTTTTACCATTTAAATTTCAAAGAATCAAGCCGATTGCACTGTGAATTGATTTTCAGTGTGTTTCAAACCAATCATTCATTCATTGTTTATTGGTTGAAACAACAACAACAACAACAACAAGAAAAATGATCATTCAACGTATACGGCAATACATTTATCAGATGGATTTTATATAAACAACAACAGATAAACAAGTTTTACATGTTTCGGCACATGTTTTTTTTCTCGTTTTCCAATTTATCATTCGATTGTGATGTGATTCAAGCCAATCAATTGATTGGTTATTGCAATGACAAAATAAAAAACGAAACTTTTTTTTCAATTTAATTTTTGTTTCATTTGAAAAGTTTTTTTTCGTCGTTTCTATTTAATCAATCATCGTCATGTTAAAAATAATTTAAACTTGTTCCATTGATAATGAAATGTAGATTGTCAAATTTTACATGAAAAACAATAAAATTTATTTTATAATATATTAACAGAACATTTTCATGTTTTTTTTTGTTAATGATTTACTGATCAATTTGGAAGAAAATCTATTAAAAAGATCATTCGTCATTATTAATATTTCGAGTAACTATAGAATTTATAACAAACAGAATTTTTTATAAAACATCAAAATGAGAACAAAATTCATCAAGAATAATTCAACAAATTTAAATTTCGTAATGAAAAACACTTGACCACAACTGATACCGAAACGATTATCAGACATTGTTTGGGTGAATAAATTCAATTTGATTGCGTCATGAATTAATGACCGTGATCGATATATAGAGTGTTTATAAAATTTTTGATATTGTAAACGTGCTAACCATTGTATGGTCAAACGACTGGCAATTTGATTGAATAGTGGAAATTGAGCCACCCGTGTATACAAGCCATTTGCATAGATGAATGGTGACAGAAAAAATATGACAATTATTGTATTGTATACATTCATCTGGATTTGTTTACTATAAAACAAACTGCCACATATAATCGCTGACTTTGATATGGCTTCAATATCGAAATAAATGCCACTGATCGTTTGATTGAGAATGGCCATTTCATAATAAAGTTGAACATATTCTTTCAGGAATCTAGTCCAAAACATTCGCATATTTATATGAGATTGAGAAAATTTACCAAATTTGATTGTCAATTGTAAATTGGTGACCATTCGTTTCAATTGTAATTTGAAAAATTCAATAATGAATAATAGATATTTCATTGCGACAAACAATTGACCAACCATATATTCAATACGATATAATGAATTGGTAATAATTAATATGAAAATAATCAAAACCAACAGCGATAATTCATCATTTCGATAGAATAAAAGAACAGGGTAAATGGTTAATAAATAGAAAATGATCAGGGCAATAAAAATGAAAAAATTCATTACGTTTGATGCAAGATTACCAAAGTGAATAAAACAAGATATATGACGGCGATATTCTGGCTCCAAATGATCATCATCAACATGACTATATTTCACTATCAATTGGTTGACTTTAAATTTATAAGTCAAAATTTCACGAAATAAATTGAACCACAGATATTCTAGGATTGTATATATGAATGCTAAATGTGGAAAAAACAAATCGCAACGATAGAACTGAAATTCCGTTTCATAATTTTTTATTATTTTCGATACAATATGGTTAGGATAAATGAAAACTTTAACAACACACAGAATGTTTATCCAAAAACTCAATGTAAGCCATATGGCTCGTCGAAATGTGTGATATGTCCATGGAATTTGTCGATTCTGATAATCATCCAGTGAATATTCCAAACGAAAACATAATATTTGAAGCATTCAAAAAAATCTTGGACTACATCACCAATTCGAATTAAATTCGTTGGATAAATGTATTGCCGCATACGTTGAATGATCATTTTTCTTGTTGTTGTTGTTGTTTCAACCAATAAACAATGAATGAATGATTGGTTGAAACACAAACAAATCAATTCCCAATGCAATCAAGTCATTCTTCGAAATTGAAATTTGGAAAACAAAGAAAATTTTCCATTTTCCAAGTACAAGTATAAAAAAAATTGAAAATTTTCCGAATTCTTTTGAAATGTCATCCATTTTATTACATTGGGGTCATTTTATCGATGAATTCAACTTTTCCAATCAATCAATCAATCGATAAAAATAATGCAATCGTATGCCGATTATCCAGAAAAATCAATCGTCAACATTATAAAAACAATAACCAGAATCAAATGACAAATGTTGGAAAACAAAAAAAAAAATCAATCATCGATTTATATAATCAAATGATAAAGTAGCCGCGAATAAAAATAGATCATCTAGCTAGATTTAATCATAATGATGCTGTTTACCATTACGGTGGTTATCTTCGAATCTATCATTTTAGAATCCAAAAAAAAACGCATTCGTTAATTCGTTACACATACACACACACCAATGATATAATCAATACAGAATATAAGAATTTTTAATCAAAAATTTTTTTCTTGAAAATTTCCATCATTTTGACATTTTTGTTCTTGTTGTTTTTCTTTTTTTTTTTCTTTCTTGTTTGGGCACAAAAAACTTTTTTTTCATTTCTTTTCGTTATCATTAAAAGATAATTATGTATTGTGGTGTTTTTCTTTCTTTCGATTTTGTGGTTTGTGTTTCTAGCAAAAAAAAAAAGAAAAAAAAATGAAAAATTACTATCATCATCATTGATTGATAATCAATACAGAATATTCTTTGAATTTCTATATTTCATTTTTCTTTTCATTTACCAAAATGGAGAAAAAAATGAAATAGAATTGCCGTGTATGTGTGCGTGTGTGTTTCATAAAATTCAATTCCAACAAACGACGACTATTTGCGGTTGTTGTTGTTATAAATAACACACGATTCTCAATCAAATTTTCATCATTCGATATTTTGTTCAACTGGAATAAAGAAAAAAAAGCTTGAAACAATGTCATTGATGATATTGATGAAAATGATCCAAAAATTATGGCTACGTTATAAATGTCCATCACCAATTTCTATTCGTACGATAATGCAACAATGTTTTCAATCATGGAAACAATATGCTGCACGTATTGAATATCATCCATATGATTATCAAAATCATAAAATACCATGGACATTGAAAACATTTCGCCGTACAATAATCATAACATTTGCATCAGCTGTAAATATCTCTTTTTTAATCACATTAGTTATTGGCCCAGAAATGATTGGTCTGCCTATTTCATTGAACGATATGGATCATATTTTACATGTTAATGAATGCCGTATATTGGCCATTTATGCCATATTCACTCTGTTAATATTGGAATACATGTGGCTCGGTGTATTTCGACGAATCCTTCGTTATGAATGTCGTGTGAATGATATATTTATTGAATATTCTTGTCATGATAATAATTGCCATTATTTATGTGCGAATATTCATCGTTATTTTTCACGTTTCATTTTAATTGCAAACATTTTCTCTGGCATGATTTATCGTTTACTTACTGCTGGTATAAGCATTGTATTCATATTGATTGTTTATGGTAAAATTCTATCATATTTACATAGTCAAATTCATTTGTTGAACATCATTTTATTCATCTTGATTGCAATTTTTGTCTACATTCACACTAGCTATACATTTGGCCAGCTATTTATTTCGATGAAATATTTATTGTTTATGATTGAATTTTTTCGTTTACAATCCAAACAATTATTGCAGGATTTATTGGAAATTGTTTTACAACGAAATACTATCAATCATCATCATCATCATCGACAACAACGCCACTGTAAACGAATTATTATTAATGAACATTTAATTTGGCAACAATTTTATCGGAATTATGTGAAATTATATGATGATACATCCAAATTGAATTGTTCATTACGAGCAGTATTTCTTTCCATTGAAATGATATCCAAATGTTCAATAATTTTCAGCAGTATTTTTTATGGACAACAAATTCATTGGAATATATTCAATTCGATGTTCGTTCTATTATTGATGTGTGCATTCAATTCAAACACGGCCATTTATTCACGTGTTTCATTGATACCTAGTTATAATGAAAAATGTTGGCATTATCTATGTGATTGGAATGCACGTAAACAATACTATTTACAATGTCATCGAAATCAATTAATAATCAATAATAATCATTATCCACTGGCCAAATCATTCAATCATCATACCATTCATTTGAATCTTTTCATACAGACAATTTCAATGAATCAATTTGGCATGACATGTGGACAGGCGTTTTTCATAACAAAATATAAATATACAGAATTATTTTTACTCAATTTTTCATTGATTTTATTATTTTATAAAAAAATTTGCTTATTGTAATCAACATTCATAAATGACGTTACAGTTCTATTTCCGGTCTTAATGTTGTTATTATATTATACTTATGCTGTATATTAAAAATCAATAGAACACAAACACACATACATGATTAACTGTTTCTAACGTGAATTTATTTTTAAATTTAAGTGAGAAAAAATGAATTCGTATGAATGAAAATGTACCATTTTTCTGGTGAGCTTTGTCTCTATCGCTATTGTTGTTGTTGTTGTTGTTGTGTGTGCAAATGTTGATCATGTGAATGTAATGATTTTTTTTTTCATTTCACATTCTGTTTCATTTTCAATGATTTATTATTTCATTTCATTATGATTCTGACTTTTGAATTCTGTGAACAAACAACAACAACGACAACAAAAAATGGAAAATTTTTTATTGAAAATGAAACTTTGGCCACAAAAATTTTCTCATGAAATACCCTTATCTGATATAGCCGTATCATTTTTTCAATCATGGAAAAAATATATTGCCCGAATGGATTACAACCTTGATGATTATTATCGGCGAACAATTCCACATACATTTCAAACATTTTTACCATCAATAACCATCGTATTAGCAGCAACAATTACAATCGTATATCTAATCATTTTAGTTGCATTTCCAGCAACAGCAACAACAATTTTACCATTTACATTGAATGATTTGGAAAAAATTTTGAAATTTCAATCATTCAATCTGATCTTATGGTATTCTATAATCGTATTGTTTATACTAGAAACCGTATGGTTCGTTGCATTCCGAAAAATTCTCATATATGATTGTCGTATAAATGATATATTTCGAAAATATCAATATTTTCATAATGATGAAACATTTGTCGAACCAAAATATCGCCATTATTTCCATTGGTTTATGACGATAACGAATCTAATCGCGAATTCAATTTATAAATCATTGCTTTATATTTTGATTCTCACGTTATTAAGGATACTGTATTGGGTATTATACATATATTGGGACAATCGAATCGATTTCATCAAAGTTTTCATTTTCATTATCGTTTGTATTGCCATCGCTTGGCATACAAAACATTCATTTGGTATTTTATTCATCTCTATACGTCATCTGTTACAATATATTGAATTATTTCGTATACAAGTGAAACAATTAGTGATTAGATTTAAATCTAAATCGAGAATCAGAAATTTTTGGCATCAATTTCATCGTCATTATTTGATATTATTCAATGAAATAAGTACAATGAATTATACTTCACGTGAATTTTATATAAAAATGGAATTGATTTCAAAATTTTCGATTATCATCTCCAGTTTATTTTATAGTCAACAACAACGAATGTCCGTAGTGAATACCATTCTGGTCATACTTTTGTTGGCCGTATTTTTTTCAACAATTGCCGTTTATCTTTGGTTATCATTGATTCCATCTTATAATGAACAATTTTATCATTCAACAATGAAACGTTATGTTCATAGTTTTGTTGTTGTCGATAATCATCACCAACACCAAAAGCACCAGCATCATCGTCATCAACGACATTTCAAACAATTACAACGTATTCGACAATTTCGTGATCGATTAAAAATTAGCCATTTTATTCAATCAATATCGGAAAATCTTTTCGGTTTCACTTGTGGACAAATATTTTTCATCAACAAATATAAATGGATTGAATTATTCATGTTCAATTTTGTGATTGTTTGTCTTTTTTATAAAAAATTTTGTCTTTAAATCATCACTTTTTTTTTCTCCACTCAATGAAAGATTGATTGATTGAAAATTCAATGACACATCAGTTGATGTTTTTTCCCCTGTTTCAACACTTTCAATGTCCAGTTATTGTAATTAAAAATAGCAAAAACAATATTAAAAAAAATAAACGTTTTGAAATTTCAAAAATAACTTTTTTTTTGTTTGTCATTGTTTGAATTTACAAATTTATCACCACATGGAAGGATTATTTTTCCCTCTCACATTTTCATTTCTGAAAATAAAACTGAGAAACAGAAAAAAAAATTGGATCGAATATGTTGACAATTGAAAAACGTTTGCGTTGTTGTGTGCGTCCATTAATTAATTTCATTGCGATGCATTTATTTTCTGTTTGATTAAACAAAGATAGGCTATCATATGGCAAAAATCAATTTCGTGGTTGTTGAAGGCAATATTTTTTTTTATATTTAGTTTTGACCAAATCAATTCATATATCTTCTTACAAATGACAATGTGTCCACACATCCAACATCCTTGTAAGTGTTTTGATTTTTCCCTCTGTTGTCGTTTGATGATTGATTAATTTTTGTTTTTTTTCTGTCATTTCAAACTACTACGATGGCGATAATCATCACGTATACAATTTCCTTTCAACAGGAATGGAAATCGTTTCGAATATCGTAATAACGTTGCTGGTATATCGATAAAACTATCCATATGTGGTATTGGACCGAATTTCTGCATCAATTCTTTAAAACTATAAACTTCAGGATACATATCGAAAATGTCCAATCCATTACAAATACGTCGTTGTATTTCATCATCATCGAGAAGATAATTACGTCCCATTATTCGATCATTGTGTGAATAACTTGTCATTTTAAAACGAAAATCTCGAATGTAACGAAAACAGAATGTACAATGCCAACCTTAATTTTTAAATTAAAAAAAAAAAAAAATGAAAAAAATCAATCGATAGTATCGAACCATTGAACTTACCACTATCAGCAAGTAGATGTTCACTACCTTTTTGATGGCTATAATAGAATCTTTTTCGATCATATGTTTGCAGTTTAGCTTGCCAAAAATCATCTGATGAATAATAAAATTCAAATGAATAAAAAAATGTTTTCATTTGTAAATGTACAATTTCTGGAAAACCATCGCAACGACGAAATAGATTGATTGTTTCACGTCTTGGTATTTCATCAACATCACCAACAATTATCAAATCATTGGTTCGAGCCAATGAACGTATTGTCCATGTCATACAATTACGCATACGAATTTCATTCACAAATGGACTTTGTCCTGATTCCAATGGACGAAGATCTGGACAATTGAAAATTTTCAATTTTTCTGATGCCCATTCAAAACGTTTAGTGAATTGTTGTTGTTCACGTAACCATAATGGTTTTGATTGACCATTAAATGTACGATTCGCTTCCATTGCAATAAATATATCGACAACAGGCCATAATTCACGTAAACGAATTTCAAGTAAATCAAATTCTAATGAAAATAGAAATGCATCAATCACTTTGATATTTGGCTGTCGATTATTTCGTGCGATCCATCCATGAAATGAACACAATAATTGATCATCAGTACTGTCATTACCGCTATCGATCAGATGATAATGTGTAATCACATTTTTAAACGTCACCTTATGATCAAATGTTGGTCTTGAAGGAAAAAGGTACGAAAACCAAACAAATTATTATTATTAAAATTATGAAAAAAAAAATTTAATTTTACCTAATTATGTAGATAAAATCACGAAACCAATAAAGACGATAAATCAATAATAATGGCAATATGATTATGAAGAATATGGCCACGAATAAAAGACAATTGAATGTTGGCCATCTTTTTCGGCGTTTAAATTGACGCAATGATGATGATGATATTGGCAATGGTAATGTTAATGATTGTATCGACATTCGTATCATAAAATAATGATAATTAATTCTTTTTCGAATAAATTTTAGATCCAAAAATGGCATAATAATAATAACATTTATTTATTATTGAAAATTTTGGATTTTGTTCTCTGATCATGATAACAATAATAATAACTCAATGATGAAATTGATAACATCAATCAGCAACAATGTTTTCTATTTTCTTTTTCTGTAAATTGTCCGAAATTTATCCATAATCATCTCCACAAAGGAAAGCCAAATATTACTAAAAAAGGTAACCATAGTAATAGTAACCATGTTGTTGTTTTTAGTGCATCCATTTATATCTCGGAGATGATGGTGATGATGACGATTTGTTTAAATTAATCATCACAATTCAATACGAGGATTTTTTTTTTTTTTTTTGGTTTTGTTTATTGTTTGTTTATTGCCTTTTTGTTCAATGGACTCATTTTCTCGCTATCATGCTACTGATGGTGGTGGGGTTGGCCATCATCGTCGAATAGAATAAACAAATTCTATTCTGTTGCTGTTTTTTGTTGTATAAATATTTTGAAAAGAAAAACAGAACAAACATCGTAAAACGAATACAAAATGATGAAATCAAAACTCAGAAATTAGTAAAAATGAAAAATACATCGATGATGATGATGTACGTACTGATGTCACAATGTTACAAATTTTTCAAATTTATAAGATAACAGTGAAAAGAATTTTTAATTTTAATAAATAATCATAAAAATAATAAACTGGTCCTTTGACCATCATTTTTATTCAATTCATTCTATTTGAAAACATTTTTTTTGAATAACAGCGCCATCTGTGGCCAAGAGAAAATAAAATGTTTATTCAAGGAAAATTTATTTGATGCGCCATCTATGGATTGCAAAAAAACCAAATCAATTTGTATAAATATTCGAATTCAAAAAAAAACCGTGTGAGCATTTTTATGTCTATTTTCTGTTGTTTTTGAATAATTTTCATTTTCTAGGAATTGGAAGAAATTCATAAATTCTAGATTCGGAAATTAGTCGTCTTTTACTACGAAATCATGATTTATTGTCCTTGATTTTAATTAAAATGAACGAGAAAGAAAGAAAAAATCAACAACAACCAATCAACCAACCGCGGTTAATCGAAAATCAACATCAAGCTCAAAATCATATAAACACAAGCAATGATTTCATTATTTCATATCATCCAATCAATGAACATTTGTAATCAATGTATGTCAAACAAAATAAATCCACCACCACCGAAACAAACAAACAAATGACAAACGATCATACGATAAAATTTCATCATTAATGACTACTGCACAATTTTATTATTAACAACAAACTGACAAAATGTATGTATCAATGATATTTTTATCCATAACGATTGGAACAACCATTGCCATCATTATATTACGTACAACGATGATTATATGGAATTATTGGAATCGTAAACAATTTAAATGGGAAACAAATAATGGACGTTATTGGGCATTGATTACTGGACAAATTGTTGATGGTGGTGTTGGTTATGAATTTGCACGACAATTAGCATTAAAAGGTTATAACCTTATGATTATTAGTGGCGATCCTGCCGCCCAATTACAAGAGAAAAAACAATTAATTCAACGTGAATGTCCATTCGTACAGATACGTATTATGATTGTTGATTTTCGCCGATCAAATATCTGGGATAACATACGTAAATTTATTAATATCGATACGAATAATGTATTTATTTTGGTGAATAACTGTAATAATTTTCCTGATAATGTTGATGAATTTGAAGATGATGATAATGGAACATCGACCACGACCACAACAACAACATATCATCGTGATTTAATCAATGCAAATATAATGAGCACAATACGTATGACAGAATTGGTATTACCATCAATGGTAATGAATCGTAATGGCTTAATTATCAATATTACATCGATTACATCGTTACACAATGGGCCGGCAATTTCATATGGTTCAACGAAGGTAAATATATCGATTATTTGATTTTTAGTTTTTTAACACCTTTTTTGTCTTGTTTTTTTTGAATAGTTTGAAAAATTCAAATATTTCCAATCATTTATTGCTTATTATTCACGTGGTCTACATCAAGAATGTTTAGCTAACAATGTACTCATCTATACCTTGACACCGGGTTCAATGTCAACAAGTTTAATGGAAATGAAACCTATTCTAATGTTGCCATCTGCTCGTCGTTATGTACAAGGTGCCTTGTGTACAATCAATTGGGATACAACCGAAAATTTCGGCTATCTGCCCAGATTTTTAACCGCCACCATTTTATATTGTATTGAAACATTATCTGAATGGCAACGTAAATGTCGTAGATTGACAAGAAAATCTTGATTCATTTAATTAAAATCGAATCAAAGAAAAAAAAATTTAGTACGAAAAAATAAAATTTGTTAAATCTCAAAAATTCACTCAAATGAAATCTATTTTTCTTGGTTCTCTTCTTCCAAAATCAATCAATTATTCGATCAATCACGAAAAAAATCGATTCAATCATCGATCATCATCGAATACATACAACAACAAGCGACAAACGTACCCGAGCTATATGATGATGATAATGAGAAAATATGATGAACAAGTGTGAAAAACAAATTAATCAGACAGACAGACAGACAAACAGACATTAATTACATTTCTCAAAGAGACTAAGAGAACGAAACATAACGAGAAAAGCAACAACAAAAAAAATTGACGAAATCATTTTTTTTTATTAATCAACATGTGTTGTGTGAGTGTTTATGTGTGAAAAGAGAAACAGGAATAGATGCTGTTTGTTTCGTTTTTGGCATCAATCCAAAATGGACTTTTTTTCGGTGTGTGAGAAGAAAAAAAAATTTTCTTGTGAAAACATCAATCGATCTATTCATCCATAGCCATCGGTTTAAATAAAAATCTGATCGAGTGTTTCTGCTGCTGTTGTTCAAAGTAGTCCAAAGTGACCGAAATAAAAATGTTTGTGACAATTTTCATCACCGTTTCAATAATCACGACAATCATTCTGATTATGAATTCGATACTATTACCATTATTCCGTTATCTAAAACGACGTAAATTTATTTGGACAACAAATGATGGTCAATATTGGGCTGTTGTAACAGGTGCAACCGATGGTATTGGTTTTGAATTTGCTCGACAATTAGCACGAAAAGGTTATAATCTTATGATGATTAGTCGTAATGAAGAAAAATTGGCATTGAAAAGCACGATGATTTTAGAACAATATCCATCAATAAAAATTGAAACATTAGCTGTTGATTTTCAATATCAGGATATTTATCAAAAAATTGAACAATTCCTAAGGAAACATCAAGATATATTCATATTGGTAAATAATGTCGGTACTTTTACAATCAATGGTCAATTATTCAATAATGAAACCAGTGAATTACATCAACAAATGATGGATATCAATCTGACAAGTACAATACGTATGACTGAATTAATATTACCAAAAATGTTATCGAAACGTCGTGGTCTTATTATCAATGTTTCATCAATGATTACCGAATATTCGGGATATAAACAAACAATGTATGCAGCTACAAAGGTAATAAGAAAAAATAAATAAATTTTCATTCATTAATTTTAATCGGAAAAAATTGACCAAACCTTTTTTTTCATAGTCATTTCAAGCCGCATTTTCACGTTCATTAATGAAAGAATGTCAATCGAAAAATGTACTCATTTTCACCCTGTTACCGGCAACTGTTGCATCATCTACGTTGACATTTAAAATAAGTTTATTGGTACCAACAGCACAAACATATGTCTATCAGGCATTACGTTCTATAAATTGGACAGTGAAAGAAAGTTATGGTTATGTACCACATACAATTCTAGCTTTCACGATTAAATTTTTTGCATTTATATTTGGCCAAACAAAAGCCAATGATATAATTGACATGATATTTGAAAATGTTTATAAGAAAAAACTTAAAACATCGTTGGATATCGGTAATTTATTACGATTGATTCGATTGATGTCAAAATGTTTGATTTATGGTCCAGATTTTAATAATAACGATGATGATTATTAAAAATGGTACCCTTATCACAATCACAATAATCGAACAACAACTGATTTTAAAAAATGATCACAATTTGTCGTAGTAGTATGTAGTAATGAATGTAATTTGATATCAACAACCTTTGTGTATGCCACTACCATTTTTTATACCATAGTTTTTTTGTCATTTTTTTCTCAATGTTTTTTTTTGATCTGGAAGATTAAATTAAATTTAATCGATTAATTGATGATTAAATTGATGATTGCCAACAAACAAGAAAGAAAGAAGAAAGAAATCTCACTTCTTCGATAATGAATGTGATATTTGCATCGATTATCATCATATTGATTATGTTTATTATAATTCGAATATTTTTCCTTTGTTGGAATTATCTAAATCGTCGCCGATTTGATTGGAATACCCAGAATGGTAAATGTTGGGCTGTAGTGACCGGCGCTACCGATGGCATGGGCTATGAATTTGCACGACAATTAGCCTTGAAAGGTTATAATATTATGATGATTAGTCGTAATGAAGAGAAATTGGCCGCAAAAAGTGAGAAAATATTGGATGAATGTCGCCAATCATCATCGATTCAGATACAAACATTGGCCGTTGATTTTAAACAATTTGATTATTATTATGATAAAATTCGTCAATTTCTTGCCTCGTACATCGATGATATAACCATTTTAGTAAATAATGTTGGTATTGGACCACCACGTGAACAAATTCAACATGTTCATTTGGAATCGTTGAAATTTCATATGGATATGATTAATGTAAATACCGTTAGTGCCATACAAATGACTGATTTAATTCTACCATCAATGGTAACAAAACGAAATGGTCTCATAATTAATGTATCATCATTTACAGCAATTCATGCTATACCATTACTAGCTGTTTATAGTGCAACCAAAGCATTCTTGTTACATTATTCTCGTATATTATGGGCTGAATGTGAACGATATAATGTTCTTGTCTATACATTAACACCGGCATCTGTTTGTACGAATTTATTCATACAAGAATCGCCTTCATTAATGGCACCAAGTGCAAGAGATTATGTACGCAATGCATTGGCCAGTGTGAATTGGACAACACCAGAAAGTCATGGTTATCTACCACATTCAATTGTGTCGACCATTTTACTCACTCTTGAATGGTTATTTGGTTGGCAATTGAAAACGAAAATGATTGAAAAATATGTTCGCAATATGAAAGACAAAATTGATTGAAATTGGACAGTTTTTTTCGTTTTAAACTTTGAAATTGAGAAATCAAAAGAAAAAAAAAAATGTTTGATATTTTCAGGTTATATATCATCTCTATCTATTTAGCTGTTGAAGCTGTCTGTGCTTTACGTTGTTGTACAATAACCTGTGATAATTCATCACGCTTCCTTTTACCACGTAAATGGGTTCCTAAACGTTTTTAAGAAATTTCAATGCACGTTTATCTTTTGAAATTTACACAAATTGGTAAATTGGATTAAATTATCGTTAAGAATTTCATTTGAGTTTAATTCCACATCAACTCTTCCGAATTCGGTTTATTATTTCTCATTTCATGAAGATGTTATGTCCACAGCTTCTTCATCTCCTCTATACAAAAAAATCAATTACAAAATCGCACGATCAACGTTTTCGACATCCTGTGTTTTGTATTATATTTCAATACTGTTTCAAAATTTTTACATTTATTTATTCATTTTTATTTTTATTGAAAAACATATATTCAGATTATAAAATAAAGGCTATACTTGATCAATAAAAGCTTTTATAATATTTCAATGAGTGTCCATTCCTCAATCATAGCTGCGAGAGAACGCAATATTCGATACGATTATAACCATGTTATATCCCACATAATGCTATTACATGTATATAAACTAAAATGTATACGAATCATCACGAATTTCATTAGTACTTAAGCATCAAATGATTATGGAATTTGGTATTGAAATTAGGTATTTATTGTGGCGATGCAGCTGTTGCTGCTGCTTGATGATATGATGATGGTGTGAATATTTGGTATTCATGGATGTTTGGTTACAGCACGTAGCCTGCAATATTCCGTTGTTGTTGTTGATGGTGGTGAAAATTATGGATGCTGTAATTGTGGTGACATTATCATCATATTTGGTGAATCAATCAGTGTAGCAGGATGATGACAGTTCGCGGTACAGCCATTTTTGCCATGATCATTGATTGTTGAATTGGATGACCATCTTGATTAATATTATCGTTATGTACGCAATGCATTGGCCAGTGTGAATTGGACAACACCAGAAAGTCATGGTTATCTACCACATTCAATTGTGTCGACCATTTTACTCACTCTTGAATGGTTATTTGGTTGGCAATTGAAAACGAAAATGATTGAAAAATATGTTCGCAATATGAAAGACAAAATTGATTGAAATTGGACAGTTTTTTTTCGTTTTTAAACTTTTGAAAACATTCTTTTTTTTGTTTTATTTGAAAATAAAAAAATTCAAAATGATGAATTGAGAAATCAAAAGAAAAAAAAATGTTTGATATTTTCAGGTTATATATCATCTCTATCTATTTAGCTGTTGAAGCTGTCTGTGCTTTACGTTGTTGTACAATAACCTGTGATAATTCATCACGCTTCCTTTTACCACGTAAATGGGTTCCTAAACGTTTTTTAAGAAATTTCAATGCACGTTTATCTTTCGAAATACGTAATAATTCCATAGCACGACGTTCATATGGTGCGAAGCCAACAATTTCACGTACAACACCACGAATGAATTTATTGTGTTTAGTCAATTTCTATGAGGTGAGTGAATGGGGAAAAAAAATTTTAATTTCGATCCAGAAACAAACAAAAAAACAATACTTACACCCTTTTTCGATGATGGACGATTTTGATAATTATTTTTGGTCACTTTATGACCTTTATTTAGGCCAATCACTGTTTCATAACGTGATGGAGCCATTTTTCTACATCAAATGATAAAAATCAATGAAATTAGAGCCTTAAAAAATTGAAAATTTACCTGAAAATGCGAAATTTCAAGAATCAAACACAAATACACACACACAGAGAGACAGAACACAACAACGTGTAGGAAAAAGGAAACCATCAGCACACACACACACACACACACTGAAAGCACACATGAACGTGTCAACACAAAGCGCTAGTTCAAATCGAATCGATACAATCGATACTCTTGTTAAAAATCAACTTTGTTGAAAAGGTGGAGCTTATTTCATACATATGTCCATATTAAAAATGATCACGTAACTATAAATTTATTTGCACCAAAAAAAATTTCTACAATTTTAATTCATTCGAAATTCCATCATAGCAAAATGATGATAATTATCATCCATAAAAAACAAATCAATGAGATGCAAACATATCAAATGTCCTTGAAACATGATCATTCGATAAAAATTCATTCTTTCGTTTGAAGCGAAAAAAAATTTTCATTTCAATTCAATCATTTTTTCATCGATATTAGTTAATGATGGCCACACCAAGTAAATTCGTTTTATACAATTATTGGCGAAGTTCATGTTCATGGCGTGTACGTGCTGTTTTAGAATTGAAAAAGATTCCATATGAATATCGTGCCATCAATCTGGTTAAAGGTGAACAATATGGCAAAGAATTTCAACAAATTAATCCAATAAGTCAGGTACCGACGTTACAATTTCAAACATCCGATGGACGTACTGAAATTCTTTATGAATCAATGGCCATAATTGATTATTTGGAACAAACATTTCCAACACCATCAATCTATCCAAATGATCCAATCGAACGTGCCAAAGTTATTGCTATTGCTGAAACAATAGTCAGTGGCATACAACCAATTCAAAATCTTGTTGTCATGAAAAAAATTGAAGAAATAACTGGATCTAAAGACCAATCCATGGAATGGAGCCGTGAATGGATTCGTAAAAAATTTCAGATGCTTGAAACAATGTTAAAATCAATGAGTGGAACTCATACATTTGGTGACCATTTAACATTGGCTGATTTTTGTCTTGTACCACAAGTGGCAAATGCTATTAAATTCAAAGTTGATATGAATGAATTTCCATTATTGAAACGTTTGAATGAATTTCTATTGACTACTGAATCGATTGCAAAAGCTCGGCCAGATAATCAACCAGATAAAATGTGAAACGACGATTCTAGATGATTTGAAATTTTTTTGAAAATTCATTCATTAAAAATCGTTATATTGAAACAATACAAACCTGTTTTCTGTTTTTGTTTACCGACACTAGATGGCCGTATGTGAGCCATGTTGGAATCAATGTTCGAATCATCCGTCATGTTCAAAACTTGTGTGTGCGCGATGAATGTTTACATATCAATCAAATCAAGACAAATCATCAACCAAATGGTCATTCTAATGATGATGGTAATTTACACAATGACCGGATTTTCGTTTTTGTTTTGTTTGTTGGTTTGTTTGGTCTATAAACTTTATCAATCATCATTTATTTTAACAACAATTGAATCTTGAAATATAACAAACCAGTGGTTATGTCATTTGAATTCATTTTGATGACAGTGATGATGTTTTTTGGAGAAAAAAAAAATACAATCAGTATTCAATATTTGTCAATCAATCGATCAAATTTTGAAATTCATCTAGTATGGCATAATAAAAAAAAATTAAACAAAGTCAATGGACTGGCCAACAACAATCAACCAATGAAAATAGTGTTGACCAAATTGAAAAACAAAACAAAAGCAAGAAAAAAAAACGACCGGTCGATCAATGGCCACATATTTGATTGTGTAATGACTGATCACACACACACACACACACGATCCATCTATCGAACACAATGAGCAGAAACCGTCAAAACTATCAAAAATCATCATCATCACCAATATATCGGTATATAAATTGGTCAATATTCATAATATATACAGATGATTTCAGTCAGAATAGTGTACACACAAACACATTTTTTTTTTTTGATTATTATTGATTGATTGAAAACGATTGATTTATATTGATTTAAACATATCATAATATTCATTTTGTTCAGAATGTTCAAGTGATATATTTATGAAAGCAATGAAAACATTTTGTGTGTGTGTGTGTATGTGTGTGACACACTTATTTATTGAATATTTCATTTCATTCATTCAATTTCGTTTCTGGATCTCAATTTGCCATTGGCAACACACAAAAAAATGTGTTTTAATAAAAGAAAAAAAAGAAGGTAAAAAGTCTTCAATCATAATCTAGCTGCTTGATTTGAATTGAATTTTCAAACAAACAAAAAACAAAACAAAACAAAAACGCAGCGCACCACACAGTCACATCGGTTATATCCGTTGGTCATTGTGCCCATTGTGTGTGTGTGTGTGCGTTTGATCATATATGATCTCTATCGATACGACGTTTTTTTTCTCTGTTTTGTTTTGTTTACAAGGCAAAAAAAAAAATGATTCAAATAGTCCCCCTTCACCCCACCACTAGAAAAACAAAAACACAATTGACCGATCGATTATCGACATTAGTAAAAAAAGTTGTGTTTTATAAACATTAATTATCCAGCATATGTGCGCGTGGGTGTAGAAAAATAATTTGTAATAATTCACAATGGTGTTTTCGATGACAACAATTGAAGTCAATTAATAATAACCGAAAAAAATGATGATGAATTCATAATTTCATAAATGGTCAGCGTGAAATGACAAAAAAAACAACAACAGATGAATAAAGTGTACAAGTGCTTGCAAAAAAAAAAAAAAACAAACAACAACAATGTGGTTCACACATATACACAAATGACAAAAAAAATTGACATTTGACCGGATAATTGATGTTTTCATTTTCCCAAACACACACACACAGAGAGACACGTGTGTAACTAATACGTGTTTTGATGAATAAATTGAATTGAATTGAATGAATGAAATATGGAAATTTTCGTTGGAAAAAAATCTAAAAATTTTTCCTTTTTTCTCACATTGCTTTTTTTCAATCAATACTTTCTCATGGAATTTTTTTTCTTTTACAATATTCTTTTGGGAATTTATAAAAAATATTTTCACATCAGAATTACACTTGTGATGTTTATGGAATTCTTGACTTAATTAAACAAATATCATCATCATCATCAACATCAAGATCGAGCACGTGTTTTGTTTTATTTGTTTGTTTTCATTTTGACACGTGCTGCATATTGTTGTTGTCGTTGCTGTTGTTATACAATAATAATCTCAATTTCAAGAGATTTAGAAAAAAACCACAATACAACGGATATGCACGTGCAATGCGTGTGACAAGATTTTGATTTTTTTTATTTTCATAACTTTATCATGGTGAATTTCAAAAAAAAAAAAAAAAAAAAAAAATTCGTGGCCTACCTTTCTTTTCACGCCTCGATAAACATGTCATCACACATGTGACATACAGATAAACAAAAAAAAAAAAGACACACATCATCTGTGTATATGACAAAAACATATCTGACACATTCGAGATTGAAATGTCATGAATGAGACATCACAATTCAATCTCTGTCCTCTTCATGATCATCACAAAGTGTACAAAATCAAAAATAAATTTGTCATCTGTTCTGTTTCTTTTGTAATCACACACACACACACACACACACAAAAGCTCAAACCTTTTTTCATTATTGTTTGTTCCAGCATTCAAAAAGATGATTTTTTCTCTTCTTCTTACTGGAACACACAATAATAGTCCGTTTTGGGCCCTGTCAAATTTGAATGGTTTTTTACACAAAAAAGTCATCAAAAGTCATAATCAGGATCATTGAATGGAATGAAAAGAAATTATTGCCTATCAACTAATATGGTAATTATTGTTATATTCTCTCTTTATAATCCATATAAAATGTGGTGATAATTTTCATTTGAATTTGAATTTTCCAGATTTTTTTTTACATTCAATTTCAATTTCAAATCAAACGACAACGACGTCAACAACCCAAAATTACACCTGCTGTTAATATAGCCCAGTTCAATTATTACCGCATTGGTATATAGATAACATTCGAATGTGTTGCATTGACTGACTGAATATATTCGGATTATAATTTTTTCGTCATCATCATCATCGAATCGGATTAATTTCTGGATCAATTTTTTTCCTCGTCCATTCAATTTATTGTTATTGCTACTGCTGCTACTACTGCTGCTACTGTTGTTCATTTTGTTTCACACTTACCTTCAATGCCCCCATCAACAACAAGAAAATGGAGGTTATGCTAACTTTTTTGTCCTTTCTTTCTTTCGCTAGATTAAGCTGTCAAATCTTTTCTTTTTTTTCATCATCATCGTCATCATCATTCATGGACCAAATCCGCTAACAATCATCACCATCAATAAAAATCGGCTTTTGTTACACACACACACACAAACAAACAAAAAAAGCATAACGAAAATCGGATCATCAAAAAAAAAAAAAAAAAAAAACAACGAAATAGGCTATAGCTGGCTAGACTTTATTTCCAACATCCATCCAACCGAATAATGTGTATGATTGAAAGGCGTAACTCGAATGACAGATTCCGGTTTACAAAAACACCACCACCACCATTATAATATCGAATGATTTCAATTGTTGTTTCGTTTCAATTTTATGGTAAACCATTTTCATCATCATCATCATCATCATCATCATCATTATTTGTGAAATCCAAGAAAAAAAAATCTAAATCCGATTTATGACTTTTGAAACATTTGATGATGATGATGATACGCGCGATTGTGTTATGAAACTTTTATATATCGCCCATCACCTTCCTCCACCCAGAAGAAACACCCACACACATAAATATAGAATTTCAAGCTGTTACATCTACTGCTGCTGCTGCTGCTGAAGAATGATCATCATCATCATAAAAAGTGAAAAAGTTTTGAAAATTGAAATTCACATTTTATTTTTTTTTTGCCAATATAAAACCATTCATACACGCCCACAACAACTAACTGAATGAAGATAATGGCCGCATGGAGAAAAATGATGACGAGATTTTTTTCTGAATAAACGACCAAATGGTAAGTTATTATCATAATAATCATAAATGGAAACAGGGTAAAAAAATTAATTTGAAAAAAAATGAAATCAATTCGTTTCACTATTGAAGTCAATCATTTATATACCCATTGGATGTTTCTGCTTGTGTGTGTGTGTGTGTAATTCACTTTGACTAACGGCTGCTACACACACACACTTCCAGAAACCTAGCTTAGCACTGAATAAATGTGAATGAATGAAGAATTGAAAAAAAAAATTTTTTTTTGAACGAAGAAAATCCAAACTTTGAACCGATTATAATTAGTCAAATCGTTTGCTCTCCCCCTGGTTTGTTTGTTTTTTTTTCAAAATTTCAAACAAATGAAACAGCAAAAAAAAAAATGTCAATCGATTTGTTATGGATTGTCATTTTTTTTTCATTTCATGTCCATTCAATTCAATTATCCACTATGCATCTTGCATCTAAAAAAAAACAACGGATCTCAACTTTCTGTCAGATATATAATATTTACTTACTTTGTAGTACATGTGTTTGATGTGTTTCGATATTTTGTTTCTTCAATTAATCACAATTTTTCTACACTAATAATAAATTGATTATAATTAATAATAATTTTCAATTTTTTTTAGTAAGTAGGCTATACATGAAATTATGAATGTTGACATTTTGTATCAAAATCTAAGATCAAACAAACACAACAAACACGTACAACTCGATACGCCACGTGTTCGATATAAATATCGTTTGTTGTGTTTACATTAAAGATTTTTCTATTTTTTTTTTCAAATACATGGCCACAAACAGAACATGATTTTGTTGTTGTTCTGTTGAATTTCCACAAAATGACAAACACGAATTAGTTAGTTATTTGTAATCAATCAATTTGAAAATTCGATCGATCAGAATTTAGAAATTGAAAAAAAAAATTTCAAGTCATTTTTTTCTCGATCATCAACATTGAAACAGCTGTTGATTAAAAATTGGTAAATCAAAAAAAAAAAAAAAAAAAAATTTAAATTTCTTCGAAAAAAAATTCAAAAAAAAACCCAAAATGCAAACATCATAAATTTTAATTGTTTTCAAACACACACACACACACACTTGCACATGAAAAGTAGCCATTACTGAATAGATAATGGATTCAAATACCGAAAAAAAATAATTACCGGTCGATTATGAAAAGTGGAGAGAGAGAGAGAGAAAGATTGAAAAACCGCAATATACACTGAACAAATAATCGTAAATCTCTTGTGGCCAAAAAAAAAAACGTCTATATAGCATCGTCATTGTCATATATGATAAGCCTCTCTATCTCTTACTAGATGCTGCGTTCAAGTCTTTTTTTCATCGTTGTTGTTGTTGTTGCTGATGTTGATGTTGATATATTTGAAAAGCTGAAATTATTTTCGAGGGAGGTGCTTCAAAAGAACAAAAAAAAAAAAAAAGAAAACAATGCGAACCTATAAATCAGAAGAAGAAAAAAAAATTTCAATTGGTTGATGTTTTTCTTTTTGTTGTTTGTTTAAATAACATAATCATCATCATCATCATCATCAATCCAGATAATTTATTCGTTTATTTGAAATAAAAAATTTTTAAAATGAATTTCGTTTCACACACACACACACACATGCACACGTAAATCATATATCACAAAAAAAAAATTAATTTCAAAAGAAAAAAAAACAAAAGATCAGACAAAAAAAATTGAAATGAAAAAAAAATATCCCAGAAATACAATATTTATATGTGAATTAAAAGTTCTGGAAGACTAGTTTTCGGATTGTTGTTTTTCATATTCATTCAACAATATCGAATTGTTGTTGTTGCTGTTGATGGTGTATGATAATGATTATTATGATGACCAAATGACGATGATGATGATGATGATGCCAAATCATTATGGCCACCTGAATTTGATCCAAAATGATGATGATGATGATGATTTCCATAATGGTGATCATGATTATTATTCGCTGTCCATAATGATGATGTCGATGATGTAGATGGATAACGTTCCATTAGAAATTGATGATGATGATGATGATGACCTGGATAATAAATATTTTCATTAATCGTATACGATGACGATTGTGGTATTGATGGTGGATTAGGATTATGAAATGTCGTTGTTGTGGTTGATGGTGGTGACAAATTATCCACTACAATAGTTGTTGGTATTTGATTTTCATTCGTTTCATTCATCAATGTAAATGATGATTTTAATGTTTTCATCGATGTTGATGATTTTATCGGATTCATTTCTTGTTCTTCTTCCATCATTTCATTATCATTGGATCGTTCATCATCGTCGACGATTGATGATGACTTAATTCGATTTGCTTTTTCCATTTTTGATTTCAATATTTTCATTGATCGATTTGTCATTGTTAATGATGGTGATAATTGTTGTTGTTGTTGCTGTGGTGGTTCAATTGTTGTCATATCACTTGCAATGCTTGTTGTATCCAATAGATCAGACATGAAACTTATATACATTATAGCTAAACGTAATGTTTCAATTCTTGATAAACGTTTTTCATATGCAAATGTCGGAACTTTTTTTCGTAACTTATCAAATGCTGAATTTAAATTAAACATTCGTCGCCGTTCTCGGATATTTGCTGCACGACGTTGTGCTACTGTTGCTACACGTCTACGTGGTTTTGATTTTGGTTTTGTTGGACCAGATTTTATTGAATTCCCATGTTGTTGCTGATGGATCGGTAAATGTATTGAAGTTTTTGTTGTTGATATCGGATAACCAATATATCCATGTGAATTATCATCATTTGTAAGAATCAATGGTGGTGAACAATTTATTGATGATGATGATGATGATGATGATGAATGACTAGCTGTTGATAAATATGAGGATGATGAAATTGTTGTTGAATTTGGACTTATTGAATGATCAACATCCGTATGTTTGTTGTTGTTGTATATGATGATGTGGATGTGGATGTGATTCATTCGATACAATCGATGGTGATAAAATGTGATGAACGACAGTCATTTTTGGTGTCGCTGTTGTTGTTGTTATTGTTGTTGATGGTCGATGATTACTTTTTGTTCGATTACGATTTTCATCCAAATTGAAATTTATTTCAATTTGTCGCGATGATGCTGATTCTTTTGATAAAGATTTTGATATTTTTGTTGCAGCTGATGGTGGCCTACAAAATGGTGATGATCGATTATTATGATGACGGTGATCTGCAAACAATAAAGTCGATGAATCAACTGTTGAACGGCCACGATGATTGCAATCATCATCATCATCTACATTAGTACCCGTAGTAGGTGGGATCAAATCTATTTGAATTAAATGATTTTCCTCACGATGTGACTTGTGACTTTGTTTAGTTGTAGAAATGGTTGCAGCGGTTTCAGTAGCTTTCGTATTAGTAGCTTTAGCAGTCGTTCCAGCATTGACATTGGACCCTTGATTCAATGATGATGATGATGATGATGTGGTGGTGGTGGTAGTCCTAGTTGTCCCAGTTGTTGTCATCGTTGTTGTTTGGATTGTTGAAGTTAAAGTTGCTACTGTTGTTGTTGTTGTATTGCGGTTCCAACAATTATTGGATACTGATTGTTGTAGGTGTTGATCAATCACTTGATTTGTCGGATCAAAACTATTGGAACAACAACCATTTGAATAATAACCGGATGTTGATTGATGTTGTGGATAAGGAAAAATGAATGCAGACGATGATGAATTATTAAATCTTTGTGAATGATAATTTGTGGTTGATGATGATGATCCATAACCACCATTATTATGATGATGGTTATTCGTTTCAGAATTGCGAAGATTCAAACCCAATGTTGATGCTAAATGATCATATGGATTAACCATTGGATAATTACCAGCTGATGTTTGATCTGGATAACGATTCAATGATGATGATCCATATCCAGAATCCAATATTGATGTTGATTGATTCATAATCGATGATGATGTTGCAGATGATGATGTGGGCTGTTTAAAAAATTCTGATGCAGCAGCCGCTGCTGCAATAGCTGCAGCTTCATAATAAGCACGATATTCTTTACTTTTTTTATTATGATGCATATATGCCGAAGATGATGATGATGATGAAGATGGGATATTTGAGAATTTTTCGTTGGAATTTGATAATGATAATTTTGATCTTGGAGATTTTTTTGTTGCTGCTGATTGTTGTTGTTTCATGATTATTGGATCAATTTAATAATTGATGAAATTAATTAATTGGAATTGTGGAAAAAAATCATTCAAATGAATCAATGATTATTATTCACTCAAGAATAAATAATGGAAAGCAGGAGAGAGATGAAAAAATTTTCTGTCAAATCAGCATAGCATAGGTCGGTAAACTTTTTTTTTTTTGCCTTTTCGAATGTTAACGATGGTGTTGGCATTGACAATCTTGGTAATGGACACATATGAATCAAAATAGCCGGAAAAAAATAACACCGTATGTTACATACACGTTCGAATGAATTTCATACGAATATACAAATATGTTACACACCAAGACAAACTGGTGTAAATCAAGCTTCTCTATTCTGTGTTTTGTTTTGTTTTGTTCACTCAATTCGAATCAAAAATTACCTGGATCCAAATATGAAATAAATGAATCAGGCTCTCAAATAATAATAATGATGATGATTATGATGACTGATGATCATTGATCGATTGATTTTCAAAACACAAATAATTTCAATGCCATTGAATTGTCTTTTGCCAATGGATTCAATTCTTCCGTTCGGTGTGTGTGTGTGGTGGTGTGCGATGGTGGAAAATTACCAAATTCTTTGTGCAATGTTTTACTGACGAACGAGAAAAAAAAATGAAAAAAGCTTCGAGAAAATTCGCTTTCAAATAATAATCGCCGTTGATCGCACACATCAAATTGGCTTGTGCTGTTTTTGTTGTTGTTGTTGTTGTTCATTTCATTTCATTTCTCGAGTTTGTTATTCTCGATTTCTTCTTCAATAACCAGATGTTGCCATCGTGAATATAAAACACACACACAAACCAGATGTGTCGTTAGAAAGAACTTTAACATCAACGAATTTCATTTTTCCATCTTTTAGAACAAGTGTTCCAAAAAAAAAAAAAAAAAAAATGATTATGGACAACACACACACAGATACACTTGATGTTCGAAATATTCGAAAAAAATGTATATATAGTATATATGGACGCCATTTGTAGATATTCGGATTGGTCAGATTACTTTGATAGGCGGTATTTATAGGCGGAGACTATTATCAAGAATATTCTATTATGACTATAATTCCAATTCTTTGTGTGTGTGTGTGTGTGTGTGTGCATATAGTTCATACTGATGATTCGATTTTAAACAATAATAATTATTATTATTCTGTTTCCCGTTTGAATTTTCCATTTTGATCCAGATATATTTCTTGGATCGCCAAGATTTTAGTTTTATACAAGATGATGATTCCAGAAATTTTTCTCTTAAATGGCCATTAAAGAATTGCTTTAAAAAAAAATTTTCAATTATCTCATTTTTGAAAACGAAAAAGAATATTCTCACATACAATCTGTTACCAGCTAATGTGAATCGATTTCCTGGAACAACAACAACAACGACAAAATCATTGACAAGATAAATTAAATAAAAATGATGTAAATCATTGTTTTTATTAAATCAATCATTGATTGAATCAAGAAATTTTCTCACGACATCTAAATCAAATGATAATGATAAACATTCACTACCACCAATGTCGGTACTAAATTTTAATAATTTATGATCTTTAAATTCTGTCAATTGTTGTCTTATTGTTGACAGTGAACTAGTGAGAAATTCTTCACGACAAATTCGATATAATTCATCCAATTTCATTGTTCGTGATGATTTCCCCATATCCAGGAAATGTTTCAGTATAATTATGAAAATCTTTTTTGCATTATCATTCAATGATTCATATACATAGGTAACGGATGAAAAATTTGCTGACATCATTCTGGAACCTATTGAACGTGATGATGTTGTTGGTAACCACCATAATGATGAATGTGCACCATTAATCGAACGTCTTTCAATGATATATGGCTGATATGTATTCAATGGCATTGAATGTAAGCGTAGCTGATCACGTTCCTGTTGGGTCCATAGAAAATCACCATACACCGTATCAGCTGATGTTATCAAATGGATGTTATGAACGCTAGTGAAAAGTTTTATCAAGAAATTTTTCATTAAATTTTTACGATCTTCTTGTATTAAACGATCGATTGAATGAATCACAATGAATAGATGTTGCTGCTGTTGATCGTTGAACATTTCATTCAATTCTTCGAATAATTTATCATGATTCATAATCAATGAATCCAAACCATTACCTAATGGTCGATTCAGAATGATTAGAATATGTTTCATGGTTAATTCTGGTTCATAACCACGTATTATAATGTAATGATATCGATCATGAAGATAATTATCGATGAAATGTTGTAGAATTTTTATTTTGGATCCATAACCATATAGTATGATGTTGAAACGTTCCATTAATAGTTGCAAATATCGTTGCATATCTAGTTCATCATGATTGATATGTAATTCACGTCGTATTTGTTCCATTTCCATTTCGATAGTTTCAATAAATTTCATTTCATTCATCATTTCAATTGATTTTTCAAATTGTTCAAAAAATTCACAATGATTGTCGCCATCACCATTCATTTGTTTTGGTTTTTTTGAACGAGATTTTGATTTTCTTAAAAAATAATGATCACTAATACCGTTTAAGGCATTCACATCACGATGATTGGTAACATCATCAAATAATAATCTTTCTTCAGCTTGTATTTCAATTTCTTCGGCCATGTTTTCATTTTCATCATTTGAATCATCATCTTGTTCGTCTTCTTCTTCTTCTTCTGGATCGTCAGGATCTTCATCCATTTCACTATCATTTTCGATTTTCATCATCGTCGTAGGAATAGCGGTGGTAGACAGTGGTTGAGCATTCTTTTTCAATGATAATTTTTCCATTTTATTATCATCATTTTCGGTTGTAGTTGTTGTCGTTGTGATTTTACGTTTTGATCTTGTTGAATATGACATCGTTGTTGGTGGTTATTTTTTTATTTTAAATTCCAAAAATATCTGCAATTTGGATGGCCAAAATCGAATGAAACAAAACACAAGAAATCATAAATCATATGATTCATTCAAAAGATGGCGCCATTGCTACAATGATCACATGTTTTTTTTTGTATTCGACATTTCAACAACGTTTTTGCCACTATCATTTATATTCATTTGAGTTGAATTTTTTTTTCTCCCTAAAATTATTATCATGGCCAATCCGGTTTTCTTTCATAATCTACGACAATTTAATCGATTAAATCTACCTCGATTATTGAATAATAATGGATTCACAAATTTCGAATCAAAATGTTTGACCGTACCACCTACATCAATGACAACAACGATCAATTTACAATCAAAACGGCAATTATTTTCCGATGAAGTACTTGGCGTGGATCGTTTCGTACAATTACGGCAACAAGTTAGTCAACGTTTTGGTTCGCAAAAACCAATATTTTTCGAACGTCTTGCCGAACATATTGCCGATGATAAAAATGCGATACTTTCGGAAGATTTGAAAAATCTCCTATTCTTATGCGACAATACCGATGATCATATTGATCTGTTGAAACGAGCGATTGATAAATTTGAAAAACAAAATCAATCATTGCGTTTTGGTCTATTTCAATTTGGTCCGGTTGTAATGCGTTTAGCACGACACCTGAACAATGTCGATATGGCCATGTGGATTTTTAAACCGGTTCGTTTTTTTTTGAATAATCGAAGTTTACAATTTGATTATAATTCTTTCTTTTTTTTCAAATTTTAGAAATATAAAGAATTTTTCACACAAATAAGTTCCGTTACAATAGCGATGGACATACTATTGGAAAATGGCCGTTATCAGGATGCAATGAAATTATTTGATTATGCAACCAACAAATTTGATTTCGATGTTAAATATCCGGTGGATTCGGCCGTACTATATTTTGCTGCATGTTATAAATTGGTATGTTTTTTTTTACTCGAGAGAAAATCTGTTGAAATTTCCAATTTTTTAAATATATTTTGATCCCTAGAACACAACCGAGTCATTTGAATCGGCTTTCCGTGTACTGCGATCTATTCAAATGTCAAATAATCAGGTTAAATTACGTGGTCTATATTGTTTCCTTACATTGGCGATTCGCCAGAATCATCCAAATATTACATTGGAAGTAATAAGGAATTTGAATTTAAAAACAATGAATATTATAATGCAAAGTATACGATTATTAGCATTGGCACGTATTAACCGATTGAATGATGTGGCCGATATTATTCAATTTCAATTGAACAAAGATAAACCGAAAAAATATCAAATCATATTCAATGATGTATTGGCAGAAATTCTTGAGATTGTCAAAAAAAGTGATGACAAACACAAAGAATTGGTAACGAAAATTGATTCATTAGCAAAACGATTACAGGAATCAAATATGATTGAAATGAATCGTACATTGGATGATGCCATTATGTCTACTATACATTTTCAACGTCGAAAATTTCGACAATCATCATCAACAGCTAATGATGATGATGAAGATAATAATTCATCCGAACAACAACAATGGCGGCAACAAGGGACTACAATATAGGGATCAAAAAAAAAATTTTTTTTGAAAATTTCTGTCTTGTTCTATACAAAAAAAGACTTCTTTAATTTTGTTTTGCAAAGAAAAAGAGAATTGAAAATTTTAAAAATGAATTTAAAAAAAGAATTTAGCTATTAATTTAAAGACATTTGAATTGATTGTTGTTCCGAAAACTTTTAGAAATTAAAAATTCATCATTCAATCAGTTGCATCATCACGTGAAACCGAAATCGGTTCAGCCAATGTCTCCACGGTACAATCGGCAATTTTCACTTCTTTTTGTGGACGATCTTGTGGATTGGTTTCCAATTTTTCAATTTTTCTCACCACAGACATTCCTTCCAATACTTTGCCAAATACAACATGACGGCCATCTAACCATGGTGTTTTTTTACATGTTATAAAAAATTGTGATCCATTCGTATCTTTACCAGCATTGGCCATTGATAACCAACCGGCACCATAATGTTTTAATTTGAAATTTTCATCCGGAAATTTTTCACCATAAATACTACGACCACCGGTACCATCACCGCGTGTAAAATCTCCACCTTGTATCATAAAATCGGCAATTACACGATGAAATATGCTACCTTTATAGCCGACAAGTGATTTGCCATCATCAATATTCTATTCAGGACAAGAAAAAAAAATGTATAAATTGATTGATTGAAAAAAAAATTATTCAAACCTCAGTCTGATGTTTAATACAAAGTTGTTTAAAATTTTCTGCAGTTTTCGGTACGGTTTTACCAAAAAGACCGATACGTATTTTACCTGCCGATTCACCACCAATAGTTATGTCGAATGTAACAATATCCGTTGCTTTCGGTCCTTTTGGTTTCGTATCATCTGCTGCTGGAGATTGTGCAATACATTCATGTGTGAATGTAAACGAAATGATTACTAAAAATAATTTGATAAGATTTCCTTTCATCATCATCAATCAATTAATAATAATAATTTCGAATGAATGAATGAATAGAATGCGGCTGCAGAATGGAATGTCGTGGATGATGTCTGTTTTTCTATATACAAAAATAAAAATAAAAATATCAACCACTGTTTAACATTTAATTCTCTCACAAAGAAACACGTCATATACCTTTTTTTAAAAAAAAAAATAATCTGGAAACTTCTTTCTTTTTTTTCGTTCTGATCGATTAATCAATCAAAAACCTATATGATAAGCAACCACCTCAAACAGACAATGTGATGAAACTATTTGCACTTTTTTTATTTCTTTTTCTAATCAATTTACAGTCGAAATAGCCATAATGATAAAAATAACAGCAAAGTATTGCTTGTTTTTTTTCTGAAATTTCAATGTTGTTTTTTGATTCTCACAGATGTTTTTATTGAAAATTTAATCATCACTATATAAATAAGATATGGTAGTTTTTATTGGACAGCCTTCTTTTAAATGATAATCACTTTGGTAACTGTTGAATGAGATAAAGAGAACAATGGATTGTAAAATACATATCAGTGATGATTTTTTAGTACCAATAACATTGGATATTTATGATTCTTGTCAGCCGTTTCATTTACGATTCCAAATGGATCTTAATAATAATAATAATCATCACTTTAATCAAAGCCCAAGCCAAATTCAAATCAATAATCATGAACTTATTCAACGATTACCTCAAGCACAACCAATTCTTGATTTTGATGATGGAACAATGGAAACAGCAACGGAAAAAGTTCCTTCCATTGATTCATTACCAATCGAATGGATAAATCAATTGGAAAATGATGATAAAATTGACCAAGAAACAACAACAGCAGCAGCAGTAACAACTGTTAAAGATAATAATAAAGTGGTACGACGAAATCAAAATCGTGCACAAAATCTATTATTACTGGCATTGATACAGAATTCTATTGAAAAAAATAATGGTAAAGATTTGGTGAATAAATTGTTTGATGATTTGAAAAAGTTTACCAGTCAAACATTTCAATGGCGAAAAAATCGTAAACTATTCGATAATCTAAGCAAAAGAATTGAACACAAAATTTTCGAACACTTATCATTCATAACAACGAAAACGATACGTGCAATAGATTCGAATCAACCGAGACCATTATTATTTGATTCAAGAAATTATTATGATGAAGATCGTTATGCAAAAGAATTTCAAGAACTTGAAAGAATTGGCGGCGGTGGTAAGTTTATTAATTTATCTGATCTGTTATTTTTCGTAATGATTTTATTTCTATGAAAAATAGGAAATGGTAAAGTGAATAAAGTACAACATCGAGTGGATAAACAACAATATGCAGTGAAAATAATTCATTTAAAACAAGGACAATTGGATAAATTGAATCGTGAACCAATTATTTATGCACAATTATCTCATTTAAATGTTGTTGAATATAAAACATCGTGGATACAGAATTGTTCATCAACAATGGTGAATGTCAATGATGGTCATGATCACAATGACGAACCGACAACGACAAGTACTGGCAATAACAATCTACTTGGTGATGACTTGATTGAAATCATTTCATCCAAATCAATCAATGATACGAAAATGAAAGAAAAAAGTAAATTTTTTCGTTCTTCAAATTCATCATCATCATCCTCGTCATCATCATCATTATCGTCGTCGGTCAAAGATAATGGAACGAAAATGGTTAAAAATGTTGGAAAACAAACGGATGAAAATAAAAGGGAAACATTTCTTTTCATACAAATGGAACTTTGTGGCCAAAATCTTCGTGATTATATTGAAAATCGGAATAAATCATTTAAAACAATTGATAATTTGAATCTATCCGTAGAATTGAAATGGTTCGCACAAATTCTTGCCGGCGTTCGTCATATACATGATAAACAACTAATACACCGGGATTTAAAACCATCAAATATTCTGTTTACATTAGATGGAAAACTATTGAAAATTTGTGATTTTGGTCTTAGTTCTTGGAGTCTAAATGCTTATTATAAGCCTGTGCAATCATCATCATCATTATCCATCAATAATGATCATCATCTACAAACATCGCTATCGTTCGGTATGGGTACACCATCATATGCAGCACCTGAACAATTGAAACAATCAAAGTATGATCATTGTGTTGATATCTATAGCTTGGGTATCATTCTATTTGAATTAATCTATCCATATGGTTCTGGTATGGAAAAATCATTGATGCTTGATAAATTAAAAATCCAAAGAATTCTACCATCAGAATTCAATGAAAATGATCTTTATAAAATGTTTGGAAAATTAATTCTTGCCATGACCGAACGAAATCCGGCAAAAAGAATCAAAACAATCGGTGTGATTGAAAGAAAATTGTCATCGATCCATTTTCAATTGAAACGTAAACCAAGTAATAGAAAATCACAGTTAACGTTACAACAAACGCAAAAACAAGAAATTATACGACTAAAACGAGAAAAAAAACAAGATACCGAAAGAATTGCCGCATTAGAAAAAGAAATTCAAATTCTTAAATCTGAAATCAATAATAATAATAAGAATCATAACAATAATGGGGATGATTTATGTGAAAAGTCATCATCATCATCGTCATCACTAACCAAGAATCGTTCGGAAAAAAAATTTAAATTTTTTCACAAATCAAAGTAATCAATCAAACTGCCAATGTTTTTTTTTTTTTTCTTCAAAAAAATTAATTAAATCAAATAATTAAAAGATTTTTTTGTGCATTATAAATACACAATGTCAAATGTTTTATTTCGAATGTTTTTTTTCAATTTTTCTCTTTTCTAAAAATGATTATGCCCAAAAATAATGAATGGAGGCATTCATATTCCATTACCATCATCATGATCATCATTATTATAATGATGGAAAATATTGAACATATAAATCAACAAGAACATCCACCAATAGTTGCTGTGAATTCCGGTATAAGTTGTAGTAATTCAGAAGCAAATATTGACAAAATAACCGCAGCAATAGGCATTGTATATGATAATATATGGCAATATACTAAAAATCATATGATTATTGTATATAAAGCAGTGAAAACCAGTTATGATGCAACTAATCATCGATTATATCTACATGATGGTCAAATGATATCGTTGGAAAAAAGTTATCCATCATTTTTTAGTAAATCCGATGAAAATTTAAAACAAGTTTGGAATGAAATGTCCACAGATGAGAATGGTGAATATATGCGTCGTTTTATATCATTGGGTTTGTTTGCTGATCAACAATCACAATTTGCATTGAATTTTATGATTAGTTCGGATGGAAAAAAATTTCGCAATATTCTATTTCGTGGTTCATTAGGTACGATAAAATCTGAACAACGAAAATATCCACAAACATCACATCAATCAATTATTATTATTAGTAGTGGTAAATCGGATCATTTTGCATCATTATTGATCACCATTGGTCATAATAGTGAATCGAATACAGTGCAAGTAAATTGGGATGTCGAAATGAACAGACCGATTGGTTATCTTTGTTTTTCACTTTCACAACGGAATGCATTCCGATTGCAAGAACAACAACGTCATTGTAATACAACCACATTTCTATTGCAAGCTGTACATTATGGATTTATTGCTGAAAATACTGTCTATTTGGTTGGAACAAAATATGAAGAACAATATGTAATTTATACGGATAAAATGGTATTGGAAAAACGTAATCATGAATCAAGATTTTGGATTAAAAAATTACAAGATTTTTTCCATTGTCAATCACCACCATCACAATTTGTGAAAGAATCAGATTCAATACCAAAAGAACCATGGCCAATTGTTGGTGCTGGACAGCAACCATCCACAACAATTAAACCATTTCAACGTGGACAAAAACCAACACAACCACCAACTGTATTAAGTGGTCAAGGTGATCAACAACAGCAACATCAACTACAAGAATTACCTGAATTACCAGAATTGTCAAAATCGGATAAATTCTATCGTCTTTTAACATTGGTTATTTTTACAGTGAAAAATATTCTAATGTTGATTATCTTATTTGTTGTTTTTTATATTGTTAAACAACGTGAACGTAAAGCCGGTATTGTTGTTGATGGCCGTGGTGGTGGTGGTGGTGGTGGTAGTGGTGGATCAAGATTTTCATCATCAATGTCATCATCATCAAATCTATCATCAACATCATCATCATCATTTTCATCACGTGCATCATCCAGAGGATCATCGACAGCAGGTTCAACATTATTAAGTGGTATGTCATCATCATCAAGAATGACATCAGGTGTACGATCTAAATTTTCACCATCTAAAATGGGGGGTGGTAAACGAAAAAAAGTATCACCATTTTCAAAAATGGGTGGTAAAGGTAAACGAAAAATTGGATCATCAGCAGTAGGATCATCATTTGCATCATCAGCTGCATCATCGGCTGCATCAAAAATGATGAAGAAAAGATCAAGAAAATAAATCAATAATCAATCAATCAATAAATAATTAATGTGATGATTGAAAATTTCAATTTCAACAAAATAAAAAAAAAAAAAAAAATAAAACAAACGAGAAAAACAATGAAAAAAAAAATTTCAACCGGTTGATCAATCAACCAACCAACCAACTAAATGTCAATGTCCATCCAACTCTCTCAATTTCATTCTATTTAGTCTTGTTTCTCTCAATTCGTCATCACCTTGAATCATATTGTTGTTGTTGTTGTTATTGTTATCATTGGCAACACTATCATCAAAAATTATTAGAGAGAAAAAAAAACGTTTGTTGTGTTGTTTATATCAAAAATGAGTTATAAACACACATTTTGTATCCAATTTTGATGAATCAAAATTCTTTATCATCATCAAACACTCATACACACACACACACAGTACACAGTGTATCGACGTCATTTCCAGAAAATTTTTATTTACAAATGATTTGAACAACGACAATAGAGAGACGGAAAAAAAATCCTGTCAACAATCAAATTGCTTAAATATACTGAAATTCAAAAACAATATAGCAACAGCGTGGTTCTTTATGGTGGGATATCAAGAAGATATGGTTCCAGAAAAAAATAAATTCTCATTGCCATTATTCATTTCTATATAGTGAATTTCAAGAATTCAATGAAATATTCACTTCAGCAACAACACTTGATGCTCATGCTCTTCTCAATTTTTTTTTAAACGAAACTCAATCCATATCAAGATTGTCCTCCATCTTTATTTCGAGTTGTTGTGTATGTATGTATGAGTGTTCTCAGTTTCAACTTGGATTCTTGAATTCTTTTGAAATGAAAATGTCATAAGTACAATCGTATAATCGTTCAAAAGAATCTCGTTCTTTTTTATATTAAAAAAAATTTAAACGAAAAAAAATTGAAATTTAATCAAAGTTATTGTGTGTGTGTGTGTGTGTGATAAACACCTACCAGTTTTCAACGTGATTTAATCCAATTTATGTATTTAATTCAAAAACATTCAAGAATATATCGAAAATGGCATTCCATTCATCATTAGTATTCTTCAGTATTATTGTTTTGATATCATTATCATGGAATCTGGTTACAGCACGACAACATCTAGAAAAAGAAAATGAATATGCTGAAAATAGTAAATATTTTCCAATGTTAATGCCAGATGTACGACCTATGCAACCAGAAACCTACCTTTGTACGGCATTTAGAATGCCACGTTATGAACATGAATTTATTGTTGAATATTTGCCGAATGCAACTAAACAAACAGCACATCATATATTGATATATGGTTGTCAAATACCCGGTTATTATGAACGTGATACACCACGTGCTGTTTGGGATTGTGGTGAAATGACATTTGCTAATAATCATCTTGATGATGATGATGATGATCAATCAATTGATCCATCGGAAAGGGAATTTTTTCCACGTGGACCAGTCTGTAAAGGACAATCACAAATTGTCTATAGTTGGGCTATGGATGCACCGGCATTAAAACTGCCAAAAGGTGTTGGATTCAAAGTTGGTTATGGATCAGATATCAATTATCTCGTATTACAGGTTCATTATGCACATGTTCATCGTTTTCGAAGTAAGTTCATCTGTATATGAAACATTTTTGATAATATTTTTCATTTAAAAATCAGATGGTGATACCGATCATTCAGGAATAACGTTACGAATGTTACCACAGGAAACACAACAGTAATTGATGAAATTTAAAAAATGATGATGTTCATTTCATTTCATTTTATTTTCAAACTTTAGAATCGATAAATTGGCCGGTGTTTTGTTATTGGCTACCGGTGGTGTGATTCAACCACATTCACTTGGTAAATAAAAATAAAAATTGATCATCATTTTTCGAATCAACTTTTTTTTGTTTACCAATTTTTCTAGACTATTTTGACAGTGCATGTCAAATGCGTGAAAATATTATTATACATCCGTTTGCATTTCGAACACATACACATAAATTAGGTAAAGTGGTCACTGGTTATCGTATCGATCGTAATAATCGTTGGCAATTGATTGGTAAAGGCAATCCCCAGTTGCCACAAATGTTTTATCCAATTCATGAAACAATTTCTATACACCCTGGTGATATGGTTGTTGCACGTTGTACGATGTATAATAATCAATCACATCCAGTACAAATTGGTTCCACAGGTGATGATGAAATGTGTAATTTTTATATCATGTATTATGTTGAACGTATGGATCATAATCTTAAGAAGAAAATTTGTTTCACCGCTGGACCACCAAATTTTTATTGGGATAATGTTTTTCGTGTATCAAAACAGATTACAGAAGAAACGAATAAATTTCCATGAATAAACGAAAATTGATTCAATCAATCAATTAATCAATCAATCTGGTCAAAACAGTGAACAAAAAGAATTTCAAATCCAAAACAACAACCAAAATAGAAAAAATACAAAAATTTTTCATTTATCTATAAATTATTGTTATCGCTTATTATTATGATGATGATCAATGATGGTGAAAATGATAAATTACAACCACAAACACAAACACACCCCTCACATACAAGAAAAAAAAGGTTATTTTGATTTATATTAAAAAAATCAATTTTTAAATGAAAAGAAAATCTAAGAAAATCATTCGATTCAATATATTCGATTAATTGGCCCGTAAACGTTTGGTTGATGGTGGTTCCATTTCCAGTTCTGATTGTTGTTGTTGTTGTTGTCTATCATCATTATCCATTAAACATTCGATTTCATCATCATCATCATCATCATCATCATCTATTAAATCGATAGTTGACATTTTTTGCTGTTGTTCATCCAATGATGATGATGATGATGATTCGATTGTTTTTCGTTTCAATTTTGTTATTCGATTTTCTTCTTCATCAACACCATCAATGATTGTTTCAATATCATTTTGTCCATTTTGTTGATTATTATCAGCTGTTTTTTGTTGTTGTTGCTGTTGTTCTTGATGAATTTTATTCAATTCATTTTCATCTAACAATACACGAAATAAATCACCATTTAATTGTTCTTCTTCATCCAATGTAAATTGTACATTTCGTAGCCGTATGTTTACTTGGAAATCTTGTTCTAAATCTTGAATATTCAAACAAATATTATCATAAAAATATCCTAATGATTCCAATGTTGTCGAACGATAAAATGATGTTGATTCTTTCAATTCATCTTCATCATCAGCAGCATAGATCATTTTCTTTAAATCATAACAATTAATATCCGGGGCAACGGTTTTAAATTTTTTCATTACTAATTGTTCAATCAAATCAGCTAATGTAATTTTTGCAAATGATAATTCTACGATTACTTCACGAACTTTTCCAGAACAAGCCAGACAATTGGTAATTGGTGGTAATAATTCTTCAATAGCTGTTTTGCTTAAATTTGGTAGATTTTTATTCGAAATAAACACGGAAAAACAATTTGTCATAATACTAGTGGATTCTTTAGCCAATTCCATTTCGGTTGGTTTCCATTCTGATTCTTTGAAAATTCTTTGCGGTAATAATGATTGCAACAGGCGAATTGATTCAAGCAATACATAACCACCACCAACAATTGCATTTGTTGTCGATATAGCCGGTATAATATTACCAGCTAATGATTTGACTTCAAATTTTGATTTTCTTGCTATATAAAAACAATAACAACGAAAATTTGAAACCGATGTTACAAAATCGACAGCAATATCATCATCTTTATCCCATTCAAGGCAACCACCACCACCACCACCACCATTACATTGTTTTAACCGATCTTTTAGCTTTGAAAGACTTTCAATAAATATATCTAAACATTCATTCATTGTCCATAAACGTTGATCATTGATTATTTTCGATGATGATGATGTCGTTTGACCATTACCATTTGATTCTTTATCTTGCTGCGACAATTGTTGTTGATCTTCAAAACGAATCTTTCCATTAATAATTTGATCATATGACAATTCTTGTGGTTCATGACGATTTTTACGATTTTCCCATAAATTTTTCATTCCTTTCAGGTAACGAATATCATGATAAAAGATTTTATTAAATAAACATTTTGGATCATAATCATTGGATTCAACAAATTGTCTTGTAGTTTGATGATTCATGTTTAATTGTTGTTGTTCATTATTATCATTTTGATCGTCGTCATCATTTGTAATGACCGTTGCATCTGGACTAATATCTTCATCACTTTGTCCAAATAATTGTGCAAATAAATGCTTGGCCCATACAATACAATGTATTGGTAATGATGGTGTATTACGAATCGTACATGATGCATAGGAATTTTCATCTTTTTTTGGCGGTATACATTCAAAACATTTCGTTACGCCACCTTTGATCAACGTAACATTGCCAAAATAACCAGCCGAACCAGATTCAATTAATGGACGATCGGCAGCTAAACAAAGACGATTCACATGTACACGTGTTGTATTATTATCCAATGCATTTATAATGAATGTGAATTGTTGATAAAATTGTCGATCATATTTAAGATTCAATATTGAATCATGAATTGGTTCAATTATCGATAATGGTTTTTTGGTCAATGGATCATGATGTGCAAAACGTTCGATAGAAATTTCAGCTGCAACAACTGCTTTAGATTTACCAACATGTGTTTTATTATACAGAAATTGTCGATTCAAATTCGATACATCAATTGTATCTAAATCAATAATTGTAATACGTGGAAATCCACTTAATATAAGACCTTTTAATACTTCACAACCAATACCACCGGCACCAACTAATAATATATTTGATGATTTAATTCGTCGAACTATATCTTTATCACCAAATGTTAATTGAAGAATTTGTTCACTATTCAACAATATTGATGATGTTGACATTTTGTTCGATTATTCGATTTAGTGTTGGAAATATATTTAATCAAAACGAATAAAATCCTTACAGCTGTAGAAACAAATAATGATTCAAGATACATAAGACAGATGATGATGATTATGATGACGATGATGGTGATAATTAATGGTCATGAATGGTCGTGTTATGTTATAATCATCAAATAATTTTCGCCGCAGCTCCATTGATCACAAAAGACAATGAAAAAAAAATTGTGTAAAAAGCATTGTAAAAAAAATAGAGCCTAAATTCAAGATGTTGCTCATAGATGACGAACATATTTATCGTGTTTTCGCAGTTTGAAATTGTTTTTTTTTCATTCAACAATATCCAATCATTGTAACATTCATAAACCCTATTCACTTTTTGAATTTGTAAAATTTGATTTTGAACATATGAAAATAGGGTAATGCATAATTTGTGTTCCATTATTTCTACGAACACACACACACAAAGTATTCTTTTTCATTTGTTTATTCTGTTTTGATTGAAATTTATCTAACAAAATTCATTCGATCAATTAACATCAAAGATGTCTGATCAAGATGATTTCATGTGTGATAATAGCGATGATAGCTATGATTTGGTATGTTTATTTTCTTTTGTCAATTTGTTTACATGACATATATGATTTCATCATTGAAATATATAGGAATATTCTGAAGATTCCAATTCTGAACCCGATGTTGATTTAGAGAATCAATATTATAATTCTAAAGCATTAAAAGATACACCGGAAAAAGCATTGGAAAGTTTTCAACAAGTATTGGATCTGGAAAATGGTGAAAAAGGTGAATGGGGATTTAAAGCATTGAAGCAGATGATTAAAATTAATTTTCGACTCGTAAGTTTTATTTTTGATTCATTCATTCAATAATTCATTGAATAACTTGCAGGGCAACTATGAAGAAATGATGCGACGTTATAAAATGTTATTAACATATATAAAAAATGCTGTCACTCGTAATTATTCGGAAAAATCAATCAATTCAATATTGGATTATATATCGACATCAAAACAGATGGTTCTGTTGCAGAATTTCTATGAAACAACATTGGATGCATTGAAAGATGCTAAAAATGATCGTCTTTGGTTCAAAACGAATATAAAGCTTGGAAAATTATATTATGAATGTAAAGATTTTAAGAAATTGTCTAAAATTCTTAAACAACTACATCAATCATGTCAAAATGATGATGGTAGTGATGATCTGAAAAAAGGTACACAACTATTGGAGATTTATGCATTGGAAATTCAAATGTATACGGAACAGAAGAATAATAAAAAATTAAAGGTAAAAACAAAATCATGGTGGTTTTTGAATCAAAAATTTTTTTTTTTCATTTCCAATAGAAACTTTATGAAAAATCATTATGCATCAAATCGGCCATTCCACATCCACTGATAATGGGTGTGATTCGTGAATGTGGCGGTAAAATGCATCTACGTGAAGATGAATACGATAAAGCACATACGGATTTTTTCGAAGCATTCAAAAACTATGACGAATCCGGCTCGCCAAGACGAACGACTTGTCTTAAATATTTAGTTCTAGCCAATATGTTAATGAAATCCGATATAAATCCATTTGATTCTCAAGAAGCTAAACCATATAAAAATGATTCAGAAATATTGGCAATGACCAATTTGGTGAATGCATATCAAAATAATGATATACATGAATTTGAAAAAATTATTCGTCAAAATCGTCGTACCATAATGGATGATCCATTCATCAAAGAACATATTGAAGATTTAATGTGTAATATTCGTACACAAGTATTGATCAAATTGATTAAACCTTATACACGTATACAAATACCATTCATAGCGAAAGAACTGAATATTGATGTTTCGGATGTTGAAAGTTTACTTGTATCCTGTATATTGGATAAGTAAGTTTTTTTTTTTTTCAAAAAAAAAAAAAATTCCATTCAATTAATTACCATTTTTTACCATCATCACCACACAGTGTGATCAAAGGACGTATCGACCAGGTGAATCAGGTGCTTGTATTGGAAAATTGTCGCCAAGAAGATCAAACACGTTATCAGGCATTGGAAAAATGGGCTAATCGTTTATCGAATCTACAACAGGCAATTGTATTTAAAGTTTAACAAATGATAATGACCACCACCAATCACAAACATGAAAAATAAAATTGAAAAATATTTTTTTATTTTAATTATCATGATTATTATATTATTTTATTACTAATGATGATGATGTGAACGCATTGATGATCGTAATGAACGACTAGTCGATTCGGCCATTGCATATTCACGTACAATCCATGGATGATTGGTTATGTTAATCATACGTATTCGACGATTTGAATCTGGATTAAGCATAGAACGTACAAGTTGTTTATATTCATTTGATGGCTGTTGTCGTGTTTTACGAAATGCCGATTCCCATGCTATTTTTTTATCCATCATTGATTGTATAATAAATTCTTGTGGTTGATGAAAATTAAATGGTAATTCCATTGATAACATTTGAAATAATGTAATGCCCAGTGCCCAAACATCGGCCGCAAATGGATTATATGGTTTTGATTGTAATAATTCGGGGGCCATAAAACCGGTGTACCACAAATAGACATTGCTAATTGTTGTTGATCAGTAACGACTTTACTTAGACCAAAATCTGTAACAACTAGTAGATAATCACCAGAAATAGAATTACGATTTGAACAAAGAAGAACATTTTGTGGTTTAATATCACGATGTGCAATGCCAACGGAATGCATGTGATTGATACCGCAAAGAATTTGTGCAAAATATAAACGACATTTTTCTTCCGTAATAAGTGTATTACGATTTCGAATGAATTTATATAAATTTCCACCATCAGCTAATGCCATAAATATGTACATTCGATTAAAACCATTACCTTGTACAACAAAATGACAATAAACTTTTATCACATATGGATGTCGTACACGTTCAATAGTTAATAGTTCGTTTTTATTTTCTTCAAACACATTACGATGAAATGTTCGATCCATTTCAATTTGTTTACATGCCACTTTCATTTCTTTTCTTAGATCATGTGCAATGTAAACAACACCATAAGCACCACGATCTAATTCACGAATTAATTCATAACCAAATGATCGTAATACATCTTCTGGACGACGATATGGACCAAATGGTATCTCATAGAAACGTGTTACATTACGATGTACTAATTTTGGTCTTCGTAGATTTGGTTTTTGTTCTTGTTGTTGTTGCTGTTCACGATCATGTTTTGTAGATGATGGTCGTCGTTTTGGATTTGTTTTCGATGAACTATGTGTTTCTTTTGATGACGACGACGACGACGACGATGATGATGACGATGATGAAAATGCCGGTGATGATGATAATTGTGTTAAAGAATCTAGTGTTGATTCCATTGCACCCATCAGGATCATAGGCAGCCGTCATAAATTTGAAAACTTCAGCAAATTTTCACAATGATTTTAACCATTGTTTTTAATATTAAATGTCGCGGTATTGTTTCGCAAAAAAAAATTCGAATATTTTCAATGGTCAGAATACGTTGTTTTCGAAAGGGACACAGCCAAAGAAAGATTTTTGTTTGATTTATTTTTTCTTTCTTTTGATTCAATTAAAAAGAAAAATGAAACGACAAAAAAATTCCATCCAAAATCGACCAAGTTGTTCACGATCGGAACAACAAATTGATGATGAACAATTCGAAGAAGATCGTAGACGTATACAAACGAATATTCGTGATAAATTCAAAGATGAAACAATGATTGGTAAGAATATTAAATTCAGACTAAAATCGAGACTATTGAATTGATTTTTCTTTTTTTTCAAATCTTAGTAGTTAAATCAATTGATGATTTTTCTACTGTCGATAAGGCATATGAATATATTCGACAATTATGTCTACAATCATGGTTGATAAAACAACGATCATTACCACCAATAGTTTGGCGTCATCAATTATATTCATTATTCGAGGATTCATCTAAAGTTGATGTTGCATTAGAAACATTGATTGATGAGGATCAAATTCGAATAATTTGTCATGGAGAATCATCACGTGAAAACGATGCAATCATAAGAATTGATGATTTTATCCGTTATTATCAAAAGGATTCCGGATCAAAAAATTTATTCATTGAATTATTCATGACAAAAATTGTACGACGTATAAAACATACTGAATATAGTGATAAACAATTGAATGATGCTGGATTTCTTTCCGAAGCTCTTTCAAAATTATCATCATTAGGTATGCTCACTAAAAATGATCTAGATCATCGCCAATTATCATTTGCTGGCATCGGTATTATGGTTCAAACATTGAATAATGGCCGCGAACAATTGGTTAGAATTTTGAAAAAATCCAAATATTCACAATTATTACAAAGTGAATTGATCAAAAGATATGAATGTCAACAACAACAACAACGAAATCTTAAAGAATTAAATCAATTTGGTCTAGAATTTCATCTATATGATCTTTATGGACGGAATAGTCTTGTCCACCGACAGTCGCAAACAAATTTACCCGGTGATTCAATGATTCAGCTAATAATTCGATAATAAATTAAATTTGATTATCGAAATGAATAAATATATTCATTAGCAGTGGAAATTTTGGAAAAAAAATTCCGTTTTTTTTTCTTCTTCGTCGTCGTCATTCTCAACCGCGCAACAACCACAAACGAAATGCAATACATTTCCATTATGATCAGTTATGTTATGGGAATAATAATGATAATTTATCCAGAAATTAGCCATCAAAATGAAGCCGAAACATTAGAAGATTTTCTACATTCACATGGTATTTATAAAGATGATAATATTGGTTATCAAAAATTTGGCCTACACACATGGTATCATTCATTGGTGGATGTGAAAAAACATGACCATATAAAATGTGGTTATGATAAGAATTTGTTTGAAAATACCGTATCTATAGCTGTTATTATGAATCGTATATATCAATTTACCACCAGTACATATGGTAAAAAATTAACAGAAAGTAGAGATCCAACATATGTTGATGTTATAATCTATGATCAAGCACGTTATCGTTATTCGAATGAAAAAAATCATTTACATCTTTATGATGGCTATAAACTTGGTGTTAATCAAATTATCACCGATTATGATTATATGGGCAATTTTCAAAAACGTTTAACAGATTTATATTGGGGCTATCCACAGACACGTAAACAGCGGCTAACCACATCGTTAATATGGCAAAGATATAAAGGTTTCAATTTTTTTAGCCGTCTTTTGTTATGCTGTAATCGTTTCTGGTTGGTGGGCGAATTTCCATCATCCAATGATGGTAATGCAATGGACAGTGACAATGATCTACATTATTATGATTATCATTCATTAAGATCAACACAAAGCTATCATATGGTGGTCATTTCATATGGTGATCAAGTTTTAAATATGATTCATGAACAAAATACTGATGTTATTAAAATCATTGATTTCAATATGACAACACATTTATCAACATTATGTTATGGTGTACATTCAACACAAATGTTACGTATGATAAGTGAAACAAATAATTGTCAATATTTAGAACCATTCGAAGTGATGTCCAAATCATTGATCAGTTTAATTCGTTCATTTCAATATGGTTTCATTGTGTTAACGAAATTAATATTGGTATCACGTGAACAGAATACCGTATTGATTGTTGATCGTAATTTATTGCGTATGATTGGCAAAGAATTTCCATTTCAATTGAAAAATGCAAAAGATTTTTTTAATTGTGAACAATAAAATTTTTAAAAATGAAAAAAAAAAAAAATTAATTATTAAATTTTTAAATTTAATATAATCAAACATAATAATCCAGAACACATAATGATTGAATGGGTTTTGTTCCATTTTTTTTCATTTCCATATAAATTAAATGTTTTTTGAATTCTATTGGAAATTTTAGTTTTCGTGATTTATTATTATTTTTTTTTTCTGATTTTTGGTCATTTCTGCTTGTTTTTTTTTCTTCATCGCTGCACCATTTATATATAATTATCGAATAATGATGAAATCATCATATTTGTTGTTGATGGTATTATCATTATCATCATCAATTATTATAACGATTGTCGATTCAGATACTATTATTACTACTACTACTACTACTACTAGTACCGGTACGGGTATAAAAAACAAATTTCATAATGATGATAATAATGATGATGATGAACAGCATCCATCAAGACAAATTCTTCATAATCTATTACATGGTAGAGATGAAAATTTTGGTAAATTAATCAAATGGAATATACCGATGTCTGTGTTGAAAGAATCCACACAAATTGATTGTGGCGCCACTAAAGATCTATTGGAAGAAAATACAATAGCAATTTCAATTTGTGATAATCATATATTTCAATTTCATCGAGATTTCAAAGTAACCATTTATCCACAATCACGGCAAAAATATTCACTACATCCGGATCGTTTACATTTAATCGATGGTTATCAAGTGGATTTAGAACGTATTGCATCAGAAATGGTCAAAAATGGTGGTTTTCGTGAACGATCACAATTTATTATGAATTATTTGCCTACAAATGGATCACGATTATGGATGTCATTAACACGTCCGGCACATGGTTTCGAATGGCGTGCACGTATTATGGTTGCCGATTATCAATCATGGATGTGTTCACAACATGCTAACCACATTGAAACTGGACCAGAATTTCGTTTTGAATATGAAATGAATGATCAACGTATTCGTACTATACCAATATCGGCTGGTACACGTTTCTTTCAAATTGCACATAGAATCGATCAAAATGATTTTTTAATCTATGCCGATGATATGTACATGGACAATGTATTCTTTGGAAAACTATGTTTAGGCTATAAAAAAGAGAATTCATTACGTTTAAGTGGCAAAAATGATTGTGAATATGGTGATGAAAATGATGGTAAAAAAAATGCATTGGTTCATTTATTGGAAACAGTTCAATATGGTTTCACGACATTCACACAATTGGCATTGATTTCACCGACAAAAGAAATGGCCATTCTGATTAATCGTAGAGTTTTAACAAATTTTGAACATGATTATACATATCATACACATAAATTGATAGATTTTTTTGTTTGCGATAAAAATCCTAATATTAAACGTTTGGATGAACCAATGAAAGATGATGATGATAAAAGACGTAAAAAACGTATGGTTATGAGAAGATATTGAGCAGAACAAAAAAACAAATGATGAAAAACAGCAGCAACAAGTGAATGATTTTGATTTAATTTTGATTTGTTTGTTTGTTTGATTATTTATTGCAATTGTTATTGTTGCTGTGTTGTTATTTTCAAATTAAATGATGATGATGTACATTTTTTTTTGTTATTTAAATTTATTTCTGAATTTTTTTTTAAAAAAATTTTGTTGATAAAATGCCATTTTACCATGAAAAAATAATAATGACGATAATGATGATAATTTCATTTGTAAATGGCAATGTTTATTGGTCATGTTCATGGGAAAAACATCAATATTGGAAAAGTGGCGGCAGTAGTAATAGTAAAAGTGATGATGGTGATGACAACAACATACGATTAACATTCGATAAAGATCTAGTATCGATATCATCGATTAATAATAAACGATGGTATCTATTTGATTCTTTTGCACATGTAACAATATTCGATGAAATGGCTGGTGTACATTATTATGATGATGATGGTGATGATTCTTTGAATCAATTTAATTTCCGTTCTACTAGATATAATGGCGAACGAAAACCATTCTATTCATTAGCACTAACAGAATCATCATCAGATGATGGTGAATTTCATGTTGAATTGAATGAAAAACAATTGAATCAGATAAAATATACTGGTGGTGATTCATTATTATTTCCCAATGATGATAATCATCATCATCATCGTGATCGAAAAAAACAAAATTTAAAAATTTGGCCACCAAAACTTTCTGTGCAAACATTTATAAATCATGAAAAAATATTTCATTTTCATCTAAGAATTTATGATTATTTCATCGTAATCGGACAACGAACCAAATATCATCACCATCATGGTGGACAAAAACAACAATCGGACATTGTATATGAAGAACCAATGAATGGTGAAAGTTTTATATGGATTTCCGATCAACAACAAAATCATTTGTATTGGATTCGAAAATTTGAATCAACAGTCATTTCATCATCATCATATGATAATTTTCAGCTATTTCATACACGTGATAAATTTCCACCTAATGGTGGTGGCCAATATCTTGGTTCATTATGTGTTCAAACAAACGGATCACATCAAATAAATCGTCTGATAACAGGTGAATGTAGTGGTCCATTGAAAACTCATCGGCTATTGATGGCATTGGATTTTGGTTTCATTCATCGTGGTTCATTATATCTAATTTCGAATAGAAAATTTTTCATTTTAAAAATGGATAAATCAATATTAACCGATCGACATCAAGTCCATTATCAATTGCTGTCATGGACATCGTTTTTCCAATGTCCATTGCCGCCATTATATCGACATTTTTCACCATTATTTTTTGCAATAATCATCATTGAATTTCTATTATTTATGATGCTATTCGGATGTATTTTACTAATGATTTACAAGAAATTTGTGCGAAAAAATTCACATACAAGACAGAAACGAAAAAAATTCCAATACCAATCAATGTTATCACCATCCACCACTGTAATCATGACGAAAAAGCAGATTAATAATCCATGGAAAATGATGAACAAAAGATTACCATCACCGGTGATTGTGAAAATAACGAAACAACAACAGAAACAGAAACCCACCACAGAACAGATGAAATTCGAAATTTTAATCAATCAATCAAAAACAACAATAATAGCAGAAAATTTAATTCAATCTGAAAATTCTTTTTTTGTTTCGTTTTTGCATTCGCGGCTACAAAATTCCAATCAAATTCAATTCGAGTATTTTTTTTCGTCTTCAAAGTATTGTCTATGTGTACGTTCGATTTTATCGATGGCCATAATAACCAATAATGATACAACGTCCATCATCACCATAGATAATATGATTGATTCATCGTTGAAAACAACAATCGAATCATCATCATCATCATCATCATCATCACCATCATCGATATATCGAAAATTTACGGCAATCGTTTTATTCACATTGTTTACATTAATATTAACCGGTTACCATATTCTATCTAGATGGTTAATGTCCAGATCTGTGGTTGTTGTTGATAAAAAACGACGACGACGACGACGATGCCGAAGACGACATAAAACACGACGGAAAAGACGTAGTAATCATCATCCACTATCATCATCAAAGTCTAAACGAATTCTACTGTCGTCGAAGACATTTAAATCTAGTTCATCATCGATTGCTGTCACTACTAAAATTGGCAAGGTATAGTGGTGGTGGTGGTGGTACACAAAGCTTCAATCATTATACAATGGAAAAAAAGTTATTTGCGAATTATAAATTGGATCTGGAAAAATTTTCATCAAAAAAAAAGAAGAGAAAATTCAATGGAAACAGACAGTTCACCCAAGGGAAAGTGAGAGAAATATTTGACTATAGTAGACTACTATCATCATCAACCGTTGTGTATATATTGGTTGGACAAAAAAAAACATATCATAAAAAATTCAAGGTCAACAAAGCTGTATCGTTGACATAATAATTTTTTTTGTTTATACGGCCAGAAAATGAGACAAAGTCAATAAAAGGAAAAGAAACAGACAAAGAAGCCTACCACCTACCCACCTATAATAACCTAATCAGTGTAACATCAACATCAACCACCCACCTACGCAGGTCTGAATTTTTATTCATCCATTAACATTGAAAAAAAAACATACTGGATACCGGAAATTGAATTAAAATCTTGAATTTTCCGCCAATGAAAAAAAAATTGGGAAATTCATTCAACACAGGAAAAGAGAATTGATCCATGAAAAATTATCAAATTGATTGTGGTGAGTAAATTTTATTTTGTTTGTTTGTTTTGTGTATGCAACACACTCTATTATTAATTTACTATATCATCAATCCCCCCATATATGAAAATCAATCGATCGACGATAAATAGTGAATGTAAATTTTGCGTGTGATGCCATTCAAATTCAAATTTCAATTCACCGACAAATTGAATTGTGTTTCATCTTTCTTTTTCTATTCAAAAATCAAAAAGAAAAAAAAATTCGGGTTCTAGGCACGATTATATAATGATGATCGACAACAGAATCCTGGATCACAAATTTTTTTTCTTTTATTCATCGATTCTCTTCTGGTATTTTTGTTGTTGTTGTTATTGAACAAGAAAGAGAGAGAAAAAAATGAGAAAATTTCATTTTATGGCTTCGAGGATGATGGAAGATGATGTGTTGTCGTCGTCGTCGCCGTGCCCACCGTTTTTTAATACATGAAAATCTTTGGATCAAAAGAAAAAAAAATTTTTTTTTGTTTCGGGATTCCCGAATTCTCTCAATGTTTGATATAAACACACAATTATGATGATGTATTAATATAGTGTTTGTCGCATTCTTAACAATTCTGGATATTCTGGATTGTGCGCAAATAAAATAGCCATAATAACAACAACAACACGGATGATCCAATCATGAATAACAACAACAACAAACCGAATCCTGATTCTGGAACGCTCAAAACTTTTTTTTTTTGAAGATCCAAGTTGGAACTTTTTCTCTTTCTCTCGTTCTCGTTTCGTCCACTTCTCTTTTCATTCACAGAAATAGAGAAATTTTGAAGACGAAAATTCAAATGTTCAAATTCTTTGCCCTGTGTGTGTGGTAGTGGCATATTTTTTCCCGTTCCATTTGGAACCACAACCACACCACCAACACACATTCTATTATTCTTGTTATGGTTTTTTCTTTCTGGTTGTTGTTATTATTAACGTTTTTTTTTTTTTTTTTTTTATTTATTTATTTTCTCGTTCATTCCAGATCGTTTGGTATACTTGCATTCTGTGTGTGTGTGTTGTCTATTTAATTTTGATAATTTACGTATTTCGGATATATCTGGTGGATCTCTTTTCTTCTACTGAATTTAAATGATGATGAAATTTTGGAAATTTATGATCCAGAAATAAGTTTATATATGTGTGTGTGTGTGTGTTTTTGTTGGATGTCAAATGTATGATGAAATAATTTTCTGAACGACTGGAAAAAAAAGAAACGACGACGACGACAACGACGATTATTTTTCATACAATGTGCAACAACCACGACAAAAAAATGAATCTCACATCATTGTGATAATATCAAGAAAAATTTTTCTTTTGCTTTTTGCAATATCGTGTGTGTGTGTGTGTGTGTGGATTTATTCAGTGTGTCTACAACAACAACAACATATCGAAACCGATTCCAGTTTATATATTCATTCACATAATTTGTTTCTCGTGATTTCATACCAAAAAAAAAAAATTTTCATTTTGAATAATAATAATGTCATCTGTAAAAGTAGCCGTACGTGTACGGCCATTTAATAAACGTGAAATTGGATATGGATGTAAAAATATCATTTCAATGTCTGCTAAAACGACAAGTAAGTGTTTGCTGTTTTTGGTAAATTTAATTTTAATTAATTTTTTTCACACACACACACATATATATAGCAATATTGAATCCAAAAATTGAAAATCAATTGAAAACATTTACATATGATTATTCATATTGGTCACATGAACCGAATGATCCGAATTTTATTGATCAATGGAAAGTATATAAAGATATTGGTGAAGAAATGTTACAGCATGCATTTGAAGGTTATAATGTTTGTATATTTGCATATGGACAAACCGGTGCCGGTAAATCATATACAATGATGGGTGCACGTGATGAAGAAGGTATTATACCACATCTTTGTCGTGATCTATTTGATCGTATCACTAGCGATGATCAACAAGATGATGATGATGATGAGAATGAAACAATGTATTCAGTTGAAGTATCCTATATGGAAATCTATTGTGAACGTGTACGTGATTTATTGAATCCAAAAAATAAAGGACCATTACGTGTTCGTGAACATCCAGTGCTTGGACCATATGTTGAAGATTTAAGTAAATTGGCCGTTACATCATATGAAGATATACATGAAATTATTGATGAAGGAAATAAAGCACGTACAGTTGCGGCTACAAATATGAATGAAACATCATCAAGATCGCATGCTGTATTCACAATAATATTGACGCAAATGAAACAAGATCAAATGACTGGATTATGTTCGGAGAAAGTATCGAAAATATCATTAGTTGATTTAGCCGGTTCAGAACGTGCTGATTCAACCGGTGCACAAGGTACACGGCTAAAAGAAGGTGCCAATATAAATAAATCATTGACAACATTGGGTAAAGTTATCTCCGCTTTAGCTGAATTGGTAATTATTATTAAAAAGATTTTTTTGTATAAATTTTCTTCATTTGACCATTTTTTTCCATTTGATAGTCATCACAAGATCCAGCCAAGAAAAAGAAATCAAAGAAAACCGATTTTATACCATATCGTGATTCCGTTCTTACATGGTTATTACGTGAAAATCTAGGCGGTAATTCAAAAACGGCAATGATTGCTGCCATATCACCAGCTGATATTAATTATGAAGAAACATTATCAACATTACGTTATGCAGATCGTGCTAAACAAATAATGTGTGCGGCCATTATAAATGAAGATGCAAATGCAAAACTGATACGTGAACTTCGTGATGAAATTGCTCGGCTTAAAAATATCTTACGAGCTGAAGGTATTGAATTGGAAAAATCAATGATCATGATCACCAGCGATGATAATCAACAACATCATCATAATCTTCAAAAACAACAACAACTACTACAACTACAACAACACGATGATAATAATCAAGCTGATGATCGAATTAATAATAATGATATCTTTGATAATAATGATCATCATCAAACAACTACTGTTGATCATCAAATTGATAATCATCATGGTCATCCAAAATTGACACGTGGTTCAATGTCGGTAACCGGTGAAAATGTGATTGAACAATTACATGAAACAGAAAAACTCATGTCTGAATTGAATGCAACATGGGAAGAAAAATTGAAACGTACCGAAGAGATTCGTGCACAACGTGAAGCTGTATTGGCTGAAATGGGTGTTGCAAGACGTGCTGATGGTGATGCTGTTGGCGTTTTCTCACCAATCAATACACCACATCTTTTGAATCTAAATGAAGATCCATTAATGTCTGAATGTTTGCTGTATTATCTGAAAGATGGTGAAACACGTGTTGGACAAGATGGTGCACGTATTGCTCAGGATATTCGTTTGTCTGGAACAAATATTCTTGTTGAACATTGTATATTTGAAAATCGAAATGGTACAGTAACATTGATTCCATGTTCAACAGAAGCTCTATGTTTTGTTAATGGTCGAAGAGTAGAAACCGATCAAGAATTACGTACTGGTGCACGAGTTATCCTGGGAAAATATCATGTCTTCCGTTTTCAACATCCAGGTCAAGTTCGTGAATCTAGATCAAAAGATCCAATACAAGACAACAATTTGATAACAACAACATATAGTAAGCAGCAGCAGCAACAACAACAACAACAGCAAGCTGTAGATTGGACATTTGCACAAATGGAATTGCTAGAAAAACAAGGTATTGATTTGAAATTAGAAATGGAAAAAAATTATTACAACTTGAAGAACAATATCGACGTGAAAAAGCTGAAGCTGATTTAACATTTGAAGAAGCGAGAAAAAATTATGAACAAACAATTGAACGACTGCAGAAACAGGTGGATGAACAATCAATGACCATGTCACAAATGTTTTCATCAATGCATCATTCTGGACATTATCGATTCGGTGGTGATAATAGTAGCGTAAGCGGTTGCGATGATGATGATGAATGTTCTGAAGCTGAACATCGACGTCTATTTCCAGAATCGGATTCAATATTTTTCCAGATGGAATGTGAAACACCATTAACATGGTGGCAAGAATCTGTGGCCCGTAAAGCGTCATTAAAATGGCGTTTTCATCAATTCACATCATTACGTGATGATTTATGGGGCAATGCTATATTCTTGAAAGAAGCAAATGCAATGTCCGTAGAATTGAAAAAACGTGTTCAATTTCAATTTGTTATACTCACGGATACAATATATTCACCATTACATCCGGATTTATTGGCCGATTATCGTGATCAATTTCAAAATCAAAAAAGTTCCTTAGATCTGCACTCAGATTCTGGTGTGGCTATCACTGCAGCTACCACCACCACCACCACCACGTGTTCCACAACGAATGATAATCCATTTCCACGAACAATTGTTGCTGTTGAAGTGAAAGATCAAAAAAATGGTGCCACACATTATTGGTCATTGTGTAAATTAAGGTATGTGAAAATTGTGTGAAAAAAATAGAAGGATTTCTGATTTCTTTATCTTTTTTTTTCATAGAAAACGTTTAGAATTAATGCGTCAAGTATATGCAAAATATGCTGAAGAATATTCAGCAACAATTGCTGCCGCTTCTGCTAATGCAACTGTTTCTTCTTCATCTACCACAACTGGTAGTTTGCAACATTCATCGTTATCATCATCATCACATTTGAATGGAACGATACCATCAAATTCAACCAACAGTGGTGGTGGTACTGGTGTTACTATTTACCATGCAAACAGTATCAAAAATGGAACAGTAGAAACAGAAACAAGTGATCCATTTTATGATCGTTTTCCTTGGTTTCGTTTTATTGGTCGTGGCTTGATGTTTGTACAGAATCTATTAGAACAATGTTCAATTACACAATGTATATCGATTGCAAATGAAAAAGGTGATGTAATGGGCTATTTAAAAGTGTCCATACAACCGATAACAGGTAAAACAGATTTGTGTTTTTTGAATTTTGTTTCAAAATGATGAAATTTTTTTCCCTCATTCATTCCATTAGAAGAAGATTTAGCAACAGCAATCGATTCGGGTAAATCACCAAAAACACAACAACATGCTAGGATTGATTTCGTCGATGATGATGTACAATTGATGGAGATAATTGAACGTGGCCGATTACAACGACAATTATCGCGATTAATATCCAAAACAAATGAAAAAAATGCAAAATTATCATCATCATCATCATCAGGAGTTCATAAAGAAGAAGAAAAAGAAACGGAAGACGAAAACGATACGGATGGAAAAAACCTAAGAAATGATTCCATCATGATTCCTGTTCATTTAAAATTGAATGAAGATTTTATGTTTCGTGTTTCTATCATTCAACTTTATGGGCTATCCAAATCATATGCTGATGTTTTTTGTCAATTTAATTTTCGTCATCTTTCACAGGAAGCATTTTCAACGGAATCGGTAAAAAATACTGCAGGTAAAAATGGTCGTTCAGCTGGTTTTTATTGGTCACAAAACATATCGGTACGTGTAACACGTGCATTCATCGAATACCTGAGGCAAGAACCGATAATTTTCGAATTATATGGCCACTATCAACATCATCCATTACATCGGGAAGCAATATTTGGCGTTGATGCTGCTGGTAACGTCGGTAGTAATAATTGGCCATTTCGAAACAACAATACTGCTGGAAACAATAATCAAACATCTAGTATGAATCAAAATCAACTTGGGTTAGTGGTTCAAGTTCATCTAAATTTTGATTGATTTATTAAAATAATAATAATTTATCATGTATAGATTACCACGTCCACCACCTAAACGAATGCAATTAACATCATATCTACCAATGTCAACACCGATACGTTCACCACGATTTACACCTGGTTTGGTAAATGAATGGCAAATCATGGCTTCTCGGGTTACATCAGCATCTACGTCATTGGTACATTCAAAAGTTGATTTAATTGTTTGGATTGAAGTATGTGAACTGACACCAGATGGTCAATATCTACCGGTAGTTGTTGATCATAATGATGATACACCATGTCGTGGAACATTTCTACTACATCAAGGAATTCAACGACGTATTCGTGTTACTATTATGCATCATCCAGATTTTGATGTTCATTTTCGTGATCTTCGTGAACTGGTTATTGGTCGTGTTCGTACCCATTTGGATTGTTCAGATTTTGATGATGAAAATGATTCATCCGTTTTATCATTATCATTATTTTTTTCCGAACATTTGGAACAATTGGAAGATGGTCGTGTACGTTTTCGTTATGAGGCAGCATGGGATAGTTCACTGCATAATTCTTTACTGTTGAATCGTGTAACACCTGGTGGTGAACGTGTTTATCTTACAATGTCAGCATATTTGGATCTAGAACGTTGTAGTCAACCGGGAATTCTCACTAAAGATTTATGTGTCATGATTTATGGTCGTGATTCACGTACAATTCCATCATTATTAACCGGTGGTTCACATGGTTCCGGACTTTCGACACGTGTATTGAAAAATATACTAACCGGTTCCTATAAGAATGCTGAATTGAATCATATAATGGCTATATTTGAATTAGTATTACGACGATCATTAGAAGCTGGTTCACCAGGAGTACAACGTCGTCAACGACGTGTATTGGATACATCAACAATGTATGTACGTGGACAAGAAAATCTTGGTGGTTGGCAACCACGTGGTGATTCTTTGATTTTCGATCATCAATGGGAATTGGAAAAATTATATCGATTAGAAATGGTTGAACGTTGTCGTCATCGACTATTGATTCGTACAGCTAAATCAACGGCATTACAAAAATCATTTGATGAAGATGAATTAAATGATTTACCTGGTAAAACAATTCGTTCATCAATGACATCGGGTATGATGAGAACAAGTGCATCACGTTTAAGTTTAGCTGCATTGGCCAATTCAAATCTATCAGTTGCAAGTGGTAGTACAACTCAGGCTCTTATATCACCTGTAACAACTGCAGATGTTGGTTTATCATCGAATTCAGCTTTGACAGCTTCTACCCGCGCATCGTCAACAGCAGCAGCCATTCCACGGTCATCAACATTTTCAGCAGGAATCGAAACACTTTTGGAACGAGAAAAAGTTGAAGAATTTCGCACCGATAATGATCGCAACCTCGTGGCTAAATGTATTAAATTAATACAATTTCATATACCATCACAACCGGCACCAATATTTCAGACACCACCACCACCACCAGGTTCATCAACTAATCTATTACGGACACCAACCGAATATTTTCCCGGATCAAATGTATCAACACCAGATGGCGGTGGTGTTACACCTGACATATCAGGTTTAGCTGTTGAATCTTGGTTTGAACATGAAAAATTATCATTCACAGTTGCCGCCAATCATTCACAACATTATCATCATCAACAACAACAGCAGCAGCAGCAACAATCAACATCGATACATAGCCATAGTAATAGTCCAATGGGTGATATATCACCATCATCATCTTCGACTAATAATAATTTATTCGTACCGGAAATTGAAGAAGTTCGCGTCTCGTCTATTATATCGAAAAAAGGTTATATTAGCTGTTTGATGGCAAGTGAATATTCATCATCCACAACGAATCAACCACAACAACAACAACAACAGCCAACACAATGGCAAAAACAATGGATAGTTGTACGTAGGCCATACATGTTTATATATCGTGATGATAAAGATCCTGTTGAACGATCGGTTATAAATCTAACACAAGCACGTGTTGAATGTTCTGAACAGCAGCGACAAATGTTATGTGTTGAGAATGCATTCTCAGTAGTCACTCGTCATGCTGGTTATCTATTTCGTACAACAACAGCACGTGAAATGTATAATTGGCTTTATTCCATAAATCCACTTTATGCTGGACAATTAATGTGTGAATGGGCACGTGCACATCATGCCGCTACTACCACAAATAATTTGGAACAAAATTTTCAACTTGCAAATCCACCATCACCATCCACAACCAAACAACAGCAACAAAATGATAGTTCTGGATCGTTTAACGATAATTCAGAGAAAAGTCAACTTCAAAATTCATCATTATCAACGAAAGGTGTGGAAATTTATAAAAATTTTTGTTCAGAACAACAACAAGAATCGACAACCACAAATCAACAACAACAACAACAACATCATTGTAATATTAGTAGCCAATAATATAAAAAAACGATGAAAAAAAAACAGAAAACAATTCCAATTCTTTGTGAGTGAATTTTTTTTTGCAATTCTATATAATTATGAGATAAAATTCTATTGATATTTTTCCTTTTTTGAGAATCGCTGATTTTTTTGTTGGCCTTTATTTTTTTTTCATTTTAACTTTCTTTTTCGGTGACTGTTGCCATTTCATTTTCTTTCCACCTTGTTTTGATTGCATCGATGATACGGCTGATGATGGTATTCTTGATGATGATACACGTGATGATGCTGTTGATCCAACTTTTGATTTCCAGACTGATGATTGTGCTGATGATGCATTCGATAGTTTGGATCGACCAAATGTTGGTATACGATATTTTTTCTTTTTCGAATATTTTTTCTTTCGAAAAAATTTTCCTTTTGCGCCGGGAACATTTGATTTGGATTGAAATGATGATACACCGGATGAAGCGGCTGATGATACACTTGAGGATGCTGTCGATGATGATACACCACTACTTGCACGAGATGAAAATGAGCTACCAACATTTGACGATGCAGTTGATGATGAGAATGATGATCGCGATGATATTCCACTTGCCGATGATGATGATGACAATGATGACACTGATGACCATAATGAACCAAAACCAGGTTTTCCCGAACGTGCACGAATTTTACGTCTTGATACATATAATAAACATAATGCACCTATCAATATGACTAAAACAAAATTCAGGCTAACAATAATCAGCCATACGGTTGGCGTAAATAACCATGTATTACCACCACCACCGCCACCAGATTCCATGTTGTTCAAGAATTCGGCTGATTCAATATTTGGCCTAGCACCTTTTGGATATAATGTTGGATAAATAGCCGGTGATCTTGCCGCAGTACAAACAAATACTTCATCCAACGAGTATCGTTGATATGGATATTCCATATCGTATGATTTCAATACACCAATATCAATGACTATAACATATTGTTCTTCACTTGCAACAAGATAAAGATTTTTACGGGCAGTAAATCCAAAATTAAATTCTCTCATCATTTGTGATAATTGTGAACCAGTTTTACAAATATCTTTTGGTTTACGTTGATGAAAATATTGTTCACCGGTTTCACTTTCACAAAATGTACCTTTTGGTACGGATTTTTCGTTGATTTGTTGATGATAAACAAAAACTAGGTCTTCACCATTTGTTGGATCATTTCTTAGTACTAAAGCAAAATATTCCGTTTCCGCTGATATCGAAACAATGATTGAATAATTCGATAGAATTATATGCTGTGATTGTGGTACATCACTACTTGTTGCCGGTGGTTGTTTATCCCATTTCACAAACAGTAGATAAAAATAGCGTGAAAATCCCAGATATGAAAAGAATCCGGCACCATATGATGGATGTGTTATCATTGCCATCGTAACGCGCCAATCACGTTCATCTGGTACATTTTTCATTATAAAACGATAACGTCCAATATAATCCATATCTGCTGCGAGCATTTTTTCCCAATCTTCCATCAATTCATAACGTGTACCGATATCCAAAAAGAAACGTTGTTGATCATCATTATAATGGGCATCCAGATCTTCAAAAATTATTACACTCATGTCATATATGAATTGATAAAGACGATTATTCACCACGGCAAATGTTGATGTTTGGCCAATTGTCTGGGAATTTGCCGTACAATAAACACGTTGTACACCGGTACGATTTACCGTACTTGTTATGGGCATTATTTTCGGCATAAATGATGGATCACCTTTTTGTGCTTCTGTAGTCAAAGGATTCATTATCATCATCAACGTGATTATGATGATGTCCATTGTAAAAGTCGAAAACATTTTTTTTTAACTGAAAAAAATAAAAAATCTTTTAAAAAATTCGAATCAATCTATTAAAATTAATTGGGAAATTTTCCCAAAATTTTTTTGTTTTACAAACAAATCAATGGCTCAACTTTATATCGTCGCCACGGCAACAACAACAAAAAAAACCACACTTCCTGTTGATATAATTTTTTGTTTTGTTTTGTTTATGATAACAAATCAATCAATTGAACAAAAACAAAAACAATTGAAAAACATAATAGAATAATGATAGAGGTTAAGGTCATGATGACGGATATTGTGTGTGTGTGTGTGTGTGTGTGTTATGCGTTCGAATCTTTCGAGATTCGATTTATTATAATTATTTATATGAATGGTTCATATAAATAATTATCATCTTGATGATTATTATGATGATGATGATGATAAATTGAGGAAAAAAAATGAATGTGATATATAATTTTCTATTTAATTAATGTCAAAAACAATAATAAATACATTATAAATATAATGCGAAAAGATTTTTTTCCTTTTGTTGATTATTTTTTTTCACCGATTCAAAACAATGTTTCGTGTTTAAACATAATTAACCTTTATTATTTATCATTGTTTGTTTGTTTGTTTGTTTGATTTAATCCACAAATCCAAATTTGAAATTCAATTGCCTAATACCGGTCTATTCATCAGTTCGATGAATATGATTAATGAACCCTTTTTCAATGAATAATTTGACACGACTGGCTATGATTTAATTATTTTGATCAATTAAAAACAATAAACCTATCTCACTCTCTCTCTCTTTTTTTGGATTTAAAAAAACCACAAAATCTAATCTAAATCCTTGATGATGATTGTCAACATTCCAAGTGTGAGAAAAAAAGACCAAGTATAAATACTACCTGTTGATCGATTCATCAGATCAAACACATCAAGTGGTGAACACACATCGATCTTTTATTCATTCATTTTTTTTAATTCATATTTTCCATAATGTTCCAGGTAAGTGTGAATACTTTGAACACAAAATTTGACATTTTTAAATTTTGTTTTTCATCAGCTTGCAATCCTTTCCGCTATTCTTGGCATGTCAGCTGCCATTTCTTATGGTGGCGGCGGTGGTGGTGGTGGTTATTCCATTGGTTATATTTCTGGTAAAGGCGGAAGTGGTGGTGGTGGTGGTGGTGGTGGGTTTGGCGGTGGTGGTGGTGGTGGTGGTGGAATTATGGTACCAGCTGCAGTTATATCAAATCATCAAATTCGACAATTCGATGTACCAAGCTCGGGTTTTATTAATCCAACCACTATTGATGTGCCAGCTAATTTTATTCCAGTGAATTTTATTTTCCGTTCTGCATCTTCGATGGTGAATGTTGCACAAAAACATTCTTCAGCGCCTGGATCATTCCAAGAAAGCCATAGTCAAGATGAACCGCATAAATTAGTTCATTCAATAACTAAACCGATTATACAGGAAGTCAGAGAAATAATCACACCATACCGTCGTGTCACACAAACTGTGGAACCAGTACGTGAAAGTGTTGAAACTATTGTTGCAAGAAACGCTGGTGGTGGTTCCGGTGGTGGTTTTGGTGGTGGATTTGGAGCTGGCGGATTCGGTGGCGGCGGTGGTGGTGGTGGTAAAGGTGGCGGTTATTCTGGTGGATCATCTGGTGGTTATGGTGGATCATCCGGTGGATATAGTAGTGGATCATCTGGTGGTTATGGTGGATCATCCAGTGGATATGGTATGTCCATCAGTTCCGGTGGTTATTCTGGTGGTGGTGGTGGTGGTAGTTACTAAAAAACAAAACGATTTTAATCCAAAAAAAAATCGATCAAACATTAAATATTGACCACCGATTATTATTATTATTACTAACCAATCAATCAACTAGCCAGATGAAAATCATCATCAATTCAAACTATTTCAACCACCAGCATTGTCATATCGTCGTCGTCGTCGTCATCATCATTGTTGAATTTGTCGTTAAAATTTCTATTTGTGATCATTTGTCCTTTTCGTTGAATATTTATATTTTATTTAATTTACGTAATTCTAATCTCGAATCCAATTCACACTTGTCATTAATTAATTATCCAATTATTATGTATTGTTGTCCAAATATTTAATAATATAAATAAAACCAAAAACTAAAACAAGAATCAAAAAGGAAAATTCAGCTGAATTGGTTTACAGTGCATGTAAACTTGGCAATTTTTTCATCATCGTACCCCGGTAGAAAAACCATTTGACCTCGGTCAAATAAAGAGTGGAAAAGAAAATTTCAAGGTTGACTACACACAGACCTCAAGAAAAGCTTTCCATTTGGTGTTTGTTTTTGTTTTGATTTAATTCCGAAAAAATTTTAAAGCTCCAAGCATATTATTTATCAATCGATCGATCGGTTGATTGATTGATCGATTGAATTAATTGATCAAAAAATGAGGATCCTACTACGGAAGTCAAATGGTTCATTTCACTTTTGGTGGGGAAGTGACACACAGATTGTGTTGCAGCAAAAAAAAAAAACATGCAAACATTGTATGATGAATGAATAAATATTTGCATTTTTTTCTGTCTGTTGATACACAAATGAAATGAAATAGGTGAATCTATTGAAATTTTTTAAAATCTTTGATTGGTCATAATAATCAATCAATCAATTATATGGACAAAATTTGACTATAGACACCCAATTTTCAAAAATTGAATTGATGGAAATCAAGGAAATCAAATAACAACAGCACTGGTGACAATGGTTCACCGTTTCCGGTCCGGTAATATTTCTTTATTTCTTTCTTTGCCATTGTATTTAGTGGTGGTGGTGGTGGTGGTCATTGGTCAATTTTTGTTTGTCAATAAACAACAATCAAAAATCAAATAAACAAAGAATGGAACCACTTTTTTCTTCTTTGAATGAAGATGATCCATTTTTTCTTTTCTGTTTTTTTTTCGTTTCTTGTTTCTTGGTGTCTCTTTTCTTTTCTTTTTTTATTCACAATTCGTAATGATGATGCTAAATGGTGATGCACTTATTTATATACCGTACGAATTGTGTTTGGTGTCCATTTTGTCATGTTTTTCGATTTCAATTTCTTGTTTTGATCATCATCTGAAAATCGAAAGATTAAATCATGTTTCAATCACTAAAATTTTTGGTCATCATAATAAATCTTGTTAATTCAATCCTAGCATTACAATTTGGTCCATTACCAACATTTTCGCCATCTTTTAATAATGATAAAAATAATTTTGATAAAAATTTTGCCACAAAACAACCAAAATATGAAAAGATAAGCGTAAAATTTGCAAAATACACACCGATTGTGACCACTGGACAACCACCGGTACCAATTGAAGATATAGAAAAGATGATGGGCAATTCGAATCATAATCGTTTACGATTCGATGATGATCATGATGACGATATATCGATATACGACCATCACCACCAACAACAACAACAACATTCTTTTCTATTTCAACCATATGAACATCGACAACCTCAACAACAACAACAACAACAATCAAAACGGAAATTCAACTATAAATTATTTGATATTTATCCAGAAATATCGTTAAAACAACAACAACGGCAACAACAATTGACACCGAAAATGAAACATTTTTATCAATCATTCAATAAAAGAAATCCATATTTGGAAGATGGAGCAATCGATTATAAACAACAACAACAACAAATTCATCTATTAGTTGATCCAGAATATTATCATCATACAACGTTCAATCAACATAAATCACCATTTGTTGGAACATCATCAGTTGGAACAGATTCTGAACCGATTAATTTACCGGTTATTACGCGACGACAACCACCAGTTTATATTGGACAATCATCATTACATCAAATGCCACAATTATCGCCACCAACACAACCACCAACATTATCATCATCAAATTTTCGAATGGATGATTATTATTTCCGAGATTTTTATCAAAGTTTAAATAAATTCTATTCAGAACAACAACGAAAACGACAACCAAATCCAATGATGACGATGATGAAGATGCCAACACATATGCATCATCAAAGAGAAAAACAATCACCTGAACCAATGATGATGACAACAATGATGATGATGATGATGGATAAAAATGATGATGATTATGATCATCATCATAAATATCCAATCATTTCATGAATATTTTTTTTTCGATTCAATTCAAACAAATCAATCAACAAAATATCTATGTGTGTGTGACCCCTTCATTTGACAATCAAATCTTGATTTTAAATTGATAAAAAATTTTTATTAATTAACCGACCTTGATAATGGTCATTCATCCATTCTGTTTGTGGCTAATGTGTCTCATGTTGATGATGTGGATGATGATTAGGTTTTTCCCATAAGTTTTTTGTATTTGTTTTTTTTTTTTGGCCTCAATTTTTCGTCTTTATGGTCTGATTAGTTTTTTTTTCTATGTTGAACAAAAAAAAAAAATTTGTTTATTTATTTATTTTGTTGTTGTTGTTTTTTTTAATTTTTGCTTCAAGGCACCATATTACATAATAATAATAATAATACATTGTTACTATTCTAAGCAATAAATTTATGGACAACACCTTGAGGTAATGCATCGAAAATGTGTCCATAAAATTATTACATTTAAATGTATATCATACACACACACACACAGAGAGATGAAAAAATGTACGTTTCTTTTTTGTTCAAGAAAAAAAAGGTGTCCAAGGTTTTGTTGCCAGGCGTTGTATGTTGTTGATTGTGTGTATAATGTTGTTGTTGACCATTGATTTATATTGGTTTATTTATTGTTTTGTTTTGTGTTTTGTTTTAGCCATTAAACACAAGACATTTGTTTGATAATGTTTTCCATCATCAATAATAATAATAATAATAACAATTAGTCAGATGATTATTATCAATAAAATTATGTTTTTTTTCAATTAAAGAAAATCATGAATTATTAATCACAATATCCACAATCGATTTATTGATTTATCAAAATCAATTTTAAATCGATTTGATTAAAGAAATTTTTTGAAACTTTTTTCATGTTTTTTTTCTGATGTTTGGTTATATTTCCAGGAATTTTTTTTGATTCAAAATTTTTTTTGATCTTTTTGGCTATGATCGGATAGGACGTATATGCATACAATGCAAACATAAAAACAACACATCAATCACATGAACATCATCTGTAATGATATAAACACATTAATGAGTTGTTTTGTTTTTGCAATATTTTCGGGTTTTTGTATGTGTAGAGAATGAGAGAAAGAAAAAAAAATCAGAAAAACAAACACAAAAAATTCGTCAATAAATGATAAACAAAATTTTTTTTTTTTTTTGAATTCAAAAAAAAATTGAATTCTTATCTATTAAATTCATTTATGGCCTGATGATCATTCGCTTTGATTTATTGTTGTTGTTGTTGTTTTTGTTGTCTTTCTACAACGCATTTATTTTATTTTTTTTTTTTTTTTTTTGATCAAGGCGATCCAGTTTGTTATCGAATGATAATGACCCCAAATAAGCAAAAGAACTAGAATTACTTGGTTATGTGTCTGTGTTTGTTTGTGATTAAAGGATTCATGATGATTTCAAGAGAAGAATATCGTTCATTTTTTTTATGGTGGTGGTGGTTTGTTTGGTGGCTGGTGTTAGATATAAATACTGGTCAAGAATTCAATCAAAGAATCATTCCATTCCATTGAACATTGATCAATTGAACAATCAAGAAAAAAAAATCATCATGTTTCGAGTAAATTTTTTTTGAAAAATTTATTTTTTTCTTCAATTTTTCTAATTTATTTTTTTTCTCAATTTTTTTTTCTGAATCAAATAGTTAACCATTTGTTTGGCTTTGGTTGGCATGGCTGCCGCTGCCGCTTTTATGCCATTATCAGTATCACATGGTAATTTGTATTCGGGCACTAAATTTATCTCTAGCGGTAATTATGGCCTTGGCGGTCTATCATTGTTGGCTCGACCATCAATGATGACTACCAATTATTTGACTTATGCTGCTCAACCGAATTTATTGGCCGCACAAGCTATCGAAACCGGACCAATCGTTGCTGCTGTTAACTCGAATCATAAATTATCAATGTACGATGTACCATCCACATTTTCGGCAATGGCTCCATTGAATATCGAAGTTCCATCATCGTCACCAACAGTGAATTTCTTGATGAAATCACGATCATCCAACATTAATGTTGAAAGCCTCCATGAAGGTCAAGCTGGAACTTTGAAAGAAACCGCCTCTGAAGATCAACCACACATCAATCGCCATACTGTTCATCGTCCAATAGTACAGGAAGTGCGAGAAATTATTTCACCATATCGACGAATTGAACAAAAAATCAATCCAGTACAAGAACAAATGGAAACTATTGTTCCACGTGGTCAACAACAAATCGCCTATGCTGCTCAACCACTTTCCATTGCACAACCGATTGTACAAACAGCAGTTCCGTTGATACAAGCACGAGCTCCTGCCGTTTCGGTTATCGGTTTGAAATCATATGGTTTGACTGATTTCGCTGGTGCTGCATACAAACCATAAATAAAAAACACATCCATGTTACAGCAGGCAAAATCATTTTTTTTCTATTCAAAAACAAAAAAAAAAAAAACAAACAGGAAAATTCCATTGAATTCTGCTGCTGCCAAAAAAAAAAACAACACAAAAAATGGCTTCCTGTCGTCATAATCTTCAAATCATCATCATCATCAGATAAATGATAACCTGCGCACAACATTCTTAAATGATTATTATTTCTAATTTTATTTTTTTTTTTTTTTTTGGCCATGCTAAAAATTTTTTTTCGGGCGGGAAAGAGATTGATTGAAATAAAAATTGAATTAAAAAAAAATTTCCGTTTATACTATACAAAATTATATAAAAACCAGAACAACCAGCATCATATGAATTGGTCATTGAGTTTACAATACACACATATATTTATGTCATGTTTTGGTGATTCTTGTGTGTGTGTGTGTGTGTTTGTTTTTGTTTGTTTGTTTGTTTCTGGATTCTCTTATTTGAATTTGGGTTTTTTTTGTTTGTTTGTTTGGAAACAAGAAAAATTGTTATTCATTGATTGTATTGATTGATTGATTGAAAAAGTGTGCTTCCTTGTCTTCTATTCAATATCTAATCACAACTTTGTGAAAAAAATGGGAGCAGCTGTAACGGAAAAAAGTGAGTATTTTTTTTATAAATAAAGAATAAGAATATTCTGAATTATTTTTTTATATAATCTAGATGATCATCGTAGTAGTAGTAGCCGTGGTGGTGATCATCATCATCGTCATCATAAAAGTAGCCGTAATAGTCGATCATCACCTGATAATAATAATAGTAGTAGCCATCGATCATCATCATCATCACATCGTCGATCTCATCGTTCATCACGGGAAAGATCATCCACTAGCCATCATCATACATCATCATCATCATCATCACATCGTCGTAGTGATCGTTCACGTTCTCGTTCACCACGTACTTCTCGTTCCACACATTATGATGATAGACGTGACAATACGGCCGCCGGTATGCCGAAAATTTCTAGGCGTAAAAAACCATCCAAATATTGGGACATTCCACCGCCCGGATTTGAAAGTGTTTCACCAATTCAATATAAAGCAATGCAAAGTTCAGGACAGATACCGGCATTATTAACCTCACCAGGTGTTGCCCCGGTACCGATTGGATCGACTATTACAAGACAAGCAAGACGTCTATATGTTGGTAACATTCCATTCGGATGTTCCGAAGAAGAAATGATTGATTATTTTAATCAACAAATGCATATTTGTGGTTTTGCTCAAGGTCCGGGTAATCCGGTACTAGCATGTCAAATTAATTTGGACAAAAATTTTGCTTTCCTTGAGGTTTGTGTAAAGATGATGATGATGTATATTTTAGTGTTATTCAATTGTTTTTGAAAATTTCCAGTTTCGATCGATCGATGAAACAACACAAGCAATGGCATTCGATGGTATCACATTCAAAGGTCAATCATTGAAAATACGACGACCACATGATTATCAACCGATGCCCGGTATGTCAGAAGCACCACAAACAAATGTACCGGGTGTTGTGTCCACCGTGGTTGGTGATTCACCATATAAAATATTTATCGGTGGTCTACCAAATTATCTAAATGAAGATCAAGTTAAAGGTTTGTTGTTTTTTTTCCTGAAAAATTAATTTGTCTTGCTAATAATGAAATGATCTTAATTTTTCAGAATTATTAATGAGTTTTGGCCAATTAAAAGCATTCAATTTGGTTAAAGATAGTGCCACTGGTCTAAGTAAAGGTTATGCATTTTGTGAATATGCTGATGCTTCCATCACTGATCAGGTAGACTGCAAATGAATTTGTTTCATTGATTGTAATTTAATTTTGAATTTTTTTTGCAAGGCAATCGATAACTTAAATGGAATGCAATTAGGCGATAAACGATTAATTGTACAACGGGCAAGTGTTGGTGCTAAATCAGGCCTATCAACAACAACATCATCATCGATACCATCATCATCGTCGACAACAACAATAAATCCAGCAATTATAAGTGGTCCAGTAACGATGCAGGTACCTGGTTTACAAATTACAGCAATGACAACAGCTATTGGTAATCCGACTGAAGTACTGTGTTTAATGAATATGGTATTGCCAGAAGAATTAATCGATGATGAAGAATATGAAGAAATAATGGAAGATATTCGACAAGAATGTCTGAAATATGGTCATATACGATCAATGGAAATACCAAGACCAATCGAAGGTGTTGAAGTACCTGGTCTAGGCAAGGTTTTTATTGAATATAATTCCTCAATCGATTGTCAACGTGCACAACAATCATTAGCTGGACGTAAATTTGATAATCGTGTAGTGATCACATCATATTTTGATCCAGATCGTTATCATCGACGTGAATTTTAAAAAAAGAAAAATAAAATGAAAAATCCGTATGTATGGAGGGGTAATAAACTTCTCGAAAAAATATCACCAAAAAAAACCAGACTACAGACCCAAACACACACACACACACACACACGCACCCACACCATGATTCGATTGATTTTTTTTTGTGTAAAAACAAACAAAACAAAAAATTTTGTCCATTCTGACAACATTTCTTTTTTTTTCATTCCCTTTCCTTTTCCCACTTTTTTTTCATTCATTTTGATTCATTAATTAATTAATCATGTCATCATTATCATTAATAATTTGTCATCATAACCATTCATTCATTCATCAATCATCAACAACAACTTTTAAATTTTTTTTTCTACAACTACTAGTATCACCACCATTACTACTACTACTACTACTACTATTGCTATATTATCAAAATTCAAAATTTTCAATCAATCAATCAATCAATTTAATAATAATCGATCGATGATTGGTGATGACAAATATTAATGGCATCAATGTGAATGTGCAGGAAAACGCAATGTGTTGTTGACAATGGAATTGATTCATTTGGTGATTTTTTTTGATTAGGTTTCGATTACACAACATATCACAGCAAAAAAAAAAGTTTCTGTGTGTGTGTGTTTGTTGAATGTACCATTTTATTCATCGTTTCGATTTCGATCGACAGCCATTAAACTATGCTATTCTTATTCGTTGTTTGTTTGTTTGTTTGTTTGTTGTTATTAGTTCCTGGAAAATTTTTCTAAATTTACCACACACCACTATTTTCATCCACATGTACAATTCATGTTTGTGTGTGTGTGTGAACCGGATAGGTTTTTTTTTTGGTTTTGATTAGTCGAAAAATTTGATTACAAAATCCAAATCAAATCAAACAAACACACACGGACACACACACACAAAAGACAGTATTTTGTTTTCTTGTCTTGTTTTTTTTTTTGAAAATTCGGTACAAAATCAAGAAAAAAAAATTTCCATTCGGGTTTTTTTTGTTATTCGACACACGAAGAACATTTTATGATTACATCATTGATGAATGGTTACAATGTTCATTGATATCATCGATGATGATTCATTCCAAATTTCAATTTTTTGAATCATGAAATCAATCAATCAATTTTGAACCGATGTTTATGATGCAATCGATTTATTTTTTGATTTTATTCATTCATCTTGGTACCAATGTACCATCAAATTACCTATCTTTTTAGTGATCATGCGAGCACTTTTTTTCTGATGTAATAATTTGAAATTTTGCCAAAAAAAAAAAAAAAAAAATTTTTGATTGAAACAAAAAGATTTTTGATTATTGATTATTGGTTATTATTCATGTTTTGTTGTTGTTGTTGTTGTTGTTTTTTTTTGTCATTTTATCAAACCGCTTTTGACAAGAAAAAAATTTTGCCGAAAACGATATTCGATTGTTGTTGTTGATGTGATAATTGAAGACAGACACACAACACAAATGTTTTATGTTTCCTGGTGTTTTTTTATGATTTTGTACCATACACATAGTACGTGTTATCGTGTATGCGTTCGAATGTCATTTTTTTTCTTGAATTTTTTATCGAAAAAAAGATTTTTTTTCCTTACCCAAAATGTCGTCGTTATTATGGTCATTAGTCAGTCTGCAAAAAAAAAAAATTTTCTGTTTTTTCTTTTCTTCTGCTGTCATCCTTCTTATGTGTTCAATTAATCAAGCACAAAGTTCAATCAATCAATATTGATCAATGAATGATGATGATGATGATGATTATTCGTTGATCAATTCAAAATGGCCAAACTAGAGAGACAACAACAACAACAACAAAAAAATATAACCAAATCATTCATGTGCTGATCCATGGCCAAATTCAAAAATTGACGGTGAATGAAAAAAAAATCGACAATTATTGCCAGGAAACAGTATCCTATTCGTAATGGGTAAAACAAAGATTTTTTTTTTTGACAAAATCAAAAAAATGTCAACAGTCATTATCAACGGATATGTCAACCAGATTGTGTGTGTGTGTGTGTGTGTGTTGATGATGGATGGATAAAATTATTGGCCGAAAAAAAATTTTTTACAATTTTTCAATATCAACAAATCAATTATGAACATTGCAATGATCATCATCATCATCATCATCTATATTCATTGAGATTTATTTGTTTGGTTTTTTTTCTGTTTGATAAAATAGTCTAAAAATAAAATGAAAACAAACACACACACACACACACAAAAAAACGGCGAGTAATTTGAAACTTGAATCATGTGTCTCTCTCTTAGAAAGCCGATAGATATGATGGTAATGATTCGATCATAAATCAATATACACATACAGAAAGAACCAGATTGAACTACTTATGGTGACGAAAAAAAATGTCAAAAAAAAAAAAACAAGATTTTTTGTAACAAAAAAAAAATTTAATTCAATTCCAAATTGAATTTTTTTAAAATTATGGGGAAAAAAAAGAAACAAAACCAATATACCCATCAATCCCATCTATCAAATAGGGTTATTATAGTCAATTGTCAGTCATGGACAAAACAAAATTATCAATCATCGATCAATCGATTGATCGATTGATGATGGTGATTATTATTCATTTTTCGTACATTTTCTTTCTCTTTTTCAATCAAAAATGTCTGTTGTCTCTCTCTCTCTTGTCATTTTTTTCTTCGTTAGTTCTTTTATCATGAAAAAAATAAATTTTGAACTTTGTGTGTGTGTGTGCATGTGTTTTTTATTGAAAACTGAAAATTTTTTTTTTGTCTGTTGTACAAATTGTTGTTTGTTGATGATTATAGTCAAAAATGGACTCACATAGTCATAAATTGCCAGTATCAGTTGTGTGTGTGTGTGTGTGCGTGTATGAATCATGTCCTGTTTCATGTTCATATCATCATGATTTCTAAATTTGATGATGATGATGATTTGTAATTCATTTTTTTTTTGTTTCATTTACATCATGCGTACATTTGAACAACAATAATTTTTTGTGCTATTTAAATCAATCAACCAGCTATAGATCGGTCATCATTTCTGATTTTGCCATCATTGAATTCACAGCCATTCACACACGAAAAAAACTTGATAATTTTTTTGAAAAGAAATTTTTTTATAATAATTTTGTTTACCCGGTTGAATTTTTAAATAAGTTTTTATTCAAGTAAAAACATTTTCTTTGAATTCAACAACAACCACCACCAATAATCATCATGTCAGCCAATAACGACAATCAAACTGTTGTAAAAGCATCGCCATCAACATCATCATCGAATACATCGTCATCGATGATTCATTTGGCCATTTTGGATCGATTACGTCAGATACAACTTGTTCATCAAGCATTAGATATGGCTGAAACAAGTTATCAACGTATCAAATCCAGTAATTCAATGGTTGGAGCTACATTGACCCAGGCTGAAACGATGGCCAATCAATTGGCTATGCCAGTGATCAGTAAATTGGAACAGCCAAGTAAGTTTGAATGATTTGATTTTTTTTTTGCATTAATTAATTTCTTCATCTTATTCACAATACAAAACAGTTCATATGGTCGATAATTTGGCTTGTCAAAGTTTCGATACCATTCAATCCGGTGTAACAATGATTTCAAATAATGAAGTTGTCGGTATGGTACAGAAACGTGTGGATGCAACAATGGAATTTGTACAAACAAATTCAAAACAAGCACGTGCTATGTTTGAACAACGTTTGGAACAAACACTTCAACGTGCTTATGCATTACGAAAACAAGCTTTGGAAAATGTCAATTCCGTGATGAATGTATCGGAAACTGTTATCAAATCGGTGGATAAATCATTGACAGCAGCTGAAAGTTCTTTGGATCGTCTGTTGCCACCATTGAAACCAGAACCAGAAACTACTACTAGTAGTGAACCACAACAACAACAGAATGGTCAACAACCAGTTAGACGATTATTTCAACGTATGGTACGTTTTTCCGATAAACTTCGTCGACGTATCGTTCAATATACAGTGGAAAAATGGTACACAAACATTGAAAAATCTGGCCACCATTTTCGTGAAAATGTTCTCAACATTATTTCCAGCCAATTATCAAATCTTCGATTACAGATGAATAATTTACAAACGGAAAAACCGAAACAATCATAAATTTTTTTCATCTATTATCGGTTCACATCTAATTCATCCATTTGAAATTCACATTTTTGATTCAATTTCCGAGAAATTTTTCATTTCATTTTTTTCCATCAGATTTTACTTGCCGAGAAAAATTTCGAAATTCGAATCAATTTCATTATTCATAGTTTATATTTTTGTTTAATAATCCAAATTGGCAATTTCAATGATTCAATTGATTGATGATTTTAATTTCAATTTCAATTTCTTTCTTTCAGCACACAATCATCCAAATGATTATTTATCAATAATTTATATTTCCAGTGCAATTAAAATAAATAAAATCAATGGAAATTGTTTAATTTAAAACAAAAAAAAAACTATTTGAAAAAACGCCATTCTCATGATCATCTTATGATCGTCTTCTTCTATTTGTCTTTTTTTTTGTGTTCTTCTATCATCATCATCATCATCATCATTTTGAGTTTTTATCGTCATAATCATATTTTGTTTGTTCAAAAATTTATATGTTTCCCGATAACATTCATGATGATTAAAAATTTTCGTTCAAATAAAAGAAGAATTGAGGTAATCGACATTTTTTTTCAGTATAATTTCTAATCATTAAATTTACCTGGATTTGATTATTATCAATTATCATTTTTTTTTTTTTTTTTTGGCTACGATTCAATGATGGTGATGATGGCAAGTGTTTGTTCTAAATTGTTAAAAAAAATTGATTGATTGATTGTTATCTAATGTTCTTTTTTCAATGATTTTTTATGGAAAAATTTTTTTTATAAAAATTGGTACAAATCAATTGGATTTGGTTACTATCCATTAGTATTCAACAACTACAACAACAACAACAACACATAATGGATTATCATAATCTATCATTATTGTTGGTGGCTCTATTATCTGTGACCATATTCACAACAATTCAACAATCTGAATCGGTTGTTATTAAAGTGGAAAATCTACCAGAACGTTGTGATTATTCACAATGTCCAAAATGGGATCCTAATGATATTAATGTACATTTGGTGGCCCATACACATGATGATGTTGGTTGGTTAAAAACGGTGGAACAATATTATTATGGCCTAAAAAATGATATTCAACGTGCCGGAGTGCAATATATTTTGGATACAGTAATTGAAGAATTAATACGTAATAAACAACGACGTTTTATTTATGTTGAGATTGCATTCTTTTGGAAATGGTGGCAAGAACAAGATGAAGATCAACGTATGATCGTACGAGAATTAGTACGTACTGGACAATTGGAATTTATTAATGGTGGCTGGTCAATGCCAGATGAAGCAGCAACACATTATAATTCACTTATTGATCAATCTACATGGGGTCTAAGACAATTGAATGATACATTCGGTAAATGTGGTCATCCAAAAGTAACATGGCAAATTGATCCATTTGGTCATTCCCGGGAAATGGCTAATCTTTATGCACAGATGGGTTATGATGCATTATTTTTTGCACGTCAAGATTATCAAGATCGTGAAAATCGTATGACAAATCGTAAATTGGAACATGTATGGCAAGGATCAGATGATCTTGGTACTGCTGGTGATATATTCACTGGTATGATGTTTAGTGGTTATGGACCTATTGAATTCAATTGGGATATAACAAATGGCCCCGAAGATGCTGTTGTTGACAATCCTGAGTCAGAAGAATATAATGTTCCGGATAAAATACGACGTTTTGTGGAAAAAGCAAAATATTTTGCACAGTATTATGCAACAAATCATTTTATGTTTCCAATGGGTACGGATTTTCAATATGGTGATGCACATACATGGTTTAAAAATCTGGATAAATTGATCAAAGCTGTAAATAATGCTGGAAAAGGTGTTCGGGCATTCTATTCAACACCATCATGCTATGCACGTGCATTATATGAAACGAATCGTACTTGGACCACGAAAACAGATGATTTTTTTCCCTATGCATCAGATGAACATGCATATTGGACTGGATATTTCACCAGTAGACCGGCTTTAAAACGTATGGAACGTATGGGCAATAATCTATTACAAGCATGTAAACAATTGGATATTTTGGCCGGAAATGATGGACGTTTTGAAATGAATATAACAAGATTACGTGAAGCAATGGGTGTCATGCAACATCATGATGCTGTAACCGGAACGGAAAAACAACATGTTGCATTTAATTATGCAAAAATGTTAGATTCAGCAATGCAACAATGTCGTCATGTAATTAGTGAATCATATCGAAAGTTATTTCCAACACAAACAAAAGAACAGCATGAATTTTGTCCATATTTAAATATAAGTTCATGTCCTTCAACAGAAATGGGTGAATCACGTACGATACATCTTTATAATCCACTTGGTCATCGTTTAGTGAATCGAACAATACGTGTACCTGTAAAGGATGGTTATTATTATCAAGTTCGTGACCAAAATGATCATTCAATACCTGCTGTTTTGATATCAATACCAGAATTTGTTCGTAAAATTCCTGGACGTAAAAGTGTGGCCACAAAAGAATTAGTATTCCGTGTACCTATTATTGAATCACTTGGTATACGTAGATTTCATATGATTGCCACTAAAGAAAAACAACAGGATTCAGCTGTTGAAATCCAAGGAGAAAAATTTGTTGGTCATAAAGGACAACGATTTCAACTTAAAGATGGTTTGATTATTGAATTTGATTCGAATGGAAAAATCGCAACAATGATTCGAAATAATCAATCGATATCGATATCGAATGAATTCCGTTTGTTTCATGGTGCTGATATTGGTCGTCATTCAGGTGCCTATATTTTCCGTCCAAGTGAACAGAAAACTTTTCCTGTCACAGAAAAAATGGAAGCAACATTGTATGTAGATCAAAAATTCGGTATCGTTCAAGAAGTACATCAACAATTTGATTCATTTGTTGGTCAAATCATACGATTGGATAAACAAGGTGATTATGTGGAATTTGATTTTGTTGTTGGACCAATTCCAGTGGATGATCTAATTGGTAAAGAAATCATTACACGATATAGTACGAATCTTGCAAATGATGAAACATTCTTTACCGATTCAAATGGTCGACAAATGTTACGAAGACGTTGGAATTATCGTCCATCATGGAAATATGAAATCGAAGAACCAGTATCGGGTAATTATTATCCGGTTAATTCACGTATTGCTATTCGTGATGATAGAAAATCATTGCAGATGACAATTATGACTGATCGATCACAAGGTGGTTCATTATCACCTGAACAAATTAATGGCAGCGTTGATCTAATGGTACATCGTCGTTTATTACATGATGATTATTTTGGTGTCGATGAACCATTAAATGAACCAGGTGTTGATGGTCATGGCTTAGTTATACGTGGCAGACATTTATTACTATTAGATACATTGGAAAAAGCTGCCGAAAAACATCGTCCACTTGCACAGGAAATGTTTATGGAGCCAATTATTAGTTTTACATCATCGATGGAGAAAAATCAGCCAATATATAAGGGATTAACGAAAGATCTGCCTGGAAATGTTCATCTTCTTACCCTGGAACAATGGCATTCAAAACGTTATCTATTACGTCTTGAACATTTTTATCAACGTTTTGAAGATCCATCATTGAGTAAACCAGCCACTGTATCGTTACGCCATTTATTTCAATCATTTGAAATAACTGCCGTTGAAGAATTAACGCTTGGTGCAAATCAACCGATATCAGCGTTGAAAAATCGTTTACAATATCGTTATATTAGACCATTAAATGAGCAACAATCATCGATCATAACGGATCCAATAATTGAAGGTGAAAATTTCGATATTCATCTTGAACCGATGCAGATACGTACATTTTTAATCGATATTAAACGAAATTAAATTTCATAAATATTTAATATCAAATCAAATAATAAAATGAATCAAAAAATATTAATAATATCCGTTCTTGTTTCAATAAATATCGATTGTATCGAAAAATACGTTGTACGTCGTATATGAACATGATCAAAAATTCAAATATTGAAATTGAAAAAGTGGGAGGAGAAACGAAGAAAAAAAAACGGTTGAAAAAACATTCGAACTTGTTCGGCTTTAATGCAAGCATGCTTTCTGTGAAAAAGTTACTTAAGCATTTTTGCTGTTTGTTTGATTTTTTTTTGCTAACACCAAAACACAACGATCAAATTTTATTTTTAAATAATTGATTTCTATTCAGTTTCTATTCATCATTAATTATCACATCATCAAATTAATCAAATCAAATATATTAAAAAATTTATGATGGCTAAAAAAAATAAATCAAAAACTGCCAATAATGTTAATGACACTAATAATGATGCTTATGATTCTGTGTATTTGAATGATAGTTACCACGGTAACATTGTCGATAGATTCCATCTTATGTCCAATACATTTCACCGATTATTACCATTTCAAGAATTGATTCGTTTTAGTAATCATTCAATTAATAAGGTGTTCATTAATTATAATGATGAAATAAATGAATTGAATTGTCAGATTTTAACTGATTTAAAATCAATGATACGTCAATTGGAATCATCATCAATGTAAGTGAAGTTTTTTTTTCATTATCATGTGAAATTATCAAATCTCTTTGTCTTTCGTTTAGTGATTCAAAAATTAATCCAAATATTACAACAACAGTTATTGATACACCGATAAAATCTGTTGGTAGCCATAAACGTAAATACCAACAAAATACACCATCAAGTACGAATGTATCGAAAATAAAGGATTCGAATAAAATAACAAACAAGAAAGTTAAAAAACAAAAATCTACAGATAAAACTCTGGCAAAATTATTGGATAAAGAAAATGATAATCCTAATAAAATACAAACATCATTAATAGCAAAAAAAAGTTCTATTGAAGATTCAGACAACAAAAATAATGATGATACTAATGATTCTCGAATGTGTTTACGTACCCGTGCACGTACACGTGCCCAAAATAAACGAGAACAAGAATTACAACAAAGCAAAAATGTTACAGAAATAAAGAATAATAATAATGATTCGACAATAAAGAAAACAATGGCAGCAAATGCATCTATTCTTACAACACCGAAAACTCGAAAACCTAGAAACAAAAATGTTCAACAACAGAAAGAATCCAATAAGAAGCCTATTGTTGCTTCTGCTGCTGCACTAGGAACACCAAGTGCAAAAAATATTAATCTACGAAAAGGTGGCGGACAATTTCCTGAAGCGTGTGTGGTAATGGCTACTCCAACGTTATCGAAACAACGTGATGAAGAAATTCGTTTGAAATCTGCTCAAAAATTGGAAAAAGCAGCACAGAATCGAAAAATGATGATGGAACAACGACAACAAAAGATACGTCAACGATCGATCGATTCTCATAATAGGTTATTGGCTAATCAACAGAAACAAAATCACCAAAAACAACAACCAAAATTGGTGGCTACAAATACAACACCATCAAAACAAACTAAAGCATTTATGATAATAACAGGTGCTGTTTCATCTGCTAATAAAGACAAGAAAAATATTAATGGTAATAATGTATTTAAATTTGGTTACACCAGTTAATAATTTATCGACGAAAAAAACGGCTTCACCAAAATCTACACCAACTAAAGTGTTAAATAAAAATAGCAGCAATAAAAAATTAATTGGGGATAAAAATATGATTCAAATGAAAAATATTGAAAAAACGTTGATAAAACATGATAACAATGCAATCAATAATGTCGAAAAAAATGACAAAACCATTGAAATATCGCCAATCAAGCCTGATAGAGATGAAAAAAAAGTGAATGTGACCCAAACTTTAATTAATTCAACAATGACGATTGATAAACCATTATCATCACATCCGATACCGCCATCACCAATGTTGAATAAAACAATTTTAAACATAAAAGAACAAGAAAAATAATGACACCTTTAAAATTGGCAACAACTACAACAACATTGAATCAATCACCATTAATTACACAATATAAAATGACACCACCACCAAAATTGGAAGAATCAATGATATCAACTTATGATATATCCCGTTATTTTGATTCAGATGATGAAGAAGAACAACTAAAAGAAATACAACAAAGAAAAAATAAACGTTTACCACCTTGGGTAACCGGAAGACTTTTTGTAAATCGTTTAGCAAAACTTTATTGTCAAAATGAAAAAAATTCAAATCTCGCCTATCGTATCTATTCAAATTGTTCAAAACGAAAAATTGTTGTCGATATTGAAAAATTTGGATTACAAGTAATTCCCAAATATCGGAATCGTACTAGTTCAATTGTATGGACAACAACTAACAACAAACTAGTACCATCGTCATCGTCACAACTACCACTACCACCGACATCTTCATTTTATAAAAATTTCATGTCTGAAGACGAATCAACTTTTTAAAATATTATTCAACAATTCATATTCATACTCTGTCTATAAACATATTGATTGAAGTTTAAATAAATAATTTCAGCTTTTACTAAAAAAAAATTTCAAAATTTAATTACTCTAGTTTATTTTAATTTTTTGTTGGACGATTTATTATCATTATCATATGATGGTAATATTAATGTTCCCAGATTTTTAACTAAATCATGTGATAATCTTGGTAATATGTCCACTATTATACCCGATGCTATGGTATTCGTATGTTCACGTATCGTAAATTTTTGTCCCAATTTCAATGGCATTCCATATTGTAATGTTACATGACATCGGCCATGATCACCGGGCATTAATATACCACCATATTCTTCAGGTATATCTAATCGGGCACCACCAGACCATGTTTGTGAGAATATTTGTTGTATAAATTTATTTGTTATCGGTTTTGAGCGTCCACCTTCTTCATGTGATCGTAGATATATATCAGCAACAAAACGATTTTCCAATGTTACCGTATATGGTTTTGCAATAAGCATACCACGTTCTAATTGTGATTGTTTTATACCACGACATAATAGGCCAACATGATCACCAGCTTGGCATTGAGGATATGGCCGACCAAACATATGAATATCACTAACAACAGTTTTATATTGTTTACTCCAACCAAGAATTTCAGCTTGATCACCTTTTTGTAATGAACCAGTTAATACAGTGCCGATAACAACCGTTCCACGACCTTGAATAGACATTGATGATTCAATTGACATTGAAAATGGTGAATCAATATCACGTTTCGGTGCTTCAATATAAGTATCTAATGTATCCAATAACGTTTGAATTGATCGACCACCTAATTCACTTGATTCTTGTTCACTCAATGCTTTTAATGCTGAACCAAATATAAATGGACTTTGATCACCATCAAAACCAATTTCATTCAATAGATCACGTACTTCGATTTCGACCAGTTCTCGTATTTCATTATCGATAAGATCACATTTATTTGCATATACAACAATTTTTTCAACACCAATCTGTTTACTAAGCATTAGATGTTCACGTGTTTGTGGCATTGGACCTTCGGATGCAGCGACCACTAGAATTGCACCATCCATTTGTGATGTACCACATATCATATTTTTAACATAATCTTGATGACCAGGACAATCGGTATGTGCATAATGACGATCGCGTGTAAAATATTCCACATGACTTGCATTGATGGTAACACCACGAAGCTGTTCTTCTGGAGCTTTATCGATTGAATCAAAATCACGAAATTTTGAATAACCATTCATAGCTGATAGTTTGGTCAATGCCGATGTCAATGTTGTTTTTCCATGATCAACATGTCCAATTGTTCCTATATTTATATGTTCACGATTTTTCATTGCATCAGCTGTTTTGTTTTGTTTTGGTGATTTTTCTGCCGTTTTCTGCCGTTGCAAAAGTTCGTTTTTTGATTAAAGTCGATGCTGTCATGGGCCATTTTAGATTCAACGAAATGAACGGGTTTGATGAACGTAAAAGTAATAACATGTTTTATTTTTTATGGATTTTTTTCAAATAAAAGTTTTGCTTTCAATAAATCATCCACATGATAAATTTGGTTACGAAATTTATGAACAATGTCTTCAAATGTACACGTGATTTTCATTCGAATTTTATGTCAATCTTTTTGTTTTATTTTGGAATACAAATCATGGATAAAATTGATAGTGATTATGATTTTTTTGATTGTCAATACAACAATGAAGATGATAATGATGATAATCCATTATTCGATTATTATCAGAATATTGCTCGTTCATCATTTGATGATATGGTACATGATCATGAACGGAATGATCTTTATTATCAAGCAATTTGTCGATCAATCAAAAAACTTCGATCAAAAAATCCTGAAAAATCGGTTAATGTTTTGGATATTGGATCCGGTACTGGATTGCTTAGTATGATGGCTACAAATGCCAATGCTGATCATGTTATCGCATGTGAATGTTTTGAACCAATAGCTAAATGTTCGAGGAAAATTATCAACGATAATTCTATGTCATCCAAGATTGATGTGATAAATAAACGTTCTGAACAACTGAAATTACCTGGCGATTTTCAACCAAATCTATTGGTTGCAGAACTTTTGGATACTGAATTGATTGGTGAAAGTTGTCTATCAATATATCGTGATATTATTCAACGAAAACTTGTCGATCCAGATCATTGTCTATATGTGCCGACACGTGCAAGAATCTGGATTCAACTTGTTCAATCTGAACGTTTATTTCATTGTCATCAATTTCAAAAATCTTATCCAATTGTTGACAATATTGAAGCGATACAATCACCACCACAGGTTCGAAATTGTTTTGGGTCACACCTATTACATGATATTCAATTGAATAGACTTCGTCCGGATATAGATTTCGAAATTCTTTCCGATCCTTTGGTTATTTTTGAATTTGAATTCAATCGATTAGAATCATTAAAACACCGTGATCATAAACGTATTCAATTCGAATTGAAACGTTCATTCAATCAACCAATGATGATATTTGCCTGGTGGGATATTGATCTCGATGATGATGGTGAAATCTGTTTATCTTGTGGTCCATTTTGGACACGTGGATTCAATGATGAGCAACAGGTAGCATGGCGTGAACATTGGATACAAACCGTATATTATTTACCGGCATTTGCATTCGATCGTGAAAGACAAGTTGACGGATTCAATCATGATCATATTAATCACAAACAAAAATTAATAATCGATTGTCATCATGATCAAGTATCATTTTGGTTTGATATACCCAAACAAAATGAATCATACGAATCGAACGATATAAACGAATCTGAATCATGGTATTGTACTTGTGGTTTACATTCACATTTATCACGAACACGATTACAATGGATCAATAACTGTCAACGTTATCAACAATATTGGTGCCGATTAAATGAACTATTACCAACTACCAACAATCAAATGTTGAATCTAATCTATTTTGGTGATGAAAGTATACTTCCATTTGTATGTAGTCGCCATCCAAATGTTGAACATGTTTTTATCATTTGTAATGATCGAAAATCATATCGATTTTTTCATACATTTCGCAATCAAAATGATCAGAAAATTATTCTTTGTTCACATAATAGTTTTCATAAACATCAACAACAACAACAACAACAACAAGAGAATCTATTAACATGTCAAACACCATCTTATGCAATAATAAGTGATTTACATTTTCGTAATCAATCAGCAATGCTGTCATCATTGGAAATTTTTCGTCATCTTTATCGACAACAACAATTTATTCGAAATCATCATAACCGGATTCATTTTTGTCTGCCTCATCGAATTGTTTTACGTGGTTTAATCGTTCGATTTGAACATTTATGGAAATGTTGGGCACCAGTTTCGAATGTTCGAATCAATGATCAAACCGAATTCAATCTATTCGAATATGATTTATTGATTATGAATGCACGACGTAATGTTGATTGGCAATTTGATCGTCGTTCACTTTGGGAATATCGTTGTTGGCCATTAGCCAATGAAACTTTTGATATTCTTGATATTTCAATGGATTGTACGAATGGCAAAAAATCAATGGAAGAACTTAATTCCTTAATGACCACCAATGAGAAAATCGAAAAAATTGTTGAATTCAATGTTGAACAACTAAAATCCAGAAAAATTGATCCAAATACTGTGGCAATTGTTTGTTGGATTGATCAACATATCGATGATAATACAATCATAACGGGTGGTTTTGAAAACAACATGACCGAATCATTAACACCAAATACCGAAATCAAATGGATACGTGATCAACAACAATTGGTTACATTTTTGACCACCATTCCTAATGGTATTGAACAATGGAATAATAATGAATCAGCAGATAAAATTCAGCTAAAATTTGAAATCAAAATGAATAAATTATCCATCAGGATGGATATCAACAATAGAAAATGAATAAAAATGGTAAAAATAATCATTTATTCTTTCTCCAAATAAAATAATCATAATCATAAGATGATCTGTAATTGAATAATTTTTTTTGTTGTTGTTGTTTTATACAGACAGCTGTTTGAAATGAAATTATACAAAAATGTTTTTGCTCTGCCCAAAAATGCTCTCCGTGTGTGTATAATATATATGTTTTTTAAGTTTGTACTTTTAACTGCAATGATGAATAAAATATTGATTTTTTCGTTCGTTTTTTTCGTTGGTTTGTAAAAATAAAAATTTTCGCTGAATTCATCAATGAATGAATGAATGGTCCATGAATGAATTATTGTAATATATAGGTGAATAAAGTATGTTTGTTTGTTTTGTGTGAAATGAATAAAGTTTTCACTTGTTTGTTTTACTTATTTACTCAACATTTGTTGTTGTTTCGTAATTTTGTTTGTCCACAAACTTGACATATCGATATTTATAGAATTTTTTTTTCTAGATCAAAGTTTTCAAAAATGATGACCACGATGATTGGAAATTTTGATTCAACGTTGATTTTGTTGTTATCATCGTTTTGTTGTTGGCTGTATGATGATGATGATGATGGAAAAATGATGATCGAACAAGACGAATGAATGAAAAAGCAATGGCCAATAATGATACGGCTGCATTGATCCAATTCGAACGTCGTAAATCATCGTTCGATCGACGACATAATACAACCGGTGGTCGTTGTCTTCGTGCCGATGTTGATAGAATCATTTCATATGGATTTGTTGGACGATAACGATTCTGTTGTTGTCGTTTAGCCGATGATGGATCTGGTGGTGATGATGATGATGATTGTTGTTGTTGTTGCTGTTGTTTATCATCCGATGATCCACTATCAGAACCGATACCGGGTATAAATTCCTGAGTAGATGTGACCAATGATACCGTATCGATTTCTGAATATTTTGTTTGTTGTTGTTGTGTTGCCATTAACTGTAAATATTGTTCAGGATCAGATTCTACACGATAATTGGAACATATATCCTGTTGCCATGAAACCAGATGTATACCATGCGCCAATAAAGCAGTGCTAAGCAATGCAGATTGAACGAAAATTCTATCTGGCCATAATAATCCGGTTACAATTGAACCAACACCGGTAACAATAGAATATCTTGTTAGATATTCACCAAACCATATCCAACGTGCTGTTTCGTCACCCAAACGACATGGTTCAATCACAATGGTTGGACAGCCAAATTCGAATGCACGTTCAAGTTCATTTTCGAATAATTCATGGGCACCATCAAATATTTCTCTAATGACAATCATTTCTTGGCCAAATTCAAAAAATGTTCTTTAAAAATAATTTTGAAATTTAAAAAAAAATTCAAATTCAAAACATCATTATCAAACTTACGTATCGTCAATCATATTTGGTTTGTTTATTTTTTTTTTTGTTCTGAAGCAAACGATGATGAATGAATGAATGAATGAATGGAATGTTTATGGAAAATTTCGGCCAATATCACCGGCAATCAATTTAAAAAAATTCCGGTGATGCAATGATGAAATGCGAGAAATTTGCTACGAAGAGAGTAATAAGAAATTAAAATTAAAAACAAAATTAAAAGAAAAAAAATCAGAGATAAAAAAAATTTCATTCGAAAAAATAATCGATAGATCGATTGTTTTTTTTTTGTAGTTTGAATTTATTCAGTTAATTTTTTTTGTGTCTTGTGATTTTTGTTGTTGTTGTTGTTGTCACGATAACAATATGAAATAATAATCAACAATGACAAATCATTTTGATGATGGTGAGATGAACATCGAAGTCAGTTTTTTTTTTGACAGAAGTGACGATGTATGTTCAACGTCGACGTTTGATAATGATGACGATGATGGTGATGACAGTATCAATTGATTGAACGATTTTCCTTATTGATCAGAAATAATTTTTAATGTAAAACGAACAAGAAAAAAAATTTGGCAACCATTTTTTTTATTATTCACAAAAAAAAAATTTAACAAGGTTTCCATTATATACCCAGAAAAAAATGATGTTAAACAAATATCAACCAAAAAAAATCATATCAATGACCTAATTATCAATCAATCAATGATAACGATGGATGTTATACAGAGAACCGACTCATTGATTGATAAAATGATGGCAGTGGATAAAATAAAAAATCTAAATCAAACATTGAAAACCTTTTTTAAAAAAAAGACTTTCAAAATCAAACAATTGTTATTTCTGTCAGTCGTCGTCGTCATAGTTTTTTTTCTTTTTCTGATGACAATTCTTTAATAGGAATGTCGAATGTAGGCGAAAAAATATTCTAATTTTGACATTATTTCACGAGACGTTTGATAATAATAATAATAATAAAAACACTTACCCCTTTTTTTAATTATTTTGCAAACAATTGTCTTTTGCGCCACTCTTTTATTTTTTCACAGCGATGGAATTCGAATACAAAAAACACTAACAACAACATAGTTTACCATAACCACATTGATTATGGATATTGAGCAAAGGTAAATTAAAATTCTGAAATTTGAAGTCTACGGTGACATTCATTGTGAATTCTAAATATCTTGAATCATCTTTATTCTGAATACAAGAACCAGATATCATCAATTTCGCTAAATGGATTTTTTGGTTATAATTTTGTCCATCGCAACACCATTCCTAAATGTGCCATTGTTAACTGTTCTAGACCTTGGTTTTATCTCAATGATTTTTTTCAATTTTAGTGATTTATTATGTTTTGGTTTTCCTTTATCGCTATATAATATGGAATAGAAGTTTCTTTTTATTAATAAAATTTCATTTCAATTGGAATTCTTTAATACTTATCATTGATGGTAAATCAACTTCAACGACTGTTTTCAGTTTATGGATTAAATCAAGCCAAATCTTATGCGATAAACAATTGTCAATCATTGCAATCGTGAGTATGTTGTCATCTATAAAAAGTGAGTTTATCATTATAATTATTCTGTCAACGAAACATTCCAGTTCTTCTTCTCTTTTAAGGTACCAGCTATTTTTTCAACAAACAATTTCATATCATGAATCTTTTAAAAAATTCCTCAATCAAGTCAATCCTGCTGAACTGCTGAATATCCATCACCATTGTGCATTTGTGGCCAAATCCAAACTTCAATTCATTTAATCGTCGATTTTCCGCTTGCCAAAAATTTTTATTTTGACTTTTTTTCTGAAAATAATATTGATTTACATTTCAGAGATCATCATATTAAATTCATAGAAATTTGTAGAAATATAATTTCTTCAATTAATTTTCTTTAAAAAAATGATGAAAAGTGCGTGATACTTCGCATCATATTATTTTTTTAATAAATAAATAAATATTTATTCTTTTTTACACAACATAATTTTACTCAACTGATAATTGGATTGATTTCGTTTAAGAACATTTTCTGGTCACTCCATTGAAAAATTGATATGGATACTCAGTAAAAAATCTATTCATGCCAATAACAACAACAACGATGATGATGATGAAAAAGTGGTTATCCTTGTCCGATTGGTTTTTTTTTCACTCGAATAATTTCAGTTCACTTTTTTTCAAATATGTGAACTGGAATCACTTTCGAAAAAGTGATTGTTGCATCCAAAAGAGAGAGAGAGATTGTTCAACTAAACTTAAACAAAAACTGTTATCACCACTACATCATCAATTTGATGTTGATGATGATGATGATGAACATTTTTGCTTTTTTTTAATATTTGACGATGGATTATTATATGATGTGATATGAAGAAAAAAAATTGTTTATAGCATCATCGTAAACAACAACAACGACGACGACGACAACGAAATATTACTAACAACAACAACAATAATAACAACAAAAGAACAAAAAAATAAAAACAGCTGTACGTATCAAAAAAAATGAAGCCATTCAAATAGGACGTTTTTGGATTTATTTATTCAATTTTCAAAATTTTATTTAGAAAAAAAAAGTTCATCATCATCATCATCATTTGATTAATTAAATCTTTTTGTTTCGAACGAATGTGCATCCATAAAACAGCAACAACATTATTATTTCATCAAACCAAATCACCATCATTATTACGCATTTTTTGTATATATTTTGGATTGATAGCTATATCCTGATCTAATGTTTTCAATTTTTCATTCAAACACATACATTTGTTAATCTGTTCTTCAATCATTTTATACATTTGTAATGAATCATATTTTTCTGGATTATCATGAAATTCTACCATACCATCTTTTTGATTGATCTGTGCAAATATTTCACCATTTTCAATCTTGAATGAAGGAATGGATGACAAAAAAAAATTTTAGAATTTTAAAAAATAATCAATCAATCAACAACACATACCATATGAAGAATTTTCTTTTCAGCTTCTTCAACATTCGGTAGATGAACACGTTGGGCCATATCTTTCAACGATAGTGTCATAAATGTTTTGGTCAATTTTTGCATCTTCACTTTGACCAATGAACTAATCACTTGTTTGACGAGGCCAATATTTTGATCATCTTGAAAATCTTTACGATAAGTATCTAATAAATCGTTCAATGATTCAATGGATCCATTTGTATATTCAGTTATAAGCATATTATAAGGGCCACAAAATGGTTTTACTGAACGATTAAGATAATTATTCACTTGTTTTGCCATCAAAGGTATAACACGTCCATTTTGTAATAATGAAACAAGAATATATTTCTTATATGCTTCGATTGAAATTTGGGAAATCGCAGCACCGGTAACTGATAATACCGTTTGAAAGAACAGAAAAGCACGTTCATAATTCTGTATGATTGAATATATAATACCACCATAATAATAATAGGAAAGAAAATATTTTACATCATAACAATCATTTTCACGACTTATATCGGTGATATCGATATCAAGAAATGTCAGTGCTGGTTTCAAACATTTTCCAATCAATGCCAATTTACATAGATCTGTATGTATCGATGTTAATTGTGTCGGTGATTGTTGTACTTTTTGTATAGATCTTGATAATGGCTCTAAACCTTTTAATGGTTGATCAATTTCCATCAGGTATTCAGTCAATGAATGACATAATGATGCAACTATTTGAGAAAAAAAGTGAAAAAATTAAAAAAAAATCCATCTATCAATGAAAAAAAAATCAAACTTACAATGATTCGGTGCTTGTTTAATCTGATTTTCATTACAATCATTTATGAATTCAATAATTTGTGATATCGATTGTCTTGATGATGACGATGATTTCGTTGGATTAGCCGTATTATTGTTGTTATTTTTATTGGATGAACTTGCCGTTGTCGTTGATGATGATGAACTTGCATTGACACCACCACCACTGCCATTCAGATTATTCTGTTGATTTGTTTGTTGTCGACAAAGCCTTAAATCCAAAGAAACAAAAAAAAAATTTGAATGAAATAAATTCAAAAAATTTTGTTCAGAAAAAAAACTTACAAATAAAGAATAGCAACAGTATTTTCTTGGATATCTAGATTTCGTATCAATTCATCGACAATCAATGAATTTTTAAATGCAATATCACCAAATATATAATCTGCCATCTGTGTATATTGACCTGTATAGAATGTAGAAAGAAAAACGGTTGAAATTCTAATAATTCAAATTTATAAATTATAGAAAATAATAAAAAAAAACCTTGTAACGAATGTGACCGTATTATGGCCAATAATTTATCCGTCGACATGTTTGATGACGATGACGATGGTGTCAATCGATCTTTAACAAAACGTAATAGATCCGTATTCGATGGAGGAATTTCAAAAAAAATCAAATTCTTTTTGTTAAAAAAATTCTTTTGAAAATTCGTTGATGTCAATTCAATGAAGCATGCGATGAATTATCTCATCAGAAAGAAAGAAACAAAAATCAATCATCATCATCATCAACATCAATGAATAATGTATTCATAAAGGACGTGTCAAAATGAATGGACCGTTGTTTGTCGCAGGCATTTGAATTCGAATTTACTCATATGATGCAGTGTCGAAAAGATTTTTGAGCCCGCCAATTTATCGATAAATCAATCATGTCATCAGATATTGATCAATCAATGCAAATAATGGAGATTGTTCAATCGATCAATCAGGCCATTTCGACAGCTAACTTGTGAGTAAAGATTTTTTTGCACCCCTTCTTTTAACTTTTAAAATGATTCCATTTTTTGTTTGTTTAATTTGTAAAAGAGCACAATTTAAATCGATCATTGAACCATTGGGCAATGATATCAATCAATACATTATTGTGGATGATGAATCAGATACACAGATGAATATATTGCATATAATAGCATCACGTGAATACCATCCAATGGCTATCGATAATGATAATTATCGATCGGATGTATTTCATAAATTTATCGATATAATTCACCAATATGATCAATTCGATGTTGATTATCGTGCATCGATTGATGGACAATACAATATGACCGCCGCACATATTGCTATCCAATGGCAAAATCTACCAATGCTTGAAGCATTAATATTTTATGGTGCAGATCTATTAATTTGTGATTGTAATGGACAAAATGTTCAGGATTATGCCCGTAATATTGGAAATGATCAATTGTTTCGATTGGTTAAACGTTCCATTTATGAATCGATTGAATCACGATTAGAATTTTCGCATCCAAATCTAGATAATCATCATCATTATAATGATGGTGATAATGGTTATTATTATGCTGTACCAAGACCTGTTGCACGCGATGATGAGGATGATTATGATGATGATGTTAATTGTTCTTTAGCTCCTCATTCATCATCATCAACATTGGCTATATCAAGTATTAGTGGTTATCAAAGATCTCCATCCATTGGTAGACAAAGTTCGACAAATTTATCAATCACACCGAATCATTCATCGATCATTGATCGCTTTAATTCTAATGCAACATTTACATCGGAAGCAAATTCTGAAACATCATTATCATTTCGTAGTTTTCAAAATCTATTGAATCAAGCATTCTATCATCATCGTAATCATTCATCACAACAAATTATGACCAATAATAGTGATTCAAATATTAGTGAAAATAATCTAAATCAAGATGAAAATCATCGTGAAGAATCATCACTGATGATCATCAATGATAATAAAAGTCAAAAATCCAATAGTGCCAATAATAATAATTACGAAACCATAACGGTAGTGAAAGAAAGTGATGTTGAACTTGTTGAACAACGATTCGAATCTGTTTCTAGTCCTTTGAAGTTAGACATATCGAATGAATCATCTGCATCGACAGAATCCACTGGATCCAATATTGATGAATTCATTATGAAAATGAACGATACACAATTACGTCAGGAATTAAATCGTTTTGGATTCGAAATTGTAGGTCCATTAAATTCTCATACACGTCATTGTTATCAACGAAAATTTCATACATTACGTAAAGAAAATGAACAACAAGCACAACAGAATCAGCAAAAACAGCCTCAACGACAAAAACAAACGGAACAAGACGGTGAAATTCAGGCCAAAATGGCTAATTATCATATCGAATTTGACTTGATTCGTTCTCGAAAATTTCCATTCATTGAAGCACGTCGTTACGAAATGCAATTGATAGAACAATTTTCGATATCGACGATGAATAATGATGATAGTCCAGAATTTTCGACACTTCGAAATGGAAAGAAAAAATTCACAATTAAATCGGATCAAACATATTTTGTTTATTTATTATTAGATCCTTCTATTACGAAAAATTTACCAGCACAAGTAAATTTATTACTTGATGATCAAACTCAATCGAATGATAATCCAATGGAACAATTTTGTACAATGATCAATGATTATCGCTTGTTTTATCGATTTATATCAGCAATATTTTATGTTGGTAAAGGTAAAAATGATCGTCCATATCAACATTTTATCGATGCTCATCGTGAACGTAAACAACCTACAAAATTGGATATAAAACCAAAAATCCAACGAATCTGGACAATATGGGATCGTGGCTTGGGTCCGATTTCACTTAATGATTGTCAAGGTATTAAATCGGATGAAGCACATGCACGTGAAGCATTGATCATCGAAACAATTGGTTTATTTAATCTTACCAATCAAATTGCCGGCAGTTATCGGCAACAATTACAATTAAATCAACGACAAAAAAGTATATTAGGTACATATTTACTTTATAAATTTTTTATAATGTATTTATGTACCGGCGAAAGACAGATTCGAATTCCTTGAACTTTTTTTTTGTATAGTGATCTTTCTTTTTTTGATCTCCAATTACTTTTTTTCGTTCATTAAAAAAAATTTATCATCATCAGTATTTTTGTTTTTTTTTCTTTTGCAATTTAAATTAAAACAAAAACTTTTTTTTCGTTCAATAAAGCAAAGGTTTTCGTTGTACAATGATGTTACACAATTTCGGAAAAGAACGACAAGTTTAATTGAATTGAATTGAATGAAGTGGATATACAAAAAAAAGAAGAGAAAAAGAAAATAAAATGTTCAAAATACAAACACGAACGCACACAAACAAATTACACAATTAATTATTGAATTGATGAATATATTTGAAAGAAATAATAAAAGAAACAAAGAAAAAAAAACGAATACAAAACATAAACAACACACGCACAAATATAAATCAATGAGAATGATGAAAATGAAAATGTGAGATGATGAATAGTTTTGTTTTTTTTGTTGTCTTTCGTGATTTTTTTTTGATATTTTTTTCGTGACGATTAATCAAAACGCAAACACACATGCAGAACCAAGATGTAGGTGATGTTGATGATTTAAAATCTTCTGAAATGTGGGGGGAGATGATGAGAGAATCACATTGTTTTTTGTTTACTTTTTCAATTTTAAAGATGATGATGATGATGATTTGTGGATTTTATGTTAGTTGTTGTTGATGGTGGTGGGTGTGTGCAATTGTTTTTTTTTATATTTTTGTTGATAATTAGCTAGCTGCTTGTTGTTGTTGTTGTTGTTTGTGATTGTCGTCTAATTTGACGGCTATTGCTTTCATCGCTATTATTATTATTATTATTATTATCAGAGCTGCATAAATTCATTGTCATCGTCGTCATCATGGCCGATGGTGATGATAAATTTCCATGATGTTTTGATGATGATATCGATGATGTATTCGTTACTGTATCTTGTGGTGGTGGTTTCAGATTCATCACCTTACATATCCAAGGTGCAATATCCACTTTTTCTTGTTCCGAACGTTTTATATATGGATGATTCTAATTCAAAAAAAAAATTTAAATACAAACATTTACAATTTCCGTTTGATAAAACACACAAACACAAACAAACTTACCATTAAACCATTAAGATCAGGTCGTTCACTTGGATTCTTTTTTAAACAAGAATCAACAAAATCTTTAAATTCCCGACTAAATATGCTCAATGGTAATGTTGGTGGTGGATCCGTGACAATATAATCCAATTGAGCAAATATTGATAATGGTTGTACGGCTAAACAGTCACTACCACCGCCACTTCCACTGCTGTTACTATGATTTGAGCCAAAATTCTGTTGTTGTTGATGTTGTGACGATGATGATGATGATTCTGGAATGATTAAAGGTGATGATGATGTCATCGTTGTTGTTGATGATGATGGATGATCCATTTTCGGATCATAATGATCACCAAATATCATACGCAATACTTTTTCATTTGGTGGTGGTATTGGATAACGGCCTAATGCCATTTCAACTAATGATAAACCAAGACTCCATATATCTGATTGCACGGAATAATGTATTCCTTGTAAACGTTCGGGCTAAATAAATAATTGATCATTTATCAATCATGAATAGAATATAAATTAAAGAATTGAAGATAACATACCGACATGTATGAACGTGTACCGACAAATGAATTGGCCATCGAATCAATTAATTGTCCACTAACACCAAAATCACAAATTTTTATTTCACCACGTGAATTTACCAATATATTTGATGGTTTTACATCTATATTGGTGGAAAAAAAATTTAAAATTTTCAAAATCAATAAACTCGCATGAATTACCTCGATGAATAATTTGATGTTTTTCACGAAGATAATTTAATCCTTTAATAACAGTCGTTGTCACTTTACCCAAAATATGTTCATCAATACGGCCAGCATTTTTCAATACCAGATCAAATGATCCACCATCCTATGAAAAATATGAATGGAAAAAATTTCAAAATTATTTTTCAAAAACTCAAAAAAAACCATTCAATAAAACAAATATACCATATATTCCATACAGATATTAATTTCACCATCCGAATAAAAGGCACCATAAAAACCAACGATATGTGGTGAATTACAATTATGTAATATTTTCAATTCTCTAAGTATTTGATTACGTATCACAGGTTTCACTTCTAATCGAATCATCTTTCTGGCCATTATTGTTTGTGTTGGACGATGTAATACTTTACTAACGACACCACCATTACCAGAACCTAATGCATGCATTTCGATAAAATCATCGGCGCTGACTAAATCACCGACTTTACGTTTTGATAATATAAATGTTTCTAGCCGTATCCGTTGTTGATCATCTAATTCCAAGCCTTCCAGTGTTCGTAATAATTCATTTAGATTTGCATCTGCATGTTGTTGTTGTTGATCAGCAACAACATTTGAATCGCTATTTTTTTCGGTCAACGTAGATTTTTTCATTTTCGATTGTTGCTGTAAACAATGTTGTTGTTGTTGTTGTTTATTACAATGATCATTTGATTGTTCATCAATGAAAAAATTTTGATTCTGTACATGATTTTGATTTGATGATTGTTGTTGCTGTCGATGACTTGATGGTTGTTGTGAATTTAATAATGAGATTGGTGCTAATTGTGGTGGTATAAAACTGCCACCAACACCACCACCACCACCATTATTATCAATAATTCCTGTATTATTTATTGATGATGATGATGATGGAATATTGTTTACATGATGGATCGAATCATTTTTTATTGTCGATACATTATTATTATTATTATTATTATTACTCGATGATGGCAAATTATTATTGGCCGTCGTGATTGTTGCCGATGATGATGGTAATGTTAAGCCCAATTTATTCTTATTATTTGCTAGGCTACTCATTTTGACTGTTGTAAAATTGTTGATTGATGAAAGCGAATAATTTTATAAAAATTTAAAAAAAAAAAATTCAAAAAAAAAATTCACATTCACACAGTAAATTAAGTAAATGAATTAATTAGAGAAATATAGACAATAATAATTGATAAAATAAATGATATCAAAGTTAATTTAAGATCAGAAAAAAAAGAATTTCAAATTAATGATGAGAATTTTAAATTCATTTTTGTCTTGTCGGTTTTCGTTTTCAGTTCAAATCAAATCAGATGATTTTTTTATTATTTCTCACTCGCACACACACACACACAAAACACACATCATTCGTCCAAGATATATGATGATTTTTTGTCGTTCTTATAATAATTTATTATTACATAACTGTTATATGCATGGAATTTGTATGAAAACAAGAAAAAAAAAGAGAAAGTAAAAAATATAAAAAAAAATCACTTTAGTATTCGATTAATTCTTCTTTTGTTGAGCATTGTCTTTATACTTTGTGTATGTGGTTATTGTTGTGGTTGTTGGTACATAACTGTTATATGGATGGAATTTGTATGAAAAGAAAAAAAGAGAAAGTAAAAAATATAAAAAAAAATCACTTTAGTATTCGATTAATTCTTCTTTTGTTGAGCATTGTCTTTATACTTTGTGTATGTGGTTATTGTTGTGGTTGTTGGTAGTGGCGTTGAGTACACACACACACACACACACACACAAACACAAACTTACAGCTGCTAATGATGATGATGTTGATAATGTGATGGGTAACCAGAATTTTTTTTTTTTTTTTCTCGGTAAAGTTCACCATTATATTGTGGTAGTAGTAGTAGTAGTAGTAGTAGTAGTAGTATTCACATTGAATATTTTTTGTGTGTAAAAAAAATATGTGGCCATCCATACAAGTGGTACGATTTGTTACGATTCACAATGATGATTTTATTTAAGCATGTGACTGTGTTTATATACAGGATTTTGTGTTTCATCCATAAAGGACGTTAATAAAGGTCAATAATAAAGATTGACATCACATAAAGGTGTAAATAAAATGTAGAAAAAACATATCACACAGCGCCATCTAGTAATAAAAATTTTTATTTACAAAAAAAAATATTTGAAAAAATGGATTCATTTCAAATGACAAAATCAAAAAACAAAAATCATACATGACATACGAAATATAATGATAAAAAAAATAAATGATAACCGATAACAAATAATTGTAGATTGTAGAAAAAAAATAACTGTGAAAAAAAAACGAATAACTCAACAAATTAAATTAAACACCACGAGGTTGTCCAAAATAACAATAATAATCGATAGTATCGAAATATATTATATCAATGATGATCGATATCGTCAAGATGCAAGATATATTCGAACTGATGACCATTCTTCATCTTCTAACGATAATATTCTTTGTGATCGAAAACATTTTTCAGCATCAGATTTGGAATTAAATTCAACAGATGCAATCAAATGATCTTCCGCTATATTTGACAATGATTTTTGATGAATATCTTTAAATAATTTATCATGACTTGGATAGAATGTATGACGATCGAAAATTCGAACAGAATGTATGAGGCCAAACATGGCAAAATCATGATGAATCAAATCAACATTAGCTTTGATGGCCGGTACACCAATCACGACAACAGTTCGATTATATTTATTCTGATCATCAATCGGTGGTAATGGTATTTTACGACGAATTTTGGTCCATAAATCATTCAATTCCAATCTATCTGATCCAATATAATATAATGCATAGGCAATAAGACGTATTGGTTCTGGATGAAATTTCGTTATCGATTTAATACGACGTAACGATGCAATCAATGATATGTTAACAAAACCTTGTTTATTACGGCGAATATTTTTACAAAGAAATTCATTTTGAATTAGATTTTCATCGGTAAAATATTGTTCAATTTGTTCAACAATATGTTTCAATACATCTGTGCTGGGTATTGGATCAATTACAATGTCTAAATCATCTGTATCGGAATTTGAACATGAACCACATGTAGATGATGCTGATGAACTGCTACTTCTACCACTATCATTGGCCAAGGTCATTGATGAAGATGAAGACGATGAAGATGATCGTGACTTGTGAATCTTGTCGAATTCTTCATAATCATCATCAAAATAGATTGAACTTTTGTCGCTATAAAGATTGTGAATCATTGTGTCAAACAACAATAAAAAAAATAGTAATTGGTAATTAATTTGAACACAAATGAAGATGAAGAATTTGATCTCAAATGTCGAATGTGTCGATGTCAAACAAAAAAACAAGACAAATTACAAATGATGATTGATGTTCAACAATTCATAAAGATTTTATTTCAATCAAAATATCCGATTCATCAGTAAGTTGATTTAACTCAAATTGAATTTTTTTTTTTTTTTTTGGTCATCAACGATAAATAGAAGCAAAACAAAAAGTGGACATGTGTCCACTCATCATCAATGAATTTAGATTTTCTATTTCTATTTCTATTGCTGTTTGCATATTTGTATATATGTGTATGTATGACTGTATTTTTGTTCACATTCTTACTCATTGATCAATCGAATTTCATTTTTTCTTTTAGCTCTAATTGATGAATCAGCACATACACACACACACAAAGTCAATGATGACTGTTTTTTATGTGTTGTGTATTTGATGGCAATGAAATGGAATTTTAGGCCAAAATTACTCAAAAATGATTGACCACATTGAATTGAATTGGACCAATTCAACATTGATTCAATTCACAGTAAACGTTGTTAACGGAAAAAAGTAAAATTTCATTTAAATTTATTATATTGAAAATATTATGATACAAATATTAATAATAATTAAATTTCAATAATTTGTTTCTTCTTTTTTTCTGTATAGATATTGTAATCATCATTCAATCAATCAATCAATCAAATTGTTGTTGAAGAAATAATTTAATTTTACATTTTTTTTTCTTCGTTGTTGTTGCTTTGAAGAAGAACAAGAAAGAAAGTTTGTGATGGTTGAAAAACTGAATGAATAAAAATCAAGAAAATTGGAAGAATTTGTTGTGGAAAATAAAAACATAAATAAAATTTATCGAAATTTAGCTTTGTTTTTCATTATTATTATTATTATTTCCACCATATTCCATATCATTACTGATGATGAACAACGATGTTGATGATGATGATGATAATGTTTGACGATTAATATTCGAAATTTAAAAATCAATTATTGATCTGGATTGTTGTCAATGATGAAGACTCTATCTCTGGATTGTGTGTGTGTGTGTGTGTGACGATAATAACGACGATGATGATGATGATGAAGTAAATTCATTTAAATTTTCAATGAATGAATATTATAATCACAGAATATGTGTTTGTGTGTGTATGTAAGTTTGGGGCATTTGAATCAATGAATATCCAATCAATCAATCAATCAAGATTTGTAATGATTATCAGAGAATCATTATCGATTCCATTTCCATAAATTGTTATTTCTATGTGGTGATGATATATTTACAAAATGTATCATTGAGGTGTGTGTGTGTGTGTGACATATTTTTTTTTGATTTATAAAAGAAAAGAAGAAAATTTAAACAAAAACTATAATTATGTTTTTTTCAGATGAGAAAATTGATTGATTGTTGATGGTTGTTGTGGGGTAGGCTGAGGGGCAAGAGATTAAAACAATGATCCGAAACGATAAAATCGAATGATTGATTGATTGATTGCTTGTTGTTTTTTTTTCGATTAGATGATCATATCAATGTGGTAAAAAAAATGATGATGAAACACATCAATCAATTCAAGATTCAATTATCAAATTTTTTTTTTAAATATATAACCAACATTATCGATTGATTAGAAAAAATAAAATTTAGAAATTTTTCTCTCTGTCTCTTTTTTTTTTGTTTCAAACATGTCGTATACAGAGCAAGTGTTTTTACAGGCAATGTGTTTATGTTTAGGTGTGTTGTAAGCAAGATATCATTGATGATGACCGAGGAATAATTTGGATCAAAATTTGTTTGATGAATCAATCAACTGATGGATGGATAGGATTGTTGTGTAAAAGCAAAATAATCAATAAAAAAAAACAAGAAGAAAAAAAACACAGGAATCATGGTGAGTAAAATTTATGGTGAAGAGGAAAAAAAATTTGCCGAAATGAATGAATGAATGATGATGATTCACAACAATTCAGTGTAGTTTGTGTATGCAGCAGCAGCAGCAGTAGCAGTATTTTTGTTTAGTTGTTTTTTTTTCTTCCAAATGTTGTCATCTGATTTTAGAATGATGGTGATGATTTTCCGTTCTTCTTCTTCTTCTTCTTTATGTGATCAATCAATCATCATCAATTATCAATTATAAATTAATTAATTAACTAATATTTTTGAGAAAAATAATTTGAAAAAACAGGTTTTTTTTGTTGAAATTCATTGAATTTGACATTTTTTTCTTTGTTGATGAAAATGATTTTGGCCATGAATGTTTGATTGACGACGATGATGATGATGATGATCAATTTTGTAATAAACATTGATGATGATTGTGATGAATTATCAATTTGTAGTGTCGATGATGATGATTTTTTTTTCATTCACGATTCTGATTGGGTATTGTAGATTGGTTTCTCTTTTTTTTTTAAATTTCAAAATTCATTTTCTTAACGATTTGACCTTTTTCTTTTTGCAAAAACAACAACATCTAAACAACATATACAGAAACAAAAAGGAAAATGGTTTAATTAGTGATTTTTTTTTCTCTCGTTCAAATAAAAATAAATTATAAAAAGAATTAATCATCATTGACTATTTACTTTGTTTCTGATACGGCATCAAGCTCAATTGGGCCAGTGATTGGCGTATTTGAATGACCAGTAACAGGATCATCATTTGTGAGATCACCATTTGTTGAGCTAACAACTTGAACGGAACCGCCCAAGCGTTCAGTTGATGTAAGACCAGATGAGCCTAATAATTTTACACCACCAGGATTTGTATTGCTCATCGGTATACGGACACGATCATTAGGATCACGATTAACATTATTGCCGGATTTTTCCGGTTGCCGTTCGGACCAAGCATTTTTACTACGATCCGATTTGTTCACATTTGATTGCTAAACAAAAAAAAATAATTAAAACAAACAAACGAAACGAAAAAAAAAAACAAATTAACCAATCAATTATAGAATGATAATCATCATTATTACCTTCATATGAGATGAAAGATGTCGATCTCTGACCGAGATTCTTGGTTCCATCATTTGCATCTATGGTTTGTGTGTGTTTTTTGATTAAAAAAAGAAAACAATTAAAAGTTAAAGAAAAACAAAATATAACAATAATAACCTGTTGTTGTTGTTTTTCAGTCCAATCATATATTCCATCATTTTTATGACCTTCACGTTCAAATAATTTGATAAATAGATTGCGTAAATATTCATAATCAGGTGTTTCAAAAAAATCCAAACGACGAACATAACGAAGATAGGTAGCAAATTCTTCTGGATATCCTTCACAAAGTATTTCAATAGGTGTCGATTGTTTTGTTTCACCAATTTTTGCATAACGTTCTTTTAATGTATCCGCTTTTAGACCTTGCCATGGAAGGCTACCACGTAAGAAGTACATAAACATATGGCCAATTGCTTCTAAATCATCGCGTCTACTTTGTTCTATATGGATACAAAAAATAAATGAATATAAAATTCATCAGTCATCAATATTTTTGTTGTTACAGAGAGAACAGTGAAAAAAAGACCATTTACCTTTACCAAGATGAGTATTAATACTCATATAACGTGCTGTACCAGTCAAACTTTTATGTTCTCTATATGGTATATGTTTTCCAGTTTCAGGATCAATATATTCTTTGGCTAAACCAAAATCAATTATATGTAGTACATTTGCTTTACGTGAATTTGGCTTGCCAAGTAGAAAATTTTCCGGTTTTACATCACGATAAATTAGATGTTTTGAATGAACATATTCTATCCTGGTCAGCTATATATGTCAACAAAAACAAAACAACAAAACATTAAAAATATTTTCAACAAAAACAAAAAAAAAACTAAAATCCAAAACAAAATACACATACAATTTGTAATGCAATTTGTATAACGGTTTTCACTGAGAATTTACGATCACAGAGATCAAACATGTCTTCAAGGCTTGGACCAAGTAATTCCATGACCAATGCATTATATTTTCCACATGAACCAAAATAATATAATTTTGGTATGCCTTCTATTTCATTGAAAATGAAAAAACAAAAAAAAGAGCCATAAATCATCAAACATCATGGAAAAAGAAAATCCAACAACAACAACATACCAACATTGCCAAGAATTTTATAGAAACGAAATTCCAAATGTAATTGTGGTGCTTTCGATTTCATTGGCTCCAATTTAATGGCTACATGTTCATTATTGTAAAGATTTTTACCTTCGAACAAAACAAACAAAAAAAAATTAGATCCAATTAATTAGAAAAACATTGTACAGCTGCCTAAACTTACCTAAACGAAGTACACCAAAATTTCCACGTCCAATCTCTTTACCAACTTTGAAATTTGGTCCAACCATCATTACAGCATCTGAACTGTTCGTACTAGACGAACTACGACTCTGTGATGAATGCATTGCACAATGATGACAATCAACAACAACAAAAAAATTTGGATATCTGGTTGTTTTGAATTTTTTTTTCTCTCTCTTCCAATATATCAAACAAATGATTTCGTTTTGATGAAAAAAAAATTCGTGTTTTACACACACACAAACACACAGAAACAAAAACACACCAATTGAATTGTACACACGAAAATAAAAAAACAAAACAAAAATCTATAGATTCAAATATCAAACAAATATTTCATCAATGAAGAGTTCTTTTCTTTCACACTGTCTGTGTGTGTGTATGCGTGTGTGTATGACTGGTTGATTGATCTCTATCACAAGCACACACACACACACCCTCCTTCTTATGATGATTAGTGTGTATGATGATGATATAAATATCGATCTGATGATTTTGTTGCAATAGAAAAAAAAAAAAAAATTGAATAACAGCAATGATGATGATGATGATGAAATATAAATAACTGGTCAAACAAAAAAAAAAAAAAACCACATGAATGTTTCAAATGTTTCAAGACAAAAAAAAAGAAAAGAAAATTAAACTTACCAGACAGATGAAGAAACAATGGATAAAAAGTGATATTGTTTTTATCGTTTTTCTTGTGAGCAAACGAGAGATAGAATCAACCACGTTTTTGTTTCGTAAATGCCATTTTCATGATCGAACAAAATTGATTTGATTTTGTAGAATCGTTTCGTTTTAGTTGATTTTTGTAATGTTTTGAAGATTTATTTTTTTTGTGTGTGGTTCGTTTTTGTCAAGAATTATGATTCAGTGTGTGTGTATTGTTTGTAAAATCAAAAAAAAAAAAAACAAAACAGGATAATATTAAAAAGGGCAGAAAAGAACAACAACAACAGCGAGAGAGAGAGAGAGGTATATATTAAATTATCATTTGTCGGTTGATCTGGTGATAATCATCATCATCATCATCATTTATTAAATCAAGAAAAACTGAGTATCAAAATGTCCTGAAACATCCATGTAGTTATTGGGTTTTGTTGTTGTTGTTGTTGATTTGATTTGATTTGATTTGATATGATCAATGTCATCGCCGTAAATGTCAGAGAAAAAATGGAATAAAAAAAAATTTTTGATTGATGAAAAAAAAGAAAAATTTTTAGAAATTAAAAACAAAAAAAATTACCCAAAATTTTATAAAAAGTTCGATTGATGAGATATGATTTTATTCTTGTGTGGGAAAAAAAAATAATGTGAGACACACATGTGGACAAAACAATGGATATAACAATGAGAAAAAAAACAAACAAATTTCAACAGATAACAATTGCTTAAAAAAACCGATTGAAGATTCTGATTTCAAATTGAATATTTTTCTTTGGAAGAATCAAAATCAAATGATAAAATCAAGAAAAAAAAAGATGCACTGAAAACACACGTACACACACACACACATACACACATATACACTAAAGGCACACAAGTTGATCATTCGAATTGAATTTTTCATTTATGATGAAAATTTTAATGTCATCTTTTTCTTTTGGTGAAATAGAATAGAATGACAAACACTAAACAAAAAAGAGAAAAAATCATAATTATTCATCATGAATTTTACAAAGTTCAAATTACAATAATAATATTACCACCAATCAATCAATCAATCAATCGATGAATGTTTTTCGTCTTTGATGGTGAAAAATAATAAGAACAAATAAAACATTTGGATCAAGCATTTTTTTTGTTTCATTCAGAATTCTCGTTAAATAGTTGGTTTATATATGGTGTTTCCATAGAATTTAATTTCCAAGAAATTGAAAATATCGATCATTCGATAATGACGACGACGACGACGACCATCATCATCATCATCATCATCGCCAAAAACCACATTAACAAAACATCATCATCATCATTAGTTTTTTCTTCTTGGACACAATGATGATATTTCAACAGCAACAACAAATGAAAAAAAAATTCATTTCAATCAAGAGATTCACTTTTTCTATTACAGCAACAATGTTGAAAAAGATTTCAGATGATTTGAAGAAAAAAAATGATGATGATGATGAAGATATTATAAAGATCAGCGGATATTTTTTTTCTATCCAATTCAATTATCCTCAGTGTATATACACACACACACACACACACAGGGCACAATAATACATATGCGGCCTCGCCAAAAAAAAAAAAAAAAAAAAAAACCGTATTATACACACACACACACGCATACAAAGATCATAGAGCTCGAATCATCATCATCATCCTCGACATCATCATCATCATAATAATCATCATCATAATTCGTAGTTTTTGTGTGTTAAATGTTAAAAAAAAACAGACAGACAGATGTGGATTTGGTAATTTTTTTTTATTTTCTTGGATAGATAGATAGATAGATGATATACAGAGACAGACAGACAGACAGACAGTGAAACATTGTATTGTATTGTATTGTGTTGTGTTGATTTGAGTTGAGGGTGAGAATATTGATGAAAAGAAAAAGAACGAGGAGGAGGCCTTAGGATTCAATATATATATATATATATATTATATATTGAATTGAATTAGTTTCTCACACGCATACACACACACACAATATATATATCAAAATGAGTGATTTTTTTTTTTTTTGGTTCATTTCATTTTACGTTATAGTAACGTTTTTGGTTAATTCCGATTATAATTAAGGAATAGTCACAATATAAAACATAATTTCTTATGCATAATGGTAGTGGTTTATATTTAAATTGTTTTAAAAAAAAAGATTATATCCAACACACATTGAAATGAAAAGAGCACCCGAATAAAAGCCGGATAATAATATGTGGAAAAAAAAGAGAAAAGGTGGATGAGGAGGATGAAAAGAGAGAATAAGTGCCATAAATCGAAGGCCAACGACATAAAGGTGAAACTCGATTAAAAAAAAAGTGGTTGTCGTTGTCGTCGTCTTCGTCATCAATTGTGATAACCAAAACAACACAACACGTCAAGTTATTTGTGTGTCTGTTGATATTTTATGTGATTGTTTTGTTCACATAAAGTGCAAAGAGCAACAACAACAACAAAAGAAAAGAAAAATATATTTATCTTTATCGTCGTCAGAGTGAGCTAGATTAAATGATTTTCTCGGCAAAAAAAAATATTCAAACATTTCAAAACCAAAAAAAAAATCAAAGGGTCAAAATAATTTTCTTTATTCTTTGGGAAAAAGGTGTAGAAATATTTTTGGAAACCAGTGAAAAAAAATAATAAAAAATTCGTTTCTCAAAGATTTTTCATTTGTTTCATAAGATCTTCCAATGAAACATTATCATTATTTGATGATTGATTGGTCGTTGATTCTTTTTCATTTGTTGTTGTGGGTTTTTCATACGCATATCGAATACCTTTGGCTACTGCTACATGATCAGATGATTCGACAGTGGTAGATTCATCCACTACCGAAATATTCCATTCATTATCTTCATGTTCAATAATGTTGTCTGCGTCTTCAATTTTCGATTGTTCCGATGGTTGATGATTACGTAGTTGAATTAGATATTCTTTTTGTCGACGACAACAATATGAATCATCACAATTTGGATTTGGTTTCATTGACATTAGTGGGAAAAAATCATTCAATGCATTATAGCCAAGATAATGGGATACATCACCAAATTTTAGTAAATATTTAAGGGCATTCTGTACTAAAAGACCGGCAACAATACCCATAGTTGTTGGTAGGCTAGCAGCACATACACCTTCTTTTTTCAATGTTCTTTCATCGATATTTGATGCAACAACCAATGGTGGAGCACACTTTACATGGGAAAACATGAAAAGGTTAATGTTTGATTATTGCGAAAAAACAACAACAACAACAAAGGAAACTTACAGCAAAACACGCGGTAACACCTGGTTCAATATATTGTATGTGGCCGGAAACAGCATTTTCAGAAACACCGGATTCAAACCATGTTTGCTGTAATTCATTACATGCTGTATTTATTGCCATTCGTGCTTCGAAATTATCCACACAGCTTAATACTAAATCTACTCGATCATTTCGTATGCTACCAGTACGTAATGTTTGCATAAAATGATCGAAATTATCCACCGTGGTAATATTATAATTATTTGTATCAATCTCAACATCAGGATTAATAAATTGTAATGTTTCACGTGCAGCATCCACTTTACATTGACCAGATTGATTTGGTTGAAAAAACAATCGATTCATATTGGCCAATTCAACTTTATCATAATCGAATAATATTAATTTACCAATACCACAACGAGTAAGCATTTCGGCTGTAACACTACCAACACCACCAACACCAACAATTGCGATGGTAAATTGACGAATTTCCTAATGTGGTGAAAACAATCAAAATTAGAAAATGTTTTTATCATAACAAAATGAATCGAATGTTTATCTTTACCTCATAATTACGAACGATACCCATTCGTTTCAATGCCATTAAACGACTATATGGATTTGAATCGACAACAATATCGCTCATTTGTTCAATTTTTTCACGGCCAACAACAGCAGGAACAACATTTGTTTGTTTTGAACATTTTAATATTTCAATCTGTTGTTCCAATGATCGTATTTGTTCTTGAAGTTTTTCAATTGTATTGGCCATTTTTTTAGTTTGTTTGTTTGGTCGATAATTTGGAATGTAATTTGTTTTTGATTGTCGTTGAATATAAATGCAATGTGGCAATAAGTTGATCAATTGCCTCGTGTCATGTTAAAATTATGAACAGCGCCGAATCCTTATAATCATGATCATCATTGGAGAGCAGATGTTATACGGATCCACAATGTATATAACAGGTGTGTTGATTAAATTCGATCGATTCAAAATCATGATAATATCAAAAATATCCCACTTCACAAATGAATAACAAACAACCCATAACATTATAGGAATAATCTTTGATTCATTCATTTTCCAATGTAATTTTACAATTTTATGATTGTTGTTGTTTTTAGTTGCCCCAAAATATTATCGGATATTTTTGTTTTTGAGTTTTATTCGTAATTTTAAAGTTAGAATTTATCTCGTAAAAAGAATTCCACTCTACATCACTGATTGAAATCTTCAAAAAAAAAAATAAAAGATCTATCTGGTTGAACAATCGTTTACTGCAAATGATCATGGTAATACACATATATAACACCATTTTCATGCGGGAATTCTGATATTTATTGCATCGATGGTGAGGAACTGTTCAATTGGTTATGAAAATGACTTACAAGAATGCAAAAACCATTGAAACGTTGGAATGCTGATAATTTTATATAATAATTAAACAAAGATTGCTCTCAAGTAACATCAAGTAATCTATCTTTGGAAACTGGCTGCTGCGTGGCAGTAAATTACAAATGAGATGATGACCGAGTACAAAAATCATTTAAAAATTTAATCTATTAGAGAATTAATTTTTCCAACATGAAGAGTTTTCGAGCAAAATCAAAATGAATTGACAAATCCAATTCAACGAATCAATGGATCAATTCAACACTAAGAATCAATTGATGGAAAAAAAATCTTTAGACCCCCATTTTTGGGGTAGACTTTGTACAGTCAAAGTAAGGATCGAAAGTCAAAGAAATACAAAATGGGAGGAGCTTAATCCTTACGTACATTCCATGTACAGTAACGTATTTTTTGAACGTCTATGATTTCAAATATTTAAATTTCGCTCCAAATTTTGTCTCGCGGTGATGTTCCCGGCAACTTTCTTTTTTCTGAGCCTTTTTTTGATTTTTGGAAATATTATATTGTGTTAACATGGTAACGTCTTCGATGATGAACCCCAGATCAATTTGAACAATTTCATTTCATTTCAATTTTTTTATTTTGTAAAATTTGTATTAATAAATTAAAATAAAAAATAAATAAATAAATAAAGATTGGACTATCAAAATTAAATAAGTTTCATTCGATGCTGAACTTAAGATTGATTATCGTTAAAAATAAATTAGCCTGATGTTTTCATCATTTCATTCTGTAGGACAATGTTACAAATGCCTACGTTTTGGCCATAAATCTGGAAATTGCAGAAATGGAATCATGAATCAAAAACATGTACTTCATTTAGTCAAATGTCTAGTTGCTGAATTGTTTGTGGTTGAACCAACATAGGAAAAATAAGTCTGGTGCCGAAATAAATATCAATCATTCAGTCTTTAGTTTACCATAACCACATTGATTATGGATATTGAGCAAAGGTAAATTAAAATTCTGAAATTTGAAGTCTACGGTGACATTCATTGTGAATTCTAAATATCTTGAATCATCTTTATTCTGAATACAAGAAGCAGATATCATCAATTTCGCTAAATGGATTTTTTGGTTATAATTTTGTCCATCGCAACACCATTCCTAAATGTGCCATTGTTAACTGTTCTAGACCATGGTTTTATCTCAATGATTTTTTTCAATTTTAGTGATTTATTATGTTTTGGTTTTCCTTTATCGCTATATAATATGGAATAGAAGTTTCTTTTTATTAATAAAATTTCATTTCAATTGGAATTCTTTAATACTTATCATTGATGGTAAATCAACTTCAACGACTGTTTCTCAGAATATGTCCCTTTTCAGTTTATGGATTAAATCAAGCCAAATCTTATGCGATAAACAATTGTCAATCATTGCAATCGTGAGTATGTTGTCATCTATAAAAAGTGAGTTTATCATTATAATTATTCTGTCAACGAAACATTCCAGTTCTTCTTCTCTTTTAAGGTACCAGCTATTTTTTCAACAAACAATTTCATATCATGAATCTTTTAAAAAATTCCTCAATCAAGTCAATCCTGCTGAACTGCTGAATATCCATCACCATTGTGCATTTGTGGCCAAATCCAAACTTCAATTCATTTAATCGTCGATTTTCCGCTTGCCAAAAATTTTTATTTTGACTTTTTTTCTGAAAATAATATTGATTTACATTTCAGAGATCATCATATTAAATTCATAGAAATTTGTAGAAATATAATTTCTTCAATTAATTTTCTTTAAAAAAATGATGAAAAGTGCGTGATACTTCGCATCATATTATTTTTTTAATAAATAAATAAATATTTATTCTTTTTTACACAACATAATTTTACTCAACTGATAATTGGATTGATTTCGTTTAAGAACATTTTCTGGTCACTCCATTGAAAAATTGATATGGATACTCAGTAAAAAATCTATTCATGCCAATATCGGATTTGTGATGAACGTTTGGTCTACTTTGAACCAAATAATAAAGCCTAAGATAAAAATAACATTGCATTGTCAGTATGAAGAATATATGCCACGTTGATAATAATTCGGTTCTTATTATTTTTTTCAAAGAAATCACAAAATTACTCATTTGTTCAATTTTTTCACGGCCAACAACAGCAGGAACAACATTTGTTTGTTTTGAACATTTTAATATTTCAATCTGTTGTTCCAATGATCGTATTTGTTCTTGAAGTTTTTCAATTGTATTGGCCATTTTTTTTTGTTTGTTTGTTTGGTCGATAATTTGGAATGTAATTTGTTTTTGATTGTCGTTGAATATAAATGCAATGTGGCAATCAGTCGATCAATTGCCTCGTGTCACGTTAAAATTATGAACAGCGCCGAATCCTTATAATCATGATCATCATTGGAGAGCAGATGTTATACGGATCCACAATGTATATAACAGGTGTGTTGATTAAATTCGATCGATTCAATGGATCCAGTGTGTAACGTTGTTTATGAATAAACATATTCTATGCCAATTTTTTTTTGACGCATTATCCAACACGAGACAAGATTCAATCAAGAATAAATATTTTTTTCTTATCATAAATTTTCATGAATGTAAAAAAATCATCATCATCATATTATGACTTGTGAAATATTGATTAGTATTAGTCTTGGTGATAATTTTCCACTTAAAGATGATTATCTACTTAAAGAATGTAAAACGAATGCCATTTTGGAGGCAAAATTCAATGATGAATTATTACAAAGTGATCCAATTGAAATTGATTCAGCGAATCCAGAATTAGCAACAGAATTAGGTTTCCGTATAAATCGTAAAGATTTTCATCAATTTCGTACTGAACGTAAATCAATTAAATTGCAATGTTTTGTCGAATATTCTACGCAGCCATCAAATGAACGACATTTTATTGGTTATGTTGTATTACATTTACGTGATGCACAAGATTATACAACGGAACCAAAATATAAATGGGTTGTACTATTGAATGCAAAATATAAAGGTTCATCAAATAAACGGCCACAATTATATCTAGCGTTAATGGTGAATAAAAATGAAAATGATACCACCATTGGTGATGGCGGTGGCAACCATTTAGAAACATCAACATCATCGATAATGGAATCATCATCAATCAATCAATTTAGTCGTTCAATTAAAAAAGAAGGTAAATCATATTTTATTGATTCAATAATGAGCATCTATAGTAGTGATTTTAATTCAAATTTGGCCATTGAAATTACGAATAAATGTGTTTATATATGGAATAAAAATATCTGTGATAAAGATGATTGTCTACAGATATTTACCATACACATACATATGAATCGTCCTAAAAATCTTGTGAATCTATTGCCTACCACCAATCATGATGAATCAGAATCATCAATGAATAAGCAACAATATTTTTTCCGTTATGTTCTATTCGGTAAACAAATCAAAACCAATTCATTTTCCGATATCGATGATTGTCAAGATTTCAACATACATAAATATTCTGTCAATCTTCGAACATTCAATAAAGAAATGTTACAAGAATATTTTGAATCCTATCCAACTATTGAAATACAATTCTGTTCATCAAATAATGAATTAATTGGTTTCGTCACAATTAATCTGTTGAAATTATTTCAGCAAAATAATGCTTTTATCCATGGAAATTTTGTTATCGTTCCAGAAGAAGAATCTGTCTACGTGAAGGATCCATTTCCTGTCATCAATCTACGACTGTTTATGTTGAATCAGAATAAAAATGAAACATTTGTAGAACGACCAATTGATTTCATAAATCATTATTATATTGCCATCGATCTGCGTACAATTCGATTAAGTTATACGAATAATGATAATGTATGTCAGATTCTATTCCAACCATTCTATCTACAATTTTCATATGCATTTTTTGGTGCTACTGAACCAATAAAAACATATCCATCGATACGTTTCTCACGTGAAACACCTGAACAAGAAATCACCATACCGCATGGTTTTTGTGGATTTAATTTAGCCACTACGTGTGAAAAACTTTTTTATACATTTGAAAATCTACCTCTTATCATACAATTAATTCTGGATGAAGATAATACATTGCTTGGAACAAGTGAAATTAATCTTAAATGTTTATTGAAAAAATCTCAAACCATTGAAAATGATGGTGATAATAATGATGATGATGATGATGATCAACAACAACAACAACAACAACCGTCCATAAATGAATCAGGCTCAATAATTGATAATAATGGAACGCTCAATGATAATTTTGTACAAATTGAAGCTGCCGTTTATGATGAACTTAGTGATCAGATTTGTGAAATGCAAATCATAATGTTTATACAGGAATTATTTGATACCGTCCATAATAATAATGATGATGATAATAATGATCATACATCATCATCAGCATTTATTCAATCACAACAAATTAAAAAACAATCAATTTCCAATCATCGATTACAATCAACAATTGCTCAACAAAAACGAACAACAAATCCATCATCGAAATCATCGATAATGACACAATCATTATATGGTAATAATGAATTCAATGAATCAATGAAACCAAAACAATCAATGGATTTGATTGAAAAAGAACGGCAATTAGATTTATTAATGAAAAAATTAGATGAACGTGAACGGATATTGTTTGAACAAGAAAAAATTTTGGATAGAAAACAAAAAGAAATTGAAAACAACAGTAAATTTATGAATCCGGATTCTGATCTTGAATCCGTGTTGAAAAAAGTACAATGTGATTATGAAGAAAAAATTAATCAATTAAAAATAAAAAACAATTCATTGGAACAAGAAAAATTTCGTTATCAGGAAAAAAATTATCAATTAGAAAGAAAATGGAAAGAAAAAATGGCCCGTATCCGAGAATTGGAAGCCAAAGTATTTGAATTGACACAGCTGAATAAACGTAAACAATCTGATCACCAATCATCATCGAATAATAATCAACCAAGACGTATTGTAATACAAAGAGATTTTCATCCAGAGTAAGTTGATTGATTGTTTTTATTTTATTATATGAAAATAACAAAAAAAAAAATTTTTTATACAAAAAATTATAGAAACATTGAATCAAATTTGAACAAAATGTCGATAACAAATATGAAAACATCAAATCTACCAGTACGTTCAAAATCAATTACACGTCCATTATGTGGTGGTCAACAACAACAACAGCCATCAACATCGAAAGAAAATTTTTAAAACTTTATCCATATGGACGAATTGAAAACAAATACTAGTCACTTATGCACATATATATGAATATATTGATGATTTGAAATTCTTAATTATTCCCTCATATACACTATTATATATATTTTATAATACACTAGCCTGAACTTTCACTATTATGTTGTAGATTATAATTATTATTACTACCACTACCAACAAATAAAGATAATAATCTTTTTGACATAGTAAACATAATAAATCCTATTAATAAAATAAATGGTAAACCAAATCCAATCAATATACAAACAATAATAATTGTCATTGATGTTGAAAATTGTGTTTCAGACAACGCAATCAATGATAATGATAATGAAAATTCGATTGATGTACCATTAATGGTTAAATCAAATTCATTATCATCTTCAGAATTGAAACGAAAATTTGCCAATTTGTTAATTGTATATGATGATGTCGGTGATTGAAAATAACCATTCAATGCTGATGATGATAATGGAATTGTTGTCATATTTTCAATTGATGGGCTAATCACTTTAAGCGATGTGGCAATCTGTTGTTTATGATCAAAATATGCTACAGGTTTCCAGCCAATAAATGATGATCTGGTTTGATTATTATTATCCACTTTATCAATGGTTTCCATTTGATATAGATAACGCTATAAGTGAATTTTTTTTTGATTTGATTTGATAAAAAAAATTGATTAATTTTAAATTATTTTATAATTTATCTATATGTACCTGAAAAACACCTGGCGTATATTCATCATCCATTCCTGTAAATTTTTCAATCTGGCTATTCAAACGATGACCATCCAATATGGTAGTTAGATTGGCACATAACTGTAAACGGGTATTATTCTGTTTTATTGATTCTGGTATGAAAAGATCATTGATTTCAAATTGTAAAAGATTTCCAGCATTCGAATAGATTAATTTCGGTAACAATTGTTCACGTCCAGAATGAGCAGATGATTTCAAATGAAAACGAAAATTTCCAATTGATGAATTTTCATTACTAAATATAGCTCGAATCGATGATTGATTATCACGAGGTTCAGTAAAATTTACTGACCAATTCAAATGATCAATTGGAATATTATAAAGTAATTGTTTCGATGTCATATTCGCAATGAATAAATCAGTAAATTCAACGCCAAAACTATTTAGTACGGAACCATTTTTGAATATGATTGAATTATTTTCATGTTGAAAAAATTTCAACCAATCAATGGATAATTTTGCCTTTGGTTCAGTTTCAAACAGAATGATTGTTGGTTTATAATCATTGGTGAATATCCATAAATTATGATAAGTAGATTGATTTTTGTCATCGTCCACTTCAGATGTAATATGAACAACATGAGTATCATTACATTCAACAATATTGCAGCCAGGATTTTGTTCATAGAATAATATTCTTTTGGATTGAACAATTGTTCCAAAAACAGCAAAGATGAATACGAAAAATATACGATTGGCCATTGTTAACTGGTTAACGGGTTGTTGTTGTTGATGATGATGATGATTTAACGTAATGGTAGAAAATCAAAACCTAAAATGGCATCCACACAACCTGTGTGTGTGTGTTTATTTCCTCGAGGATTTTTGATTTACTCATCCAAATGTGGGAGTTACATTTAGTCTCTATGAATTTTTCCTCTTCTTAAGGTTATCATCATCATCATCATCATCGGGTTATCAAAATCAAAAAATTTTTTCAAAATACGTGAGAGAGAGTTTATTGAATTGATTTGGATGATTGAAATTTTTTTTTCAATGATGATAATAGTGTGCACCAAAAAAAACAAAAAATTTACAAAACACTTTCAAAACAGAAACACCACTTGATTGTGACGGCAGACACACGGATTTGATGTCGCCTGTGTATTGATTATTTTTTAAAGTCGATAATTAAAAAAAAAAAATGAAAATGACGCATTATATGAGATATAAATCAAAAAAAAAAAAAAAATTAAATTAGAAACGAAAGAAAAAAAAACATCTGTATTGAATGAATTTGATTGATACACACGCGTTGTCTATTTCCAAACTTGGATCCAAGAGCTGTGTAAATAGGTGAGTGAAATTAAATTCAATTTTTTTTTTTGAATGCCGCCAAGTCCCGCTAATTAAGCATGAAGATATAAGAATTGTTTGAATATGGCCAAAATATTTGAATCTACATCATTGGTAAAAAGCAATGATTCATATGTATCTTGATATTTGAATATGAATTGATTGTACTGTGTGATGTGAAAAAGGGGAAGAAAATGATTAAAAATTTGTAAATAATAAATGATCTCTTACCAAGAATAAAACTTCTTGTAAACGACTCATTGTCCAAAAGTACCAATAATTACGAAAACTTTTACCATGTGCTTCACAGCTTTGAATATGTTCGGTAAGTATCATGATGAATCGTTGCAAAATAATCAGGAATAGATTTTTCTGTTCGGATTGTGCTGAATCTAATTTTTCTTCCAATTTTTCAATCATTTCATAAGTAATTGTTTGTTCTTCTTTCAAACTAGGTTCATCACCCATTTGACCATTACCATCTTCGTTTGACTAGAAAAATTTGATTTAAAAATCGGAAAAAACATTATAAATAAAAAAAAACTCACAGTATTCAATTTTGTTCGTGATTCTTCCAATTCGTTGGTACATTTTTTAATATTACGAATTGTTCGTTTGATTGTTGAATGCAACATTTCCCACATGTAAAAACTGTTTAGAAAAGTTTCAAAATTAGTCAGAATTCAAGAGAACAAAAAATTTTTTTGATTCACTTACTTCATAAATTCATCAGAATTGGCTTTAGAAAATACCCAAATAGCTACCGTAGGATATTGTAATACTTCCAATTTCATAAGTTTATCAATCAAAATAACCATCAATTGTTGATGTGTGCTCCACACATCGAATATTGTATTCAAAATCCAAATCTGTGCCTCTTCAGTTTGTGCCAATTTTTTCAATACTTGACGATATTTAGCAATAAATGAAAATGTATGTGTCATTGATTTTGAGGAAACATTCAATAATGTTGTGACAAATATTTCAATTTTCATTTTTAATAATGTTGATGAATTCATTGGAAATGATCGTTCTCCATTATTTTCGTCATCATCATCATCATCATCATCATCGGTAATTTCGTTCAAAATATCAATAATTTCATCAACACTACATTTAGCACGTAATGCATCAATCATATTGTTTACATTTGAATTTGTATATTTAGGTTCTTCTTGTTGATCATCATCATCATTATTATTATTATCGTTATTTTTATTATCATTTGTATCATCATTCATTGTTTTATCATTATCAATATCCATTCGTTTATCTTCTTTTGGTTTAAGAAATTTATTCTTTGGTTTCGCCAATTCTGGTGCCAATTTATGGAATGTTTGTGGTGCACTTTCAAAAACTTTTGTATGATATGATAATCGTAAACAATATTGTAATGTTTCAGCAATGAATTTCGGTTTCGGATGCAATGGTTCATATTTCAATGCAATACTCCAATCATCCCAATTCCAACGAAATTGAAAATTACTTAAATGATATGCAAACCAAGATGCAAAACGATTAATACAAGCACCGTTCATTGAGTCTAATCGATCAAATAATAATTCAACAGCTTGTGCTAATACCTGTGGAAAGGTACTTGGTTGTAATTTACAAAGATCAAGTAAAATTGATCCATAACAAATTTCGGGAAATTTTGATTTCGGTAATGCAAACATTTCGCCAAACATTACTTCAACGATCACATATTCTAATGGAATTTTCGAACCAATTGATAGATTCAAATAATTCAACATGGCTGTAGCACAATCTTTACGATCAAAACAATTTAGATTGAAAATCCAGCGAAGATTATCTTCGATAACGAATCGATCTATTGAATGTGATCCAGGTAGAATACTACGTTCTGGACAATCCGTATAATCGAATAATCGAAATACTACCTGTGGATATTGATAGATATTCGATGGTTCATGTGTGGGTGGCTTGATTGGACTAACATTATGTTGTAATGCTTCACAAAGTACATTGTCAAAATGAATATATGGCCGATAAATGTGATTTTCAACCCATTTTTCTTCACGCAATTTACTTATCTGATTCCAAAGACATCCAAGATATTCTTCTTGTGGATGTGGATTATCTGAATGCCAAACTTTCAATGCTGAATGAAATTGAGTTTTTGTTCGTTTCGTCATATAACTATCGATAGTGTTGAGGATCTGATCCAATTCTTGTTCTTTTTTCTCATAAAGTTCTTTGCTTACCCAAGGCAATGCCGATAGAACCATGAATACAAAATAATCTGAACGTACTTGTGGGATGTTATCTTCCATTGTAACGTCGACAAGATTTTCAAACAAATTGATCAATGATCCACATGAAATGACACGAGTATTGACTAAATCGGCCAAAAATCGTACCATAAAACGTGCACGTTCATATTGGCCATTTTTCAAATGATTCCGTAGGTTGACAATCAATTTTTCAACCACTTCTCCGCCAAACGAATAATTTCTAACGTTCAATAAACCGACCAATGTTGAATAGATACAAATCTTGTGTGGAAATTCGACCACACATTCGCAAAAAACGTCAACAATACGAGTGTTTTTAGGCAATATATCAAAGTTAAAAATATCGGCCAAATCTTCAATATTTTTATCAATCGATGATGTAGATTTCTCACCAATTTTGACAATCAATTCATCGAGTTTATCTTCAATTGATTCTTCCGATATTGTGAATGAATCGAAACGAGCTTTCTTTTCGAATCGTTCTTCATAATCTAATTCTTGAAATCGTCGTTTATACATTGTTTCGGTGAATATGTCAGTCGTTTAATTCTGATCAAAAACAAAAAACGCATACAGAAGAATGTGAAACAAAAAGCTTTGCCGGATCGATTGAATTTCTCGAACACTCGTTTTTTTTCACAGTGTTGGCTATTTGTATCCAACAATGAGCATATGTTCGAAATAGTTGATATTCTTTGGATGTCCCATGCTTTTATTTGATGCAATGGTTTATAGTTTGTTTTTTTTTGTCAGATAAAATTAATTTCATCTATTATAAACAATTTCAGTGAATCCATCAATCGATGACATCGGAAAAGAAAGAAAACGAAACAAAATTCACGGCAACCATCGTGATACCGTTTGAAACGTCACGACAAGCACAAATTGTTTGTCAAAGTTTAAATGTCGATTTGAAACATGAACCATCACGATTATCATCATCGATGATATGCAAAGAAATTCGTGATGATGAAAATGAATTACAAATGAAAATTGTGACTACAACTTTACGACATTTACGATTACAGATTAATTCTATTCTTGAATTTACCATTTTATTAATCGATACAATTGATCGTTTCGAATTAAAATCCGATACCAAACTATTGCAAAACAATAATAACGATGGATGATCGAATCGGATCGATTGGATCATCATTTCCAGCACCGAATATTGGCCGTTGTATTTATGGATTCGTTCTATTTCTGGTCTCAATTGTTTCATTGGTCATCTATTATCTTTGGGCTTTCATTCCACGATATCTAATTGAAATGACCGGCATTACATATTTTCCATCCAAATATTGGGCTATTTCAATACCAATTTTTTTCTTAATGTTCATATTGTTATTTGGTTTTGTTTTATATCCTGCCATTAATCTATTTCTTACACCATCATTGACGGATATATCGACCATTTATGATCGTCATTATTGTAAATCGGATCTTAAATCCAATGATGATTGGAATCAAGGTATACCACGTATTAATGATTTACCATTGGATTTTGTTTGTCAACAATTGTATTTAAAACAATGATCTATAAATGGATAAATTACATTTTTATTCTTTTTTTTTGATAATAAAAAAAATTAATTAATTTCATAAAAACAATTTTAAAAAAAATAATAAAATATTTAAAAAAATTCAATTTACAATTAAAGAAAGAGAGAAAAAAATGAATTTGCATGCACAATCTGAAGCTGATCAATTAGATAAGCCTGGAATTTGATAGATTCTGTGAAAGAACCTGACAAACAAAACGAAATTGTTCACAATGTTGTACACTGATCATACGTTGAAATCGTAATTGTATCAATGCTTTTGGTACATCGATTGGTTCGGAATGTTGATAATCAAGGCATTTAAGTAAAGCATCACATAATATCATAACACCACTACGGCCAGCACCAGCACTACAATGAACTAATATTGGTGGTAATAATGGTGGTGGTTTATGTATCGAACTTGATGAATGTCGATGATGTTTATTACGACCGAAACTAGATCCATCACGATTATTTTGTCGATAAATGGCATCCATTTCTGATAGAAATGTAAGAAAACTTTGTAAATCTCCAGGTATGGAATGATCATTCCAATCAGTGTAACGAAGATGGGTAATCTGCCTTCGTTGACCATTATGTGTTAATGTTAATAAACTTAAAATATATGTCAATGTTTCAGCCGTATATGTACAGGTAATCTAGGGATAATAAAACAAAATTTAGTTTATCAATTTGATTTTCATTCCAATTCCAAAAAAAAACCTACCTCATAATCACCAAAACGTAATGCATTTTTACCTGGTTCACTTGATAACGGTAGATAAATATAACATTTTTGTGAACCAGATTCACTAAAATTTGTAACCATTACAATTAGATTGATATGTTGTTCAAAGACCATTTGCCAAAAATCCAGTGTTGTATTTGGTAATGGTCCTTGTGCGGCAATATAATGCTGTTTAATCGATCCGAATGTCATTAAAACATGTGATGCATTTATATAGCCATGTTTATTATCTTTGGTTGGTGTCAATTTAACACTATTGAAGACGGAGAAAAAAAACGAACGAAAAATTAGAAAAAATTTATTACAAAACCCCCAATACACATACCGATTTTCCTCATAAGGCAATATATCACGAAAACGATTTTTCAATATATTTTCCGTTAATGATGCCGTTGTAAATTTTGCTGTTGGATTCATTCGTGGTAATAATTCAAATTCTTTAGTAAAATCTTGATCATCAAAACTTTTACCAAAAACAATAATTCGAGAATTTGCCGTTGTTGTTGACGATGTTTTTGCTAGTGGCATTATAATTGTAGAATTATTATTATCTTCAATAGAAGATGATTTTATTGGTTCAACAGATGTTTGTTGTGTATCTTCTTGTAGATTAATATATTGATGATTTGATTGTTGTTGTTGTTGATGTTGTTGTTGTCGTTGCTGCTGCTGTTGTACTGCTGCTGTTGTTGTATGAATTGATGGTGAAATATTCGATGTTGCAAGGACATCATTATTATTATCGACATCAGTTTTTGTCATTGTTGTTGGCTGCTGTTGTTGTTCAACAATAGCTGTTGTCTCCGGCAATTCATCAATTTTTTGTGAAATAGTTGTAAATGACATTGTCATTGGTCTTGTCATTATTTGATGATTGTCATTTATCGATGTTGTACAATTATTGTTATTGTTGTTGTTGATTACATTTCGAATACCAACAAAATTATTTGAATCTAAATGTTCGATTGAAAATTTTGAACGTTTTAAATGATATGAATTAGGTGAATATGATGCCGATACGGATGATGAATTATTAAATAAATTTGGTTCAGATCCAGTTTTATTTTGTGACCAACCAAATAGACGGAAAAAATTTTTCGTTTTACTAAATTTTTTCTCACCACCAATACCCAATAATAGCAAATCTTGTTGCTGTTGTTGTGAATATTGTTGTTTATTAAATGTTAAATCTGGAACACTTGTAAAATACGGTGGTTTTTTCATCATCATCGATTGTTGTTGTTGTTGATTTATAGAAGGAGCAACGTTATGATAATGAGTGGCGTTTCCATTCTCTATTTGATTATGATTGTTTACCATCATTGACATCATTCCACCACCACCAGCACTTCCATTATTTGATTTAATCAAATTTGGATTTTGTGAATGTTGAACAAGTCTTTGTTTATGTTGTTGTTGTTGCTGCTGTTGTTGTGGTTGTTGTCCAATAAACATCAAAGGATTTAATGAATTTAAATCAGGTGAACTTGATGTAAACATTCCAGATTTTTGTAAACGTTGATGTTGATATGGTAATTGATTCGAAGGTATCATTGTCATCAATGATGATGAATCTTCATTTGGATTTGGTGGTAATGAACATCGATGATTATGAGATGTTGTTGTCACTGTTGATGATGATGATTGATCGATAGCCAAGTTCGATAAATCCGTATAATTACGATATACATTATTACCAGTAAATTGAAATGGTAATTGATTTTGTTGATAATTTTGCTGCTGTTGTTGTTGCTGATGTTGTGAAAATGGAAATTGTTGACATTTAACAGGTGAATATTGATTATTATTTTGATGATGAAAAATTTGATGTTGTTGTGGATGTTGATATAACGATGATGATGATGATGAATTGATTTGTGTATGACTAGCTGTTATGCTATTATTACCGCCACCACCACCACCATTAGTATCGACCATTGTTATTGTTCCGGATGCTAATCTTGATGGTATCGATGTTAAACTTTGACTCATTGTATTTGTCATTAGATATTTATGTTTTAAAAATGTTTCATAATCTGGTGGCATCCGATATGGTGGTAAAAGTTTTTTCTTTTGTTCATATGTGAGATCATTTAGATTCGATTGATTTGCATAAATTGGTATATTTTTCGTTGTTGCCAATGTCGTTGTTGAATCGGTCACAGATGTCGCTATTGTTGTTGTGGATAAATCAACATTCGAATTATTCATTTTTGTAACCGGTGCATCGTTGTTATTCGGTTGGCCACCAAGTTCACCAGATTTAAGATTATATTGATTATTAATATTCGAACAATTGATTTGAATGTGATTTAAATCAATCGGTGGTTCTTGATGAGAATTCCGTTTATTACGTAACAATATATTGTCGTTATCCATATCATTATTATTCACAATGGTGGTGGTGGTGGTGGTCGTCGTCGCCGTTGTCGTTATTGTTGTTGGTATTACATCGATATTTAAATTTCCACTTGCCGATGTTGTGGTCGTTATAACATTTCCAGAACCAATTGTTTCATATAAAGATTGATTATTCATAAAATCTACTGTTGTATCCGTTGATTGTTGTAATAATTTATGTACAGAATTATCGGAACCATGATGTTGTTGTTGTTGTTGTTGTTGCTGTTGAATATATAATGTCGATGGATTCAATAATGTTGTTGTCGTTGATGAGGCAGATTGTATCGGTTGTTGTTGTTGTTGTTGTGATATTGATTGATCACCACCTGTAGAACCAACACCACCAGTGCTGGTAAGCTGAATCTGTATCGATTCATTTATTGGATTCAATGTCGATGTTTGTTGCTGTTGTTGTTGATCATTTTGATTCATCACCTGTGCATTTTGTATACCTTTCATAAAATATTGATGCTGTTCAACACATGTTTGCCATATACAATTAGCATAATCACTATCATATGTTGAATAATTTTTCGAATATTTTTCTCTCTCATTTTCGATGGTAAATACTTTTTTTTGATGCATAAAATTTGCAATATCCACCCATTTGAATAATTCCAATGTATTATTATCGGTATTGACGACAAAAATTCCACGAATACAAACACCAAGGCAAACATCTTGTCCGGTATTCAGATCTCGTGCTGGAAAACCTTCCTGACCATAGCCTTCACGTCGTTGTGCTTCGCTTATATAATAGATTTCAGCAACACTTGGCGGTACACCTTGTAGATTACGATAAGCATTAATGGCACATTCAACAAGAACATCACGTGCAATTTTATTCGTAATCATTGATTTTGGAAATAGGTTGAAATTATTCAAATATTCTACCGTATGACGTTCAGGTGAATAATCACCAAATTCTGCTTGTAGACTAAAACTGGCCAATAAAATGGCATCATCACGACTACATGCAATACGGCCATCGATAACTAAATTTTTCATTGCATAAAAATAATGATAACGACTTATTTCATCGGATAAAAAATGAAAATTCGGTACAAAATATTGTAGCCGAAAATATAGACGTATTTCTTGTGCATATTTTGAAAGCTGTTTTTTTACCGATTTTGTCAAATCAATCCATTGATCGACCATTTTTTTCGAACGAAATAATAGACTAAAATATTCTGGCTGTTGAATGCCAATTTTTTGGCAAACATTTTCCAAACATTCTTGGCCAGTACTTGTTGCCAATAATGTACATTCAATACATTCATTTGTTAACAATTCAATAGGTATGACGAATAAATCTTTACTGGCAACATTATATTGTTGACTTCGTTTACCAGGTAAACGAAAAATAAAAGGCATGTTGATGATGATGATGATGATGATTTTTGGTTGAATAAAATAATTTACTTGTGAAAAAAATTGCATATAAAATCGTCATAGTCACAACTGAAAAATTGAAAATTAAAATAAAAAAAAATCCAACAAAAAAAAATCAACACACAAACCTTTTTTTTAGTCGTTTGGTTTGGTTTGGTTTTTGGTCAAAGTTTCATTATATCGTTTAAAGATAGATTATGCTTGATGATGGGCAATATAAATACTTTAAATTTTTCTCGCATTTAGTATTTAGTTTCTCACTTCAATGTAAAAAAAATAAAATAGCAGCAACAGCAGTAGCAGATGTGTTTTTGCTCTATGATCGTGGTATATCTATACTCAGCAAAAAAAAAAAAACTGATCAACACACACAACACCATTTGATGATGAAAAAAAAATCAGATAGCATCAGATGGCAATTATATTCCTAATTGAATTGAATTTTTTTTTTAGATAGAAAAAAAAAAACAAAGAAAACGTGATGTGAAAGGAATTTCTGATGAGGTCTCACTGTGTGAGTGTGTGTGTGTGTGTATGTTCGTTTGTTTGTTTTTTGGTGAACCAAGATGATTCATGATGATGATGAATAATTTGTATGAATGAAATTGTTCATGGTTGATATTATTATTGTAACCAACAACTGATCAATGGCGAAAACTTTCATTTTGTCAACTAGCAAAAAAAAATTGTTCGCATTGATGATGATGATGATGATATTGTGAAACTAACACACACACACACACACACACACAGACACACACGAGTTTTGCCGAATAAGCAGGTGACTTTTTTCTTCTCTTGATTAGCTCAAAGCGATATATAAATATTACAATTTTACCTGGCCATATATTTATATATATGAAAAAAAAAGCTCAATGTGTGTGTGTACATGTTATGTTGATTGTTACACCTGAGGATATTCATGCTTGTTTGATTCCAAACACATAGATGGCACCACAAATAAGTATATTCTTATTATTTTTTTTTTTTTTTTTCGAGCTAAAAAGCAAAAAAATTCTTGTATATGCAACATTTATATTGCAGACAGCTGTTGATGCATCATTTTGGATTCGCCCATTTTTTTTTCACTGATGATGAATTAATATTGACGATGTAAATTGCATTTGAGATTTGTGTATTTTGTGTTATCAACGATGATGATGATGATGATGATGTGGAAGGAGTGGTTTCATGGAAATCAACAACAACAACAACAACAAAATTGATGCTTAAAGAAGAAGAAGAAGAGAAACAAACATCAAACAATCGACAACTTGTATTTTATCTTCTGTTTGTGTGTGTATGTTATTGGCTTCAATTTCATTTTGGTTGTGATGATGGTGATGATGATTGTGTTTGTTTGCTATAATGATCAAGACTCTTATTTGTTTTTTTTGTGACTTCCAAAAACGAAACGAAACGAAACCATTGAGAACGGGAATCGTTCATTTGTTGTTTTGATCATCACCATCATCATCATCATTCGATGTACACAACAACATGAAACATTCGGATTTTTTTTATTCACTTTCAATCATCATGTTTTTTTTAATCACGAATGGATTTATATTATGAAAAACAATGATGATGATGACCATCAAATGATGATGATGATGATTACTATCACGATTTAATGTTTTTTTTCTGGCTTCTTACTTACGTTTTGCTCTCTGTTTGTGTATCCATCCATATAACTCTTTTTTTTTTTGTTTGTTTGTTTACTTTGTTTCTTGGCGGATGTAATTATTAATTTTTTTGTTTTCACCAGAAAATCTCAATTGCCAAACAACTAAAATCCATATATATCCAAAATAATGTTGAAACGGTAGCAGCTACTAATTTTGTCCAAAAGTATTATCATCCATCCATCAACAACAACAACAACAACAACAAAAAAAGTGTCCTTTTTGCACACTGCCATTTATGAAAAATGTTTTGAAATACTTCAGAAAACAACAACAACAACAACAACGACAGAAAAAAATTCTGGCAGCTAAAAAAAAACAATCAACGACTTTGACAGCTGTTTTAATATTATTCCTTTAAAATTTCGAATTCAACCACCAGAATGAAAAAAATGGCCATAATTATAGAATCATCATCATCATCATCATCACGCCAAAATCAATGGCTTCATAGAACTTGTTTTTGTTGTTATATTAAAATATCATTATCATCATTGTTATTATCAGTGTTATTATTATTATTATCATCATCATCAATAATCCAATTGATCAATACATTTAATTTGGATACAAATATTCCTGTATATAAATTCGGTCCACGTGATTCATATTTTGGCTATTCGGTTGCCGAACATATTATAAAACGTTCTAGTCAATCAACGCCAGTGTAAGTTTATTGCTTGTTCTTTATTTTATTTATTTATCTATTTTCTTCTGAATCAAATTCTCTGTTTTATTTTTCATAAATTGATTTGATGAAATGATTAATTAATCAATCAATTATGCAATATAATCATCATTTTCGATAATGATTTTTTTTCTTCATTGAATATATCTTATCATTAACTTGATAATACGATTAATTTTGATGAATGAGAATCTTATATACTATATTTATATATTGATTTCACAGATGTGTGCGTGTGTGTGTGTGTGTGTTTTTCAAGTTCAATACATGAACTTTGATGTTTTCCATTAGTCATTGCCCATCGTTTGAAAGAATCTTTTCTTTTTTCGTTCTCTGAAATGAATGAATTGAATGCCCATGCACATGGTAAAACCAAAATATATGGCGCAATATCCCATATCAATACATCTGCATAATGGTGTGTGTAGTCTTGCTTTGTAAATATTTCACCAATACTGTTTCCATAATGAAAAAAAAAAACCCAGTGATTTATCCGTTCCACATTTTTTTCGGTATTATTATTTCTATTGTGATTAAAATCATCATCATCATAATAATAAGGTAGATTTTCTATATAGATAGATAAATATAATACATACATACATAAAAGGTGCGGTTAGTTTTTTTGCCATTTAAGTTTTTTTTTCTTATATGAAATAAATCCTCCATAAATTGAAAATTGTCATTTCTAAATTTGAAGCAAAATCCACAAAAAAACATACAAACACGTTGAATAAATTAGAAGAGTGTAGGAGAGAAACAAAAAATATGTAAAATGATCCAAATGGGATTATACAACAACCTGAAACAACGATTGAACAAATTCGAACAACTGCAAAAAGAAAAAAAAGATTCGTTTTCACCGGCATCATCACAAAGTACGTAATCTGACCTTTGCTTTTTGTTTAATGAGAAACAAAATAAAAATTTCGATAAAAATGATTATGACCCTAGATGGACATTTTTTTTAGTGAAGAAATAAAAAACAAAATTTTTTTTTTCGATTGAGAAAAAAAGTGTTGACCTTCATCTGAAGAAGAAGAAGAAAAAAAAGAAGTTAAATAGAAAAAAAGGTGTGCAACATTTCATTTTCTCCCCAACAACAACAACAACATCAGCAACATTCAATTAATCGAAAAAAAAATGCATTTCAACCGGAAATCATTCGCCCAACACACACACACACTAATGTTTAATAGACATTTTGATGATGACCATATTTGGTATTCTACATATTCTAGATAAATGTGTCTTGTCTTTTTCTTGTGTGAGTTAATATGAGTAGGTGGTGGTTATGATGATGGTGGTTAATCGTCATCATCATAGATTTATTTTATTTTTTTTTTTTTTTGGAAAAAAAATAAAATTTCCAATTAAAGCAATATCTCATATTTGGTGGATAGATAGATGATAATAAATAAAAAACTTGTTTTGTTTGTTTGATGCAGGTTGCCATGTGTTACAATTTTGATGATGATGATGATGATGATGATATTGTAAAACCTGAGACACCTACAGACAAAAATATGAAAATCTGAATTTAGAATTAAATTTCCGGAATTTTTTTTCTTCTGGAAAATACATGCATATAGATCGAGAGATGGATAGAATCCAAGGTTCGATCAAAAGACATTCAACCTGATGAACTTTGTCCTTTGTTTTGTTTTTTCGTTTTACAACAATACAGTAACATTCTATTCTATATATAATTAATGCTGGTGTTTGTATACTATGCACAAACACACACAAACACACAAACACAGAGAGCAAAAGTCATCATAAATGATCACCTCTCTTATAAAATATATTTGGCTTATTTGTTCTGACAGATCATGATATTTATTTTTTGTTTTATTTTGTTGATTAGATGATTGTGGTTACCATGTCATCCATCCATAAAACACACAGACACACACACACACACACACAAAGGTTACCTTTTTTTCTGGTCATATTTGGTCGTAATGTTTGATGGTGTGAAAACGCACACACATATCAATTCAGGTTATCATCAATTGTCGACAAAATGGAATGATGGATCACATCAAACATTTTTTTTTGCAGAATTTATTTATGGTAATGATTGCTCTACACCATTTTATTGTACATTTCGAGGATTTTTTTTTTATTGGAAAAATCGAAATTTTTGGCACGATATATCGGTGTGTGTGTGTGTTTACCACAAATATACCTATAACCATTACACACACACACACACTTGAAATATTGATTGAGTGTAAACAAAAGCAGACTAAACAAACAAAATTGGAAAAAACGAGAAAAAAAAACAAAATCAAACAAATTGATGAAAATGATTCCGAAAACGGCAAGAAATACAAAAAAAAACTTGAAATCGAATCATATTTTTTGGCGGCATACAAAAATAACGTACAAACTATTTTCGAATGTTTTTTTTTTTTGATTTGAATTTCAAAGTCAATTGAAATTCAAACGATTGATTTTTCATATCCAATGGCCATGGATCTAAATCTGATTATCATCATCATCGAAGAAATTCTCCTTTTTTTTGTTTTTGTTTCAATTTTTTCTCTAATCAATTGGCATCGATTCAAACTGATGATTTGAATTGGGAATATATCTATTTTTTTCGTATACGAAAAACTACAACCACCGCAAACACGACATTTGGTTTTTAATATTGCAGAATTTTAAAAATAAATTTTTTTTTTCATTCTTTTCCAATAATATAAACATTAATGGAATGTTTGCAATTTAAATTCTTGATGATAATTGTAATAACAGATGTGTGTGTGTGTGTGTGTGTGTGTGTGTAATGAAAATTTCCATAATATTTATATTCTGATTATGTTTCATTGGAATTTTATTCTATTTCTATTTTTTAATTTGTATATAATTTTTTTTGCCATGTTTTTTTTTGTTATTCTACTACTACTAGTTTACTTGTCGGTGCACCTAGAGCACAATCAGGACGTATACGTACTGGTGCCCTGTTCAAATGTGACCTCAATACACGAACACATGATTGTGTCAATCTTTATGTTGATCCGGATAATTCTACCTGTGAGTAAATTAAAGATAATTAGTAATCATTATTATCATTATGTGATTAATTATTAATTGATTTATAAACTTAGATTTAGAAAATGTTGATAAAGAAGATCAATGGCTTGGTGTTACGGTTAAAAGTCAAGGTGAAGGTGGTAAGTGATAGAGATTCGAATTTTTTTTCTCCATTTTTGTCTCATTATACAACGTATATTTCAGGTTATGTTATGGTTTGTGCACATCGCTACGTATTGAAAGGTTCCGATTTTCGTTGGGGCAATGGTATCTGTTATTCATTGACACAATTTTTGGATTATAGCCGTACATATGAACCATGTCGTGGTCGTGTTGTCAATTTGGCTCATGAACAATTTGGTTTGTTTGTTTTTTTTTTTTGTTAGTTTTTGGACTTATCTTAATGTTTTCTTTGTTTTTTTTTTTTTCAAAATTCAGGTTTCTGTCAAGCTGGTACCAGTGGTGAGATATCGAAAAATTTCGAAATTCTTATTGGTTCACCTGGTCCATATACATGGAGAGGAACAGTGTTTTCCAATAACATCCGGTAAATCCATCGATTTGTTCACTTTTCCAAACATATCTACCATCCACCACCATTACCATGACCTTATTTCCAATTTTAGCGTGTAGAACACACACATCCATTTTGGCTTTCCTTGTATTTTTGGTTTTTTTTTCTTTTGAAAATTCATTTTACTTTTTTTTTTTTATTTATTTATTTATTTATCAATTCAAATTTTGTTTTTCTTGTTTTTTTCCCAACTTTTTTTTCTTTCTCTCTCTCTTTCTTTTTTTTCTCTTATAGGCGTGGGTATTTAACTAATTCTTTTATTTTCAAATTCTGCTGTCGCTGCTGTTTCAGTTCTTCTCTGTTGTTGTTGTTGTTGTTGTTGTCGTTTGTCGTTTTTTTCTATAATTCTGCCTTCTTCTACTTCTACTTCTTACTGCCTTATTGAAATTTTTTCTCCTATCCAAAAAAAAAAATGATGAAATTCTATGCGAAAAAACAATGAGAAAATTCCGCTCTACTTTGTTTTTTATTCTGGAAACGGATTTATTTGTTTCACATTTCGTTTTGCTACTATTTGCTACCAAGCTTTGTCGTTTTTTTTCCAAATTTTGATTTTTACTTTTTTTTCTTATTAATTCATTCATCACTTTTTTTTTTTTTTTCTGTTTATCGAATTTGATGATTGAATCATTCTGATGTAAACAGTTATAGTATAAAAGATGATAAAACCTGGTATATGGGACCAGTGATTGAAGGTAAATCACCTGTAGATAAATATAGTTATCTTGGTATGAGCGTAGCAAGTGGTGATTTTTTGGGTGATAAAATTATTATTGCAACTGGTGCACCACGTTCCAATGGTACTGGTGAAGTAATATTCTATAGTAAAGATTCTGGCCGTATTGAATTTGATATACGTGGACGATTGCATGGTGAACAATTTGGTTCATCATTCGGTTATTCAATGGCTAGTCTTGATTGTGATGGTGATAAGTAAGTTTTTGATTTTTTTTTCATTAATTAATCGATTAATTAATTGATTCATTCTATTTATTCGTAGACATTCAGATCTAGCTATTGGTGCACCATTCTATTATGATGGAAATGATGGTGGTGCTGTTTATGTTTATCTTGAAAAAGATCTTCGTATTGGTGCATTTCATAAACGCATTCGATTGACTGGAAAACTTGAATCACGTTTTGGTTTTGCTCTAGCTAATGCTGGTGATCTTAATCGTGATAATTTTGAAGATTTAGCTATTGGTGCACCATATGATGGTAATGGTATTGTTTATATTTATTCTGGCAGTCAAAATGGTTTGAAAACGGAACCATCACAAGTGATTAATGCAGCTGAATTACCATCACCATTGAATCAGATACGAACATTTGGTTATTCATTATCTGGTAATCTTGATTTAGATCGTAATTCATATCCAGATTTACTTATCGGTGCATATGAAAGTGATGCTATCGTATTGCTGAGATCACGACCAATTATACATATTAAAACATTTGTACAAAATAATATGACACAAATCGATCCGAATTCAAATGGATGTCCAGAAGATCCATCTAGTAAACTACCATGTTTTACCGTGAAACCATGTTTTCAATTCACTGATTTAAGTAGTGCTATGAATTCATTGTCAAAATTTGCATTACGTTATCGTATTGAAGCTGAAACATTCACAGGTATGATTTTGAAAATTTTAATTCATTTGCATTGAATCTAATTGATTTCAAACAACAAACAAACACAGGAACACAGAAATATTATCGTGTAATATTTCGAAATTCATTGGAAAATGCACCAAACATTGTTGAAAAGACCATTTCATTAGGTTTGTTTTGTTTTGTTTTCATGTTTTGTCTCGATTAAACCATTTTTTTCATTCATTCATTCATAGATTATGGTTATACACGTGAATATTGTACAAAAGAATTGATTTATCTGAAAGAAAAACAAGATATACAAAATAAAATTGCATTTAAATTATCATATTCATTGAAACAAACAAAACCAGAATTACCACATGAAGGTGATCCATTACCAGATATAAATGAATATCCAATATTGGATCAACAAGAAGCACAACGTATATTCTATGCAAAATTCAATAAAGAATGTGGACTTGATGATGTTTGTGATAGTAATTTATTATTGAAAGCTGAATTATTACGTGCAATGAAAAAAGAACGAAATAATTATACAATGATATTGGATGATGATAATATTGTCATGAATATTAGCTTATCGAATCGTGGTGAACCAGCCTATGATACAGCGATTATTATTGATCATTCACCAAATATAAGTTATGTTGGCCGTAAAATTACCGATGATCAAGTGGATTGTGTTCCAAACAAAAATCATGTCCGCTGCGAGATAGGTAATCCATTCAATAAAGGACGAACCGATTTTCAGCTTCGTTTCAATAGCTATAATATTGAAGATCGTGAACATGAATTTTTCATTCGTGTTGCTGTTTCAACGTATGTTGATAATTTTTTTTCTTGATTTATAAACTAGTTATATTAATTTCATTTTTTTAGATCTTCGAACGATATATCTGGTTTGGATAATAAGGCTGAATTCTATACCGAAATACAACGACGTGCTGAATTAGAATTGACTGGTGTTTCGGTGGAAAAAGAAGTTCATTTTGGTGGTGAAATTCGTGGTGAAGCAGCCATGAGATTTGAAGATGAAATTGGTGAAAAAGTTATTCATCGATATATTGTTACCAATAAGGGACCATTACGTGCCAGAGATGTAGCCGTTCTCATTGATTGGCCATATCAAATTGATAGTGGTCGTGAATTTGGTAAATGGATTCTGTATATTTTGTCCAAACCAAGTGTTAGCAACCAGGTTGGTTATTGTGATCTGGATTCTCGATATGTAAATCCGAAAAACTTTGAAAGTGTCAAAGATGATACGGACAAACGAAGACGAAGACGTCGTCGTAATGTTGATACACAACAAATTCGTGATAAAGATGGCCATACACATAATATTGCACATTTAACGTGTGGTTCTGGTGCACGTTGTGTAAAGATTCGATGCTGGATCTCACATATTGATGCTAATCGTACAGCTGTAAGTTTTTCTTTCAAAAAAAAAAAAAAAAATTTTCAATTTATAATTTTAATCTTTTTGAATTTCTTTTTTGTTCATTCAAAGATTATCAGTATCCGTTCACGATTATGGAATGCAACATTTATTGAAGATTTTTCTCATTATCATCATGTTACCATACAATCAAAAGGACGTATTCAATTGAATCCATTATATAATATAATACAGGATGAACGTGATGATAGTTTTATGGTTAGTGTTATGAAAAAAAAATTGAAAATATCTTATTAATATTTTTTTCCGTTTGATTTAGATTGAAACCCATGCCTATCCAGATGTGATACATAAAATACCACAAGCAAGTTGGTGGTGGTATTTATTGGCCATTATTATTGGATTAATTATTCTATCAATAATTATTTGTGTACTATGCAAGGTAAGATATGGACTAACCTTTATGTGAAACATTTTCAATTTGTTGATTTTCTATTTATTATTAGACTGGTTTCTTTAAACGAGATAAAGGCTATCAGCATGTTGATCAAAATGATCGAAATGAATCAAATTGATGATCAATGAGAATACCACCGGTTTTAGAATTTCATTGGGCAGCAACAACAACAACAATAGAAGAAAAAAAAATGTGATTATATTTTGTCAAACACGATTTACCGAATATTTATATAACCATTTCAAATAACCGGGACGTATACACACACACACACACACACACACACATTTATATTGCTTTCATCATGATTCATATACCATTCAATTACTTCATTCGTCATCGTCATTGTCGTTGTTTTCCATCCATGTCAAATCAATCGATCAACAGATCAATCAACCAATACATTCCTCCTCCTACACACAAACACACACACAGAAGAGCAACTAATTAATTGATTTCGAATTTTTTTTGTTTCGGTTTAAAATATTAATAATCAAACGTTATACAAAAAACAACGCACATACACACATTCATCAGTCCTTTTTTTTGTTCTAACCACACATCATATCTCTTTATTTTCATTTTTATGTTTTTTTTTTGTATTGTAAAATTATTATTCATTTATTCATTGATTTTTCTTCGTCATTTACATTTTTATTTTGAAAAATTCTCAATTTCTCTGTTTTCGTCAATCATTGAATTGTGTGACAACAAACAATTCAGATTTTTCATCAATTTATTGGATCAAATTGTAGTATCATTTGTTGCATTTGATCTGTTTCAATCAATGCTGTCATATCTGATGTATCACTTAATGGTGATAATAAATTCAATGGTGTTTCCAGTGGTGGTGGTGGTGGTAACATTGAGTTTTCTGGTGATGGTGATCCCGATGAATACATTGATAAAAGATCATCATGTACTATGGACTTTTGTCGTTTGTGTAGGCGGTGTTATAAAATCAACAAGTTTTGGAAGATTTTTTAGTGTTTTAAATGTTTTGGATTCTTGATTCGGTAACGATTGATTAGAGAATGGAATATTTTTTGTTGCACCACCAATACTATCATCGCCATTTAGTATTGGTGATTGTTTTGACTTTCTTATGGGTATCTTTGATGTTGTTGTTGTTTTCGTTGAAATTATCGTTGTTGTTGTTATTATCTCTTTTGGTTTTACATTTTTAATTTTCGGTTTAACTGTAAGTTGTTTTATTGTTGTTGTATTATTATTCTTATTCTCTAAATTTTTAATATCAGGTGGAGGTTTTTTAAATGTAATTTTCAATCCTGTATGCGGAGAATTACGGCATTGAATCATTCCACAAATTGTACAACAGATGCCCAATATAAAAACACCGATAATGGCAACAATTCTATATGTTTCTTGTTTATCTGGTGAAAACCAACAAGCAAAACTATTATAACCACAATAAATTTTATTACAAATCTTTTCAAATGATTCAAATGTATTATTTTTCAATTTACGTGAATATTCAACATTACATTCAGCGGCAACATTCATTTCACATTCCAATGTATTCCATATGAAACAGCAAAATTCTTTAGTCGCATAAAACTATATATTATTATTATTGTCCGTGTGTGTGTGCGTGTATGTGAAAAATTATCAAAAGTCAATAAATTCAAAAACAAAATATAAAAGTAAACAAACAAAAAAAAAACTACATAACGTTCAATATGTATCCGCCATAGCTGATGTGATGATCGTTCACAATCATAAAATCGTTTCCATATTGATTGGCTACAATTCAATGTATTGGATAGACCATAAACAGATTTATATGGATAACGTAATGTATATAATAATTCCGTATCATTCAATTGATTACGGTGTTTATTCAATATAAATAATTTATCCACATTTTTAGCATTTTTTTTATAAAACATTATCAATGGCCATATTGATTGAAGATAATCATCATTCGATGAAATATGTATTGTGATGCCCATTTTTTTTTTTTTTTTTTTTTTTTTGAAACAAAAATATTTGGAAACAAATTTCATTTCATAAACGGATTGTTTTTTTAATAAACAATAATCAATACCATTATTGATTGATTTGATTGGAATTTAATATATAATCAATTTATTTAGCTTGTTTTCTTCTGTAAATAATTTGTTGTTGTGATTCGAATTTTTTTTTTGTAATAAATAAATTCTATTATATTATTACTATGTTGCATGAAAATTTTGCAATTTATTCAATGTTTCTAATTCTTGTATGACTTGTGTAATATTCGGTGTTGTAACATCTGTTGATGATAAGGTTGGCAGTGTCGGTGATGGTAATGGTTTTTGAATATCTCCAATAATTTTTGATGATTCTATTTCTGGTTTGTAGCTGACCAAATCAATGGGGACAACAGAATGTTGTTGTTCATATGAAATTTTTTTTATAATTGATTTTTGTACTGGTTTGAAACATGAACCATCACTAATATGGAAATTGGAAGATAAATTTTTAATTGTATGTTCGGCAGAGGTATCTGTTGTTGACGGTGATGGTGGTCTAAATGAGTTCGAAGATGCTAATCTTATTGGTTTGGGCCTTAGAGGTGGGCCTGATTCTTTCCAGAGATGGGGATAGTGATAATCAACAAATATTGGCAACTTCAGGGTTTCAGAATCATAGCTAGCTGAACTATTCGTTGATGGAAATGGTGTTATGGTGCGGCTTGTATTTCCTGTTAATATTGTTGGTGTTCCTGGCGGGGTTATCGTTGGAGTTAGTGACGTTGGTGACGTTGGTATTGTCACACTTTCAGCTGCAAACGCCACCTTTCTTGGAGTAGTTATAACGCTTGGTGATGGTGAACCCGATAGGCCCGGATCGGAATGTAAAATTGACTTGTTTAACATATTTGTTTTTCCTTTAGATTTCATTATTGAAGTCAATGTTCTAGGTGGTGACGTGGTTGTTGTTGTTGCTTGTTTTGGCATTACTGTAATCGGTGTTCTTGATGTAGATGAAAGGATATTCTTTGGAACACTTTCTGAATCAGTTATCGGGCCACCCCCATCGGGATGTAAAAATGATATGTTTCCTCGAGTTTTTCGTGGTGGTTTTGGAGGCGGAACATGTTTCTGTGCTCTTGCTCTTAATTCGCCAACAACTTGCGGAAAGTGTTTCTCAACAAACAAATGCGTTTCCTTTCTATAATCAAAATGGTTCGCTAATTTCTAATTTAGGTCTATAGAATCGTATAAATGAATTAATTGAAATTTTCTGATCAAAAAAAAAATTCAATAGCACCTACTTTGCAGCATTAATCTTATTAAGATAACTTCGAATTCCCAAACATGCACAGACCAACGTTAAGATAAAAATTATGATTCCGACTATCCAAGAAATTGTTTCTTGTCTATCTTGTGTCAACCAACATGATGTTGACCCCCGAGCTGAACCAATTCGATCACACATTGATTTGTATGATTGTTCGGTGCTGGTTTCGAGTTTCTTAGAATATTCTTTATCACATTCTCCAACAACATCAATTTCACAATCAAGTGTTTGCCAGATGAAGCAGCAAAACTTTTTTGATTCATAAAACTTTGAAAATCAATCATTAACAACTTGAAATTATAGAATAATCAACTTACATAATCATTAATGGTGATTATCCATGCATGGTGTGCTGATCGTTCACATTCATGAAATCGTTCATGAATCGATCCATCACATTTTAATCTTTTGGATAGACCATAGACAGATTTGTATGGATATCGTATAGAATGCCATTCGGTTGCATTATTACCACGCACAATAATTGATTTATCATCAGCCAATACAATTTTTGTAACGATTGTCATGAAGATCACCACTATCAAAAAATTCAAATAGATTTGCTTGCCATTATAATCCATAAACAATAATCCGATCATTTGAAGAGCCGAATAATCCCTTGAATCAAAAAAAATAAACCATTAGAATCGTAAAATTGGTCATGGAATTTATTTACAATATTTAAGCCATTCTTTTATTCGATTCCAATCGTAATTAAAGCCAAAATTGAAAAATTCTATTTTGTTAGTTATTTCTCTATTTGTTTCAACATTTGCTATATGTGACGCCATCTATCGTGTGAGCTGGCTTTCCAACAGTTTTCATTTTAAAGAATAAAATTCTTTTCAATTTCAATTAATCAATTCAATCGTCAAATAAAAAATGTTTTTTTTATTGTCATCATAGATTTATTTTTTCATTTTAAATTTATTTACTCCAAATCATTCTTTTATTCGATTCGATTCATAATTAAATCCTAGTCTCAGGCAATCCAGCATAATCCAAAGAACTTAATGACGATAATGACGATGTTAATATTGTCGCTGTTCTTGGCGGGTTTATCGTTGGAGTTGGTGACGATGATGATGGTATTGTCACACTTTCAGTTGCAAACGTCACTTTTCTTGGAGTAGTTTATTTTTTGAAACCCTTGGTGATGGTGAACCCGTTAGGCCCGTATCGGCATGTAAAATTGATTTGTTTAACAAATTTGGTTTTCTTTTAGATTTCATTACTGAAGTCAATGTTCTAGGTGGTGACGTGGTTGTTGTTGTTGTTGTTGCATGTTTTGGCATTACTGTAGTAGATGTTTTTGAAGCAGATGACGTGATATTCTTTGGAACATTTGCTGAATCCGCTATTGGACCACCTCCATCTGGATGTAAAAATGATTTATTTCCTCGAGTTATTCGTGGTGGTATTGGGGAGTACCATATTTCTGTGCTCTTGCTCTTAATTCGCCAACAACTTGCGGAAAGTGTTTCTCAACAAATAAATGCGTTTCCTTTCTGTAATTAAATGGTTCGCTAATTTCTAATTTAGGTCCTATAGAAATCGTATCAATGAATTAATTGAAATTTTCTGATCAAAAAAAAAATTCAATAGCACCTACTTTGCAGTATTAATCTTATTAAGATAACTTCGAATTCCCAGGCATGCACAGACCAACGTTAAGATGAAAATTATGATTCCGACTATCCAAGCAATTGTTTCTTGTCTATCTTGTGTCAACCAACATGACGTTGATCCACGACCTGAACCGACTTTATCACACATAGATTTGTATGATTCTTCGGTGCTGGCTTCGAGTTTCTTAGAATATTCTTTATCACATTCTCCAGAAACGTCAATTTCACAATCAAGTGTTTGCCAGATGAAACAGCAAAACTTTTTTGATTCATAAAACTTTGAAAATATGATAATAGTCAATCGTTAATAACTTGAAATTATAGAATAATCAACTTACATAATCATCAATGGTGATTACCCATGAATGATGTGCCGATCGTTCACATTCATGAAATCGTTCATGAATCGATCCATCACACTTTGATGATCTGAATAAACCATAGAAAGATTTGTATGGATATCGTATAGAATGCCATTCGGTTGCATTATTACCACGCACAATAATTGATTTATCATCAGCCAATACAATTTTTGCAACGATCGTCATGAATATGATCACCATCAAAAATTTAAAATAGATTTGCTTGCCATCATTATTCATAAACAATAATCCGATCATTTGAAGAGCAGAATAATCCCTTGAATCAAAAAAATAAACCATTAGAATCGTAAAATTGGTCATGGAATTTATTAACAATATTTAAGCCATTCTTTTATTCGATTCCAATCGTAATTAAAGCCAAAATTGAAAAATTCTATTGTTAGTTATTTCTTGCTATTTGTTACGCCATCTATCGAGTAAGATGGCTTTCTAACAGTTTTCACTTTAAATTTAAAATTTTTTTCAATTTGTCAAATGAAGAAATGCTTTTTTAATGTCATCAATTCATTTTTTTATTTTAATTTTTAATTTCCAATTTTAAACTAAAGTATAAGGTAATTTCAATAGCTTTGTTTTCACCTCTTTCATTCTTATTTTCTTTGAACACATCAACACCACCATTCGCAATCATCTACATTTTTAGTAGAGGATCAAAGTGTTGTGCAATTCTCTGTAATCGTTCTGCCTCAGTCAATCCAGTAAAATCCAAAGAACCCATTGACGATGTTGATATTGTAGGTGTTCCTGGCGGTGTTATCGTTGGAGTTGGTGACGGTGGTGATGGTATTGTCACACTTTCAGGTGCCGCTATAACCACTATTTTTGGAGTAGTGATATTTCTTGAAACACTTGGTGATGGTGAACCCGTTAGGCCCGTATCGGCATGTAAAATTGATTGGCTTAACATATTTGTTTTTCCTTTAGATTTCATTACTGAAGTCAATGTTCTAGGTGGTGACGTGGTTGTTGTTGTTGTTGCTTGTTTTGGCATTACTGTAGTTGGTGTTCTTGATGTAGATGAAGGGATATTCTTTGGAACACTTGCTGCATCCATTTTTGGGCCACCCATATTGGGATGTAAAAATGATTTGTTTCCTCGAGTTCTTCGTTTTGGAAGTGGAATACCTTTCCGTGCTCTTGCTCTTAATTCGGCAACAACTAGCGGAAAGTGTTTCTCGACAAATAAATGCGTTTCCTTTCTGAAAAAAAATGGTTCGCTAATTTCTAATTTAGGCCTATAAAATCGTATCGATGAATTAATTGAAATTTTCAGATCAAAAAAAAAAAAAAAATTCAATAGCACCTACTTTGCAGTATTAATCTTATTAAGATAAGTTCGAATTCCCAAACATGCACAGACCAACGTTAAGATGAAAATTATGATTCCGACTATCCAAGCAATTGTTTCTTGTCTATCTTGTGTCAACCAACATGATGTTGATCCACGAGCTGAACCAACTCGATCACACATTGATTTGTATGATTCTTCGGTGCTGGTTTCGAGTTTCTTAGAATATTCTTTATCACATTCTCCAGAAACACCAATTTCACAATCAAGTGTTTGCCAGATGAAGCAGCAAAACTTTTTTGATTCATAAAACTTTGAAAATATAAAAATAGTCAATCGTTAATAACTTGAAATTATTGCATAATCAACTTACATAATCATCAATGGTGATTACCCATGCATGGTGTGCTGATCGTTCACATTCATGAAATCGTTCATGAATCGATCCATCACATTTTAATCTTTTGGATAGACCATAGTGGGATTTGTATGGATATCGTATAGAATGCCATTCGGTTGCATTATTACCACGCACAATAATTGATTTATCATCAGCCAATACAATTTTTGCAACGATCGTCGTGAATATGATCACCATCAAAAAATTCAAATAGATTTGTTTGCCATCATTATTCATAAACAATAATCCGATCATTTGAAGAGCAGAATAATCCCTTGAATCAAAAAAAATAAACCATTAGAATCGCAAAATTGGTCATGGAATTTATTCACACTATTTAAGCCATTCTTGTATATTCGATTCCATTCGTAATTAAAGCCAAAATTGAAAAATTCTATTTTGTTAGTTATTTCTCTATTTGTTTCAACATTTGCTATATGTGACGCCATCTATCGTGTGAGGTGGCTTTCTAACAGTTTTCATTTTAAAGAATAAAATTCTTTTTAATTTCAATTAATCAATTCAATCGTCAAATAAAAATTTTTTTTTTTATTGTCATCATAGATTTATTTTTTCATTTTAAATTTATTTACTCTAAGTCATTCTTTTATTCGATTCGATTCATAATTAAACCCAAGTCTCAGGCAATCCAGCATAATCCAAAGAACTTAATGACGATAATGACGATGTTAATATTGTCGCTGTTCTTGGCTGGTTAATGGTTGGAGTTGATGACGATGATGATGGTATTATTACACTTTCAGTTGCAAACGTCACTTTTCTTGGAGTAGTTTTATTTTTTAAAACCCTTGGTGATGTTGAATTGGTACGTAAAATTGATTTGTTTAATAAATTCGGTTTTCTTTTAGATTTCAATGCTGATGTCAATGTTCTAGGTGATGATGTGGTTGCCGCTTGTTTTGTCATTATTGTTTTTGATGTAGATGACGGGGTATTTTTAGAACTTTTGATGAATACGTTATTGGACCACCTCCATAATGTAAAAATGATTTGTTTTCTTGAATTATTACTGGTGGTATTGGGGGAGTACCATATTTCAGTTCTCTTGTTTTCAATTCGCCAACAACTTGCGAATAGTTTTTTCCAACAAATAAATGCGTTTCCTTTCTGTAATTAAATGGTTCGCTAATTTCCAATTTAGTCCTATAGAAATCGGATCAATGAATTGATTCAAACAAAAAAACTAAAAAAAAAAATATACACAAAAGAACCTACTTTGCTATTCCAGTATTTGTTGTTTTAGTTCTGTTATTATAACTTCGAATTCCCAAACATGCACAGATCAACGTTAAGATGAAAATTATGATTCCGATAATCCAAGCAATTGTTTCTTGTCTATCTTGTGTCAACCAACATGATGTTGAACCACGAGCGGAACCGACTTCATCACACATTGATTTGAATGATTGTTCAGTGTTCGTTTCAAGTTTCTTCGAGTATTCTTTATTACATTCTCCAGCAACATCAATTTCACAATCAAGTGTTTGCCAGATAAAACAGCAAAACTTTTTCGTTTTATAAAACTACGAGTTTCATAAAAAAAATTAGTATTAACTTGGAATTATCGAATACAACTTACATAATCATCAATGGTGATTACCCATGAATGATGTGCCGATCGTTCACATTCATGAAATCGTTCATGAATCGATCCATCACATTTTAATCTTTCGTATAGACCATAGACAGATTTGTATGGATATCGTATAGAATGCCATTCGGTTTCATTATTACCACGCACAATAATTGATTTATATTTATCATCAGCCAATACAATTTTTGCAACGATCGTCATGAATATGATCATCATCAAAAAATTTAAAATTATTTGCTTGCCATCATTATTCACAAACAATAATCCGGTCATTTGAAACATAGAATAGACCAGACCAGTATAATCGTATAAAAATGAATGGCCGTCAAATTTATTTATACGATTTAAACCATTCTTGTATATTCGATTCCAATCTTCGTAATTAAAGCCCAAATTGAAAAATTCTATTTTGTTAGCTATTTCTTGCTATTTGTGACGCCATCTATCGAGTAAGATGGCTTTCTAACAGTTTTCACTTTAAACTAAAAATTTTTTTTCAATTTGTCAAATAAACAAATTGTTTTTTGAATGTCATCAATTCATTTTTTTATTTTAATTTTAAATTAAATTTCCAATTTTAAACTAAAGTATATAAGGAAATTTCAATAGCTTTGTTTTCACATTTCTTTCATGCTTATTTTCATTGAACAAATCAACACTACCCACCAGCAATCATCTTTACATTTTTAGTAGAGGATCAAAGTGTTGGGTAATTCTCTGTAATCGTTCTGTCTCAGTCAATAAAGAAATATTCTTTGGAACACTTGATGAATCCGTTATTGGACTACCCCCATCAGGATGTAAAAATGATATGTTTCCTCGAGTTTTTCGTGGTGGTTTTGGAGGCGAGACATGTTTCTGTGATCTTAAGTGGCCAACAACTCGGCAATAGTTTTTCTCAACAAATGCTTGCGCTTCCTTCCTGTAATTCAATGTTTCGAATGGTTCGCTAATTTCTAATTTAGGTCTAGAGAATCGTATAAATGAATTAATTGAAATTGTCAGATCGAAAAAAAACCAATAAAACATACTTAGCAGTACTATTAAGATAAATTCGAATTCCCAAACATGCACAGACCAATGTTAAGATGAAAATTATGATTCCGACTATCCAAGCAATTGTTTCTTGTCTATCTTGTGTCAACCAACATGATGTTGATCCACGACTTGAACCGACTTTATCACACATTGATTTATATGATTCTTCGGTGCTGGTTTCGAGTTTCTTAGAATATTCTTTATCGCATTGTCCAGCAACACCAATTTCACAATCAAGTGTTTGCCAGATGAAGCAGCAAAACTTTTTTGATTCATAAAACTTTGAAAATAAGAAAATAGTCAATCGTTAATAACTTGAAATTATAGAATAATCAACTCACATAATCATCAATGGTCACTTGCCATGTATGATGTGCCAAACGTTCACATTCCTGAAATCGTCCATGAATCGATCCATCACATTTTAATTTATTGGATAGACCATAGCCAGATTTGTATGGATATCGTATAGAATGCCATTCGGTGGCATAATTACCACGCACAATAATTGATTTATCATTAGCCAATACAATTTTTGTAACGATTGTCATGAAGATCACCACTATTAAAAAATTCAAATAGATTTGCTTGCAATCACAATCCATAAGCAATAATCCGGTTATTTGAAGAATAGAATAATAGACCAGTATAATCGTATAAAAATGAATGGTGGTCAAATTTATTTACACCATTTTAAGCCATTCTTGTATATTCGATTCCGATCGTAATTAAAGCTCAAAATTTAAAAATTCTATTGTTATCCATATATTTGTTTCCACATTTGCTGTATGTAACCATGCCATCTATTGAGTAAAGTGGCTTTTTAATAGTTTTCACTTTAAACTTAAAATTTTTTTTCAATTTGTCAAATGAAGAAATGTTTTTTTAATGTCATCGATTCATTTTTTATGATAATTTTTAATTTTAAAATGTATTAGTATCAATAACAACTTTGAATTCAGACGTCTAAATGAAACTTTTTCAGATTTTTCGCACTATCTGGGAAAACAACCAGTCTGGCCACAAATCTTTTAACGGACTAGTTGGTGATGGTGGTTCTGATGGTATTGGTACCGTCATAGAACCACCGTCTGGCAAACCCTATAGTCAATTTTCTGGGAGGAATGATATTTTTTGATAATGGTGAATCCATTAGGCCCGAATCGGAATGTAAAATTGATTGGTTAAACAAATTAGGTGTTCCTCCGAATTTCATTTTTGATAATCTAGGCGCTGGAATGGGAGTTTTTCTAGTTGTCGTTGCTGTTGCTTGTGGGGCCATTATTGCCATCGGTGTTCTTGATGTAGATGAAGAGATATTCTGTGGAACACTTGCTGAATCAGTTATTGGGCCAGCCCCATCGGAATGTAAAATTGATTGGTTAAACAAATTAGGTGTTCCTCCGAATTTCATTTTTGATAATCTAGGCGCTGGAATGGGAGTTTTTCTAGTTGTCGTTGTTGTTGCTTGTGGGGCCATTATTGCCATCGGTGTTCTTGATGAAGATGAAGAGATAGATTGGTTAACACCTTGCTGAATCTAGTTGTCGTTGTTGTTGCTTGTGGGGCCATTATTGCCCCTGATCGGATGTGGAACACTTGCTGAATCAGTTATTGGATCGGAATGTAAAATTGATTGGTTAAACAAATTAGGTGTTCCTCCGAATTTCATTTTTGATAATCTAGGCGCTGGAATGGGAGTTTTTCTAGTTGTCGTTGTTGTTGCTTGTGGGGCCATTATTGCCAACGGTGTTCTTGATGTAGATGAAGAGATATTCTGTGGAACACTTGCTGAATCAGTTATTGGGCCAGCCCCATCGGGATGTAAAATTGATTGGTTAAACAAATTAGGTGTTCCTCCGAATTTCATTTTTGATAATCTAGGCGCTGGAATGGGAGTTTTTCTAGTTGTCGTTGTTGTTGCTTGTGGGGCCATTATTGCCATCGGTGTTCTTGATGTAGATGAAGAAATATTCTTTGGAACACTTGCTGAATCAGTTACTGGGCCAACCCCATCGGGATGTAAAAATGATTTGTTTATTCGTGGTGGTTTTGGAGGCGACGGGACATGTTTCTGTGCTCTTGCTTTCTTATCTGCAACAACTGCCATATAATTTTTTTCAACAAATAAATGCGTTTCCTTTCTATAATCAAATGGTTCGCTAATTTCTAATTTAGGTCTATAGAATCGTATAAATGAATTAATTGAAATTTTCTGATAAAAAAAAAATTCAATAGCACATACTTTGCAGCATTAATCTTATTAAGATAACTTCGAATTCCCAAGCATGCACAGACCAACGTTAAGATGAAAATTATGATTCCGACTATCCAAGCAATTGTTTCTTGTCTATCTTGTGTCAACCAACATGATGTTGACCCCCGAGCTGAACCAACTCGATCACACATTGATTTGTATGATTGTTCGGTGCTGGTTTCGAGTTTCTTAGAATATTCTTTATCACATTCACCAGAAACGTCAATTTCACAATCAAGTGTTTGCCAGATGAAACAGCAAAACTTTTTTGATTCATAAAACTTTGAAAATCAATCATTAACAACTTGAAATTATAGAATAATCAACTTACATAATCATTAATGGTGATTATCCATGCATGGTGTGCTGATCGTTCACATTCATGAAATCGTTCATGAATCGATCCATCACATTTTAATCTTTTGGATAGACCATAGACAGATTTGTATGGATATCGTATAGAATGCCATTCGGTTGCATTATTACCACGCACAATAATTGATTTATCATCAGCCAATACAACGATCGTCATGAAGAGAATCACCACTATCAAAAAATTCAAATAGATTTGTTTGCCATCATTATTCATAAACAATAATCCGATCATTTGAAGAGCAGAATAATCCTTCGAATCAAAAAAAATTAAAAAAAAATAATAAACCATTAGAATCGTAAAATTGGTCATGGAATTTATTTACACTACTATTCAAGCCATTCTTGTATATTCGATTCGTAAATTATAGCCCAAATTGAAATTCTATTGTTTTCATCATTTGCTGTATTATATATATCGACATCTATCGTGGGAAGTGAACAAATTTTTTTTTTAGGATTACGATTTTTTTAAACTTATTGATTTTTAGGTTTCCAATAATTGAAAATTTTAAACAAAAGTAATAAATTATTCCATTTGCTTTATTTGTTTTGAAAATTTCATGATCATAACACACACACACACACATGTTGTTGTTGTTGTTGAATTTTTATTGCAAATGAAATGTTTAAAAAAGTTGATGTATATCTCCTTGTGTGCTATTATTTTTCATTATCTCCACATCCATTCGGGAGACCATTCAACTAGATCGTGGCCAAGCAGTTTTAAAGATGTTACCAATAAATTTGGTTTTTGAGGGCCAAGATTATTTTTATTTGCAACATTTGGTAATGGTATAGCGTTATTTGTAACATTTGGTAATGGTGTAGCGTTTTTTGCAACATTTGGTAATGGTATAGCGTTTTGGTCTGTTTCAAAATTTGGAAATGTCAATCGTGGTCGTTGTGGTGTTTTCAATAAAAGTTCATCATAGTTTATTGGGTATTTAGGATTATGTGGTGCATTTTGGATCTTCAGTCTAGGAATCGGTCCCAAATATAGTGGCAAGCCAGTATCAGGATCAGTTACGTAATAATAAGTGTATTGGCTTAATGAATTAATTCAAATTGTCAAACAAACAAACAAACAAAAACACAAAAAAACTTACTTAACATCTTCATTTTTGTTACAATAAGTTCGAATTCCATAGGATGCACATGCCAAAGTTAATATGAGAATTAAAATTGCGATTATCCAATTAATCGTTGCTTTTGTATCTTTTGTCATAAAACATGTGTAGCTATTAGGTCCAGAACCGATTCGTTCACACATTGATTTGTATGATTGTTTGGTACTCATTTCAAGTTTCTTCAAATAATCTACACTACATTTTTTAATCACATCCATTTCACAAGAAAGTGTTAGCCAAATGAAACAGCAAAACTTTGATTTTTCATAAAACTATGATAAATTTAGAAATTGTTAATAATTTAGAATTATTACACCATAAAAACATCATACTTACATAATCATTAACGGTGATTTCCCATGTATGATGTGCCGTTCGTTCACATTCATAAAATTGTTTAGTAATTGATTCATCACAAAGTAATTTTTTCGGTATACCATAGACAGATTTGTATGCAAATTGTACACGATCCAATTCGGTCGTACTATTACCATGCACGATAATTGATTTATCATCAGCCAGCACAATTTTAATAATAACAAGTAGAACCAGTATCATTTCGATAACGAAACGGAATTTGTCAAAAAAAAAAAAATAAAAATAAAAAACAAATTCCCACAAATAGATTAATAATAATTTCGATCATATGCCACATTTTTTTAAAGCATTCTCATTTTTTTCAAATTAATTTATCCATAATTGTGTAATAATTATTTTCAAAAATTTCATTATTTTCTATTCTCTTTCGAATGTTTAAATTTTCAAATTCTTCAAAAAAAAAAAAAAATATTGCGCCATCTATCGATAGTGGATAAGAAATTTTCGAATTTCATCTGGAAAAATCATAAAAAAAAATTTGCTTTGAATCAATTTTTTTTTTAGCAAATCAAATCTTATCAATCAGGAAATGTGATCAACAATGGTAAGAAAAAAAATTTTCACTCACGATATATTGACAAATCAATCATCAGTAGATTTGATAATCGTAAAGCTAAAAACTATACTTTAATTGTTTGTCTTCTGGTGATGATTATGGCAACACAACACAACAACAACAACAACAAAAACAACAAAACGGAATTGATGCATTTTATTTTTTCATTCGATTAAATCAATCAATTGATTATATAGTTGTAGCCATGGTGGTTGCTACCATTTCTAGTCCATTTTCGACGATGATGATGATGATGATAACGCAATCGACGATGATTATTGTATCCTTGTTGTTTTTGTTATGATGATGATGATGATAGAGTAGTGGCACTTGATGCTTTTATAGTCATCGTTTTTTGTTGTTGTTGTTGTCTGGGTGTTTGTTTGTAAATTGTGATTCAATATATTGAAAAACTGTGATGTATGTGAAATGTGATCATTCATTCAGATTCAGATATAGATTAATAAGTAAAAAATATGAAAAGTTTTTGTTGTTGTTGAAATTGGTCCACTGAAATTGTTACTAAAATCAACGAAAATTTTTTCCCTCCAATAATCATAATGAATACTAAAAATTCGAATAATAATGATGGCTGTGATTATGATCAATTGGTCAGTTCGAATAATCGAAAATCATTTTGTGAACCAAGTGAGTACTTTTTTTCTGATTCAAATTTTAATTAGTTATTTTTTTCATTAATTTTTTTTTTCGTCAGATTCAGATTATGATTATCCAATCAATACGAAAAAAAGCATATGGAATATGAAACCAACATCGATTGGTCATTTGAATTCGAATTCGAATCATTTATCACCACCATTACATAGTTCATCATCATTTGATGATTATTCTAGAAACGGAATGATTCAAACAAAAAATCTAATGCAACCACCGGAAACCATTGTAAGTTTTTCCTATTGTCGTTTTATAAAATATAAAATTTTTCAAAATTTCAGACCAATATTCTGGACATGGTCATTCCAAAATTACCGGCTAAAAGTATCACGAACAGTAGTACCAGCAGCAAAGATGATTTACAGAAAGCAAAAAGTTTCTATTATGATATACCGAAAAATATACCGGTTAAATCACGTTCAACGACGACGACGACAACAACAAATCTGATGACTGCATCATCATCATCATCATGTTTATTATTTAATTCTTCACATAATAATCGGCCACAATTGCCAAAAAAATCATCATTTGTTCGTAGGAAAATTCAAACCAATTATAATAATGATGATAATTATGAAAATTTACCAGAAATGAATCAAAACAGAATTGAATCAACAACAAATACATTGAATCGTCATCATACATCACGATCATTACCGCCATTAATAATGGATACAAAAGCATCGACATTACCACGGCCACCAAAAAGTATTGTAACATCAACTGCCATTAACAACAACAAGGGCAGCAGCAGCAACAACAATAAACTTGATTTAACCGAAAATTCATCCGAAAAAATTATCAATTATAGCCAAAATATTGACTACGAAGATGATGATGATGATGATGGCTGTGATTATGAATATGATTATGTTTGTTTGGAATCGAAAAAGAAATTAGATGATGATGATGAACGTATCAAAATGTTGTTATCGAATCAATACCAATTTCGTTATGAAAATCTTGTTTTTCAATCCAATTCATTTGTTTTACCATCTTCTTCTTCTTCTTCCTTCCAGTAATCATTTTCAATCATCATCGATAACAACAAATATTCAATCAATGAAACAATTTTATCGGTAAGTAGGAAAAAAAATGTATGATGACTCATATATTGATTGGATTGGATGTTTTTCAATGGAATTTAGGCGACACATTTTTCAAGCACAACGTAATTTCTATCAATGGACACGTTTAGCTATTGAAATCATTAATCATCGTCAATATAAACCGGAAGTTTATTTCAATTTTGTTAAACATATCTTATTGGCTGGACAAAATCTATTGAATACATTTAAATTATTCATACGAAAATGGCAACAACAGCAACAACAATTTGATCATAATCATCATCATCATCATCATCGGCATCGGCAAAAGAATTGGATAAATTTTCCATCAAATTTCTTGATCAATTGAAACAAATTGTTATGAAAACCAAACGTTTAACATTTGCTGCTGCATTCGGTAATAAAGCTATGGATGATCTTGTTGAACATTTACAATTGGCATCAGAAATGTCTGATTCAGTGAGAAAAATGTTTACAATCTAATGCATCATTCTATTTTTTTTTTTTATTCGAAATTTTTTTTTTTTTTTCAAATTTTAATTCTTTTTTAATCGATAATCGAAATTATAATTATAATAATAATAATAATGAATGATGATGATGATGATGATGATGATGATGATGATAATCAATGTGAAATTAAATATTGTGTGTGTGTGTATGGGTGTGTGGGCATGTTTACTGTTATTTATTATTTATTTTTTTTTTTTTTTGTTTTGTTTTAATCAATAACAATTTTGTCTTCTACAAAATAAAATAAATTGAATGAATTCAAAGAAAAAATACTGTGCATTTTGCATTTTTGTGTGTACTATAATTAATTCCATTTTGTTTGGTTGCTGTGTTGATTTTTGTTCACAAATGATGAATTACAACAGGTAATTTGTGTGTGTGTGTGTAGATATTCTGTTAATGTGTAATGATAATTGATTTTTTAAATTCATGATACGTGGATTCTCTGTCTCTCTCTCTCTCTCTCTCTGGTGTGTAAATAGAAACGCTATTTTTTTTATACACATCAAATGTAAAACAAAAAAAAACGACAGAATTTCTAATGTGAAGAGAAAAAAATTTTTTTTTTCACTTTCAATGATGATGAAAAGGGTATAATATAGCAGCGCGCGCACAACAAATATCATCAATAGTGATAAAAGATGTAAAATAGGAAAAAAAACGATTAATTTATATAAGAAATAAGAATATGTACAGAAAACGAATGTGGAACAACAGCAGCAGCAGCAACAACAACAACAACAACAACAACAAAACAACAAGTGTGCTAAAAAAATTACAATCAAATTATAATCTCAAAATGACAATTCAAATGCTCCGCTTAAAATGGTGATATGCTGATGTGTGTGTGTGTGTGTGTCTGATATATTCAATTATGTGATCACTGAAGAAAAAAAAACTTGGGCAATATTTGATTGATATTGATGATGATGTTCTATTGATTATAAATTGAATTAAAATATCTTAATGCGTGTGTGTGTGTGTGTGATTGCTAATAAATCATTTCCGGTGATTTTTTTTTATGTGTATGTGTGTGTGTTTTTCAAATCGCGGAAGACATCTTTCGAGGATTATTATAGATGATGATGATGATGATTTGAATTTCGAATTTTTTTTCTTCGCCACTAATAATAATAATCATAGTGATTTAGTGATGGTGAAATTGTGTCACACTATAGTTTAATTTGGCCGATTGGAGAAAAATTGATTTTTGATTCGGAATCAGTGTCTGTGAGTGTGTGTGTGTGTGTGCTTCAATCATGATGATGACTAAAAATTTGTTGTACAAATACGAAAAAAATCGATCGATCGAGAGAGTGAGAAAAAAAATATGCAAATTACGAATTGAATTGATAAATGTTTTTTAATTAATCGTGTAGAAATTGTATTATTAAAGAAAAAATTTAACGGGCACTTTTTTTTTTTTTGCTTGAAAGGGTTAATTTTGTTTCTTTGGTCTGATTTGATGATCATCTGTTGTACTGTGTGTGATGAATAAACGTGAAATTGTGCATTGGTTGGTGGGAAATAAAACAGAAAAAACGAAAAGTTAATGAAACCAAGAGAGACAAGACACTTTGAATAATTTACAGATGAAAAGCAGAAAATTGATGATGATAAAAACCAAAAAGCTGCTGAATAATCAGATGAATCCAGATGATGTGATTATATATTATATATAATTACAAATGCTGAATACATACATCTAGGAAAAACAAACAAACAAACAAACAAAAAGGGTTTGAAGTGAACATCTAAATGTCAAGCTCTTTTATGGCGATTAAACAGAAATCATCATCATCATCATTAGCATCATTTTCCCGTTTTGGGCACCTTTTTTTTGGTATAATTCATTTCAATGAAATAGAAATTAAAAGATTTTCATTTTTTCCAAAAATTATTTTCAACTTTTAAAGGGCAAATAAAATCAAATCAAATAGAATGAAGAAAAAAAACATGATGATAAAAAGGCAGAAATAAAAATCATAATAATAATAATAATCGGGATAATAACCAAGGATGAAAATGTTTGGATAAAGTGAAATTGTTTGGGCTAGTATATACGGTGTCTGGTGATCGAATATCGATTGATTGTTTTTGCCAGTTTGTGTGTTTGTTTATATTTTTTGTATCCTATATATATTTATAGAAAGATATATAGTGAATAAACAAATTTTTTGAACAGGTAATATTGTAATGTATTGCATGTATGTAACAAAACAAAAAAAAAGAAAGAAAAGAAAAGAAAAAATAAATTCAGAATCATCAATATATCTGATACACAATAATCATTATATTATATAATATAAAGTAATGCAAATTTTTTCATAGGAAGATAGAAAGAAAGAAAGAAAGAGTGAGTTTTGAGTTTTTTCTGGTTTTTGAGAAGAACAAGAAGAAGAAGAAGAAGAAAAGAGCTAACGAAAATAAAAACAAATGATGAATTAGGTTTCCTATTTATATTATTGTCCGTTTGTCACTTGTTTCTGTTGTTGTTGTTTTTGTTGTTGTGGTTTAGCTCTTTTCTCATTACATACATTATATAAAAGAAGAAGGAAAAGATAACATCATCATCGTCGTCGTCGTTTGACCATATCAATCAATCGATTGATTGAAAAAAAACCAAAAAAATCCGCAGGAATTAGATTTCCGTTTCTGGATTTGTTGTTGAATTTTTCGTTGATAATGCATTCGGATTTCTTGATGGTGTCATTATTGATAATTTACGTCCAGATAATGTATGTGATGATTCTGATAATTCCAATGCATGTTCATTATCCCATTTTTCTAGCTCTTCACGGCTTAAATGATATACAACACCTGATAAGTAAAAAAAAAAAAAAAACGAAAATAAATAAAAAATTCAGAATAATGGAAACAACAACAACAAAAAAAAATTTAAAAATAATTTATAACAAGAAAAAAAACGAAAATTCTTAGTAAATTACAATAATGATGATGATGCTTTGAATTGAATTGAAAATTGAAATGGATTAGATTAGATTATCAAGTGTATGTGTGTGTGTCATTACAAATGAAAATTGGCCACATTTCACCGAAAAAAAAACACATTAATCGTTAATTGCGCTCTGTGTGTGTGTGTGTATGTTTGGAACACATTAAAACGGGCATTCAATTTTCGGATTACCCAGATAGACGATTCGGCAAACACACACACATAAACTAAACTAAAAAATACTAATAATAAATAAAGTACACAAGTTTTTCATTCTCTACTAGGAATCCATTTTGAAAATTAACTAAAAAAAAAGAATAATTAAGGATTCATCATTCGATGAATAAACACTAGATGGTGCATAAATATATGTGTGTATGATAAGATAAGATTCTCTTTTTTTATAAATGAATTAGCTTGATTTTCAAATCAACGAACAGAATAAAAAAAAACCAGCAGGATTCTTGTTTAATAATGCTGTTGTTGTTGTTGTTGTTGTACATTTAAAATATTTGCAACATTTATAACACATAAAATCATTCAACCAAATCGATATTGATCATCATCATCATCATCATCATCATGATCATAGAATGATAATATTCTGGAATATAAGCTTTTACCATTTACAATCAGTTTTCTTCCACTATAAGTCTACTATGCTTAGTAATATTTCCTTTTTAGACAAGAAACAACAACAACAACCAGAAGGAAACAAAAAAAAAAGAAAAAAACTGACAAATGAGACTACCCATCCAGGTTTTTTTTTGGCTGTGTGGTGAAGAATGGAGTTGTTATGGGACAGATCGACCTGGCAATGCAAACCCAATGATGATGATGATGATGATGACGACGACACACACACACACCCAAAAACTAATTTAATTAGATATTATATGATCCAAGAAAAAACAGCGAAAAAAACGTCAAATAAATAAGAAAAAGAAAAGTAAAAAAAAAATCGAGAGAAAGTAGAGAGGATCGAACAAGAAAAAATGTGTGTGTAGAAGATGATGAAGAAGAAAGAAAAAAACTTATTCTAGGTTCGATAACTTGAATTTTTTTTTCTCTCTTCCCAATTTTATGAATCCAACAACACACAAAACAAAAATGATTAGATCGACAACAAAACACTACTACTACTACTACTACTAGTACTGCTGATGAACATGATAATAATAATAATAACGAAAAGTAAAGAATAAAATTCAGGCAAATCACTTGTCGAAAAAGAAAATGGTAGACAAGCAGATGAAAACAAAAAAAAATCTGTTATACACACAAAAAAGACCAAAGATCAAGAATAAGGAGAATGAAAAATCAACGAAAATAAATGAATGAATGAATGAGAATGTATAACACAATTATTAGTTCTGTCAGTTACTGTTTTATTATATGTTGAATTTCGGTAAATGTCTATATTATGTGTGTGTGTGTGTATTATGAAATAACTTTAATCTACCTATCTACCTATCTACCTATCGTTGTGTGTGTGTGTTGGTTGGCCATTTTTTTTTGTCTTACAATAAAGGAAACAAAAAGAAAAAAAAAAAACCATTTGTGTGTATAGAATAAATATTCTGTAGTGGCTTAAATTCTTTCTGATATATTCACGGGATGACGATGGATGAAAATGGACACAAACACATACACACACACAGAGAGAAAGAGAAAATAAATTCATTGCAAGGTTGATTCATGCATATTTCATAAATAAAATATTGTATGGTTATGTAATAATAATTTCATTCAATGTTGTTGTTGTTATTATTTTTCTACACACACACAAAAATAAAGGGAGATGGTAGAAACATTCGGATTGAAATTCCTATTGTTTAAATGTATGTATTCAGTATTTATATAAATATAAATGCACAGAATTGACCGTCCGCATACAAACACACAGAGAGAGAAAAAATGGCAATCATAATCATAATCATCAATTGTGTGTGGATGGAAAAAACAATTTTCAAAACAAAACAAAACAAAAAAAAATACCAGATGAGAATCTCTTCATCATCATCATCATCAAATAGTATATAATAGGATTCTGCAAACGTAGGCAATTTTGATTTTTTTTTCATTCATTCATTCAATGATTCAAATATTGTTTCCATAAAACAATCATCATCATCATAATAATAAAATTTGATTGGTTTCTAGTGTGTTGTTTGCGTCAAAAAAAAAAAAATTATTTTCATTTTCAATTCGATTTCGATTCGATTCGATTTGAATCGATTTATTTTTGTGAATTACAAAATTGTATCGAATGGTTTTTTTTTGCATTTCTCATAAATATTCATTTCAGAAGAGAAAAAAAAACAAGATTAATTTCAATAATGATGATGATGATGAAAATCAATTAAACGGAACAAAATGATTATTATAATGAATGAATGAATGAGAGAAAATGAGAAGTGGATCATCAAATTCATTTTATCCATTCATTAAGAGAAAATTTGATCAGATAAAAAAAAGAAAGAAATTCCCTGGAACTATTTCCATCAGGCATAATGATGATGATGATGATGAAAAAAAAATACAATACAAAACAAACAAATTTTGATCATCAAACTAAAATGCAATGTGAAATTAGACAAAAAATCATTGAAAAATCTAACCGGAAATTTTTTTTTACTCTATCGTCGTTATTGTCTCTTTACCTGCTGCATCTGAACAAATGGAATTTTGTTTTTGATTCCAAAAAAAAATTGACTTATTAAATCGAAAAAAATTGCAATTTAAAATTTCAATAGAAAAAAAATCCTAAAAAATAGTGATTGAGAAATAAAAAAAAATTGATTCATGAAATGTTCGTTTTTTTTTTTTTTCGTTTACCCATAACATTGTTAGGCAACGCATTCAATTAAGATTGATCGAATGAATGTGGATTTTAGAGGAAAAAATTTTTTTTTTTTTTGAATGTTTGCTTGGAATTTGGAAAAAAAAGAAAATGGAAAAGAAAAGAAACAGAGAAAGAAAGAAAGAAAGAGAGAGATAGAGAGAGTTTTATGGAAAATTAGACATTTATTAAATGATGATTCAAATGATGGAACAGGCAAGATTATTATATTATTATTATTATTATTATTCTGGGAAAATGGAAATGAGGACAAAGAGTGGAAAAAAGTGGATGTTTGGTTAAAATTTGCATATATATAAATCTTTATTGCTAATCCTTTCTCAATCACACTCAGAGACACAAACGAAGAAATTCTTTTTTCTATCGATTTATGATGCAAATTAATTTGTATATGCATAAACATCTGTACTACGAACAAGCCAGCAAGCACGCACACACGAACGAATAAAAAAGAAACCACAAAAAAGAACCAGAATTTGTTGCAGTTCTTTTTTCTTAATGATGACATTTTTTTTTGTTACCAAAAATAAAACATTACGAATAAAAATTGAATTTTGAATTCTAGAATAATAATAAAACAAAAAAAATGAACATACCTGCTCCATATGCATCGCCAAGCACATTGATCGATGTTCGTATTCGGTCTCTAGGATTTTTAAAAAGAGAAAATGGAAATTTTTTTTTTTAGAAAAATTGAAATAAAAAAAAATATACCATGAAATGGCAAAAAAAATCGTTCAATTCATTGAATTCGTTTGTTTTGTTGTTTGATTCATGCGATTGATCATCAAAATTTCTCAATTGTAAAAGTTCAATTTTTTCTTTTGTCATGGTGAACAACAAAACATTAACAGACAAAAAATATTACAATTGTCACAAGATTTATTGAAATTTTTTTTGTTTGTTTGTTTGTTCGATAAAACAAAAACCTTACTCACTATAAATGATGATGATGATAATTATATATGAAATAAGAAACAAGAAACAAACGAAAAATGTAATGTATAATTCATCATCATCATCAATTAAAGTTTATTTTCCAAACACACACACACACACACTCAAATACAATATTTTCGTGTATTTACAAAACATATATAGATAATATAGAGAGACATTAATCTTCTAGATCTATGTGTGTGTGTGTGTAAATTTGAGTTTGTTCATATAATACGTCTTATTAATGTTACATTCATCTTTTTTTCAAGAAAAAAACAACACAGTCAAGGGAAATGAAATGAAAATAAAATGAATGAATGAATGAATCATCATGTTACAACAGACAACAACAACGATGAAGATGAAACATCTTTGAATTTTTTTTTTTTGTTGTTGTTGTAAAAAAAAAGAAAACACTAATAATAATGTCAACTCAATAATGATAATGATGATGATGATGATGATCGTGTGTCATTTTTGTTGTCAACCAACCAACAAACTATGAGAATGAATTCAAACGAAATCAAAATTTATTTGTTTTTTTTTTCTTCTTCATTAGCACTATAGTTCTAAATAGGCGTGTAGAATTTTTGTTTTTTCATAATTTACAATGATGGTGGTTGATGGTGTGATGAGTGAAATGTAAAGTGAAGATTCTAAAAGTCTAACCTAAATGAATTTATTGCCAGAAAAGGCAATTGTTGTTGTTGTTGTTGTGTTTAATTGTGTTGAATAATTTCTATTGTACAATTGCTGGTTGGTTAGTTTTTTTGTTTTGTTTTTTGATAATTAATTATATGAATGAGTAAAGCCAATGGCTTTTGGTTATATTGAATAATAAATTTTGTCTACATTTGTGTCCCTTAATAATTTAGATTTTATGTATGTATAATTATAATGGAAAGTATATACTTACAGAAACCAATCGACAGCGATAATCATTGAAATATCTTTGGTTGGCAATCCTAATGCGGTCAATACAAGTAACATGGTGACCAGACCGGCTGACGGCACCGACGCAGCACCAATTGATGCCGCTGTCGAGGTTAGCGATACGATTATTATCTGGCCAATATTAAATTCAACGGCATTCATTTGTGCGATAAATATAGCAGCAACTGCCTCGTAAAGAGCCGTCCCGTCCATATTGACGGTGGCACCGACGGGCAGTACAAATCTTGTTACCTTTTTAAATTATAGCAAAAATAGAAAGAAAATCAAAAATAAGAAAAAAAAATGAGATGAGATAAAATTGGTTAATTCATAAAAAAAACAATGAAACAAACAAACAAAATAGAATGATAAAGAATCTCATTACATAATGATGATGACAAAAATGTCAAAAACAACATTGAGGCAATAAAATGATCAAAAAAAAAATCTGAAATAATCGTATATTGACAATCATCATAATTTATTATCATTATCTCTCTAAATACACACAAACGCCCACAATAATGTTGAATAATCAAATAATAAAAAAATTATCTGGAATCCATCATTATTGGTGGCCTCTATTATATTGTATTATTCACAGTAAAATATTAATAATCAATCAATAATCGATTGTTATTATTGATGAAAAAAAAGCTAGTGGATGATAATAAATATTGAGAAAATAGCAATGCATAATAATAAATAACAAGTGAAAAAAAATGCATAAAGGTAAAGCCCATTTTTCAGGAGCTATGAGGATTTATACGATAATTGTCATCATCATCGTCGTTGTCGTTGTCGTCGTTATAAAACAACACATCATATTATCATCAATTTCTATACCATTAAAAAATGTCACACACACAAACAGAGAGAATCAAAACCGAAACAAAAATAGATAGAATCAAATCGATCAAATGAATAAATAAACAGCTGTCATTCATAACAACAAAATGACAAGAAGAAAAAAATTAATTTTCAATTTCCGAAAATTCTAAATTCTGAATTCTGGATTCTAGATTCATTCAATCATTTTTGGCTTTTTTTAATTAGCACAACGCGAATAACAACAAAAAAAATACAAATATAAATGTGCAGAGAGAAAGAAAGAAAAAAAAATAATTTTCACAAGAAAATGGAATTTTTTTTTTCTCTCTTTTATATATTCAGGTAAATCTAAATTGTTCATGTTTTTTTTTGTTGTTGTTGTATTAATATATTAATATCACAAAATATAATCTAGAATTTGTGCCTGCAAGACAAAGATATATATAGAAAGAGAGAATGAATTCTGTTTCGAAAATATGAAAATGGAAAATGCTTTTTAGTTAATTTGAAAAAAAAATCTCGGAAAAAAATGCGGGCCACAGAAAAAAAAAAATGACATGAAAATTTTCTGTATTTGCAGGAATCTAAGATTTGCCATTAAATAACACATACACACAAATACAAACACAGAGATTATATAAGACAAGAAAGAAATTGAAAACATGAATATCAGACATACAACATGATCATGGCTTAAATGAATTTTTTTCTTTTTCTTTTTCTTCTTTTCATTTCTATTTTTTTCAGCCAATTTTCGTCTTATCTATGCAATGATAATGTTGTACATTTGCATGTATCCTCACATCATCACTATGTGAAGCAATATGCTATGTGTATGTGTATGTATGATTTGCATCACGAATCTTTTTGAATTAACATATATCATTTTAGCATCTTGATGATGATGATGATGATGAAAAAGCACATTCAATGGTGTGATGACAACTTTTTTCTCTTCTTCAATGGTCATATTATTATTTGCGAATGGATTTTCATTGCAGTCAACTCTCTGAATTTTTTTTTTTTTTTGCAATAAAAATATTCTACATGCTAGAATGGAAAAAAAATATCAAAAAGCAAAAAACAATTTTCGTTTGGCTGAGAAAAATGGATAGGAAAAAAAAATTCAATGTTTCTTTTTTGTTCCAAATTCTAAAATTTATTTTTTTCAATTATTTTCTTCTTATTTATTACCACTTTTATCAAGTATATCGACAAGCAATGATGTAATGTTTGGTGGCTATAAATATAAACACACACACAGACATGGTCGTTTTTTTTTCCATTTTATTTATTTACAATGTGACAATATCGTCTGATGGTTGACTATGTTTTATTTTGTTTTCCATTATTATTCTTATAATAACCATTTCACATGTGAAATACTAAACACACACGCACAACACACGAAAAGAATATTCTATATATTGAAAGAAAAAAAAACACATTAATTATCAAAATGTCTAAAAGTCTTAGAATCTAAGAAATGGATGAAATACAGTGACATTTAGAAGAAAAAATTTCAATTTTTAAACATTTGATGAAAATTCAAGTCTCGTTTTGAGACTTTCATTCAAACATTTTTGATTAATCATAAATTATGTTTTTTTTTCATTTTTTCCATTTTTTTTTCTTGGTTAGATCATGTGTCAAGCAGCACCCACCCACCCACACACACACACACACACAGTATGTTAATATCATTTTAATTATTATCGATTTTTTTTCACTCTTGTTCATATTTAGGTTCATTATAATTAATTTTTTTGCAACATGAAAAAAATCGATTTTTTTTATTCTCTCTTTCCACGGTCAATGGTACAGAATTTACACTAATAACAACAACAACACCAGCAACAACGACAACGACAACAACAACAACAACAACATGGACAGTAAATTATTTGTACAGAATAAAAAAAAATGGACCACTTTTTTCTCTCTCAACATGATATTCACAATTATGAAACTCAGGAAAAAAATCGTTATATAAATGCATTATAAATTGTCATATAATTGTAATTGTGCTTGACTTGTGACAAACAAAAATCTTGGTCCAACAACAACAAAAAAAAAATTAGCGTCCAAAACATGCAAACATACGACATGTGTATATATATATTGATCCACTATATATATATGCATGACAGAATTATTATCCAGACTCATATTAAAAAAAACGAAAATTCCAAGGACCCCGTAAAATCTCAATATAGAATAAATGAAAATTATAGCCGAAAAAAAAATCATCAAATGTCCGGGATACGGAATATATAAATGAAACTAAATTTGAATATCACACACACACGAACATGTAAAAAAAATGAATGACAAAATATATAAAAGTGGAATATAGAAAATAAAAACAAAAACATGGAAAAAAAATTATTCTCTCTCTCTCTCTTTATGTTTTGTATGAAATAAAGTCAGTGATTCATTTTCATTAAACTTGTCGTTTTTTTTGTGCTCTCTGATTCATGGTTGATCTGAATTTTATTTTTTATTTCTCCTACTTCAGGAACTTTGCAAAAAAAAAAAAAAAAAAAAAAAAAGAATCAAATTCACTATACAATCACACAGCAGGCGATAGTGATGATAGTGAACCCAAGAGAGTGATATGTATATTATATGCCAATGTTTTTTTTTCTCCACCCCAAATAAATGTAGAAAAATGGGTGTAAAAGTGTCAGAAAAAAGGGTAATGATAATAAGGATGTGTGTGTGTGTGGATGGAAAATTAAAGAAAAAATAACCGAAAAGGAAAAAAATTTGTCGTTTCACAAAACCAGTAGTTTCATGAAACAATAACGAAAAAAAATTCTTAATTTCAATCATCATATGTTAGTAGTAGTGGTGAATATTCTAAAAAAAAAATCTGAAATGGAATGATTCAAGAGAAAAAAACCTTGATTATCATCATCATCATGACCTTCAGATAGAAAAACAAAATAGAATTTAAAGTCGATTCCAACTTTTTTGTATGATTATCTCTATCATCATCATCATCATCATCTTCATCAACAACAACAAAACAGTTTTTCAATTAATTGAAAAAAACAACAACAACAAAAAAAAAAATCCGACCATCTAATTGAGAATTTATATATACCACCATCATCATCATCATCATGTGACACAAAAACACAACGGGAATCTACATCATCATTTTATCATCAGAACAAAACGAAAAAAGAGAGAGAGAGGAGAGAAAGAGAAATTGTTCAATCAAAGGATGATGATTATTTTAATTTTAGTTCACATCATTATCATCAAGGAAACATTACATTACAGTGTGTGTGAATGAAATATATTGTGTGTAAGTGTTGAATTTTTGCATTTATATTTTGCTGATTCGGAAATTTTTTTTAGAGTTTGATATTTTCTCTCTCCGTTTTTTTAGGCTAAATTAAGAATAGAATTTTCATCATCAAGATAATTTGATTTGGTGATGAAGATGATGATGATGATGACGATGAAATCATCAACAATCGAAGAAAAAAAAACAACGATTACCTTGCAAAAAAAACCGAATGGAAATTCAAAAACACCAAAATATTCAGACCGGTTCTAGTCATTCAATTCAATTCAATTCAATTTTTTTTGTCCACTAATAATTCCATGTGACAAGAACATAATAATATTCTTTCTATGGTTAGATTGGAATGCGCGCAGTTTAACAATGAATGAATGAATGAATGAAATGCAAAAAAAAAAGAGAAAAAAATTTATTCCGGTTGCCATGAGTGAGAAAATAAAACTAAAACTATACAATGATCACCACAGAAGAAAATGGAAAAAAAACATTTTGAAAAAGGGCACCAAAAAAAAACCATCAAACAAGAGATCAAAAACTAAAAGCCATAGAATTTTACCTGTTTTTTATTTTTTTTTTTTTTTTTTGTTTCAAAGCCCATTAATGTGTGTGTGTGTGTGTGTGTGTTCTATATTCCGGACGAATACGAAATAACCGATAAAGAAGAGAAAAATGCACTGCACTCAAAGGTTGTGCGGAAAATACACGCAAGCAAAAAAAAAGGGTTTTCTGGATAATAGTTACGATCATTCGGATCCAAACCGATAGTTGAATTATTTTCCAAAATTTTTTTTTCGGTTAGGGATTCTATTTTATTGTTTCCATATTCTATATTCTACAGTAAATTTTGAATGATGATATATTACATATATAAACCATAACAACGAAAACGGTGTGCGTGTGTGTGTGTGTCTGTATGTCATGACGGTTGTTATTTGATCAGTAAAAATGAATTTTGATCAAAACAACCGTCGACCACTAAAAGGAATATGAAAAAAAACAATGTAAATTGAATAAAAATGAAAAGAATCGAGAATCGAAACAATAACTAAAAACGAAAAACCGATATATACGAATTTGATCCTAGTTTTTTCATTTATAATGGAAAATGAGAATAAATTTTTCAACACAGACAAGCAAAAAAAAAATTGACAAAAAACACGGTTAAACAAAGTTCACAATCATCATCATCATCATCATCATTCAAAACTAAGACCACTACTACTAATGTATTGTCATATAGAAATAAACTACAGATCTATAGATCTATAGAAAAAAACAAAATCGATACATTTCAATAACATCGATCATCACAAACAAACACATTGAGAGAGAAAAAAAACAACAAAACGAAACATCCGAAACGTTTCAAAATTCGACCAGATGCTAAAAAGGAAAAAATTCAGAAAAAAAAACTTTAAGTTATTTACATAATCGAACAATCCAACAACGCACAAAGTAGGCATGAAAAAAAAGTATCTCTCAGTGTGTGTTTGTTTGTATTTATTCATTTCAATTGCAAACAACAACTTTTAAAAGATAAAAATTTACATGAATAAAATGTTGCCATCCACATCATATTGATTTTCATAAAATTTCTTCAATTTTTTTTCAACAACAACAACAAAATGTCCAAAAATCAAAAAAAAAAAGAAACTAATCACCAGTAAATTATTATATTGCGAAAGAGAAGAAAAATTCTGAATTTTTTTTCTGGTCTTATCAAAGAAAAAGAAAAATTGTATGTAAGAAAAAAGATTTATCATCATTTCCGGCATTTTTCATTCGTTTTTTCTATACCATAACGTTTCCGTTTCCGTCTCTGTCATCTATTGTTTTCTTTTCGTTGTTGTTATTCTGTTCACATTTTTTCAAATGATCATCTAGACTTTCATTTTCAATCTTGGTTCATTCATTCATTCATTGTCCATAAGATCTTATAATGGCGATGGATAAAATTTGTGTGTGATGTATATTTGTGGTTGAAAATGAAAACCAAGAAAAAAAATGGAATTTGTCAACCACAACAGAAAAAAAAACAGAATAAACAAACGAAAAAGAAATGAATGAAGAGAAAAATGTGGTGAAAATAAAAACCGGAAATACTTATCGAAATGATGCTAGATGGTCAAGGAGGCGAAGAAGAACAAAAAAAAACTTGACATCAAGCAACACTTTTTTTGAGTGATTATCGATCATGATGATGGAAAGAATTTTTCTTTGATGGAACAAAAATAGAGACTAATGCCAATGGTTTATTATGGCCATCATCATCATCATCATCTTGATGATGATCATGATGATGATGAAACATTCATGAACATGAAAAAACAGAAAAGAATAAACAAGAAAAAAAAACACAAATTCTTAGGCCACAAACTTATTCAAACACACACACGCACATACTACAGTCCAGAGATCAGACCAGAATAAAATAGTGAAAAAAAAATAAGAATCTGGGTCCATAAAAAAACTATATTCTCAAGATGGACATACACACACACACACACACGCTAAAATAATCCCAGAGAATTTTCACAACCATAAACAAGGATTCTTTTATATGATTCTATGGATTATGATTGCCTTATAGTAGTAGTGAACTACTTATAGAAGGCTTAGGCTGCTCTTTTCATTCTTCAATGAAACAAAACAAAACAAAAAAAATTCTTAATTGATCCAATAATAACTTTATATATATTTTTTTCACTTGTTTCTTTCAAAGCCCATAGAGAATGACGCCCAAAGAGTAGTTAGGAATATAAACAATAAACAGGAACAAAAAAAAAAAAAATAAATGTTTGATGATGATGGTTCTAAATGATTGGCTGACTGCTTGGGTGGTTATTGTGTGTGTGTGTGTGTTTGTTTTTTTTGTAACAAACATTTTTTTGCATTCATTCATTCCATCAATGTGTGTGATGTTCACGAATGAAAATTGAAACACCACCAAAACACCACAACCAAGAGAAAAAAAACAATCGATTTACTGAATCTATCTAGAATGAATTATTATTATTTTTATTATATACCAAACATCAAAAGCAAAACCAAAAAAAAAAAAAAAAAACAAAAATCGAATCGGTTAAATCATCTATCTATCCATCTCTATATATATCTATCTTTCTATACAATTCATTTTGTGGCCTTATGGTTATTGGAATAGCCGTATACATACACAAACTATGGCTATTTTCGTGAATATTGTACATAATAATAATAATAACAACAACAACAACAACAACAACAAAAACCGGACATTGTTTTTTGTCTTTATCTCATATTCTTTTTTTCTGATACAATATTGTTGTTGTTGTTGTTGTTGGTTATTCATTATTGATGGACAAGTTTGCTGGTTTGGGTTAATAACTAAACAATAGTATAGTGTAATTTTCCTCTCTGGTTTGATTCTTGGACATTTGGACCGACGGGCAAATAATAACACATACACACACACATACAAATGAAGAAGAAATAAAACAAGAAAAAAAAGCCAATCAAAGAATTTTATTGAATGAATGAATGTTTGTCGTCGTCGTCATCATCATCATTTGGTTCATTCATTCAAAGTCAAAATGAACTGAACTGAATCAAATAAACTGACTAAATACACACACACACACACACACACACACACAGAGAGACACAAAATGTTCATTTTATTCGGTCATTATTAAATGTGATGTGATGTATCCACCACTTCTATATCCAATATATGATGATTTTTCATTTCAAGATTAAATGAAAAATAAAACAAAACAAAAACAAAAAATCGTACCATACTATATCGATGAATTTTTTTTTGTTTTGTTTCGTTTTCAATAAAAAGAGGCCAAACAACAACAACAACAACAACAACAACAAGGATGACAATATAATATTGTCATTGTTGTCGTTTTCTTTGTTGTTAACACTATTGTGTCATTGTCGAAAATAATGGCATCAAAAGCAAAAGCTAAATTCTGTTTAAAACTTTTTTCCATAATAACAATAATATACCTATATAATTGACATCCACATTGTGAACAGAGAAGAGAAGCAAATAAAAAAAAAATGAAACAAAAGAATGTTGGATATTAAAAAAAAAATCAAACAATCATCATGATAAAAAACAATGGACAAGTTTTTCCATCGAGATGTTTGTGTCTCTCTGTGTGTGTGTGTGTGTGCTCTATGTGAATGATGAGAGAACCAGAAAAAAAATCTAACCCCAAAAGAAGAACAAACAAATAAACTAACGAATTGTATGGATGTGTGTGTGACAGGAACCAATGAACAAATGAAAATGGACAGGAAATGCGTGCAAATATTCTATGAATCTAAAATAAACAACAACAACAACAAAAATCTATAGACCAGACTATGTGTGTGCTTGATGTATACACATACAGGTCACACACAAAAAAAACAATGGAATGGATTTTTTTTTTATTTTTGCCAGCTGTTATTTTCAAATTCTACTTATTGAATTAATATAAACAAAAACCTGGATAACAAAAAAAAAAAAAAAAAAACAACTAGCCAGTCAACTGTAACGGTGAAATGAATAAATAAATAAATAAAATGAATGAATGAATGAATGAAACCAAACCGACCATCCAAGCTAATCAAAATCTGGTTTGATGGTTGGATATATCATCATCATCACCATGATCATTATCATTGGATAAACTAAAAGTCAGAATAAAAAAAACAACAGACTATTTTGACCTTGTTTGGCTAAAAAAAGAAAAGAAAAAAAATTTCTCTCTCTTCATATCCTCAAATGAATAATGTTCATAATTTGGTAGTGACCCGATGTTTATGCATTGTTGTTGTTGTTGTTGTTTCATGAATTTTGTAATTTGATCCTTTTTTTATATGGTCACTTGGGTTGACGTTTTATTGTATTGGTTTTATGAGATGGACAACAGCAGTAACTATATAACGTAAACAAAAATAAAACGGTCAATTGACTATAATTGAATGACATCAGAGAATCATATAACCCCAATGAAATAGCATTTACACACAGAAAAAAGAATAAAAAATAAAAATAAAATCGATCGATCGATTGAATCGATTTTTATGATCATCATTATCAGCAAGCTAGTGAGAAAGAAAAAAAAAGAAACAAAAATTCGATTCGTGATCGATCTTCGATGAAGCTCAAACTAAACGATAAATTGAATGGCATTGAATGAAAATGAGAATCAAAGATCGCACAATAATACTCCCACACACACACACACACACACACAAGCTATTCAATTGAAAATTTATTTTTTTTTATCGTTTCATTTTTTGTTGTTGTTGTTGTTGTTGATGGTATGGAACAACCAAAACAACAACAACAACAATAACAAAGAAAAAGAGGAAAAAAAATCTCATCATCATTATTATTATTATTATTATTGATATTATCAAAAGGACAAAAGCGAAAAGAAAACAAAATCAATCGAGAAAATATCAAATTTATAAATTTTTATTATAAATGATGATCAAATATATCTAGTTTGATCAATCAAGAAGAAAATAATAACAACAGCAGCAAAAAAAAAAAGAATAGACAAATTTTCATTTTTTTTCTGGATAGATAAAAAAAATTCAATGATGATTAGAACTAAATTGAAAAAAAATGATGATGAAATGAAATGATTTGCCTATAGGGCTAAAACTTTTTTTCATTTTTTTGAAAATTAATGTACTAAGGTTTATCCGGAAAAAAATGTGGTAATATTTCTTTACAATGTAATTGCCTGTATAAAGCTAATATAATGTGTACATTTAGCATCATCATCGTTGTCGTCGTCGTCGTCGTCATAACATATTTATTTGACGTTGATCAATTGACTTGACACACACACACATACAAACATACTGACTCATGCTAAACATGTGTTTGTGGCTAAAATCGAGTAATATGAACTGAGAAAGAAAAAAAAGGCCATATCAATTTGAATAATGATGATGTCAAAGTTAAATGGACACTTGATATTGAAAAATGAATTATGAATATTGTGATGAAAATTATTATGATAATTAAGAAAAAAAAATCTACTTACTCGTTTATCGATATGATTGTTTTCTTCAAGACAACGGAAAGTGATTGGAAGGGTTGCGGCAGACGATGCTGTACCCAAGGCTGTAACCCAGGCTTGTAACATGCCTTTGAAAAATGTTAAAGGGTTTTTCCTTGTAACAATAAAATAGATTCCTGGCAATGTAATGATTGCATGTATTAATAGACCAGTGATTACGGTCAACATATAGAGGCCTAGCTGTTGAGCCATCGTATACATGTCTTGTATAGCTAATATTTTGGCTATAATTAATGATGCAATGCCGATTGGTGAATACCACATACAAATGACAACTAAACGCATAACAATTTCGTTTAGTATAACAAAAAATCTAATCATTGTTTCAGCTTCGGATCCTAATTGACCACAAATGATACCGAAGGCGGTGCAAAAAACAATAAGACCAAGGATGTTAGAACCATCTTTATAAGGGTATGAACGAACTAATTTATAATAATCAGTTACATTTGTTGCTGGATCAGTTTTATTATAAATACGATCCCAATTTAATTGTTGACCTTTTTCACGTACACGTGTCATATTGATACGATCACTGGGTACAAATTCAGTTTTTACATTGGCAAATGCTGCCTGTAGTAAATTTTCTGGAAACATATTACGAACCAAATCTAACATTGCATCCAATGTTGATACTTTTGTATCGGCATCTTTTACAGCTTTCATTGCTTCCTGTTTGATACGTGGATTACCTGGATGTATCAATAATACCAATACAATACCGAGAATGGCAGCTAATAGGGTTGTTCCAAAATAATAGGCAATAGCCCTTGAACCCATACGGCCGCTCGATTTGGCATCCAATTGAGCTAAGCCGGCAATCATTGATGATGTTATCAATGGTATAATTAACATTTTGAGCATTCGCATTAATAATTCACCAGGGAAACCGATCAACATGACAAAATCATCATCGTAGCTTGCGTAACGCATAAAACATCCTAGCACAATGCCACAGATCACTGATAATATTGTCAATACAAGCAATAGATTTTCGGCAAACCAGCCCCAAATCTTTTCCACCAAAGTCCTTTCCGGATGTGTCATTCGTACGGTAGTTGGCATGGTTGTTGGATTTGTTTGATGAGGTTTTGTTTGATTACTACGTAACATAGGCGTCTTGGCATCCATCTGACTGTTTTCCATTTCCTATATCCACCGTTCACATCCACTCGCTCTTTCATACATACATCCAATAAACACAAAAGGATGATAACAAACGGAGAAAAATCACAAACTGTTGACAACTTATATTTGGATGATGATTTTGAGATTTTTTTTTTAAACACAAACACCAAAAAAAACAAACAATTAAGCACAAATCATTGATGATAAATTGAACACACACACACACACACATACACTAATGATGAATATAGTCGTCGTCTTCGTCGTCGTAAAAAAAAGAATTTTTCAAAATCAAATCCAAGGCTTTATAGAGAAGAAAATTGAAAAAAAGGATGATTGTTTCTCAAGTTAGTTCTTTAGTCAGTTAGTTTGCAGAAAAGTTTTTCCTATGTTCAAAACGAAAGAAAATAGAAAAAAAAATGAAAATTGATTAGAATCCTTATAAAAAAGAAATAGAATGTACATTTTTTTAACAAAACAAAATAATCAAAGAAAAGTCCAGAAGAAATTGTAGTGAACCTGTAAGAATGATTGATGTCTATCGCTCTTGGTGTGTCTCTGTGTGAACGAGTGAAAACTGGAAAAAATCGATTTTCATGGATTCGATTGATGCTTGTGTGTGTGTGTGTGTGTGTAGCAAATTCTATTCATTTAATTCCCATGCTATCGATTATAGAGAGAAATAGAGAATATATTGATTGAAAATAATATTGAAACTTATACTACACTACAACCATACAAACATACACACAAAATTCTCTATTATTATGACAGTCACAATGAAACACTAAATCAACTTTGAATGAATACCAACCATATCAAACAACTACAACCAGCAACAACAACAACAACAACAACGATGACAATAAAAGAATTCGGAATAAGAATTTACACAAAAAAAACACCCCCACAATCAAATCAATAACAATAAATAAAATGTCTGGGTTTCTTTTATATTCATGAATTTTCGTTTTTTTTTTTCTTTCATCAACAATTATTAACCTTAAACTTAACGGGTTTCTTTCGACAACATTTATTTAATCAAATCAAATTGGGAAAGCCCTGTGGTGTAAAATCTGAATTTTAAATTTTTTTCTTTTTGACCTTTGTAGTTGTTGTCGATGTCGTTTTTTTGTGGTCGAATTCACAATGTGGATTTTCATGTTTGTTGTTTGCATAGCAAGCAAAAAAAAAACATTTTTTTTTCTTTCACAAGATTTGCATTATAAATTGGTTGGATTTTCATTTCTGGAACATTTTCATTCTTTCATTCTTTTTTGGTCCAAAAAAAAGAAGCAAAGATCATCAGGATCGAGGCAAACTCAATTTTCTTTGGGATTTTCTTTCAGATCAAAAAATTTCTAAATCGAATATCATTCGATTTGACTTGGATTTTTTTTTCTAACTCTGATCTAATCGGATTTGCTTTGATTCAATTCAATCGATGATTATTATCATGATGTTATTATCGCTGATTTTATTTTGTACATTTTCAAAATATTTTTTTGTTTGTTTGTTTGTTTGTTGCAACAAAAAAAAAAGTTTTGATGATGATGTTTGACGTTGCATGATGTGTCCAAAATCAATGATGTTATGACAACACATAGACACACACAATGGAACGCAAAATTAATGAAGCAAATAAAACGACAGATAGAAATGTCGAAAAAAGACCCACACTAAACACCACAAACAAGTGTGTGTGTGTGTGTGTGTGTGTGTGTATAACTAATGAATTTCAATTATAATTGATTAACATAAACACACACACACACACAACAGATTCGAAAATGAATGAAAATGAGAAAAAAAACCGTTGATCAATCAAATACCAGGTTGTGAAAAATACGATCTTGTTTTCTCACCATCGACCGACCGGTATACTGATGAATAAATGAATGACAAACATCAAACAAACAACCAACCAACCAAGAGAGAAAAAAAACCGAAAAACAAAATAATGAAAAAAAAACTAACCAAGGTCGCAGTGTGTGTGTGTGTGTGTTACGATATATTACACTCTATTTGATGATATATTGGATTTTTAGGTTTAGAATTTTTTTTTCTATCTAATTAAACAAACAGAAAATAATTCTCAGGCTGTAAAAATTTCTTTGCCGGGATATGTTTGTTTGATGATGATGATGATCAAGAAGAATCAATGATAATGACGATTAATCCGTTCCGTTTGTTAATAATAACAACAATGATGATGATGATGATGATGATGACATTGATGACAATGAATAAATGATCATTGATGATGATGATGATGATGTTTACACATAAAAAAACGATCAAATTACAATGACATTAACAATCATGCCGACACACACCCACCACGTCTCGTGTACACCCAAAACAACCACATACACGCACACACACACACATGCAAACAAAAAAAAAACAAACAAATTCTTTGACTATTTTTTTTGCTGCTTCTTCTCAAAACACCACAGAATCATAACATGTGTATGTCACCAAAAAAAAAAAATTCTTGTAGTATTTCTTGTGTGCGTTATGAATTCTTCATTAAAAAATATTTTATTATGTCTTGTATATTATATTCTGTATTGGTGTAAATGTGTGTGTATGTGTCATGTGTTTGATATTGTTGTTGTCGTTGTTGTCTATCCAAGATGATGGCCTAAATGCGAATGGCTTTCAAAAAAAAAAAAAAAAAAATGAATAGTTTCGGTTTTGTTGTCTAGTAGTTTCGTCGGTTCGTTTGTACACACACAAATAGACATAGACTGGCTGGTTGTTTGGTCGGTTAGTATGACTCCCAGAGAAAAAAAATGTATTATATCTTCAAAACCATAGACAAGAGAAAAGAGAAAAAAAATCAACCACCAAAATCGTCAACCCAGAAAAAAAACATAGATATCAATAGTAGTCACAGTATTCTGTTATATGACAATCATGCTATCATACACACACACATGCATACATTTAGTGTTATGTGGAAAAGCCATTTTGAACCAAAAAAAAAAAAAAAAAAAAATACACCAGAAAGAGATAGGTTTGATAATGCGCGCTGGCGTATTTGGGCTTTGATTCGTTTGATTTTCACTTTATATTCACATTCATCTCTTTTCACTTCTTCCATCATTTTCACTACTGTCTCTCTCTCTATTATTCGGGTTTTCTTCCTTTTTTTCCATTCCATTCAATTCAATTCATTTCATTTCATTTCATTCATTCATGGACAACACCACTTCCACTTTTTTTTCATTCATTCATTTCATGATATAATACCCAATAATAGTCCGAAGGAAAAAAAATAACAAGCCAAAACCAACCAGTCAGCCATCCATCCATCAATCGTTAACCAATCCACATATACAACAACAATGATGGTTAGTTTTTTGGGATAATTTTTTTTTTGCTATTTTGTCGCCTCTACGACTATCGTGAAAACAACATACACACACACAAGTAAAGTGAAAAAAGATGGTTTTTCTTTGAAAAAAAAGTCTTGTATAAAATACAAAACATTGGCCACAATAATCAAAAAAATAAGTGTGTGTGGTGTGTGTGTGTGTGTCCAGTAAACACTAACACCCAAAAACACAAACACATGAAAAGAATAAAGATGAACCAAAGAAAATCGGTTATCATCGAATGAATAAAAAAAAGGCCAAAACCAAAAGTGGCAAAAAAAATAAAAGAATAGAATAGAATAGAATAAATTGGAAGAAATATATAAAAAAATAGAAGTCAAGTCAATGAGATGAGATGTATGTGTAGGTCGTACAATATTACATACACGCGCATGACGCCCAAAATGATAGGTTTTTTTTTCTCTCTCTCCTTTACTTTAATTTTCATTTACAAAGGGCCATCAAACCATGAAACTCCCCCCCTCATTCCTATCTAACCATCATCATCATCATCATCATACGCCATATATAATGTATGTATGTTTGGTAAAGAGCTTTACCCGACAGAAAAAAAACTCAAATTCTGGTACATAGCACACACACACACATACACATTCACTTAGTAACATAGATCAGGAGAACAGGAGAAATTCGACAGAGAAAAAAGGTTGGAGATCACTCAAAATAGTAGAGAATTGGTAGATTCCTATGGAGCACCACCATCATCATCATCATCATCAACCAAGGACTGGAACCAAAGTGAAAAAAATTCTAACCGATTCGAATGAATAAATTTTTTTCTTCTATTTTAAATCGTTTCGATTGACCCACCAAACAACCAACCAACCAACCACCTCACCGCTAGACAAACGCCTTTTTTGGGTGCCATTAGAATCAGGAGAATGATCCATAAAAGATCGAGAAAAAAAACACACATGGATATCATATCTTGATATCAAATATGATTTAGGTTTATGCGTGGGTAACAACAGATTTTTTTTTCTTTGGTTAACTCTTCTGGCTAGGTGGACACGATGACAACGACAAAAAAAAGAAGACAATGATTATGGTGATGATATACACCACAAACAATTGTCAAAATAAAAATAAAAAAAATACGAAATGAAAATGTATATACAGGACCCAAGCGAGAGAAAAAAAACGGAAAAAGAAAAAGAAAGAAAACGGAAAAAAACTTTTAGGGTTGACACACTCTCTCACTCTATTTTCTGGATTGGCTTTAATGTTTGTTGACTTCTTTTTTCCTCTTTCTCTCTCTTTTTCACTATTATCATTATGACTATAGATAAACCAAACACACACAAAACACAAGAATTATATTCTTATAAATTGTAGACGACGACGACCATCTACAATAGTGAACCATTAGTGAACGATAGTTTTTTTTTAGTTCCAAATATAACAACAATGTACAAGGGCTAACCATCAAATACAAATGAATAAAAATATAAGGGCTTCCATTAGTCCACTATGTGTGCGTGTGTATACCAGAATCTAAAATAAATGAATGAATGAACCGATAACGTTAACCTAGAATGGTGAACGAGAGAAAAAATGAAAAATCTGGAACACAAGAATCATGAAGATGATGATGACAAAGATTCAAAAAAAAAAAATCTTCAGTCAAACACAAACACACGTACCTATTACATAATAGAAAGATAATGAATATAGAGAATGTGATGACGACTACGACACACACACATGGTATATCTCCTGAAGCCAAATTCATTCATATATGATTTAATTTTGTCTCTGTCTTTCGTTGTTGTTATTCTCTGTTATCGTTAATCTAATATCATCAACATTGAAAAAATAAACTGAAATATATAATTCGCTTTTGATTTCTAAATACCTGAAGGCAGATTTTGAATATGTGTATGTGTGTGTTATCATATTCTTTTGAAACATACAAAATACAAATGATTTATTAATATAATGAATTTTTTTTGGATGTCAACATAATGGATAGGAATTTTTCTTTTTTTTTAGCAACTGATGCAAACACACAAACACAAAAGTATAATTAGATAGTAATTATGACAAACCAAAAAATAAAAAAAAGAAAAAAAAACGCAACAAAACATTTGTCATCTGGATATGATTACTTTTCGGTATGTTGGTTTATTGTGTTCTTGATTCTCAAAGAAAAAAAGAAAAGAACATTTGTATTTTTCAACAAATAAAAACCAAAATGTTAAATTGAAATTTATTACAAAACAAAAAATAAAATAAAAGAAAGGAAAATTTCCATTTCCATGGCGTTTCACAGTAATTTCAATGGAAGAAAAAAAACTCATCATCATCATCCTATCAAGTAACAATGTTTGTTATCAATGAATTTGTCATTTTTTTAAACAATGTCCTTGGCCAACATTTTACTAATACACGGTGATTTGTGATGGTGACAGTTTTCAACAACAACAACAACAACAAAAAAGTCGATTTTAATAAATTGATTTCATAAAGATTTATTTATTTTCTTCTCTCTCTCTCTATATAAATATGGCTTCATAATGATATAATTATCAGTTTTTTTTTCAATTTCTATTTGTACACCATATACACCACAATCACATAAAATCTGAAACGTATGAACAAAGTTCAATGAATATTGATTGAAAATGAATTTTTGTTTTTCGAAATAAATAAACAATCCAAAATCATTCGATGATGATAATCGAGATGTACACACACACACACACACAAACACATTTAGATAAAGGTTAAAAATATAAAGGAAGAAAGATGGAAAAACCTACCATTTGATGGAATGAAAAAATCAAACAAAACAGAATGACCAAGAAAAAAGCAAGAAAACTTTTCCATCACAACAGAAGAAAAAAAACGCATGTTTTTGTGTTTGATCCAATCGACAATCATTGAAAATGATTGGTTCTGTTTTTTTTTTTGGATGGAAACGATAATTCTGAATGAAAAAAGTTTTTCCACCACCATCTATAATTCCTTTATAAACTTGGAAATTTTCTAGTTTTTTTTTACTACAGTAAGAAATTTTGCCTTGACAACAATTGGACAATTTTTTGATACATGAAAGAAAAAAAATTTCAACCAATAAGCAGCTGCTGCTTCTTCATAAAGATATTCATTTGCCACACACAGACAGACAAATAGACAGACAATCATAATTGATGCTAATTAGCAGCCAATACCAAAGAAAAAAATCAACTTCTATAAATCATCGAAAAAAATGTAAAAGATTTATGGCCATTTTTTCGGTGGCCTTGACAAGAACAGAACAGAGAAAAAGAAACCAAGTTAAACTAAACTAAATTATAATTTTCAATGTATAAATATATGGTGGTTTTTTTTGAAAAAAAAATTCATTACGTTTCTCCTGCAATAATTATCATCATTAATATAATGACCAATTTTTCTTTCTACTTTCTCTATTTGAAATCAAATACAATCTTTGTTTGTATTCAAAATTTTTTTTCTATCAAATCAAATCAAATTTGCAAATGAAAACACCATGTGGTCGGTGTGTGATGATGATGATGATGATGATTATTGGAATAATCATCAAATTATAGTGATAAATTGATTAAAAACAAACAGATTTAAAGAACCGATTCAAAATATTATTATTAATTAGATTATTGATTGATGGAATATCAGATTACAATTCATCAAAAAAAAAACAGGCCATTATCAATAAAACTCGGAGATAAAATTGACATCATTTTCTGTTTTTTTGCATTTTCTATATATTAAATTAAAATCTAAATGTATATATCGTTGATTCGATAGACATTGAACATTGCCACAAAGGATACAAATGTAATAAATCTTTATTCAATTAAATCAATCAAGAAAAAAAAATTTACCATACGACAAACTTTTTGGATGTAAAAATCATCTTCACACATGGAATCTTTTCTCTCCATGTTGGTCAATTCATTCCAATGCACAAAAACAAACACACACACACAACAAGAAGGCCATTAGTGGCCATTTTTAAATTCAAAATTTTTTTTTGTCACATGTTCATGTTCCATCAGAATCATAATGATGATAATAATAATGGAATGAAAAATGAAAAACAAGAAAGTCAATATGACTGAATGACTGACTGACCATCACCGCAAACAACAACAAGAATCCAGAAAAATTGATAATGGAAAATAGAATTGAATTTTTGTTTTTTTGAAAAAAACATGAAAACAAAATTGAATTTGTTTTTCTTTTTCACTTTCGTCAAACTCTCTTTTGGGAATATATTATGATATTTAAATTCAATTTGTTCAGACTTCAAAGAAGAAGAAAAAAATAAAAACTATGGACATACCACCACCGCTGGTAATTTCAATAGCAATCTCATGAGAGACACACACACACACATTTTCTTGGAGCAAATAATCATTTGTAGTTAAGAATGTAGAATAAGGCAAACATAATCATACAACATCATGTATCCATTGATTTTAAACATAAAATGAATGAATGAATAAAAACAATAACCAACACACACAATACTAACACTGAAACATATTCACAGATGAAGACAGAGCTTTTGTGTTTAGAGGTCAAATCCATTAAGTCATCATCGGCTGACACAAACGCCAACATAAAAGCGCAAAGAAAAACGATGGTGCAGCTTTAGAATCGTTTTGTGAGTATTATGCTCGTGTTTGTGTATATTATGCTCGTGTCTGTGTATTGTGTTTTCTTGAGTTTATGTTTCTTGTGTTCATGTTCTGGTCTTCATGTTTTTTCAGATATTCACCATTGATTTAAAGTGGTCTGGTCATTTCTCCCGTCGCACGTATACTATCGAATCAATAACCAAGTTTCCAAAATCGTCCTCTGGATTCATTTTTTTGGTCAACAATCAACCTTCAATAAATTATTCTTCAACTCATATCACAAATTACTGACTTTAATCTATTACAATTTTGTTCTTTTCTAATCCATCAATAAAGTTTTCTTTTAAACAAACAGTCCTGTTCTGAGTTCGTTTCGTTTTTCTGTTACATCTCGTTATCAGCACCAACATACGTCAGCTCGAAGCTAAGACAACCAATGGCCAAAGGACAACAAAAAAGCTCATCATGGACTAAAAGGACCATAACTAGAGAAAAAAAATTACAGCCTTTACAGAATAATAATAGAATCAATTCTAGAATTCAAATTCATAAACACACATGTGAAAGTAACCAAACAAAAAAAGAAAGTAGCCAAATAGTTTTTGTTTATGGCGGAAATTTTTGGCTCATTTCTTTCATCGCCTAAACTACATAATATGCAATTTTTTTTTGTTCACTATGGCCCATTATCATTACCCTAATCATCATCATCATTTTGATCTCAATTTTAGAATAATCCTTATTATACTCGAAATTTTTATTCTTGATGATGATGATGATGATAATAATAATAACCTTGTACAGACTGCGGTACACCCTATACAAGGATTTTTTTTTGGCCAATGAAAATCTATTCTAATACCAATCAGTTGTATATTGTATCATTGTGATTCATTCAGTCAGGTTCAGGTAGTCTCGATCATCAAAATCATCATCATAATACATTCTCTATATACACCTAATCGGTTGGTGTTTTTTTTCACGTAATTTACTGAAAATTTTTGAATCAAAGTAAAACTACCACCATCATTATTCAACGAATAAATGATTAAAATGGACGAAATTTTTGAAATTGCAATTAATTTTTATCTTCATTTAGCAATCGTCCATACACTCTTAACACCACTTTATGATTTGTTCTCGTCATTTTTCTTTTTCACACTACAATTTTGTGTCATTTGAATCATACATACCAAAATAAATAAATGGAACCTCCCAAAAAAATAGAAAAATAGAAAAAAATGATACTACTCACCTTGTGCACGAAATTCTCGTAATTTTCTCCAATCGTAATCAATCAATGTTTCATGGAATTTTTATTCAAACTTTTTTTTTGGTTCATGTTATCGTTGTAGTTGTTGTTGTTGTTGTTGTTATTGGAATTTAGCTTGATTGGAATTCACAATCGTCATTACAAACAAAAATTCCATTAAAATTGGTAAGGTCATCACGGAAACTCGAATGCTATTTACGTATGTTTTATATAAATATGTGGGTGATATAGATTCACATATACCCAATTATCGATACATGAATGGATTGGTATGGTATATTTGGCTACAACATCATCATCATTATTATTCAATGATGGATAAACACGTTTTTTTCTCTTCATTCTTTCTTCGATTGGCTATTATTATTATGTTGAAAGTCATCTTATTGACGTAAATAATGATGATGATGATGATGATCATTGATCAATATATAATAAATTATTATTTGAATTGATAAATTCTCATGGGAGAACAAAAATTTTTCGTTCATTCGATCCGAGAATTTGGTTCATTGACGATGATGGTGATTATTGGCCTGTTTAAGTAGTAGTAGTGTTAGTAATAGCGGGTAATCATAATAATAATAATTTACACCATTTGTTGTTGTTGTTGTTGTTCGAATGTCAAACAATAATAATAAGTGTGTGTGTGTGTGAATGACAATTTTCTTTTCTGGATTTTCAACTTTAATAATATCCATTTGATGTTCTTAAAGAAATTACGTTGATGTCAAATACAGCCACATTATATATGGACATTTATTATATTTATAAATGAAAAACACACACAGGCCTTGAAGTACCAATTAGGGTGCCAAAAAAAAAAAAAAAAAAAATTTTTGCTGGAACAAAAAGAAAACAATGAGAATAAGAATGAAAAACACTTTTCTTACCTCAGAAAAAGACGAATGACACAGAGAGTGTTGTGTGAGGCAATTCTTGGAGCCAATCGTCATCATCATCATCATGATCAATATGGACGATGATGAAAAGTAGAAAAAAACACTTAGCACACACACACAAGTTCATTAGTAGTGCCAACAAATTGGATCTGTGAAATTTCATGTGTTCACAACATGTGTATGTTCATTATCCCGAATTTGTTATGAACTAAATTAAAGTGAAATGAACATTATCAGTATGATCATGATCATCATCATCATCATTATCGAAAAACATTGTGTTGAACATTTGGATTCAGGCCGGACCAAGAGAAAAATTTTCACCATCATCACCATCTCAACTGGGTTTTATTTTTCTCAGCTATTGGTTTGTTTTGATCCAAAATTTGTGGCAAATTATCACAGAAAAAAAAGAATGGATATTTAGGATTAGAAATATTAATTGGAATCAAAAAAAAAAAAAAAAAAATATGACCAAAAACAATAATAATCGAACACAATTTTTTTTCAGCTCACATTCGATTCTATTTTGACCTCGATTGTTTTGCTGTGTTTTCATTGTATCCAAATAGTTGACATGATAATTTCCTGTGAGCAAAAAAAAAAAATTATTATCATCATCATCATCATAATCGGCGATGGCGAAGAATTTATCGTTGTTTAATTAATTTTTTTCTTTATGTCGATCAATGATAATCCGTTCATTTATTTTTTTTTGTTGCTGCTGCTATTATCATGGTGATAATTATGACAAAGAGAGAATAATGCCGACACACACATAAATCGAATGGAACGTTTCTTTTATGGGCCAACGAATAAAATTATTGAGCTCACCACAATAATAATGATGATGATGATAATCTTTTGGCAACAATTGATGATCACGGTTTTTATTTATGGTCATTAAATTCACCACATAAATATATCGATGATGATAAAAAAAATTTTTTTTTTTTTTTATAATTTAGAATTTTTTTCTTGACAAAACCAAAAAAAAACGTTGTTTCGAAATTCCTCATCATCAGCCGAAACGATGACGAAACCATTCAATAAATCGAGATGTACAAGAAATATGTTGTTGTTCAATTGAATCATTGGATGACCTTTTTTTTTCGGCGAATCCTGAATACAATATCATCATCATCATTATATAACAATGGTAAGATTTTTTTCCCATTTTCTATTTCGCAAATAAATAACTTTTTTCATCATCATCATCATCATCATCATTATTTTTTTTTCTTCGTCTTCTAGGATTCACAGAATATCCTGGAATATGATTTTGTGAACATAAAATTCATTTCATTAAATAAATAATAAATGTTCGAAAGAAAAGAAACAACATCCAATGGCTAACAAGAAGAAATGACAATCTTCAAGATGAAATTCTTCTTCCACTGTTGTTGTTGATCATCCATCTCTGTTTGTGTATTTGTTTCTGTGTTATAACATCTTGACTTTTTGTTTTTTTTTGTGTGTTTCATTTCATTTCATTTCATTTTCCATTCCATATTCGATTCAAACATGAATAATTTCGTAGATCATCATCATCATGATCATCATATTATTATACAATATTTAAAATGTGGTACAAGATTGAAAATGTATGTACCACATTATCCTGTTCCTCCCGGCAAATGTTGGAAATGGAGAAAAGAAAAATTGTCTATTTCTGTATTATTATGATTATTATTTCAACAATTCCGAAAAAAAACAAACAAACAAACAAGCAAGAATCCTGGGAAAATTCACGTTCATTTTTTTTAACATCTTTGTTGGGCCCGTTTTTTCTCTCTTCATCATCATCATCATCATCATCAACATCAACATTCCTAGTGTTTTTTTGCCTGGAACAATGAAAAAATATGAAATTTTTTCTTTATTCCTCATCCATGACAATCAATTGAAGCAGCAGCGGCAGCCGCAACTGAACAATTCATTCTTTTCAACAACAACAACAACAAAAAATTCTTGAAAAATTTTTCTCATTATAAGAATGAAAAATTAATTTATGCATACACTTGTTCAACAACAACAACAACAACATTGGTAATGTAGCATTTTTTAAAAGTTTTTTGATTGTTCCAATCAAGAGAAAAAAAAATGAAAAAAAATTTCATAAAACAAATGACTTTTGATCATCATCATCATCAAAAGTTGTATTTGAATCACACCAACAACGACGACTACAACAACATCTTGTCATCATCATCATCATTGAAACATATTAATGGTGAAAAAATTCTCATCAAAAGTACATCAACCATTAAGCGTTCTATTTTCATTTAACCATCACCATCATCATCATCGGGATGAAAAAGACCAAATGTTTTAATGGTAACTAGAAATTAATTATGGTATCCATTTTTTCTATTTCATTCATTCATTCATTCATTCATTATAGACACTTTTTTTCGCTAAAACATCTATGATGATGAGAATATTGAATATCATTCACGACACACACACACACATCATGTGGATAAATTCAAATTTTTTTTTGTTGTTCTGGAATTAATTTCATTCACCGAAAATTCCTTTCGATCATTTTTATTTTTTGCTGAATGGCCAAAAAAAAAAAAAAATTCGTATGGTTCTTGAATGATAAAGAAATCTCTGTAGTGGATTTATGGAGTTGGAAAACTTGTCGTTTGGATTTGTTCGAAAACATGCATCAAATTCAACTTGTCATCAACAATATTGACGAATAATTGTTGTTATTGTTGACTGCCACAACAAATTTGTTTGCATAAAGATTAAATCCTTTTTTTCATGCAATCCATCACATCAACAACAACATCTGTGACTATGATGAAAACTTTTCGACAAAACAAGACAAACATACAAGATGTGACGACAACAGCAAAAAAAAGTAAAGAAAATTAATTTTCAAACAATCATGCAAAATGTGACAAAATATGGAATTTGTCATCATCCACAAAAAATGGTATTGATTGATAGTCCGTGATCGACCATCCCTATCCATTGGTTTGGTAATAAAGTTTACATTTTTTTTTCATGGTGCCGTATTATAAACTACCAGCACCAGCAGCAGCAGCAGTTATTGGTTTGATCGATGTGTTGTGTTAATTTACCAGGTGATTTTGTATTTTTGAAAAATGAAAAACAAAATTTTGTTAACCAACACATAAATTGAAAACGTGAGTCATTTTTTTTTTGTTGTTTTTTTTTATTAAAATCTAAATCTTTATTTTATTAAAAAAATACAGAATTGCCACATTTGCGAAATTGCAACTGAATGATGAATTTTTTTTTTTTTATATGAAAATTAAAATTAAATTCCAGCGAAAAATTCATCCACTGGAAATCCCTTTCGGATGTTTCATTCATTCATTGATTCTTTGTGTCATATAATGCAAAAATCGTAAATTTCACCATCATCATCATCAGCCACCGCCTTGAATGAAGAAAAAATTCCTCTACAACGGATGTAACTTATTAAAATTCATCATCACTTCGTCTCCATTCATTCGTTCATTCAATTCAATAAGTGACATAATGATTACTACGATATTGATGACGGCCTATTTTCTCATTTGGTTTAAATATAATTTCCTTTTTTCTTCGTTTTTGCTTTGCCATAACTTTTTGTTGTTAAATTCAGATCTCGATCAAATCAAAAAAGAGAGAAAAATCTTCAATTTAACATCCTGGCGACAATGATGATGATCTGCATCATCATGTTTGTTTGGTGAGTGTAGAAATAACGATTTCTAATTATTAATTTGGTGATTTTAAACTTTTTTTTTTTGCAACAGTGAAAATTTCATCATTGGTCATAATCATAGCCATCATTGGATGACGATCACATATACACACACAGAGAGACACCATAATTCAATACGAATACGAAGACGGGAAAAAAAATATCTAGCCATTAATTTTAATCAGCATTTAAAACATCACAAAGGCAATGAACGAACGAAATAAATTGATCACACTTAATCTTTCCAGCAACGACAACAACAACAACGACGACGACGACGACAACAATAATGGAACAAATTAGTTGTGTGTGTGTGTGTGTATGTATGTGCATGTTTAGCTCAATTAAAGTTTTTCGTTTTCATCGATGGTACCGAGGGTGGTTCAACTTCAACCATCGCCCCCTTCAATTGAAAGAAAGACAATTTTAGTTTAGATAAAAAGTTTTTCGATGATCAAACAATCGAAAAAGAAAAAGGAATCATAATGATTCATCCTGTAGAAAATCTGGTATAATTTTCAACTTTGGACGATAAATATTTGTTTCATTCGATGATGATGATGACGGTTTTTTCGCTGACAATTTATAATCATCATCATCATCATCACTATCATCGATGATGAAATATTTTGGTTTTTCTTCCATATTCGTTGATGATGGTCGACAATCATTATCATCACTATTGTTATGTCTCAATCGACGAATCATTTGAATCCAATCAGTTTTTAATGAATCCATGGCGTCAATATCGCCATCTTTCGACAATGGAATGAATGATAATTGTTCAATAATTTTCTTTATCATTGATTTATCTTCATCATTATCATTGGATTGATTTGATTTTGATTCATCGATATGATCAACATTCGTTTGTTTCAATTGTTTCGTTAGCATTTGATTCAAAATGTTTTTTGTATTTGGTGATGATAGATTCATTCGACGTTCATTTGTAGTGGTTACTTGTGATGATTGTTGATTACCATTGTTGTTGTTGGTGGTGTTCGTTTCGGTTTTATTATTGATTTTTTTAAATTTTGATTTTTTCATCTTTTTCGATGTTGATGGTTTCATCGAATTCGATTGGTTTTGTGGTGGTGGTGGTGGATGATAATGATTACATTGATCACCATATGGACATTTTTTTTTCAATCGAATCATTGGACATTTGTAATTATGTAGTTTATTGCACTAAATTATAAAATTAAATTTTAATCAATTGAATTGTTTTCATTATACATTCTACATGTTGCTTACCGTCAGTCCTTTCATACAAAAACCGAGGGCAAAATTTTCACATAATTTTGCATCTTTATTCACTTTAACATGACGATATGAACAATTATTGGCTGTACATCGGCCACGAAGAAAAAAACGACAATCAGGCATTTTATCCGGTGTTTGATCATGTGATAGAAAACATTCCTGTTTATTACATCCATATTTTGACAGGATTCTTATCAAAAAGAAAAGAAAATGGTTAACAATTTTGAAACTTTACAACAAAACAATGGAAAAAATCATCAACTTACCCTGGACAGATACCACGTTTATTTGGATCATGTATAAATGAACAATGTACACCTCGATCACATTTGCCTTGACGACAGAATTGTCTACACAATGATCGATTTTTAATTGGAATTTTTTTCTTCTTTCCACGTCTCGGTGCCATCATAATCGATGATGATGTTTGTTGTGGTTTTGTTCTTCAGTGTTTTTCCCTCCTCCGCAAAAAACTCTTATATAATGAATCAAAATCAGATAAAAATTGTCAATTTTTTAAACTTAAAACTTTATCATCATCATCAAAAATCATCGAAAAAAAAACACTGATGAAAATATTCGACTCGATTGTTCGTAAAGGACGTTATGAAAAAGAGAAAAAAAATATCCATTTTAGTAGATGATCACCAAAAATTTTTATTTTTATTTATAAATTCAAATCGCTAATAACAATAAGAAATCAATTATCAATCAATCAATTCAAGCCACACACTACACGGGACCAAAATCCATATTTGGATCATATCTTGCACCAGGATTTTGTCGTGGATCTGGTTTTGATTTTAATTTGTTTACAATGAAATCAACAATATCTTGAACGGTATAAATTTTTTCCGCATCAACATCATCGATTGATATTTCAAATTCATCTTCAAGTGCCACCATTATTTCAACTTGATCCAATGAATCCAGGCCAAGATCATTGGTTAAATGGCTGGTGATTTTAACCTAGAATGTACACACATACACACACAGAGAGATTAGAAAAACATAATGGACTAGATTAAAACTTACGTTTTTCGGATCAATCTTATCATGAGTAGATAGTGATTTGAATACACGTAATTCCACTTCTTTTGGATCCACTGGTGGAAGATCAACACCATATGAAGCAAATGAACGTATACGAACCATCATTGGTGGTGGTAATTTTTGTCGCTGTTGAATGAATAAATTCATATTTCTATGTGGTTGAATTTGCTGCAACAATCGAACATTGGCAACAATGAATCGATTCCAAAATTTTGATGTTATTAATCGGGCCATTTTATCACATGTGATTGGAAATAATCATGAGAAACAGAAAACAAAAAACAAGCCAATTTACAATTCGGCAAACAGTAGAAGGCCAAAAGATGTCATTTGTCGGTATGACCGGTTCATACGTTGCAAGTTTATCATTAAAGTTTTGTTTTTTTTTCGAATTTTTCAAAATGAAAAAAAAAATTTTTAAAATTGAAATTTTTCTTTATTCAAATCAATGATGAATTTATGTACAATATGGAGATGAGAAGAGAATATTTAAATATACAAAAAAAGTGAAATGTTTGAGGAAACCAAAAGAAATTTACAATAAGTTGTTCGTGTTTGTGAGTGTGTGTGTGTATCAAAAAAAAACTAATCAATCATTTTAGTTTTATTCGAAATCGTTGGTGATGAAACCATCAATTTGGAACAATAAGATAATACTGGTTTGGTTCGATGAAAACTATCCATATTTGTTTGATTATGATTATTACCACCACAATAAACAGTGTTGCAAAGTTTTTGATTCGGCGGTGTTAATGGACGATTATTACCACCACCACCACCAATCATCATCATCATCATCGAAGGCGATTGTTGTGATTGTTTTAAATTATTCTGTATACAATGTATGACAACATTTTCAGCATCTGCTTCATGTTTTTTACGACGATAATAAGATTTTGCCATCAATATTCCGGTTACAGTGATGGCAGTGAATACGAGTATTATGAATAAATTAACAACGGACCAATCGGATTGTCGAATATTTTCGGTATTTACAATCACATGTAATATGTGTGGAAATATCGTTCGTGTTATATATTGAGCCAGTGATGATTGTTTATTAACTTGTATTATAACTTCATTACCGGTGACGATTGTACCACCATCGGTTGACATTCGAATTTCACAACAGAATTCATCACCACCACCACCACCACCACCAGCATCATCATCATCATTAGTATCGATTGTTAGTAATGAATGTATCGATTGTATCGCATTACATGCATGTCTACTTGCATTCGAATCGAAAACGACATGAATTTCTGAAAGATTTGTTCGATCATCATCATCTAATTTAAGATTACATTTGGATTCTTCTTGACATTTACATGCGACACGTGAATTATTACGGCAAACACAGATTTTTTCACATCCAGTTTCATTCAATCGCCATACATGATTCGGTAGAAGATCACAAACCGATTCATCGATACGATCACATCGTGGCCCAGTGAAACCGGTTGAACAAACACAACGAAAATCATTGACTAAATCAATACAGAAGCCACCATTTTGGCAATTAATTTGATTATGTTTACAATCATCAACTTCATTTTCGCAGAATAGACCTTCGAATCCTTTTTCACATACACAGATATAACTTCCATTGATATTGATGCAAGCACTGGCACGGATACAAGGTGTTACAAGTGCTGAACATTCATCCACATCCTGTTGACAACGATCACCGGTCCAACCACTTGGACATGTACAACGGTAATTATTTTCCAAATCATGACAAGTAGCACCATTCATACAAGGTTGTGATGCACATTCATTTAGGTCATTTTCACATCGTTTACCGGAAAATCCTGGCCGACACATACAACGAAAATCCGTTCCATTTGCCAACGTTATACATGTTCCATCATGTAAACAAGGAGAAGTGGCACATGCATCTTCTACGATCTGACAATTAACGCCGGAAAAGCCTTTTTTGCATACACATCTATAACATTAATAAGAAAATAATGAAATGCAACGAAAACGAAAATGGTGATTTCATTTTTTTTTACCTATAATTATCGGGGGCAATATTTTCACAACGTCCATCATTCAAACATGGTTCATGTGTACCACAATAGTTTAAATCTTGATCGCATAATATTCCACCCCAATTTCTTTGACAAATACATTGAAATGGTGAAACACAATATCCGTGTAGACACCCTGTTGTTGTTGTTATCAATTTGAAAAATGAAAACAAGAAAAAGAAACAATCAATCAATCAATTATTACATATCGGGATTTTCAACGAGAAAAAAAACAGCTTTACTTTCAAATGAAGAGGACGCCTACACAGATAAAACACATCATTCAATTCAAAACAAAACAACTTGTCAAATGTATGTTTTTATATCGAATCACAACAGATGAATCTGCTGCTGTCCAAATACAATTGATTCATTCATTCATTCTAATTGGATAGACTCCCTATTGTGGCCATAATAACAATAATGATGATGATGAAGATGATTCATTCGTTTGTTTTGTTCAAAGTTTATGATTTATAATAATTAACACTACACCACCATGCACAACGCACATGCAGAAAACGTAAGTTATTTGTTTTGTTTTAAGTTATTTCAATTGATTCAATTTTGTCTACATTTCTATAGATTATAGATGATCAAAATTTCAATAAAAAAAAATAATTCCCTGAAGAAAAACCAAATTCAATGACATTGATCCGATCATCATCATCATCATTAACAAATACCAGGTGAAGAACATCTTTCCGAATGAAAACGGATTCAATATATATGAAGATTAAAATGATCACGATCATTAGAAACATGCCAAGCATCAAGCCACCAAAAAAAAAATTACACAGCAAAGAATGTGAAACTTTTTTTTTTGGTGAATACAGCACACAAATGATAATGACAAATTACAAATCACACATCACTACTACTGTTGTTGTTACATTAGGTTGTTCACCATCACCATACACACACACACAGTACCATCATTAGGTGATCACGATCTTTTTGTTTTGGTGGTGCTGGTAGTTGCTACCGATCATCATATGAATCGGCACATTAAAAGTTGAGTTTTTTTTCATTATAAAGATTCGTGTATCATGGTAGTCAATAATAATAATAATATAATAATGATGTTTATTATTACTAGGATATGGGCGGTCGGTATTGGCGACAGCAGAAGGTGTGGCAATGTGGAACCGAAACAAAAAAAAATTCCTTGGATCAAATAACCGAATCAATCGAATACATATTATTCAGGTCACAAGAATGGAAAAATCACGATTTTAGAAACCAGATTCAAATTTCTTTGGAATTCTAAAAGAAAATTTTTCAATGTTCATCTACAAAAAAAACCACAGCCCTTATAATCGCACCTTATGTATTTTTGTGGTGATTGATGTGTACGTCTATGACCACCACCACCATCATTATCATCATGTCATTGTATGACATTCATGCAGAGAGATTTACAAATGTTTTTTTTTCTTATTCGTTCGTTCTCAAGAAAATTTAAATCCGGATTTTCACTATTATCGACAACAAACCATTCAATGATTATTTGTATATGTTTTTCTTTTCTGGTATGTATCAATTTGTTTGAATTCTTTTTTTTCCTAAAAAATGTTTCTTTATTCATTTTCAGACGACCACCAATGTGTTTCAAACAAACCAAACAAACAGACAAAAAATTACCATTGTTTTTGTTTTTTGCTCTATTTTATTGTTACTCTCGCCCAGTCAACAACAAAAAAAAATCCTAATCGATCATCATCGAAAATCTGCATATATTCTGGAGTATAAGGGAATTGTGATTGTCAAATTGAATTTCCACACCCATCTCGTTCATTACAGCAACAACAACAACAACAACAACAAAATTGATACTCCCTAGCCTTTGGTCATTAATCAAAAAAAAAATCTAAAAATTCAAAATTTTTTTTTGTGAATTCTCTCGATAATTTCATCATCATCATCATCATCATCATCATTATTATTACAAACAGTGAATTCTCAAGTGCTCTATTCATATATATTTTTTTTTGTGTTTTGAATTTTTTTTTCTTCTCAAATCGGGATTTAGTTTTTACGATGATTATTGTGTGTGTGTGTTTGTGTGTTTTCATTGATCATTTGATTTGATTATGAAAAAAATGAAAATGAAAATGAAAATCGGCTAAAATTTTTTTTTCTCCTATTCATTTTGTGGTTCGTTAACGTTTGTTTGTTTTTTTTCTCATTTTTTTTTCATTGTTATTCGTATTATAAAATCAATGTATATGGTAGCAATAGTGATGGTGATCCATTTGGGAACCCATATACCAACACACACATACACACACACACAAATTGGTAGAGGCTAAAACTTGAAAAGTAATTTGGGTGGAAATTGAATCGAATGTTGAACGTTGAAAAAAAAAGAAAACCACAATGATGCGGGTAAAGATACTGTTAATGAGAGAATATACACATTTTTTTCGAATATTTTCAAAAGCTCATTTGTCATAATCATCATCATCATCATCATTATTGGAAAATTCATGTTTCTTTTTTGCTGTCCTGAATATTATATAGCCTAATGATTTTGGATATGTGTATGGATAATGTAGTTTTGGATCTTGAAACATCGGGTATGTTTCTCACATGTGTATGTCTCAAATTTCAGAATTTTTTTTAAGCTAAAAACTTTTTTTCTTTGTTTCTCTTTTTTTTACAGAATTTTCATTTCATTCGCCTACCTGGATATGGTACACATTCATCACAATTTTGACCACGCCACCCACTACGACATTGACATTCATTGGGCATTTCACAATATCCATGTGCTTCATTACAGCCATTTCGACATTTTGCTAAAGAAAAAATTTTTTTACTATAGTAAGATTTCAAATTGAAAAATCATTACACACATACGTTTATCACAGTTTTCACCTTTCCAACCATTCAAACAATGTTTATGTCCGGATTTCTTTTCACAAGAATAATGACCAAATGTATCATTACGTTCACGACAGAATGTAGCACAATCATCGGAATGATAATAATGATCACAATCGATACGGAAACGAATCGATATAATACGTCCATCACGTGCATGAAATGTACGATATTTCCAATGTATACCGGGTACTGCGAATTCATCTTCAACAATAAATCTATCCATTGCCATTGCCACTGACGATGACGATGATGATGACGACAATGACCATTCACTATCATCAGCCAAATGAATTGTAAATGAAAATGATCCCTAAAAAAATAAATTCGAATGAGAGAAAGAGAGAAAAGAAAATACTCAAAAAAAGTTTTAAAAACGATCATTATGGGATGCCCGAAGGTGCTATAAAAAAAATCGGAGAAAATCTTTTTTCAATCCAATTGGAACCATCATCATCATCGAATAATTCAATTAATGATTATTATTCATTGACAAAAAAATTTTTGTTTCTCGCTCTCTCTTTAAACAAAATTTCTTTCAATCCAAATGTTCCAAAAAAAATTTGTTGTTTTGGAACTTGAAACACACACACAAACACTTGAAAATTTTGACAGTTGGCAAGTGACAAAACAAACACAAACACAAACACATACATTGAAATGAATAGGACCCAGAAAGCCTAGAGTGAAAAATTTATGGGTCCCATTCGGATATAAAATTCGGATTTTTTTTCTTTTATATTGTTTGCCATCACCCGATGAATTTGAATTCAGAGATAGAGAGAGAGAGAGAGATCAGGAATCAAGTTCTATCTATCTATCCATCTCATGAGAGTATTTACACATGGCACCTATATATACAGTTACTGTTACACATAATATGGCCAAATAAGCAACATCCAGCTAGGGTCCTTACTCTCTCTCTCTCTCTCTCTCTTCTCTCATTCATTCATTGCCACAAATGTCAAAACACACACATACACATATAGGGATAGTTCTAAGGTCCAGAGTTCCTCAACAACAACAACAACAACAAAGGTTCAAATTTCCAAAAAAGCAAATGACAATTACGTCAAACAAGTTGAAAATCAATAGGAGTGACCACACGTGATTGATCCGGATGATTTTTGTTGTTGTTATTGTTTGAATCGAAACACTGACATAAAAAAGGGTAATTTATGTTGACACCAATGAATTGATGGTGACACATGAAACAAACACATGACTGAGCTAAATGTCAAATGATCAACAACAACAACAACAACAAAAAAATGAGTTATATTTCTGTCTGTGTGATCAATAATTAAAACTTTTTTCGGTTTTGACTGTTGTCCATCCAATTTTTTTCTGTTTTGTTTCAACTTTCTCAATATTTATCGATTCAAAAAATCATTCGATTACATGACGTATGAAATATTCACATCACGTATGCTGATTCATAGGCAAACAAAACGGTTTAAATTTGAATAATATACAAATGGATTGGCCAAACCAACAAACACACACACACACACACATTACATCTGCTCTTTCGCGGTTTCTACATATCTAATATTCATCATCATCATCATCATCGTCATTTCAAAATACAAAACAAAACAAAAAACTAATTATCGGACATACACAACAGATAAGAAAAAATGACAGATGACAGATGTAAGAAAAAAAAAAAAAAAGAAAAAAAAAAATCACAGCCAGACATGGTTCGGTCACGGACAGGTGAATCATTGAAATCCTGGATAATCAACAGAAGCTGTTGCACACACACCACTAACAAGAACGAATACGAATGTCTTTTTTTTGCATATATGCTTACTGATTGTGATAATCATCAAGTGCATTATGGTGTTTAAAATTTTATTACCAGAGAATTTTTTTTTTGTTTTGTTTTCCATATGTCATAATTAAAACGAAAAAAAAGATGAGCAAATTTTCCGGAATATAAAAGAAATGTTTCGACAACAACAACAACAACAAAGATGGCCAATAGTGATAAAAAAAACTATCACACGAGATAAATACAAATTGTATGTGTGTTCCACATGGTCACTTTTTTTTCAATTTCTCTGATTTGGTTTACCTTATAATCTAATAATAATGATGGTGATGATTTGGGAACCGAGAAAATCAATGATGATGATGATCATCATCTTTCTGACTTTTGTTTTTTTTTGTTCTGGCAATGAAAAAATCAACGACAATAATATTTATCTCTCTCTGTGTGTGTGCGAGTGTTTAACCGACCGAAACCGATTTTTATTTTTTTTTTCCCGGAGAAAATGTCATCATCATCATTGGACCAATGATGGTCGAACGAGCACGTGTGTGTGTATAAGTCATGTCATGTTTGTCCAGTGTGTGAGAATATGACATTCGAAAGAGGAATATATTTTTTTTTCTTCAAGACAACAACAACAACAACGATAAAAGGTCGTAATTAATTGATTTGGAGAAAAAGAAATTCTTCATTTTTTGATGATGATGATGAGAAAAATTTCAACGGTTTAGTGAATTCGGTGTGAATTCTTTTTCTTATTCTTCACCATCATCATCATTCTTTCATTTTATTATTCGGAAATCAATTATCTTGACAATCAATTTTCATGTAACAAAGTTTATGAACAGAATTTGGCAAACAAAAAAAAAATTCGAATACTTACAATCCAACGAAAACTGAATGGTATTCGAATCATTGATTGTTTCGAATGTTGTTGTGATTGTTGTTGTTCATAATAAATGATTGTTTTTTGGCCAAATGTACAACGATTTAGATTGATTTGTGAATTCCAAAATTCTTTCAAACAAACATGTATTGTTGTTGAATTTCTAATGCCTTCAATAAATTGTAATTCAAAATAGCCGGATGCATCAACAGTTTTTGTTGACATTGATATGATGATGATGATGGCCATAAATAATTTGATAATTGTCCAATGTTGTCGATCACTATTGAACGTTCTTGATCGATCATTATTGATCATCATCATACGATGATTATTGGGCGCCATATTTTAACAAAAAAAACAACAACACCTGGTTAACACACACACACAAAAATTGAGGTTTGTTGATTCAAAATAAAAAAAAATTAAATTTTTTTCTTCGTTACACACACACAGAACTTATCATTCAAAATCGAACAAGATTCATTTGATGATGTTCAAAACAACAACAACAATGGATAAACTACCAATAATCATGATGTGATGTTGATCATACGCCAGTTTGATTATGACTGACCGAACGAACGAATTTCGGTAGACAAAAAAAAAATACAACAACAACAACATTGTGAACACACGGTAGCTACGTTGAAAATACACGAAACACAGTAAGTAAATGTAAGCGCGCGCGACAAGTTCAAAAAAAAAAATTCAGAAAATGGGCTGAAACCTTTACTTATTTGGCACTTGCTACCTCCCTATCATTCTCTCTTTCTCTTTCTCTCATTTATTCACTATCTACTACTGGGTGTACTGGATGTACCAGATCATTGGATCATTCAGGTATGGTAGCTGTTATTTGTCCATAGATAGCTACTGTTGTTGTTGTTGTTGTTGTTGTTGTTATTTTGTGATCTGATAATGATCTTGATCTGAACTGATCATCATCGACATTACCAATAAAACAACAACAACAACAAGGTAGAAAATTTGGTCACGATTTCCATGATGATGAACTTTCATCATCATTTTTTTTCAATCTAAAAACAACTGAATAATAATTTTCGGCAATCTTTTCGTTTATTTTTATTTTTATTTTTTGATCTTAATTTTTTGTTTTCAAGAAAAAATTCCAGGTATGTAAACGTTGTGTTGTTTTTTTTCTCGTCTAGCCAATACTCATCACATAGAATGAATTTTTTTTTTCATTTCTTTCTATTTATTTTAGTTTTTTTTTCTTGATTTGATCTGGATCACTGTTATAGTTGACTGATTGACTGAAAAATATCGATGATGATGGTCATGGTCATTCACACAAGAATGTTTTCAATTATCGATGAACAAAGAACCAGAACACGATGATGGGAAAGGATTGAGAATTCAAACATGTGATGATGATGATGATGAAGTCAAGTCAATTTTTGTTCAATCGATCGATCGATCGATCTAGATCAATTCCAATAGCAGCAGCAGCAACAACAACAACAACGAAAAAAGATTTGACACGATTCGCTTCGGGGTCTAATTCATTTTTGTTTGTCGATTTTTATGTATGTGGTGTGGTGTAGTGTTTGTCTGAATTGATCGATAAAAAATCGACTAGAACAACGGTCAGTAACAACAGTATAACTTTTTAATTGAAACTATAGCTTAGTAGATTTTTCTTGCTTTTGCTTACTTTTCGTTTTGCTAATTGATCGATTAATTGTTTTTGTTTCCAATGGAGATATTGAAATTTTGGCTTCAGGGTAATAGTTGTTGTTGTTGTTGTTGCTGCTGCTGCTACTGCTGGTTAGATTTGATTCGATAAATAATGATGTCTAACGATGATGATGATGATGATGATAATAATAATTGTAACAACCAACTGATGATGATAATCAAAATATTTATTTATTTATTCACATCATCATCATCTATCATAATCATCAGTCATCAATGATCAATGATGGTTGTCAGACATCATAGATATCAATTTTTTTCCAATCAAATCAAATTCTGATTGATATTTTCATTGCCATCTAGTGTTTTATAGATTAGTTCTGAACTGTATTCAATAAAATTATTTACCGCCAATTTTTAAATTTAAAAATAATGATGATCATGTTGCCATCTAGTGGATTAAAAAAACAACATATCATTAAAAATTACCCTGAAATCACGGTTATAACTTTTGAAAACTTATCATTCATTCATAATACTGTATGTGTAGCTTGGTGGTGGTTATTGAATGTCACACAAAAAAAAAAGGAAATCAGAATTCAAAAAGAAATTCAAAAGTTTAATTTACGCATGCTTCTGGTATGATGTGTGTGCTATACTACTACTACTACTACTTCTATACCACACATATTGATATTTGAAAAAATGAAAAAAAAGGTAAGAATTGCACATTTTAAAAGCAGAGATAGAGCAACATAAAATAAACCCGATATTAGCGCCTTCATTGATGATGATGATGATAGTATAGAGATGTTGAAAAAGGGGGATGAAAATAAAAGGAAGAAGGGGATAAAAATATTAAAAGGAGCTGTATAAGTGTGTGTGTGTTTGGGGATGATTTTGGTTTGTATTTTGCTTGTTGTGTGTTGTGTTGTATTATATCTATCTCTCAATGTATGTATTCTTTGGCCATACACAGACACATTTTGTGAAAATTTGATTGTGTGTGTTATTATGGCTTGCCAATCAACCGACGGACCGACCGACCAAAACTATGGCCAAAAAAAAACCAGGGGAAAGATCAATATAACAAACACTAATTCCAACAAGGTACGAAAATGACGGTGATAGGATCTCTTCCGTTTATACATCCAAGGTTTGAAGTAACACCAAAACATTTCGGAAAGAAATCCTAGGGAATTTCGGATCCAACTACTACAGTTTTACATCTTCTGTTAAAACAGTTCACACCTGAAAACATTTTCCACACCAGAATCCTTGCCAAACACGAGGAGGTTTTATTGCCAAGATCACTTGTTTCCAGATTATTTTCAAGGCCTAAATTCGGCTTGATTTAACTGCTCCAAAACAATTGGTTGAGAGAATTTAACGTTTTCATAAATATTGGGTGAGGGTAAGCTCGAATTAGCATTGTCACCTGTATCGAGATTAACCCTGATGAATGAAGTTTCCCATCAATTTAAGTTTCTGTTGTATAAGGAGTTGTTGATCCGGATAAAATATTATTTGGGAAAAGTTGATTGGTTTTGAATATCGAATTATTTCTATTGTCAAAATTTTAAATTGATTTGTCAATTTAACGCTAAAATAGAATTTTATCAAAATTATTCCAAACAAACTAAGGTTAGCTAAGCTCTATTTGAATGAATTATTTAAAAGTAAGATCAAGAGATTTTAATTGGACAGCGGATGTTGAAATAACATTTAATAAATAATTAAAATCTTAACACATCTGATCTGGTGTTTACATATCTTTGATCCTGATAGAAGCAGTAATTACTATTACTTTTAAAATCCAATGTTAGTATTGGGGCTGTCAGCAAACAAAAGATACTGGATTGGATGATGACGAAGAGTCTATGTTAACGGTTGGAGTATTTCTTTGAGAAGATTATAACAGTATAAGATAAATTGATGCTGCTTTCGAAAATGAATGCTTAGCTATAGTTGAATTGTCAACATGCGGGCATCATTAAATGTGTTGGAAAGAATTAATAATTCGAGACTGATCATAGAGTGATTTGAGAGTTTTCAACTCAATTTTACATCTTTAACCATAGAATTTTTGAATTGAGTTTTGCACACACATTGTTAAGGATTGAGATTGAGAAAAATGAAGAAAAGAGATACACGACCAAGTAAAAATTTCCAAGTGATGAACGTAACAACAAAAAAAAATTACCATTGGTTCATTGTTTTTTTTTGTTTGTTTGTGTGTTTATTTTTCTGCTATTTCGGAAGTGCAATATATATATATGTAAAGGGGATTGAAAACAATCTCATTTTATTTGTGCCGGAATTGTTGTTGTTGTTGTTGTAGCACCAGGAAAAAAAACCACAAGAATTTTGTGCATAGACAAAACGATAATGCATTGTTTTTGAATGGTCCCGCCAATTTTAGCCAAAATCATTCTCCATATGAATAATAAAAAATTGCCCATTTTCTTTTTATTATCTTGTTTTCATTCAATTTCAAACAATAACAACGACAACAATCTAATAAATAAATGGATTTTATACAAATTGAATTTTTTTTTTTCGTATTGTAAATCAAAAATCGATAGTATCGAACTATCGATCATAGAATTCAAAAAAAAATTTTTCAAAACACATAATGAATGTACTTGAAAATTGTTTTGTTTTTTTTTCTCTATATTTCAAACTTTTTTTTCTCTCTATAGAAATAATAATGAGGCCATTATCATTATATTATGCTTGTTGAACATCATTCACAATTAATCTGACGACGACGACGTATTTTCATTTGTGTACCATATAGAATAACTAGCTGATTGTAATAATAATGGAATTTAACCGGATCAATCATCGATTGTTGTTGTTGTTGTTTATGTTGTTTTTGATGACAAATCAGAATATAATTTGATTTCAATTGAAAATTTTTCTTTCACATTTTCAAAAATCATTTCATTTGATAAAATACTGTGTTTTCTAATCAAAAACCATAATCCACACAGTCTTTCATTATCGTCATCATCATCATTTCATTATTATTAATCATCGTAATCGAAAAAATTATCAGTAATCTCATCATCAAAATCAAAATCAAAAAATTGTCGAGCCTATTTGTGTTTATTTATTGTTCAGTCGTAAAAAAAATGAATCGCGACATCTGTCGATTATTTTCGAGTATGGAGTTCATCACACAATCTTCAAAAAAAATTCGATTCGCGCGGCCATAATGGCTGGAGGGGATATAAGAGGGGGAAACCACACACACACTTACAATAGAAATGACATGAACAAAAAAGAAATGGCCACCCCATTTAAATCATCACTTTATACATATAATGTATGCAGAGGGAGTATGAACCACTGAATGTATATATGTGATATATACACCGAAAAAAATACATAGGTAGTATAAGATTTCATCACCCTCTTTATGTATGTGTTTGTAATGCATAATAATGGATGATTCATTTGATAAAAAATCTTGCACCCGCTTCGTTGGTCCTCCTCCTCAATTCTATTCATTCGCTCAATTTGTATTTTTTTTTTGGCTATTTTTATTTACATTTGGAATAGAGAAACAAAAATTACTAAAAAATTTGAGCGAAAAATATATATATTGGCGGCAACGAACTTTTCTTCTTCCATTTTTCTTCACTTTGATTCATCATCATCATCATCATCATGTAATAATATGGAAAATTCAAAACTCGAAGAAAATAGAAAGAAAGAAGGATTGGTCTGAATTACGTTCATTATTATATGGTAACAAAAATGGCGAATCTATGTGTTGGGGAAAATGAACATGTATATGTACATGTTGTTTAATCCCAGCCCACATTATTTTATTTACCCGTACATTGACTACGACTACGATAGATAGATATGATGATTGCATTTTTTCAATTATGAGCGTGCTGCTTTATGGCCTTTTATATTATTTTTACAACCAACAACAATAGCGAAAAAAAAATGCTCAATAAAAAGCGCCACCATACTGATCGATTTGAAACTATTCCGCATATACCGACGCTCATCATCATCATCATCATCATCATTTTGGAAAGATTTTTCCAAGATTCATACATTAATACCACTACCAATATACTACTACTACTACATTAACCGAAAGTAATTATACTAGCTGCCGCTATTGTCACTAGAGTCGTTCGTTCATTCGTTCATTCGTTCGTTTTTTTTGCCGTCTTTCTTTCTTTATTTCTTCACTGTAAAAAAAAGCATTGTGTTCACACACCGTATTGCCGCTTGTTTCGTTCGATCATTCGTTTTTTTTTGTTTCGTTCGATTCTCCATCATCATCATCATTTCATTCGTTTGTTCGTCATCGTCAAGTTAACGTTTTTTTTAAAAATCGTTTGTTTTTCAACTTCGAAATTCTTTGTCGAAAAGAAATTCATTTTTTTTACCGAATCAAATTTTGATTTCAACACACACATCCATACAGCGAATCACATTTCAAACGTCGTTATATTCACTTCTACATTCATCACATCCATTTTCGCACTAGATCGACATTTTGTGTCGTCATAATTTTCTTTTCATCATCATCATCAAATCAATTTATTATTATTATATATCTAAATAACCAAATACCACAAATCACATCAAAAATGTCCGAATCAGAAGTTGTCAATACAAACAACAATAGTACCGATGAAATTGTCACCAAGGATCCAAAGAATGATTCCCTTAAACGAAAGGAGAATGAGGTATGGTCAAAAATAATTATCCATAATTGATATGATGACATGACATTTGTGTTGAGAGAGATGAAAACAAAAAAAAATGATAGCAAAATGACGCTCACGTTGTCACCAAATCGCGTCGACAACACAACAGCAAAAAAAATAAAACAATGGCCGCCATTACTTTTTTCAATCACCGGTTTTTTCTTTGAAAATACACCTTGATTTCGAATTGAATATATGCCTATATCTACAATCTTTGTGTTTTCTTTCTTTTTGTGTTCATTTTTTTCTGTCTCTCTCTCTCTCTAAAAGTTTTCTGAGGATTCCAATTCGGTTCTGGATTCCGTCAACGATGAAAGCAATCATAAGAAAGCTAAACATGAAAATGGCGCCGATGAAGAATCCAATGATGCAAATGATGCCGGTAAGTTTATTGAAATGTGTTTATTCATATACCCAATTCGATAATACTACACACACACACAAACAAACAATTCCATCATTTTTGTGAAAACATGCTGCCGGTACAGTGCACCTATTTTTTTTTGATTAATGGTGGTTCTATCTAATATTCGAATGTCATTTCGAAATTAATCGATAATGTCATTGCAAACATCGATTAATATGACCTCAATGGATAGCCATTGCTTGGTTGTCATCATTGTTTGACCAATCTAGGTCTGCTTTTTTTTTGCCGGTAATTCCGTTTACGTTCGCGTTCATATTGTTGGTTAGTCTTTGTTTCCCACCAACACCAACACCACCACCACACTCTTTTTAGTTAGCTAGCTTGTTTTTAGAATAGAAAAGCACACCATATACCATCATCATCATCAGCAACAACAACCAGCCAGCCAAGCCATCCATTTTTCTCAACCACACATAATACACACATAGTTGTCTTTTTTCATCGTCGTTGTTAGTCTCTTATACCAGAAACAAAAAAAAAAAAAAAGCTTGTTTTTGACATAGAACTATTTGCCATATTATATGAATCTATCGTTTTTTTCTTGCTTTATAACATTTTCCAAGCTTAGGTTATTTTTTCAGGGGCCATAGCCGAGCCAAAAAAAAAAGCACACCGTCGTTGTTGCGGCCAATCTGGCTGCCATCAAACCACCACTACTACATTCATACACACGCACACACAACGACCATTGTTAGCATCATTATTAATTCAAATCCAAAGTGGCGCTAGTATTTTTTTCGTGTTTTTTCGAATTTCATACGAAATCACGCATGTGTGGTACATTTTCTTTTTATTTGAAGCATTGTCATCATCATCCACTACTACAAAATAATTGAAACAGCGTGTACAATTCATTTTTTGTTTTCCGCGCGTGGTTTTCAATTTCTGCTTGCTTTGCTTCTTTCTTTAGCCTTTTGTTCATGGTCGTTGCCCATCACAGATAAAATGAAAAAGTTTCTAAAATCTCATTTGGTTCTACTACTACTACACATGGTAGTGGTGATTTGAAATGCCGATTACCTTATGTAAAAAACAGAATATGCATGCTAGGACCTTTTCCGTTTCCGAAAAATGAAAATTCAAAATTGATTTTTGGCGCCACTTTTTTTCCCATCCATTAGCTTGCTATTAATGCTATGTGTGTGTGCTACACAATACATAGACCAAGTTTCTTTATTTCATAATAATGAGCTACCAGAACTAAACATTATATGAACAACTAGATGAATGTTCAAAAACTAACGAAATCTTTTTTCTTTATTTTCTGTACATCAAATGTGCGCATCCCGTCATGGCAACCATCATTTTTGTGTGTTATGCTCATAAATGACGTATTTATTTGGAATCCGGAACCATCCACATTATTATTGATTAATTTCATCAATGATATAATCACATGACAACGCGCTATATTATATATAGGTGGCGATGTAGATGAAGAGGATGAAGAAGATGATGATGAAGTCGTTCCTGAAGATTATGCTGATGAAGATGAAGAAGAAGGTGATGGTGCCGATGAAGAAGACGATGATGATGATGAGGATGCATAAAAAAAAGAAAACAACGAAAAAAAATATGAATATGATAATGATAATGGAATTTGGATTTAAATTTGAATTTCAAGCAACAAAACATAACCACATTTTCTCTTTCTATAATTCTTAATCTTTCTTTATCTCTCTCTCACTCTCTTTCTCTCATCCAACCAATTTATTATAATTTGGGCTATTATTACTAAAAAAAAACCTGAAAAAAATCCAATTGATGATGACACCAAACAAACGATATACACACAAACAAAAAAAAACATGTGACATGATGTATCTCTCATTTTCATTCATCAATTTCATTCATTCATTTATTCTCTTACTATCTCTCTCTCTCTCACACACACATATAAACTCACTTTTTTTCGCCCATATAACATTTGACATTAAAACACCGGACACACACAATGAACATAACCGGAACAACAACATACCGGAAACAACAATGAACAGAAAACATGGTTCGTCATCTTCTTTATTCAAGTTTATTTTTTTTTCATTGTCATACACACAAAGACACAGACACAGAAAAAAAAGAAAACCATACCAAGATTAATAATTTTTGTTTCGTATCCCATTAATTTTTTCTTCATTTTTTTAAAAAAAAATTAACGTTTTCTCATTTATTTTTCAAACGAAAAACAAAAATTTCATTCTGTCCCTTCTTTTTTTTCGATTCGTTTAATATCAAATCTCAAGTAGTGCACCTGGATTTCATTCAAATGTCCACAACAACAACAGAAAAAAAAAATTTTTTTTTTGCATTCAGAAACCCAAAAACAAACTTGGTCATTCTTTTTTAATTCTGAATTTTTTTTTATTATATACATTCACATCAATCTTTTGACAGCAGAACACACAGAGACACACGTCTGAATTTTTCCTGAAACAAACAAACAAAAAAAATTAGAAAATGAATCTAAATTTTTTTTTCTTATTTTCTGACCATCTATATATTATAAATATAACAAAAATATATACAGAAAGAATTGAAAATCCATGTTCACAGATGACGTTACCGTAATAATAATAATCAATTACATAAAATAAAATCACAAACAAACAAACAAACTGATCTACAAGCATCATTAAAAAAAAAAAATTTTAAAATTTTATCGTTATCAGTTTGATTCATTTCAAAAATCAATACACTAAAACAGTCCACCTGGCGGTGGTGGTGGTAGAATTGATTTGATTGAGAATATTCCTGCTGCTGTTCTTTTATTTATTTGGAAATAGCCAAACAACAACAACAACAACAATTGCAACTACAAACGGAAAACCAACCTTTTTATTTCCCTTTTTTAGATCAAATTACAACAAATTCACCACAAATACACATGAAAAAGAAACTGCAAGAATTTATGACAACAACAACAACAACAAAAATGCTATTCATTTATATGTTCATCTCATTTTTTTTAATTATTATGTAAATTATAATTTTTTTCCTTGATTCTTTATTTTTAAAAATTTAAATTAAAAAAAAATTTTCTTAATTTGAAATAATTTTGACATGTCATTTATGAATGGCTCACGGTTTGCTGGATTGTCATTCGAATTTCTGGTGTGTTCGCGCGACATTCCAATGATGATGATGACGATTATTGGTTGGTAGAAAACTTATTTCTTTCATCCAAGAAGAAGAAGAAGCAACATCCGATCATCATCTGGATAAACGTATTCAATACAAACATTGTTGATCAACTAGTTCGGTCGGTTATGTTTTTTTTTTTTAGTTTGTATGGTTGATGATCTTTAATCATTTTTAACCATCATCATAGGGTTTAATAAGGGTTAAGGGTTTTTTTTATGTGAGTGTATAAAAGCGCGTTGGTAGACAGGTTGTTTTTGTAATAAAAGAATTTTGTCCAAACAAATAAATAGTTTTCAGTTTGTTGTTGAGGAGATTCATCAGATCATCATATTTGCAATTTTAGTTTCCTGGTAATGTTTTTTTTTTTTTGAAAATCACTGGCTACAAAAAAAAACAAATTCTGTGTTAATTGGTTGGTTGTTGTTGTTGTTTTTTTTTTGTTTAAATAAATGGGCGGTGGCGACGTCGACGTTGGCGTTAGAACATTATTTGATGGACCACACCACATATACAGTAATACCTTGGTTACGTTCCAAAAATTTTGATCATAAAGCGAAACAACAACGCTAATCGAGGTATTACTACTGAATACTATATTCTGGATCATTTATATACATAGAAAAAAAACGATATATATGGAATCATTTTGGATCGAAACAAGACGACACGAGACGACTCATAAATGAGTTCCGTCTGAATGCCAATGGGGGAAAAAAATGATTCGATTCCAATGTTGAATGGCGTCCGTCTCCGTTTTTTTTTCTCTCTCTCTCTTGAATTCGAATCCAAACAAAAAAAAAATCTCATTCAACCTAAATGATACTATTCGGGTAGATATCGTGCAATACTCTTTGGTGAAAGAGAATGCATCAACAACATCAAAAATTTTTTTTTTCGTTTTGTTGAAACATGAAAAACATTGCCTTTTCTTTCCTCTTGATTATCATGTAGAACAAAAAAAAAGGAAAAGAAAATGATAATGGATCCAAAATAGACAAAATAGTTTAAATTTGCTGCTACGGCTGCTGCAATCCACCACACGCCAACCAACGGCAACAACACAAGATATAGACATTTGTTTTATGCATCACCATAATGAAAATACATGCCCACACACACACACACCAAACCAAACCAACTATTTGTGAGCGAGGTCATTGCAGGTATTTTATACGACTATTTTCTCTATATATACAATATTTACCATTCATCATCATCATCATCGTTAGTTTTTGTTGTTGGTGGTTGTTATATATAGTTTTTTTCCGATGTAATGGACATAACAACAACAACAACAACAACGAAGACGAAGACGACGACGACGACGACGACGACGTAAACAAAACAATTGTTGCAGTCAAGTTGATAAAGAAAACAAAAAAATTAATTTTTCTTTGTTTCTCTTTCCATTACTAATAGTGTAAATGTGGATCATTTTAATCCTTTTTTCTGTCTGATCCTCATTGACGATTAATTGATTAAAATTTTCAATGTTGATGATGATGATGATGATGTAAGTTATTAGTAAAAAAAACAATTTTCATTTTAATCATCTGATTTTGATTTACAACAGCAGCGACAAGTTTTCCAAACAAAATCGTCTCATTTGCAATAATATAATAATTTATAATTGATCATTTTCATAAATTGGCATTGAAGAAGAAGAAGAATTTATCGCTATGAATGAAACTAGAACAGAATAATAATTTTTGGCAATATTCCCAAACCTCGAAGATTTTTTTTCCCAACAAATTTCAATTCATCACTCTTGATTCCGTCATTTTGTTGTTGTTTAATGATGATGACGACTATGGTGAAATAAAGGAAACGAACAAACAAACAAACAAACAAAAACATCACTCATCAAACAACAACGTAACCTGAAAAATCATTTATCCGTGTAGACCCACAAACACACACACACACACACACACACACAATCAAACAGTGGTGGTGGTGTGAATTTTTTTTTTCATTTTATTTATCGGAAAGATAAATTTCATTCAAGCAACGAAATTTATTTCTTGCCCCTCACTTCTAGCAAATCATCGGATATTGAACGACGACGACGTTGACGACGATATTCTGCGACATTTTTTTTCGCCTTTTTGCTAGTGTTTTTTTTTCTCAACTGTGATTTCGGTGCTATAGTAGAAGGAAAAAAAACGCTGTTTTTCAATATTGTTGGCCTTTCAAATATATTTAGGAGATTTTTTTTCAATTAGGAATTTATCCATCCACAATCAATTTAGTGAAAATATTTTCTTTTTTTTCAAAAAAATTTTGTTATCGAATGAAAATTGATGATCATTATGTCAACAACGGCAACGGCAGCCACAACGATAACAACAACAAACCATCATCATGGCCATGGTCACCATAATCATAATCACAATCATCGCCATCATCATCAACATCAACATAATAATGTGCAATCGCAACAACAACAACAATATTCTCGAAATGTGATTGAAAATGTAATTAAATCATTGGATCAATTAATATTGGCACAAAATGTTAAACAGGTGCTTGAACATAATCGACAGATTGCTAAATTATTACATCTAGATGATGATGATGATGATGATGAACGAAATCAGAATGATGATGATGATGATCATCATCATGATTCATATGGTTTGCAGAAATTTTTTCGTTTAAAAAATGCCTTAAATGTTAAAACAGTATCAAAATGGAATCGTGTTGCATCTATATTGAAAACATTGGATTCGAAAGCCAATCAAAAAGAATATTCATCAATTCGTTCAAATGTTCAGGGTCGAAAAATTTTAGTCATCGGTGGTGGTATATCCGGACTTCGTGTTTCCATAGAATTATTATTGCTTGGAGCCAAAGGTAATTTTTTTTATTTGGTGAATTAATGAATTTCATTTCAATCGATTTTTTTTTGTTTGCAAATAACTAGTGCTTTGTGTGGAAAAACGTGATGAATTTACTCGAAATAATGTTATACATTTGTGGCCAAATGTCATCAATGATATGTGTACATTCGAAGCGAAACGTTTTTATGGAAAATTCTGTGTCGGTTCCATTGATCATATATCCATTCGACAGCTACAATTAATCTTGTTGAAAATAGCCATTATTTATGGATTAAATTTCTATACAAATACAACATTTTCGGAAATTTGTCCACGTATTATTGAACCAAGATTTGGTCGATGTTCACAATCAACATGTGATTGTTGTTGTCATCAACATGGTTTTGGTCGTCGAGGATCCTATGCACATTTTTCACATACATCTGTACAGGATCAAGCTTCACATTCGGCTGCCAATTATTTGAATCGACAATCATTCGATGTAATCATCGGTTGTGATGGCCGACGACATACATTTAGTCGTTATTTTCGCCGTAATAATCGTCGTGGAAAATTGGCCATTGGATTAACGGCAAATTTCATCAATCATCGTACAGAAGAAGAGGTTCAATCCGAAGAGATAAGCGGTACAAGCCGTATATATCAACAACAATGGTTCCAAAATCTACAGGATGAAACTGGAATTGAATTGGAAAATCTTGTCTATTATCGTGATAATACACATTATTTTGTTATGACAGCAACAAAAGCATCATTACTGTTACGTGGTGTTCTCAAAATCGATCATAGTGATTCTCATCAACTTTTATCGATGAATAATAGTAAGTTTTTTTTTACTGGAAATTTTCTCAATTTAATTTTCATTCTGTTTTATCCAAATAAATATAGTTGATACACAAAAATTAATGCGTTATAGTAAAGATGCGGCTGAATGGTCATCAAAACTTCGACGATTAGAATTTGCACGTAATTCAAATAATATGCCTGATGTTGCATTATTCGATTTTACATCCATGTACTCAGCAACGAATGCATCATGTGCAAAAAAAATTCATCTTCATTGTTGTGATACACCTGTTGTTATGAATGACAAGGAAAATTCTCGTTATATGTTATTATTATTATGCGGTGATTCATTACTAGAACCGGTAATTATATTTATCAAATCAAACTATCAATCAAATTAACTGATTAATTGATCATTTTAGTTTTGGCCAACTGGTAGTGGTGCTGGTCGTGGATTCTTATCGGCATTGGATGCTGCATGGACTGTTGCACAATGGTTTTCAAATGTTGATGATAGTTATCCAATTGATTCAATGCTCAATGTAATTAGTAAACGTGAATATGTCTATAGGTAAGTGATAAAATGTGTCTTGTGGCTTGTTTTTTTTATAAAAATTTTTTAAATTTTAGATTATTAGCACAAACTAGTCCCGAGAATACAACAAGTAAAAATTTCACTATTGATCCACAATCACGTTATAAAACATTAAATATTCTCAAAAATGATACATTAAAAGAGATGAAAGATCAAGTTCGTCATCTAATCATTGATAAACCAGATATTGACATGAAAATCTATCGTATTAGTAATGAAGCAAAACGTGCACGTCGTGCTACCGTCGGTATTGATCCAAATGATATATTGAAAGCAAAAAATTTACCAGTCGATACAAGTAAATTGGATGAATTTGTTGTTCAAACATCAAATCATCACCATCATCTAATGGAATATCAACGTAATCATCCTATCCTATATTCAGTGCCTTCATCTGATGCATTAAATAATAATAATAAAAATTATAATCGACAACCTCGACAACACTGTGATAATAATCAATCAATCGATATTCAAAGTGGTAGTCGTTCACCGATTGAAGTTGTGCAATTTCTTCCACGAAATCATTCGAATACAACTGTCACAACAGCAGCAACAAACATTAAACAGAATAATTTACCAAGACATTTAGATGTACAACCAAGAAATGATCGATTAATGTCAAATATGGCTAAAAAGAATCATCATGCACGTAATCATTTTTTTCATGATGAACAACAACGTTCAAATTGTTCAACATCATCATTGTCATCGATTTCATCACATCAATCTCGACATGATTGGCCATCGTCATTAAATCATAGAAATAATGATGGTGGCGATGATGATGACCAAATCTCTAGTCATGAATTAAAAGTCAACAATAATCGTAGTAAATACCATAAACATAGTGGTCATCATCATCATCATCATGATGAATCAGCTGGATATGATAAAGAAAATTGTCCAATTCCAAATTTTAAACAAATGTTTCTTCTCGATGATTATGTTGACGATGATGATGATGATGATGATGGTAATCCCGAATGTTCCACACGAAATTATCCACAATCTAAATCAAAATCAACATCATCAGTGAAAAATCGTATAAATTCAATATCACAGCCACAAAGTATGTTTGGACAATTGATTGATTCACGTCGTAGTTTGCATGATTTTGAAAAATCACTTTCAAGAAAACCGGTAAAAAAATCATCCGATATTATGGAAAAGGCACAATTTTTGGAACAAAAATTTGAAGAACATAATCGTTCATATGTACCGAATTTGAATCGTGTTGGTCGTATTGAAGAAGATGATTGGAATGTTAAAATATGGAATGATTCGAATCTATTTGGTAACTGCTGTTTCTTTTCTCCTTCCATTAATTGATTATTGATTTTAGTAGGACATTCAATTTTTGCTTTACTTAATTATTTTATCTTTTCATATCCATTCGTATTTGTTTTTATTTTGTTTTGATTCTAGCACCAAAAGTAGATAAATCCGGTCGACCATATGTAGGTGAAAATAGCCGTGATCTTTTGCAATCTAGAATTGCACAATTGAATAATAATTTTGAATATAATCGTCCAATGGTACCGAAAAGATTTCTATCGACAACGATGACAACGACTACTGCAAACAGTGGGAAAAATAATGATTATGTTAATATGTTATCGAATGAAGTTTGTCAGAAATTAAATTCTGCAACAAGTGCTAACAGTAGTGTTATGCAACAATCGAACATTATTGAAACGACAACTGGACAAACATCATCATGTCCATTTGGAGATGCTACAGATTCGGTGAAGATTAGTAGTGCATTTCGTGATCCGTCTACTGCTACTGCCAATATTCGAAAGATGCCCGGTTCTGATCTATTAAAACCAATTGGTGATTGTCGTCGATGTTCAAAAACATTGATAGCAAATGATCGTGTTACCATTTTAGGTAGAAATTTTCATAGGTATTCATTCATTCATTCATTCTGTTATATTCGACATTGTAATTGTTTTTTTCCCATTTTCCATCATAGAAATTGTCTCACCTGTAAAATTTGTAACGTTAGTCTTAGACATGATGAACTTATGGCTTCTATCGATGATTTTATTTGTAAAATTTGTTCAAAAATTCGATCTCGTCAAATCGTAGATGATGGTAGCTTCAATTCGAATATTATGACCACAAGTAGTAGTGGTGTTGGTTCTATTTTTGGTTCATCAGTGATTGATAGTAAAAGTGTATCTCAAACACCGCTTAGTTCATCATTGAATCTATCATTGATGGAAGCAAAGAAAAATTTCTTGGAAAATGCTCAACAAATTGATCTACGTGAACGTGCTGAATTTGAACTTGTCATTAATGATATTAATGATGATGATGTTGTAACCGATTCGAATGTAAATGAACCTGCTGATGATGATGATGATGATGATGACTATTTCGATGGAGAAGATAATGATGACGTTGATGATGAATTCTGTGTTGAAAATGATGATGACAATGATGATGATAATCAAGTTGATGAAACAGATGAATTGAATCTAATACAAAATGATGATAATAATGAACAACAACAACAACGACAACAATCATCTGATTTATCAGAAAGTTCAGATATTCATTGTTCAAGTGATAATTATACAGATGATGAACAATCTTCGGATTCATCGTCACCAAAACGACAATCATCATCATCAATGAAAACAGTTCCATTACCCAAATCATCATCATCATCACCATCATCGTCGTCGTCGTCGTCATCTTCATCATCGAATGATAATAGTTCGCAAACAACAGCTAGCCACAAAGACATTATTGTTGATAATAATAATGTCGATGATTTTGGATCCGGATTTACGGTAATATTTATTACAATAATGTTATTATTGCTTATCGTTTGGCTGATCGATTATTATGGCTTTATTTTCTATTTGGATTTTCTTTTTTCCATTATTTTTGGCTTTTACTAATGACCCCCGAATCCTTTTATTTAACCAAAAAAAAAAAAAATTAATATATTTAGAGCTTGATTGGTACAACAACAACAAATACTCCAACAACCGTTACGAATGATTCATCATCCATATCCATTATGACTAATGAAATTAATAATGCCGGTGAAGGTTGTGTCGAAATGATCTCGTCATCAACAAATTCCAAAAATTCTAACAATTCCACATCATCATCATCATCATCATCAACATCTGATCCATTAGCTGCTTTACCATTGCTTCATGAATCTACCAATGCTTATTATGATTCAGAAGCTTCAATTAACATTGTTGATGATTATAATAATGATGATGATAAAAAGAAATCATCATCACCGACAACAACGGCAGAATTGATTTCTGAATCAATTGCAAAGTCAAATCTAGAGACTAGTTGTCAATTTGCCGATGACGATGATGATAACCGGTCAATAAGGAAATCATCATCATCATCATCATCAACATCATCTATGAAACTTCACTTACCCATTATTCGATCTGCTGCTGTTGCTTCTTCACCACAATTTAATCAATCACAAAACCAAAGAATCGATAATAATAATAAATCACCAGAAATGAAAAAAGATTTATTGATTTTTAATTTTAATAGAAAAAAAGAACCACCGATAACAGCAGCAACCATCACCACCGATTCTGTCAGGACAGAAGGACAACAACAACAGCAACAAGACATGAAAACAATGGCCAAAACGATGTTGATTCGTGATGATAATAGCGGCAGCAGCAACAACAAAATCAATAAAAATAAATTTCATGGTTTTCAATCTTCAACATCGAAAATTATGCCCAGAAATCATCATCATGATAATCATTTGAGAAAAAACATCAATACTGGAAATGGAACCGTCGTCGGTAGTGGTGGTACACAAATCAAATCAACGACAACAACAACAACAACAACAAAACCATCGAATATACCAACATATCGTTATGCTGGTCATTTTACCGAAAAATTTTATCGTTCACAATCACAGCCAAGTTTATTGTTACAAATGGATCAAATTGGCAATAAATTGAAAATGAAACGAAATGATTCACCAATTACTACGATCTTGGATACCACCGCTAATAATATTGGTTCGACAAAATTATCATCATCATCATCGATTCCAACAGCAACTTTGGCAACAAAATCATCATCACGATCATCAAGTAAATCACAAATGGATCTATTACCATTTGTTGATGGATCACCACCGAAAAATGATGATGGACCAACAACAAAGTGTACACCGAAAACTAATTTTAACAATAACCGAACCACCACCACCATCAACAACAACACCAATAATCATCTTGTTGAACCGATAAATTCAAATACTATAAAGCCACTTACTCAGGCTCCATTTGCTCGTATTGATGATGTTTGATTGATTGATTTTTTTTTATCTTTTACATTCTAATCACTGATGATTCACGCGGGATGTGATGGTGATAATTCTGTCTGTTTTTTTTCACAACTTTATTCAAATCAATCAATTTTATCTATTTTACAATACTTTTATTTTAACGTTTTTTCTTTGCTTGATTAATATTGCTCCAAATTATTTTCAAGGCCAAGAATTCAGATTTGCAATTTCGATGAACAATAAAAGATCAAAAATAAATGCGTAGCAAACGAAAAATAGTGATTATCAAAATATTATGTTGTTCCAATTTAAATGGTTTTGGCTGGACATTACATCCCCGCACTTTATGCTGGTAAAATAGGTGTGTTTGATATTGTTCGAATAAATATTGTGGGATATTGAGTGTATAAATGTAGATCAAATGATCTTATTCAAAATGATTAAAATGATTTTTGTTTTTCAATTCGAGCAACTTGTGATCCAAATTTTGAATTCCATTTGATTATTGATGATGATAACGAATCAAATATTTTATTATTGTTTTTCTCTCATCTTCATCATCATTATTATTTGTCATTAGTTGACTAAAAATTATTATCTTCAAATTTTCGATAATTTTCCCTTTTCAAATTTTCTTTCAACCATTCATTGGTTGATCGATGAATTCAGAATCAAAATTTGATAAGATCACAGAATATGATTAGAAGAAATTCGTCTGATAAAATGAATGATGTAAATGATTGAGAATAAAATGTTGATTTTCATTTTCATTTTTGATCTTGACATTAAAGAAATTCGTTTGATAAAGCGAATATAATGACTGATTATAGAAGAAATAAAATGTTGATCTTGACATTATGTTGAATAAAATTATTATGTGTGATAAAAATAATAAGATATTTTTTTTTCATTTATGATTCTGTTCTCATTAAAATGTTAAAATAAATGTTTTATATATTGTTTGAATGTTGTGTAAACAAATGTAGATTCTGTTTAAAATGTCATTATTTTTCTTTTGTATTTATGATTATATTTGTGGTATTAATTCTGAATTCCAATTCAAAAATAGATGATAGTGGTGATTGATTAAGCAATTAATCTTGAATATTATTTTCAATTTTTCTCAATAAAATTTTAAATTTTTATGTTGTTTTATTCTTATTTCTTGGCAATTATTCTTCCATTTCATGTTTATTTTTCCATTATCATATTTTGGAATCAATTGTCTTGATTATTTAAAGTATATTAAATCAGTTTTGATTTGATGAATGATACTATTATTTCAGTTTCTCTTATTTAATTAATTCATTATGTTCTTTTATTTTAGAATCTTCATTATTAGTTGTCCAATCTAGTTATTATTCATCATTACATTTATTATCTTCAATTGTTTCTTATGTTGTTTGTTATTACCATATAATCTTGTTATTATTAATAAAATCAAAATATCATTTGTCTTGTTTAATTTTATTGTTGTTAGCGATTATTATCATTAAAACAATATCAAATCATCAAAATTTCCGACATTACGTCTCGTCACATTTCATTGTTCTTTGAATTCTTCCAATTTTTACAAATATGAAAACAAAAATGATAATAATAAAAACATTCACATCATCATTTGCTGTTCAAAATTAATTTTGAAACAAAAATAAAAACAGCGCCATCTACACACCAGTTGGGTTATTAATTTGATTTTTTTTTTAATAAAAAGCGCGCATTGTATTTGTATACAACGCCTATTTATATATATATCAAAGTGTCTGATGTCTGGACAAATGGATGGATATGTGTATGTACCAGTATACTATAATTTGGTTCAAACCAAATTTAAATGGATCCAATCCAGGATGGTGTTGATGCTGGTGTTGGTGGTAGTAGTGTAAAGTTGTAATAAATTTTTTTTTTTTTTTTTGGTTGTACCGTTATATGGTTGTCATGACTGCTGATGTATGGTGGTGTGTGTGCAGTGTATCCAGGGCGACGACGACTACCACACATACACACACACACACACACACACAACACCAGGAAAATGTATACAAATCGATCGTTTGTGCGTGTGTGTGTTTTACTTTTTTTGATGAAATTTTTTTTTTTTTTTTTTTTTTTGGTCGATCTGTTTATATCACATCACAAGGCACGTTTTGTATTATCCATCCAATGTATTAGGAGCAAATGGAAAAAAATGGCGTATCATTCAAATGAATTGTGGTGGGAGGAGGGTGGTGAGCAACGAAACAACAAAAAAAAAAAAAAAATGAGGAGAAGGATGAGGATAATGTATTTTTGTTGTTGTTGTTGTTGTTGTTGTTATTAGATGAAAAGATTCTGCTCATCATCATCCTGGTTTAGCTATATAAAATTTTTTTTATGTTTTTGTTTTCGACTCATTTCATTTTTAACCAAAAATAATCTTCCTCCCTCCCTCTCTCTCTTCCTCTTTTTTTTTCGTGTAAATGACACACACACACGACATCGACATCGATCGAACGACCGACATTAAAAAAAAAAAAAAATTGAGCCAAAATTCGGTGGCGCTACAATCGCCATTATTATTCTATTCGATTCTTGTATATTGTATTGGAATAAAGCTAGCAAACTAAATGATATTTCAAAAATGTAAATCATCATCATCGTGATGGTCGTTGTCGTCGTCGTCATCGTCTTATATATTACAATGAAAAATCATCAGCAACAAAAGCCAACAGCACCAACCAGAGGCCAGGAATGAACAAGAAAAAAAAATTATACAGCAGTTAACTGTGTATAATAACAACATTTAATCATCATCATCTTGCCCCCAAACAAACACCACATTTGAATTATATATATGTGTGTGTCCAATTCAGCAACAAAAAAAAAAAACAAGAAACAAAAAAATCATCATCTATATATATTGGCCACTGTTGTTATTATTATTTTGTTTTTTGATGTTTCTTTACTATATTTTTTTCATGGTTTCTCTTTCTCTCTCTATATATATGTGTGTGTATGTGTGACTATATGATGGTTGATGATGATAATCATATAATGTTTCGATGTTCAACAACAACAACAACGACAACGACGACGACGAAAGATTCAGAAAAAAATAACAAAGAATAATTCACCAACAACATATCATTGAAATCCAATGTGGTAGAATATAGTTTGTTTAGTTTCTATATCTTTTTATCGTGTCAGTGTGTGTGTGTATGATGATGATGATATGGGGTATATATCAAATATAGAGAAAAAAAAACTCTACCAATTTTGATTATTATATAAGATGATGATGATCGTCGTTTCTATGGCAATAAGTTTATGGTTGATAATAGGAAAAACAAAATACTAGAAGAAGAAGAAGAAGAAAAAAAAAATTTTTTCAAACATTTTTTTTTCATCCAGTCCTGTATTCTATATCAAATCGCATCACCATCATCATCATCATCATCATTGGTGATATATATATTGGGATTATATTCAAGTTATCTATCTATATATATAAAAATTATTTTATTATTATACACCACACACACGCCTACCTACTTCGTTTCATCAAACCGCCTACAAATCTGATATATCTGATTGTGGTTGTATGGTAAATAGTGTAGTGGTGTGTGTGTGTGTATGTATTTGTTGTGTGTGTCATATTTTACCGCCATTTGTTGATAATGGTGATATATGATTATCATTATCATCATCATCAATGATTATCAACAACAATCAACAAAATGAACCATTGAATGGGTTAATGACCACCAATCGATTTATTCATTTTTTTTTTTTTTTTTTTTTGATCATCAATTAGACAGAAAAAAAACCAAGAATATTCAAATGGCCACATTTGAAAGAAAATATAAACCAACAACAAAACTTGATAATAGGTAGTGTATATTTTATCGTGAAAAAAACCGCCAGAATTTATGAATTGTAATACAATATATAATCCCAATTCTGTATTCTGTATATATCATGATCAATGTTTTTTTTTGTCGTGGCTGAGTGGAAAGGTTGATTCGACCACATATTACACATCAAATCACAACAATTATTATTACTACCACCAGAATAAGAATTTCATGTCCGAGTATTCATTTTTCACTTACAATACAGTTATATATGATGTCTATATATATATGTGTGTGTGTGTGTGTTTTATGATGAGAAAAAAAAACTCAACCATTGTAACCGAATAATAAGAATGACAACGATAACAACATAAAACTATACAAAAGGACAACCACTATAGAGAGGTCGGTCGTCTTTTTTTGTTGTTGTTGTTGTTGTCGATTACACCATGAATGATCCATTTATCGAATAATAATAATGAACAAAAAGTATCTTTACAAATTCAATATAGAATTTTTTTTTGGTTATTATTACATTGTAATACAATATATAATCCCAATTCTGTATTCTGTATATATCATGATCAATGTTTTTTTTTGTCGTGGCTGAGTGGAAAGGTTGATTCGACCACATATTACACATCAAATCACAACAATTATTATTACCACCACCAGAATAAGAATTTCATGTCCGAGTATTCATTTTTCACTTACAATACAGTTATATATGATGTCTATATATATATGTGTGTGTGTGTGTGTGTGTTTATGATGATGAAAAAAAACTCAACCATTGTAACCGAATAATAAGAATGACAACGATAACAACATAAAACTATACAAAAGGACAACCACTATAGAGAGGTCGGTCGTCTTTTTTGTTGTTGTTGTTGTTGTTGTCGATTACACCATGAATGATCCATTTATCGAATAATAATAATGAACAAAAAGTATCTTTACAAATTCAATATAGAATTTTTTTTTTTTTGGTTATTATTACAAATTCTGTATGTTTCTATATTCTATATTCTATCGTCGAAATAAAAAAAACCACCTTCAAGAAACAAAACAAAATTATATATTGAATCTGTGAACAACGAAAAAAAAGAATTTTTTTCCACTGTGAATGAATGAATGAATGAATGGAAGAATTATATATTGGACCAAATCACCAAAAAAAAATATTATCATCCACTAAATGATTATATATACAAGTCGAAATTCTTTGAAAATTTGTATGATTATTTGTTGTTGTTGTTATCGTTGCAATGAATATATATTCTTGGTGTGTGTGTGTGTGTGTGTCTGATCCATTTGGTTGAAATATAAACCATATAGATATATGAATGATGATGATGATGATATATACCGAAAAGAAAAAAATTTTCTTTTTCTATATTCTTTTTTCTCGTTGTTGGCCACAAAAAAAAGTGTTATATATTCATTCATTCATTCATTGATGATAATCAAACCAAAGTCGATGAACTTTGAATTGACTATTAACCATGAGAGAGAGAGAGAGAGAGAGAGAAAAGATCGAAATAGTTATAGTTATTATTGTTGTTGTTCTTTATTATTTTTCTTTCACTCATCATCACTCGTCATCATCATCATCATCATATAGTTTATGATGATCAACATACAGACACCGATATAACCGATGACGAAGGCGAAGAAGACAAAATAACAACAACGACGACCAAAAAAAAAATCATCATCATCATCATCATCATAATAATAATATATAGATGTATAGCCTATGACAACAAGTGGTTGAATTGCAAAGAATTGAATGAATATGATTTTTTTTCTGTAGAAAAAATTTTATATATAATTCTCATATATATATTCTATATAGAAGAATTCAAATAACTTGCACGTGTGTTTGTGTGTTTGTATGTTTGTGTGTGTGTGTGTGTAACTGTTGACCGTTTGATCAACACATGTAAACACGTGCAAGTTATTTGAATTTTTTTTTCTTAAATTTTTGTTTGTTTATTTCAGCTAATCATCAGAAAAAACAACAACAAATCATTCAAGTCAACAACAATTGATCATTGTGCAATAATTTAATTTAACAATTTTTTTTTCTTCTAATGAAGCAAAAAAAATTCCGAATTGTTTCGAATACAGAATAATAAATAAAATAATGCAATCATTAAATAATTCACAATTAATTAGTACGGCTGGTGGTACCGTTACAATTATACCAGCCGGAACTGTTACCGGTACCGGTGGTGGAATTACTGGTCATCCAATTACTGTACAAGCGACAAATCAACATGGCCATCCACATCATCATCATCATCATCATCATCTAGGTCAACCGACAAATATACAATTGATAATAGCAACAAAATCATTACCACAAGCAATGCCTGTTGCTACAGCAACACCGGTAGCTGTAAAACAAGATGTCATCTCTATACCGGTATCAGTATCGACACCACAAATGGTTAAACAAGAGGTTATTACATTACCGGTAATGGCATCAACATCACAAATGGCCTGTTCAACAGCGGGTACCACTTGTATGTTGGTAGCACCATCAGCAATCAATACGGTTGTTAATAATATTCAACATGCCACCAATCAAACACATCAACAACAACAACAACAACACCAAACAATGACCAATCTTAGTAATTCCAATCAATTAAATCAACATCAAACAGCAACGGCCATAATAACAACTGCACCAATTCAACAACAACAACAACAACATCAACAACAATTATCGCAACAACCTCAACAACAACAACAACAACAACAACTTCAACTTCATACGCAAACGCTTAATCATACGAATGTGATAACTACAAATAATAATAATACCATTATGGTAACTGGACAAACACCTGGTTTAGATTTACTTGCTTGTCTTGAATGTGGTAAACATTTTGTATCGGTTGCTAAGCTGAAATCACATGAAAAAACACATTCAAAATCACGGCCATTTAAATGTATTGATTGCAATAAATCATTTACAGGTAATTGATTGATTTTTTTTTTTTTTTTGAAAAGAAAAAAATTTAATAATTTTTTTCCAATTCAAATCACCATCATTAGTTCGATATTCATTGATATGTCATACACGAACACACACACGTGAACGTCCATATCAGGTATGTGTGTTTGTTTTTCGGCATTAAAATTCCGGTTTCAAATTTCATTTTTTTTCACAGTGTTCACAATGTGGATCTCGTTTTACACAGGCATCAAGCCTAAAAACACATCAAATTTATAAACATACGAAAAATTTTCCATATGCATGTAAACAATGTGATCGAGGTTTCATATCACCAGGACAACGACATGAACATGTTGTACGTACACATCTTAAACTTTCAAGTTCCAGTGGTTCTCGATCAACGAAATGTTCTAAATCTAAATCATCATCGAATAAAACATCGAAATCAAAACAACAGCAGCAACAATCTAAATTGATCAATCATACGATAACGAATACGACAATGAATAATAATAATAATAATGGTACAATGACAAATCAGAATAATGGTACAACATTAGTAACGACGGCAACAACAACAGCAACAGTTTCGACGGCTGTAGCGGAAACAATATCAACACCAATAACGACAACAACAATGGTGGAAATAGCCACAGGAAATGATGGTCAAATTGTACAACAAATCAATGATGTTGATGATGATGACGACGACGATGATGATGATGATGATGATGAGGATGTTGTTGAAAATGTACATGGTACAATTGTTACAACAACAACACCGGTTACATCGGCTAATACAGTAACATTAGTAAATGCAACGATTTTACAACCGGATGATGCAAACAATAATGGCCAACATCATCATCAGGTTCATTCATCAACATCCGGTACCACAACAATTGATACTGATCAATTACCACCCGGTTCAACAATAACATTAGCCATACAGACGATTGCTGCACCTGATTCAGATGATTCACTTGGACCATCAATGTCATCGGCTGCATGTCAAACGGCATTATCTTTACCTCCATTACTCTAGTCTTTGATTTTTTATTTCTTGATTCAATAATAATACACCACCCACGAATACGAATCCAATTTACACCGATTAATCACAATATGATGATATCCATACAAAATGACCATAATTAGCCATCAATTTGAAAGACGACAACAATATGCTACTTAATTTTTACCATATACACACACACAAACCCTTATTATTATTCTATCATTATCTCATCATTATTATCTAAGTCATCATCAAATGTTTCAGCGAAAGAAAAAAAAATGAAACATCAAGTATTCCCGCCGCCTGGCCATGATTATCATCATCATAAATTAGACACATTAAATATTCGCTGCATCACAGCCAACAAATTAATTTACTTAACCCTCTCCCCTTTACTTGACGATTTTTTTCATCATTTTCAAACCGCCGATTTTATTCGATTCTTTTTTTGTTTCCAGAATTTTCTCTTGTCAGCAAAAAAAAGTATTTTTCATTCATTGCATTTCATCATCATCATCATCATTCTTCATTCTCTCGATTGACGCAATTTTTATTCATTCATTTATTCTATAGGCAATCAATCAATATTAACCAAAAAAAAAACAACATCATACATACACCACACAAAAATTATATTCCAATTTTTTTTTTGTTTTTTGTTTGTAAATAATCGATTGTGTTTTGTTTATCATCGCCCATCACCACCATCATCGAATTCGAACATTTCCATCATTTGTATTCTGTTTGTTTGTTTGTTTGTTTGTTTGTGTTGTGTTGTAATTTTTCAATTTTATTTTTAATTTTATTTATTTTTTTGTGTAAATTTTTTTTTTATTTATGAATTTTATATCAAAAATTGATTTTTTTGTTCTTTGTTCGTTTGATGCTGATTTTGTTGTTGTTTTTTTTTGTTTCTGATTGAATCGAACATATTTTTTTTCTTTCTACCTACAATGTGTGAATTTTGTTTTCCATTTCATTTCAATTTTTTTTTTGTTTCGTTTTTTTTTCATTATGTGATTGATTGATTGATTGATTTATTGATTCTTATCTTTTTGAATGTAGACAGACAGACAGACAGACACACACACACAAACACTTGGTTACGTGCAACGTATCAAAAATTCATTTCCCTCCCACATCTCATCATCATCATCATGTTCATCATATTTATTTCGATTCTCTTTATATTATATAATAATTAAATGAATGAATTTTCAATCTATCATCTTCAAATATTTCTTTAGGAAAAATCCAATTTAATCCTTTTTTTCGAAAAAAAAATTCATGAATGATTGAAAAATATCATTTATGTATCAGATTTCAATTTAGATTCGTTCATCATTTTCAATCTTAAAATACACACATTTATTTATGATTGAAAGTGAAAGGCAGAACAGAAAAGGAGTGTGTAACCGATTAGTAATAAAAATAAAAAAATAACAAAAAGATTAAAAGTGAAAAAAAACCAATCGACGAAAGAAATGGACATCATCATCAAATCATGGCCTCGAGGTGATCGATTCTTGAAGAACAACCAAAAAACTCATCAAACAACAACAACGACGACGACGAAGACGATAAAGAAAACAAAAAGCGATAGGGTTGAAAGTCCTCTATTCTAATGATGATAATGATGATTTTATGTTTTTTTTTTACTTGTCAGTACAAAATGAAATTCAAATCCGGTGATCAATCAAATCAGGTTTTTCATTTTGAATTTGTTGGACAAATTATTTTTATTATTATCATGATAACCATACAGACATAATGCTAATTATGAACATCGTGCCTCTATAGAATTGCTTTTGATTTGTTTCCATGTTTTTTTTTATGAATTGAAAATTGAATTCATGATGCCTATCTTAATTGAAAAATTGGTGACATAAACAGCAAAAAGCAAACGAAAGCGAACGATATGCGATATTGTTGTGTTTTTGAAGCAAAAAAAATCATAATTGAAATGAACCGAAAATTTTTTTTTCCTTTTTGGAATCATTATTCACCGATTGGGGGGATTTTTTTTTCGTCCTGATCCAATCTGTCACACACACACACACAAACATTTGTATCATTTGTCACATATATCATATTTCGACGAATAAATGATTGACATCGTCATCATCATCAAAAAAAAATCATATCATTCAATGACATAGATCAAATTCGAATGATTAGCACTTTGTTGTTGTCGTTGTTGTTCTATGTATGAATGTATGTAACACACATACACAAAGGACGTTCGATTTTTTGTTTGTATGTTTGTTTGGATATATGATGATTTGTAACAAGGTTAATGTTCCTAATCAACAAATTCAGTCAACATGACGTTGATATGATCTAAGAATGATTGATCCATCAAAAAAAAAAAAAAAAAAATTATAATTTATATTGGTGTGTTTAGCAAAAAAAATACGAATGTTTTCAAATATTGATGATAATGAAATGAAAAAATGAACCATATCGAATGATAATGATGGGCAATTATTATGATGATGATGCACAATAAACATACGTCTTATATGGATTATCCGTTATCGCAAATGTTCGATCAGAATTTTGGTTTCGTTTGTTTGTATTTTTTTTTTTTTTTTACTGCCATCATCATATATGATGAAGCCCTTGAAATATTTTTTTTTTAATTACTCCCAATTCATGATCATTGTAATGAAAATGTAATTACCATCATCATGTGGCATGTGTGTGTGTGTGTGTGTGTGTGTGTGTGTGTGTGTGGACAATAATAATAAAAAAGAAATTTTGAGAAAATGGCTTCGAAATACGGATATCATCACCATCATCAACAACAATAACAATCACAAAAAAAGTATCAAAATTCATGCAAATGAATACAATCATCATCAGATCTAAGATTTATCAAAAAATCATCATCATCATCATCATTGTTTCGTCATTATCAATGAATTTTTGTGTGTGTGTTTTGTATTATAAATTAATCAACAACAACAACAACGACGACGACGATGAAGATTCAGACTTTCTCTCTCATTTTTTTGTACCATACATTCTAATCATAAAATTCAACGATAAAGATTTTATTATTATTATTATTATTAATGGTCAGCTTTGGATATTTTTGAAAAAGAGAAAAATGTTTGTTTGTGGATACCAAAAAAAAAGTCGACTATATAGTACTACTATAGGTAAGAACTAATAAAGATAATGATGGATAGCTGGATGGATGAATGAATTGATTGAATGACAAGAACAAGAACAGAATTTATTTTTTTCTTTCTTTCTTTTCGCTTAAACAGGCTTTTTTTTCTCCATTCGTGGTTAAATTTGTGAAAGAGAAAAAAAAATAGTTGTGAAGAATCCATCCCTTATGGCCATTAATCTTATTGGATATTATTTTCAATTACATGCTCATCATCATCATCATCATCTTCAATCACATCATTCATGGCGTGAAAAAAAATGAGAAACTATATAAAGAAAGATGAAAGTATTTTCAGTTTTGATTGTTGTTAGAATAAAAAAATTCTTGATCACGTTTGTGTATTTGAAATTCAAATGATGATGATGATGTGGACGAGGATTGAATGGACTACCATAATGATGGCCATTATCATATCAATAATGATGATGATGATGATGATCGATGCTGAAGAGATCCGTTTCCGTAAACCAGCAACAAGATTATTACAACGACAACAACGGCAAGGACAGTTGTTACAGATACCTAGGAGTCGTATTATTAAACCACCACAATTATCGTCATCGTGGTCAAATTTGAATAATAGAATCAATAGTAATGTTCATAGATCATCATCATCGTGGAACACAGGTGGTAAACAACAATCAGAAAGACAAATTGCATGGACATCATGGTCACAACCATCATCGACCACTGGATATAATGTTCCGATAAATGTGATTGATACGGGTAATACAAGACATGAAAGTTGGAATCAACCAGCCACATATGATAATAGTCCACCTGGTGCATATCATTGGGGTTATCGATGGATCGATGAATTTGGTAATCAAATGTTTCGTGAAGAAACGGCCGATGGATATGGTACCGTTACCGGACGATATTCATTTCGTGAATATAATGTAAGTTTAAATATTTTTTATTTTATCGATGATTCATTTTGTTCATAATCAATCAATATAGGGTCTCATGCGAATCGTTGAATATATTGCCGATCAAAATGGTTATCGTACACGTATTCGTAGTAATGAACCGGGTATTGTTACATCATATCCGGCTGGTGCAGAAATTATTCGTTTTGAAAATGAAAATGATATTCCAGCTAAATAAATTTTTTTTTAATTGATTGATTGATTGATTGTTTTTTTTTCTCTTGAATATCATGATCAAATACACATAACGAAAATAGATACAAAACAAATCTATGAATCACTAGTATCATAAATACTATGGATGTATTGACAAGCCATATCGGATACCATTGAACGATCCGGTATTTGTTGCGCCATACCATAAATAACACCAGCACCGGATGGTTTTTGATCTGGATCTTTCATACAGATGGCCACTGATTCACGAACATCGCGAATAAAATCATCGGCAACACCATCGATAACATGACGCATAGTTATACAGATATGGAATGCCGATGGAAATTGTAATGAATTTATAATCCAACCTTTTTTCGTTAAAATGTCACTATAATAATCATTTTATCAAAAATGTGTAAGAAACAAATTTCAGCCATAAACAATCTATATATATAATAACTTACGTTAATCGGAAAATATCAAATCGTTTCGAACCCATAGCAATAACAGATAATTTAGGCTCGCCCATAATGTAAATGCCATCAATTTTTTCCAATTCTTTCATCATTTTTCGTTGAACGGTAAGAATTTTTCTCGTTGATTCAACATAACCACTGTAGCCATAATAAAGAAGTGATGCCCAACAAGTTGCAATATTACCGCCACATCTACTGCCGGCAATAGTTGGTGAAACATAAATTCCACCAGGCCAATCTGTTTGCACGGAATATTGATATTGTTGATATTTTTTATCCGAATACATTATCAACGATGAACCTTTCGGTGTAAAACCATATTTATGTGTATCACACGATATACTCGTAACACCTGGAACGGCAAAATCTACTGGTTCAATATCGAATCCAGCATCTTTAACGAACGGAACAAGAAAACCACCAAGACAACAATCAACGTGTAATGGAATGTTATATTTGCGTGCCACTTTGGCCAATGATTGGATATCATCGATAACACCATGTGGATAACCGCATGCTGAACCAACTATCAATATCGTATTACGATTCACGGCTCGTTCCATTGCTTTGACATTAGCTTTACATGTTATTGGATCGACCGGAATTGATCGATATTTAATACAAAAATAGTGACATGCTTTCTGAAATGCAGCATGTGCTGTTTGTGGTGCCACCAGTTCCGGTTTTCGAACACCACGTATATCACGCGCATAATCACGATATGCTTTAATGGCCAATACAATCGATTCAGTACCACCGGATGTTACTGAACCGCAACAATTTTTATCACCATGATATAGATTTATAACCATACGTATAATTTCGGCTTCCATTTTCGTGATACCGGGAAATACTTCTGGATGTAGTGGATTGGTAAATGCAGTTTCTCTATACACCTTGGTAACTAAATCGATTACTTCTTGTGACATACTCGAATAAACTGCACCGGATACACGGCCACCTTGATAATCGATTTTCGATAATTTTTGATATCGTTTAAATTCTTCAAAAATCTTATCCGAATTCATTCCTTTTGTTGGTAAATTAGTTAGAAATTTTTCATTACAATAAATTTCACGACATTTTTCCACTATAGTTTTATCGGCTTTTTTCATTTCTTTATCGACCAAATTACTTATGTAAGGCAAACGTATAAAAAGGCGAAATAAAACGGTTGATATGGCCGACCAAGTGACTAGATATGAAATACGAGAATTTTTTTTTTGTTTTTTATTGCAAATTAATTATAAAATGAACTTACAATCATGATCTTCATAGAATCGATAAAATTTAAATAACATAAAACACGTAGTCAAAGTTGTGAAAAGAATTTGTACCCGGCTATATGATTCTAAATGTGTTTCAGCTTCATATAAAAATTCTTTTACAACGGTATAATTTAACATTGAATCCTAAAAATTGAACGAAAAATTTCATTGTTTGAAAAATGAATTCATTTTAAAAGAGAAAATCTTACCATTTTTTTCCACTGTATTTGATTTACAAACACGATATATCGTGTTCGATTGCTCACTTGTGGGTTATTGCGTGTGTCAGTGTGAAAATTTATATATTGAAACCGAGAAACAAAAAAATGCCAATCAATTGAGTTTTGAGGACATTTTAAAATGGAAATCACAATTTTTTTCCAATATTTAACAAGAACAAAGTACTAGAGACAATTAATCTGTAACTGATAATAACGTCTGTTCTAATCACGTCTGGATCATCATCATTGGTTGTAAAAAAAAAATTTGTCCAAAAAACAAGACACTTGATCAAATTATAAATCCAATGATGATGATGATGATTTATCGATTGACAGAATTACTCATCGATATACCATTTATTTTCCTCATACATAATCATCATCATCATCGTAAATAATAAATTGTTTAATTGATTGGTGACAAAAAAAATTATCAGAAACTATTAACAACAACAACAACAACAAAAAAATTTTATTTACAAAAAAATAAATCCAAACAATTACGTCATTTATGAATGGATGAAAACTAAATTTTTTGTTTTTTGTTTTTTTTTTATTTCGGTCAACAACAACAACAACAACAATAACAACATTGATTGATGATATGATATATTTGCGCCCATTGATGTTGATGTTGAACTGTCACATCATCATCATCATCATCATAATAATTATGTTAGATCATTAGCCACATATTTGACGTTGAATGAATGAATGAACGAATGAATATTAGTATATATGAAATAATCATTTAAATGAATGAAAATTTGGCCAACTTGAAAACCTTGAACACCATCAAACACACACACACACACACTGCTGATCATTAATATATAGTAGTCCATTATCCCAAATCATCATCATCATCATCATTCGTTCAAATCGAATGAATGAAATTGTTATTGTCAACAACAATTGTTTGTTTGTTTGTTTGTTCAAACATATATAATCATCATTATATTCCAACATATTGCTCACCATTTTTTTTGTTTTGTTTTCATCATCATCATAATTCTTCACCACTTGAATAATATTTGGGTTGGCATTTTTTTTTCTTATTGATTGTGTCACTTGTCAAGTATGTGTGTGTGTGTAAGCCAAGAAGCTATTCACCCCTTTGATAATCAGGTTCGAACATTCATCATATAATATTGACCTCCAGCGCATCAAACATCAATCACCCTTCCTTCTAATCATTATTGTCATTATTTCGTCATAAGATTGCAATCATTGTACATCAATTATATTTTTTTTGTTTCTATTGAATGAAAATCTGGCCAGAAAAAAAACTATTTCATAATCATCATTTGATAATATGCCAGCAAACGAAATTTTTTGTATGAATTCGAATCCATTGTTTGTTTGTTGCTTCCAGCTTTTATTGATCCAAATTCATTTAATTTGTGCATTGTGTGTGTGTGTGTGTGTGTGGTGCAATTTCATCTTCAACATCTAATGGTATGATGATTTTTTTCTTGTCTCTTTTTTTTCCATTATGCAATACATGCTTTTCATCCATTTACTTCGTTTTGTTGTTGTTGTTGTTGCCGTTGTAATTGTTTTTTTTTTTTTTTTTGATATTTCGATTGTTTTGTTGATCTCAAAATCATGATCACGATCATTCGAATGATGATGATGATTCGAATCTTAATGATCCTGTGTTTTTTTTTATTCGTTCGATCGTTCATTTGTTGATCATTGATTCGAATTCATCATCATCATCAAATATCAAAAAAAAACGCAGCAACAAAAAAAAATACAACCAAAATAAATAGATAGACAAGATGACTCGATTTTATTTCGATGATGATGATCATCATCATCATTCGATCTGTAAATCATATGACCGCAAAATTTTGTCGAAAGAAGAAAAACAAAACAAACATTTCTGTCTGTGTGTGTGTGTGTGTCTGAATAAATTATTTTCTTGTGTTCGCTTTTCGATGTTCAATTGATTGATTGATTGATTGATTTTAATATCATTCTTCGATCTGATCATCCTGTTTGTTGTTTGTTTTTCATTTTCATTTTCATTTGAAATTTTTTTTTCTCCTTTATAAAAAAAAGTGTAAATTTTTTTTGCGTTTTGAAAATTTTTAAATTTTTTTTTTCTCATTTCTCACAATATAAATGAGAACATTGACAGACGAAAAAAAAGATGTTTGTTGTTGTTGTTGTTGATGAAATGCTCTATATATAGGTCGTGAGTTTTTTTTTCTTGCTTTTTTTTTACCGATTGACATTTGTGGTCGAGTATATATATAATATGATTATGGATTTGTGTGTGTGTGTGTATGTCGTTTTCAGTGTAATGGATATATAGATTTTGAGTAGATAGTATATGTGTGTGTGTGTATAAGTGTATCTGTGTTTGTATACAATTCGTTTTGTTTACAACAAGAATATCGCTTCCTCCTCCCATTTTGTTTTTATTCTTGAATTCTGTTATATGAATTATCATTTTTTTATGAATGAATGAATTCTAGTTTTTTTTTCTTGAATAAAAAAAAATTCTAGTGTTTTTTTTCTGTTTTTTTGTCCAACAGAGTCATTTTTATTATCGCCAATGTTGAAATTTGGAATGATTTATTAGTTTGTTTTGCTCTGCTCTGCTGTGTTTATTCTGTCCAACAATTATCATCATTATCATCATCATCATCATCGACATTGATTAAGAGGATCATCAGATTCAATTATAATCGATAATATGTATTTGATGATCGACCAAACAACAGACGACAAATGTATAATGATTATTGGCAACAACAGCGACAAAAACAATGACAACATATGTCCAATGTGAATAATTTATTGATTGCAAGTCATTTTCATCATCATCATCATCAGCATCATTATTGGAAATAATTCTATTGTGAATCAAATATAGTGAAATCTCAAATGCGAAATATAATGATGGCGTCAATAGCACGTCGAGTTGCTACATCATCGTTATGTGGCCTATCGGCATCATCATCATCATCATCATCATCACCATCAAATACTAATAATAATAATAATAAAGGTTCAGCTAATAAAAGTGGACGAAATAATAATAACCGTGGACATAGACATCATGGTAATAGTAGTAGTCATGGTCATGGCCATGGTCAACCAACAACATCTACTGGTTCATCATCATCTACCGGTGTATCATCTTCAGGTTCATCATCAACAAATACAGCAACAATGATGATGATGATGATGGGAAATTCAAATTCAAATTCAAATTCATCGCCACCACCAACAACATCATCATCATCAACGACAACATCGACATCGAATCGTGCAGAAAAGTAAGTGTTTTTATTTTCTTAACCTAAATTCAAAACGAGAGAATGAAAATTGTGATGCTGCTGCCGCCACCATTGATGATGATGATGATAATGATTTTTGAAGTTTGATGAAAATCCAAAATTCAAACGGATAATAAATAAATGATAATAATTGTTTTTCTTTTCATAAATATCATATTATTTTGTAAACATTTATCAATCATTTACAAATTATTATCATATATATCATTTTTGTTCTCATACACTCACACAAACATTCGATTATGTCAATTTGATGATGATGTTCACTATAGTGATTGTGATTATTATTTCATAGAAAAAAAACCAGGAAATAAGAGCCAAGAAAAAAAAACGAAATTTGAAATTTTCAGTTTTATTCTTTACAGTTAATAATTCTTTGGCAATGATAACTTCTTCCTTGTGAAGAAAAAAAAATTAGTTCATTTCATTTGCAATTGAAGAATCGGTTCATTTGCCTTTTTTTTTATTACTAAATTCTTTGCGGTTTTCTCATCATGTTTGTGAAAAAAGGAATGGCAACCTTTTACTTTGAATGAATGAATGAATGAATGAATGACTAGAATGCAAACAATGCATGCTATGTGATTATGATGATGGTCTCATTTTTTTCTGTTTCGTTTGTTTTCAATTTAAAATTTTTGTTTTCCATTTTTTTTCATTTCATTTTTCTTAGATTTTTTTCAACTTTTGCATGAATCTTTTTTTCCTTTGTTTGTTCACTGAATTTTTTTTTTTTTTCGATTTGATTTGATTGAACTGTTTTCTTTGCACTATATGAAATGAACATTGGCTCATCTACAACAACAACAACAACAACACACTGATTATTGTGGACATGTTTCAACTTTGAACTTTAATGGTTTTTTTTCATCATCACGTGTTTGTGTGTGTGTGTTTTCTGTGAAATAAATTTTTTTACTCATCATTTAAACTTTGTATATGAAAAAATAAAAATTCACCAATTTTCGTTTGATTTGTTTTTTTTCTTGTTCCAACAACAACAACAACAACGACAACAAAAAAATGTTTCCTTTTTTTCTACGAAATTCACATCATGATTATTCGATCCAAAGGTATGTATTTTAATTGATTGATTGAAAATCATTTCATTTCATTTCATTCTTTTTTTTTCAAGGGTCAAATTTGGTATTCCACTTGTAGATGTTTGTAGTGTTCATAATGATTTACCTAGTCTTTTATTGATGATGATATTGAAATTGAATAAAGAAGCTCCACATAAAAAAGATATCTTCCGTGCACCAGGTAATCAGGCAAATATGAGAAAATTGATACAATTTTTACAGGTAAGTTGACCATGATGATCAAAAATTTGAATTGAAATTTTTTTTCTGGTTTTGTTTTCTTTCACATTCTATAGAATGGACGTCTAGTAAATCTGGAACAATTTTCCGTACATACGATAGCATCAGTGTTGAAAAAATTTCTACGTAAACTGCCCAATGGTATTTTTGGCCAACAGAATGAACGATTATTATTCGATGTAATTGGTGCACCAACTGAATCAGAGGAAAAATATTTAGAAATTCAAAGGATAATTTTTTCATTACCAATCGTTACACAACATTTACTTGTATTATTATTCGGCACATTTCGTTTGATTGTCGATTCACGACAATCATCAATGACTAGTGAATCATTAAGCATATCGGTTGCACCAAGTTTTTTTCATTCCTGTATACCGGATGGAAATAAATTTGCCAAACTTGAAGACGTCCAAAGATTCAAGGTACTTCTTATTATCAAAGGTTTAATTGATTCATTTGTTTGTTTGTTTGTTTGTTTGTTTAGATCGCATCATCCATCATGAAATTTATAATTGATAATTTTGGCATCTATAATCTATTTGGCCAAGAAAATTATGGCTATTATTCACGTATGACTGGCAAAATTATCAACGTTGAAGAGAATTGGACATTTACGTTTCGATATCCACCGAAAAATCTAGTGCCTAGTAAGTTTTTCTATTCCATTTGTGTGTTTACGTCTTTTGTGTGTGTGTGGGTGTGTCCAGGAGTTTCAGTAAAAAAAAAAAATTTAAATTCCATTTCCATTTTTTTCTTCTTTCTTTGATAATTTTTTTTTTGCATGACCATTTTCGATACTATAAACTGTCATTGATTATGTGTGTCTGTGTGTGTGTGTGTGCATGCATACAAAAACAAAAAACATCCGTCATATAAAGGCGAAGCATGTAGATCGATCGAAAATCGTTGGCTCAATGATGAATGTCGTAAATGGAATCTGCCTGAATTCCAGATCGATACACAACGAATAGATGAAAATGCTGCTGCTGCTGCACCACTCTTGTTGAAGATGATGTTGATTATAAAGGTTCGCCACATCGTTGTCGATTTTTGAAAACGAAAACTGACCATTGAACAAAAACATTTCCAATTTAAAATTTCCTTTTTTTTTCTTTTCTTTTCTTTTCACTTATTTCTCATTTGTAATTCATGAACAAAATTTATTGAATTTCGTGATTCATTTTTTTTTTTTTTGATTGATTCTTTTCCCATTCAAAATGAATAAAAACACAGCAGAAATGAAACCAATACGTGAATGTACTAGCTCACCAATGATGTGTTCATCAACGAATAATAATATCCATTTACATCAAACTAATCAATCACCAGTTATGATGGATTCATCAAATTATAGTGACAATAATGAACAACAACCAATAAGATCTCAAAGTGTTGAAAATGATCCATTACGGATTACTGGTACGGTGACAATGATGACAATGATCAATGCACATGAACAACATCAGCAGCAACAATTACAACGTCATTCTGATCATTGTGAACAGCCAATGGACAATCTTAAAAATGTTAATCAATATGCTGAAAGTACAAAATCATTAACATTTTTACCAATAGTTCATGAACGGCAAACACAACGTATGAAAACACGTTCTGAATGGTTTCTTAAATCTAGTAAGATGATTTTATTTTCTTTTTTGAATTGAAATTTTTCTAAAAAAATCTATTTCCACACATTAGGAGGTGAAAATTGTCAATCAAATCATTCGAATGTTGCGAATATTCGATCTCAGAATCCATCATCATCATCATCATCATCATCAAATGCAACAACAACGAAAGGTTTGATCAAAAAATCATCATCGAAAGAGAAACGTGAAAAAGTATTATTACGACGAACATCATCGAAAAAATCGGAAAAACCTTGCTGTAATAATAATAATAATAATAATAATAACAACAATGTACAGAATGAATCAAATGCTGCCGTTAATAATTCTCAAAAATCAACGAAAAAAATTAACGATTCTGATTGTACTGAACGTTCCATACGACAAACAACGATGAAATATACGTATAAACCGGCCAAAACAACAACAACAACGACGACAACGATAACAAAAACCTAGCTAGTTTCTTATTATATCCATCGCAACAACAAAAAAAAAGATAGTCCACAAAAGTGTTCGAAAACAAAAAATTTTTTTTCCATCATCATCATCATCATCATCATCATCATCATCACCATTATCATTTATGTAGATTTTATATTCATCAATTCCATGATTGAAAAAACCACCGCTGAATTTTCATTTTCATCATCATCATCATCATTAATCTATTGTATATCAAGAACCAAAATTCTTATTGATTTTTTTTAAATACTATTTAGTATACTACAGACTGATTGATTCATATAATCTATTTATGTGGTCATTATCGTTATTACGACAGAAAGAAAACATACATACATACATACATACATACATGATGATTTTGTTTTCATTTGTTTTTTTTCTACTTTTAATTTTTTCTGTTTTGCATTTCCGTATACACACATACACACAATTATAATTGGAAAGTTTGAACAAACGTAAAGAGCAATATAATTTAATAATTTTTCACTTTTTTTTCAAAAAAAATTCTCTCTCGCCCTCTCATCAACAATGGGTCATCATCATCAACATCATCATCGTCATTATCGATTATGTCATTGAATGTGATTGATTTGATTTTTTTTAAATGATAATTGTAACATTCCATAGTTAAATATGTGTTAAATTGAATGAAATTATGGCCCTTTGTTGATTTTTTTTCTTCTTTTGTTCTTGACTAAATGATAATTATTTGATCTGTAAACGCGCGCGTGTCAACATTCAATTCATTATTTGTTGTTTAATCAATAAATCTAAATTGTGAATGAATTGAATCAACGAATGAATGATTGGATGGATGGATGGAATAAAATAATAGTGTGAATGAAATTGAAAGTCTATAATTTATTGATATTGAATTGAAATTTTCTGTTTTTTTTTTGGTGAAAGGTGAAAATTATCGATCAAATTAATGATTAATGGTTTGACTATTGATTATTGATTATTGATTTGATTCAATTTTTTATTTATGGTTCGAATGATGAACTAATTCAAAAAAATCATTGGTGACGCTTGAATGGTCATTCATAATCATCATCATCATCATCAGCCACTTTCTCTTTCAACCAGTTAGGTTAATTATTTGATTTGATTTTTACTCACATCAATCATCAACTGGTTATATTACCGAAAGCTTTCTTTCTCTCTCTCGATGTTTCAAAAACAAAAAAAAAATTTATTCATACCATAAAAAAGAGTAAAGTATAAAAATCTAATGACAACATAACGGTGTGTTCATTTGAAATTTTTTTTTATTTGTTTGTTTGTTTGTTTTTGGCTTTTCTTTTCACCTTTAACCTTTTGAAATATATTATTGTTTTGTGTTTTTTCTCTGTGTTTAAATAAGAAAAAAAAATTTCAACAATTTCATATCATATCATATATATCAAATATAATAATGTTACGATTATATCGAACATTATTGATCATATGGACAATCATAATGATCAACATACAATCAATGATTGTATGGTCAATGGGTGAAGAGAAATTTCTAAAAGGTCTCATTATTGGCCTATTGTTTGCACAGAATAAACGCCAGGATTCATCATATTCATCATCATATCATATGCCCGTATATTCATCGTAAGTTGCTGTTGTTGATGAAAACAAAAACAAATAAACAAAAAAATTCCAATTCCAATGGAATCAAAAAAAAAAAAAAATTGAAATTGAAATTCAAATTCTTTATATATAATCATTATAGTCCATATCATTATAGATATCATTATCGTTAAAAAAAAAATATATCCCGGATGGCTGGATTTCCTTTTTTTCCTTAAAATTGACTGGTTTCATTTTTATAAAACAAAAATGGAAAAACTTTTGCCACCACCACCATCATCACCAAGATAAATTCAATAATCAAGCGTACACACACACATCCACAGATTGCAGTATTCATGACATCATTTGGCATCAAAACCAAAGAAGAGAAAACAAAAATCATTATCAATTATCATGATGATTGAATTGAAATTACAGAAACAATGAAATAAACAACAACAACAACAACAACAACAACAACGACGACGACAAACGAAAAAATTTTCCATTTTAATAAAATAAATACATTTGAGATTTGATTTGATTTGATTTGATTTTAATCAATACAATTTTTTTTGTGAATAAAAATTAACGTGTGTGTGTGTGTGTGTGTGTGTGGGAAAGAAATTTCGTGAGAGGCAGCATCCAAAAGTAAAAAGATTAGATTTTTTTTAGTTGATTAGAGGAAATGTGATTAGCGAAAATTTTACAATTTAAACGGGCGATGAAAAAAAAAGATTGTGCGTGTTCTCGTTTGATTTGTCGATCTGTTTGTTTGTTTTTATTTTTTTTTTTTTGGCTTCCAATATTCACTATCATGTAGAGTACATGGTGATAATGATGATGATTAAAATGGTACCTCCTGGAATAATGATCCAATACTTTCACAATTATGTATACGACGTATAGCTTCGGCAATAAAATGTGATATCTATTCGATTGATTCGATTAAAATTGATTGATTCGATTTGAAATAATGAAAAATTTATCACCCCCTCCATCCGAAAAAAAAGTGAAAAAGATAGATATAGATAGATAGAGAGAAAGAAAAAAAAGAAACGAAAAAGAAAACAGTGAAAAAAAATCATTTTTTTTTTTTTTTTTTGGTTAGTAATCATTAAATCAACAAATATCTATTATTGAAATCGAAAATGGGAATGCAAGCCACACACACACAGATTTGATTTCCAAAAGTACACATATTGATCAATCAAAATGTGAACAACGAAAAAAAAACATCCAATCTCCTCATCATGACATCATTATCATCAAAACATTCCAATATAATCTATGCAGATACAGAAAGGGCCTAAAATTTTTTTTTTTTTTTGGTTTTTTTTGCAAAAAATTCATTGATTTTTATTGCTAAGCCATCGACTTTGATGTGTATGTGTGTCATGTGTTTTGTGTGGTGTTTTCACAGAGATTTGTAAAGGAATTCGTCAGAAAAAAAATCATCACATTTTAAAAAATGAATTAAAATCAAGTTTTGTTTTGTTTGTTTTGTTTCTTTATTCATTTGTTTGGTGATAACAAAAAAAAAAAAAAAATATTCTATGCATGTATGTGTATGGTGTGTGTAGTATGTGGAATGAATTTATTCAATTGATGGACAAAATTTTTTGTTTTTTCATTTATATATAAAAAAATAAATATAAAATATAATCCAGAAGGAAAAAAAATTTTGGATCAAAAAAAAATAAAATAAAATAAAATTTGGAACAGAATCCAAAATAAAATGTTGGAAATAACACAAAAAAAAGAAGAGGGGCAATAATAAGCAAACCAAATAGGGATTGTTTTTGTTGAATCACATTCATTGAATGTATTGGAAAAAAAAATTCACAGACACATAGAAACACACACACACACACACACGATCGATTGTTAATTATTAATATGGATAAATATATGGCCCAATAAAAAAATTGATTGATTCAATTTGATTTGACGGATCGAACATTACATTGGAACGTGCAAAAATAGATATGAAACGCTTTCACCATTATGTGTACGTCGTATGGCTTCGGCCAAAATCATACTTACATCAATGCACTAAACACACACACAGAGAGAGAGAGAAAAAAGATTAGAAACACGTAATATCAATGAATTTAGTATATAATAATTTACTTGAATCTTGGAACAATCTCGCATATTCTTTTCCTGTGGAATTGTATTAGTAACAACCAATGCTTCTAATGGTGTCGATTCAATACGTTGTATGGCTGGACCACTAAATATTCCATGTGTTAATATGGCATAAACTTTTGATGCACCGGCTTCTTTCAATTTTTCGGCTGCATGACAAATAGTACCACATGTATCGGCCATATCGTCAACAAGAATGGCCGTTCTTTGCATAACATCACCAACCAATACCATCGATGCAACTTCATTGGCACGTTTACGTTCCTTATGGATCAATGCAAAATCTACATTCAAACGATCAGCTATTGATGTTACACGTTTAGCTCCACCAGCATCGGGTGACACTTTGTTTTTTTTTGAATTAGAAAATAAAATTCATTCATCTATTTAAAAAAAAATTCAAATTTATATTTTACCTATAACACAGGATTTCCATTCAGGAATATTTTCCTTAATCCATTTGAGTACAGCAGGTTCAGCATACAGATTATCGACTGGTATATCGAAAAAGCCTTGAATTTGTGATGCATGTAAATCCATAGTGATGATATGATCGGCACCAGCAACCGAAAGCATATTTGCCACCAATTTTGCACTGATTGGTGCTCGAGACTAGATACAGTAAAAAACATTGTTTTTTAAACATTTGGACTTGGTAATTGGAATTTTTTTTCTCACCTTGTCTTTTTTATCCTGTCGTGCATATGGAAAACATGGTATAACGGCTGTAACACGTGAAGCTGAAGCTATTTTACAGGCATTAATCATGATCAATAATTCCATTAGATTATCGTTCACTTCACCACAGCCCGATTGAATTATGTACACATCTTCACCACGAACAGATTCACCAATTTCAACACTAAATATATTGAATGAAATGAATTTTTTTTAAAAAAATTTCAAATATCATCAATCAATCCATTACCATGTCTCTTGATTACTGAATTTTTTCAGTACAGCTTTTCCCAAATCGATACCCAAACGATCGACAGTTTTTTTGGCCAAATCTTGATGAGATGATCCACTAAAAACTTTAATGTTTGGCATTCTTACGGTATTTTGTTTCTTATTATTATCTGGATTAGATGATTGATTTTCTTGCTTATCAGATGACCGTTTGTTGTTGTCGAAGTCGTCGTCAATCGAACAAACGGCTGAAAGCTTTTGTTTAATAATATTTGGTATGATTGGACGAATTTCCTAACCCAAATTGTTGGGAGGAAAAACCAAAAAAATGAACAAAACACACACACACACACACGCTGCTACACAACACAGAACCACAATCAACACTAACTAAACTCAAATCACATAAAGACAAGGTCAATCATGAGAAATATTATCATTGAAGTTCTATATATCATTGGAATGGATGTGATAAAACACGATACAAATGATTAGGATTTTTTTTCACGATGAAATTACCAATAGATAATGATCATTATCATCATTCGATCAAATGTTCTTTGGTCGATGTGAATTATGCTAAAAGCTTCGACATTTTTCATTTCGTTTCTCTGGTTTATTTTCATTAGTTGCTGTGGTTATATGATCACCATTGTCAGCCATTTGTCGAAACAACGGCGACGCGAATTTTTTTTTTTGTCTAATGATGGTGGTAACATGGAAAAAAATTAATTTTTTATGATACAGCAATACACACACAGAGGTAGACAAAATGTGTAAAAAAAATACACACGCATGTATGATTGGTAAACCACATGGTTGTGTGGACATTATATATATCAAATGCGTGCACACTTTACAATTTTTTAACGTGTTCGTCAAAGCAATTAATGAATAAAGTTCAAATGCGTGTAGGCGTGTCAACTGTTTGACGTGCATTCATTGTTTTTGACGTGAATGTTGTGTATTATTCTCAGATGTTCGAAATTTTTTTCATCGAAATAAAAAAAAATGAATTTTGGTTTAAATTTTCTTAAAAATTTGATTACAAACCCCGCGAATCATCAATTGATTACATCAACATTATGTAATAATAATAATCAGATTGCTAGTCCATTACGTACCATTGTACGTTTCTATGAACGTCGAAGATTTATACGACGATATGGTTATCGACCACATTATCATTCGAAAGGTATTTTTCATCTGTTTTATTTTAAATTCATTTAATAATAATCATGAAACAATTGACAGGTTTATTACCTCGAATTCCTGGTGAACCATTTCCTATAAGTGTAATTCCGAATGAGAAAAAGCCAGATCCGTGGCGACGAGATGCAGCACTATTTGGTCAAAATGATTATATCGATATACTTGGCGATGGAAAAATCAATCCAACCGATACAATGTCTTCGATACCAAGTTGGTTACGTCGATTTCGTGGCAATGAAATGCAAATGTTAATTCGTCGTCGTAAAGCTAAAGCTCATTGGCAATGGTTTAGACCACAAAAATGGATCGATCTAAACAAACGTATCGATTTTCTTTACAAACGGCTCAATTATAAAAGACAACCACGTCCACCAGAATATTAATTGATGATAATTTTTTTATTTGAATTATTAATCATTGAAAAAATTTGAATATTTTGTAATCGAAAAAGAGAAAAATTAAATATTTCTTATTATTATTGTTTAGCATATGCGGCTACTACACGTGCCACATTATCAAATTCAATCTTTTCCTTGATGTTTTTCGATTTGATCAATTCCTCTTGATTCGAAATGAACACGTATTCCGGTTCTTTTTCCTCCCAATCATTCACTTTGATCCAATACTTAAGTTGTGTTTCATCAAGACCACCCAATATTTTGCCAAGTAAATCTTTTCTCATTGTTTGATAGGTAATTTTCACTACATAACAAATAAATTTTCGAATCGAATCCTCAAAACCGGTAATGTTCAGATAAACAGCTGGTACGGTACGTAAAACTTTCCAGAATTCTTCAAAATTACATGTCTCCAATGATTGATGTAAAGTGAGAACATGTTTCAATTCATCATCCGGTTCTGGTTCATCTTCCAACAAACTTGGATGAATCAAACTTTTGCATAGAATAAAATCCGTATTTGGCAATGCAGTCAATGCTTTAAGCAAAATTTTAATGATAACTTTTTTGACAACATCTTTATCCAGTTCTTCTTCACTAAAATCAGTGTTCATTCGAAATTGATACAAACGAAGTATGGTTAAATTGGCTTCCAAATCATAATGATTATCGGCACATTGTTCATCCAGATATTGAAGCAATATGGTCAAATTATTCGGATTATAAAGTTCAATACCTTTGAGCATATCGCGAATTTTATCTTTTTTCGATTCACCAACCATTTTTCAATCGTTTTTTTTTCGTTGATGGCAAAAAATAAAATTTTATATATTGACAACCAATACAAAGAATTTACAATAGGAAAAAAAAACTCAGCCACGTTTTTCGGTTATTTTGTTATTATAAACCACATAGAGTCGTTATAGCCGAACCGATTGATGCTCGATTATTCTTTGCTAGTATTTTTATTCATTGTTATTGGTTATATTGTCGCATCATTGATTCATTTGTTTATTTTTGTTTTTGAAAAATTTTCGATCCATAAAATTCTAAAGAATTGGATTAATCATTTTATAACGAAAACATCAATAATATATATCAATCAATAATATATAAAAAGAAAAATGGGCCGAAAAAAGAAGAAACCTTCAAAACCATGGTGTTGGTAAGTGTGAACACATTTTTTATTTTTATTCAAAGTTCCAGTTTCATCATTCTAATGATTGTTTTCAGGTATTGTAATCGTGAATTTGATGATGAAAAAATTCTGATTCAACATCAAAAAGCCAAACATTTTAAATGTCATACTTGTCATAAGAAATTATATACCGGGCCCGGTTTGGCTATTCATTGTATGCAAGTACATAAAGAAACAATCGATAAAATTCCAAATGCATTACCTAATCGTAATAATGTTGATATCGAAATTTATGGTATGGAAGGCATACCTGAAGCTGATCTTCGTCAACATGAAAAATCCAAAGGAAATGGAGAATATGTATCGTCAACGGATTCTGTTCCGCCTAAACCTTCGATAATACCGAAAGTACCGATACTTTCAGCACCAGTGACAGCCGGAACTGCTGTACTTCCGATGCCGATGCCAACAGCTGGTGCTTCTGGTGTACCTTATCTACCCCCCGGTATGGTACCACCGGGTGTAATGCCATACGCTGCTTCGGGTCATCCTCATCCACGATTTCCTCATCTAATGCATCCGGTTGGCATGCCACCTGGGCCTCATCATCATCCACCATTACCACCAGGATTTCCTATTGGAGCTCATCCACCACCACCACCACCGGGAATTCCTCATCATCCGTTGATGCAAAATCCAACTCAACCACCACCATCAATGCCATCAACTACAGTTGCTTTAGCGGTTTTGCCTCAACCACCACCACTACCAACACAGCCAACTACATCGGCGGCTGAAATACCGAAGCCTTTGTTTCCATCTGTTTTGGTCACACAATCACAACTTACGGCACCACCATTAGCAACTTCAACGTCAACTACTGCTACAGGTACTACTTCGACATCTACAACGGTGGTCAATAAAATAGTCACAACAACAGCCACAAGTCGGATTATACATCCTGAAGAAGATCTTTCATTAGAAGAATTACGGGCCAAAATACCTCGTTATCGACATTTAAATCTGGAACAATATTTCCATTCACAATCAACATCATTATCAACTTCGTCATCCACATCGACTTCAACAACGACATCACAACCAATACCTATACAAACACAGCCTTCATATCCGCAAACTTCAATAGCTCCTCCTCAGATACACCCATCCATAAATGTTCAATCTATTCCCGCAAATCCGTCAATGTTATATCCACCACCACCACCAATACCAACATCATTGGCTGGTGGTCTTCCTTCTCAACCTGTTCTACCACCACCGCCGCCACCACCAATTCGTTATCAAATGCCGGTTCCACCACCACCACCTCTTCCAATGGTACCAACATCACAATATTTACCGCCACCCCCACCATTACCAGCACCAACATCACAAAATTTTCATCGAACAGCATATTGACAAGATAAAAAAAACCTACGGAGGTGGATGACTTCAGATCTCAATCTGATTGATTTAGATGGATGTTATTTGTCATCGTTTTTAATTTTGAAAAAAAATTTCGATTTTTTTTTATACATTTCACATTAATGATAATTATTCATATATGTCCCAAGAAATTTGATTTCTAAGTTTATATAATATTAGCGTGAAATAAATTTTTTTTTAATAAAATCATTTATATTTCAAATGGTAATAAATCAAATCAAATTCACTTTCTAGCCACATCATAATTGGTGATGAACCAACGAACCGTATCACGTATACCATCAGACATTGATGTGAAACAAAATCCAGGTAAATATCGTCTCAATTTCGAATTACTAGCCGTTTTTTTAAATTGTCCATCACTATAATTAGTATCGAATTGAATTTCCATTCTGATGTCCGGATATGATCTATTGAATGTATCGGCAACCATTTTGGCTGCATCACCAATACTAATTTCATCATTTTCATCAACACTCAAAATAATTGGTTCAATTTCATTGTAATTTTCCAATGTCCATAGAATCAATTTAGCCAAATCTAGTGAATAGATAAATTGACGTCGTGGTCGACCACTACCGAATACCAATAATTTTGCTGTATTTGAATCTGTAATAAATTGGATAAAATATAATTTTTTTTCTCAATTTTAATTGAATAAAAATTACTTTTCAATTTAGCATCTTGTACGGCATTGTAAGCTTTGTAAATTAATCCCGGTATAACATGTGAATCTTCAAGATTGAAATTATCATACGGTCCATAAACATTTGTTGGTATGATTGATGTAAAAATTGGCAAATTATCCGAACCACCATAATCGCTGGAATTATTTTTAAAATGATCCGAATATGCATGATTCAATATATCAATCATTCGTTTTGCATATGAATAACCAAAATTTGAATGATGTGGTGGTCCTAAATGTACCATTGTTTCATCAATCGGATATGTTGTTTTATCCGGGAATATACAAGTGGATAGACAGGAAACACATTTTCGTACACGAAATTCTTTGGCCAACAATAGTACATTATCATTAATGGCCAAATTAGTTCGAAGAAATTCCAGATTATATTTTAGATTTCGGAAAAGACCACCAACCATTGCTGCCAGATGTATAACATAATTGGGTCGATATTTTTCAAATATTTGCCGTGCTTCATCCACATTGGAAAGATCACCATCTTTAGTGCTTACAAATATGAATTGATATTTTGATGAATATTCAGCTTTCGATTCTTGTTCAACTATAGTACGGATTGCTTGGCCAACAAGACCGGAACCACCGGTAACAAGAACAATTTGTTCGTTTGCCATTTGTCCACTTGCCATCAGGTACTGCTGTATCTCAAACACTTTGCTGATTGATAATGATGAATTTTGATGATGGAATTTGATTGAAAAAATGAACTGAAACGAAACGAAAAAAAAATTATCCTTGAAAAAGTATAAATTTGGATGAACAACAAAAAAATTGCAATCAACGATAAATCATGATAAACAACAAGAAACCGGTTTTTTTTCGTTTCGTTGCCATGATTTATGGATTGATTTTTTTTTCTTATCACTTAGAAAAACTTACTATTTATAATAATAATAATTTGGTTTATTATTTGAACAAGATTACAAGAGTTTGACCCTTACTGGTACTGTTTTAAAATGTTCATTGATTGATTGATAGCAACAATGGTAGATTGAATGAAAATCTGATTATTTTCGATTGAACGATGATTTTTTTTTCTCATCAATATTGATTTTGAAAACCACATGTAGATGTATAAGAATCCGTTATATACGAATGGATTTACGCATAGCAAAATATTCACATGTGATCATCAAATCACGATTTATGAATTTTATTTTTATTTTTTTTTGTTCGAATTTAAAATCCAAAATGAATAATCGTCTACAATTATTATTGTCATTATCTCGATTTTGTCGAATGACAACCACACAACAGGTCATACAAAGACGTAAATTTGCCACAACAAATTCTGATGTTAATCATTCTGTACGTGATTTAAGTTCGGCATTTTTTCGAACTGATACTTCTAATCCAGCCGAACATAATGATCTTCATCATGGCCTTTTCTATCGGATTCCAAACGATATTGCAAATCGATTATTTTTGCTCGGTGGTTTCGATAAATGTCAACAAGAAACGATAAAAATATTTCAGGAAACGGCCATCATGATTCGAAAACCAGCATTAGAAGTGATTGATTATCTTCGACGAACCGATTTCAATAGACCGCCAAATTCTTATGTTCTTTGTGAGTAAAAATTAGCAACGTTAGTTAGTTGAATTATAGATTTCTGAATTTTTTTCCTACCTTTTCAGATGGACCAATCGGTTCAGGTAAAACATTTACATTGAATCACATACTTCATTATGGTTTTACGCAAAAATTCATCTTACTGAATTGTACACGACCAACCGATTGGATTAATTATCCACAAGAACAAACGGTATCGGCAACCAATTCGAAACGAATCGATACACCACTTGATGCTGCTATTTGGCTACAAAGTTTTAAAGCACAGAATATGTCATTGTTGGATGAATTGAAATTAACATCATTAAATCGATATACATGGAGTCAACGTGAACATACTGAACCAGGTGATCCGATTCAATCGATTATCGATCATGGTATTAATCGAATCAAACATGCAAGTGATTGTATGGCCGTTTTGCTTAAAGAATTAAAATTAAATTCAGCTCAAGGTAATTGCCGCTTATTGATCGTTGCGGACAAAGTGAATGCCTTTTATGAATTATCAAGACTTCGATTTCCCGATAGAACATTTGTCAACGTTGATGATATTACAATAGCACGTGCATTTAAAAAATTATTTCGTAAAGATTGGCAGAATGGTGCTATAGTGGCGGCTGTTTGTAAAAAATTAGTCGTTCCATATCGATTGTTGCCGATTTCTGGTATACCGAAAAAAGAAAAAGATCGTGATCGTACATACAAACAATGGGGTCCATTCACTGTTAAACATCTTAGTGATTATCCAAAAGCCTTATTAACCGATCAAGGATTTCAAGATTTCGATCCATTCATACCAATTGAATGTGGTAAATATGATGAAAAAGAATTTCATAGCTGTATGGATTATTATCAAGATCGTAAATGGCTTCAACGAATTGAAAGTAAAACTGATGAAGGTCAAGATGAAATACGATTCTTATCAGGCATGAATCCTGGTCAAGTTTTTCATCTTTGTAGTGATATTTAAAGAATATAGTGGAAAATTTAAATTCTTTATTTGTAAATATTTCTTTTTCTTTTTAAAAATAATATAAAACAATTAACAATTTTGATTTTAGTATTTAATTTTTCCTAAAGCATTAGCTAAATCTTGATGAATAATTTCCTGTACTAATTCATAAATAGATAATTTAGGATCATTACGTAAACGTTGTTCATAATTTTCATTATCTAATGTACGATTCAATAGGCTAAATAATTCATTAATTAATGATATTCGTAATAGGCCTATTTTTTGTTCATTTCGTCGCTGTTCTTTAGCTTGTAAATTTCCATTCACTTTTGTATCGATTTCTTTCCATGTATCTTCGATACCATGATTAGTTTTGGCTGACACACACAATACCGATGGACGTTCTTGGTAATTGATGAATTTGGTTGCTGAACGAATTTCACCACGCATCCGTCTTGCCGGTATGATTAGATCACCATCATGTTTGGTCACTAGGATAATGTTGGCCATTTCGACTATTCCTTTTTTTATGCCTTGCAATTCATCACCGGATGCCGGTGCAACCAACAAAACAAATATATCACAAAGATGATGAACTTCATATTCGGATTGACCGACACCAACTGTTTCGATTAGAATGACATCATAACCGGCTGTTTCACACAGTAATATTGTTTCACCGGTGGATTGTGTAACACCACCCAAATGAAGTCTTGATGGTGATGGTCGAATGAATGCATTCTGATGTGCAGTCAATCGTGGCATACGAGTTTTATCAGCCAAAATTGATCCACCACGAATTGCCGATGAAGGATCAACAGCCAATACGGCTATTCGTTTGTCCAATTGATCGGCTAAAAACATTCCAAATGATTCGATAAATGTTGATTTGCCTACACCAGGTGAACCGGATATTCCAATTCGTATGGTTGGTTTTTTCTGCTCATAATTTGCATTATTTAATGCACGAATAAATTCCAAACGATTCTGTAGAAATTGACGATTAGTCGATGTTGATTCAAGTAATGTTATAGCTTGTGCCAATGCTGTACGATTTCCTTGAAGGACATTTTTAAGTAAATCAATGGCAAGTTTCATTTGAATGATGATTGAATGTTATCGAGCAAAAAATAAAATAAAATACAAACTAATCAATCATTGACGTTTTGGACCAATTGATAAATCAAGACAAAGGGTAAAATTCAAAAAAAACCACCAATAGATTTATTATTTATATAAATAAGACATAATTTCATTTCAAAGAGAATGAATGTTCATTAGCGAAAAAAAAATAAAGATAAGATAAAGTGAATCAGGTTTTTTTCCAATAAAAAAAAATATTGATGCTCAATATATTGATGAACATCATCATTATCGAGCATATAAATGACGATGATGATGATGATGTCCACGATCCAATGGTAAATGGATATATGAATAAGAAAAATTTTTTACATTCGTATATCGAAATGAATGATTTAATCGTCCTTCACCATCGATATTATGTGATGATAGTATAGTATATTATACTATTGGCCATACATTTCATCGATTATTTTTATATTTTTGTTGTTGAAAACATTGTTTTTGAGAACAGATAGAAAGAGTGACATTTCTTTCTTTAATATCTGTCTTTTTTTTTTTCCCATCATCATCCATTTATTTGGGATATAATGATGATGATGATGATGATGATGATGGCTAAACAATTGTTTCACTCAAATCATCATTAATTATATTGATCTATAGAGAAAAAATTCGACGTAAAAATAAAACAGTGAAAACAGTATTTGTCTTTCACCAAGTTGACAAAATTTTTTTTTCAACGATTCATTACGAATTTTTTTGTTTTATTGTTGTACAATAATAATTTATGCAATTTAGGATTCATTGATCGATTGATTGATTCGATCGATCGTTTGTTTGTTTGAATTGATCATGACTGAACATTTGTAATGTGTGTATCGATTATCGAACTCTGAAATCACACGATTGGCAAAAGAAAATAAAACAAAACAAGTGAATCTCATTATTCAACGTTAAATCAATTTCTCTTTATTCAATAAGAAAAAAAATGGAAAATCAAAATGATGATGATGGTTTTGCCATTATTGAAAATGCAAAAGATGCATTAAAAGAACATCATCATGAACAACGACAATCATCTGAATCGATAAAATCGAATAATCTACAACAACCACAACAACAACAACAACAACATAGAACTATCGATGAAAGAATTGTAAACAATTATTATCTGTAAGTTTTGTTTATCTAAAGATTTTGTATTGATAATTGAATCTGATTTACATTTCAGTGAAGAATACATGTCACTGGAAAATGTTAAAGCATTGAAACAAAATGCCCTAAAATGTGGTTTACGAAGTTATCGATTTCGTTCAATTGCTTGGAGTGTAAGTTTTCTTTTTTTTTTTTTTTACGATGATGATGATGATGATGATTATGAATGATTTAGATATTTCTTGAAAGTTTACCAGAAAAATCCGAAGAACGTATCCAACATATTCGTTCAATGCGTTCAAAATATCAAGAATTACAAAATAAATATCGTCATGATCCACGAAAATTTCAAACAGATGAAAAAACCGATGATAATCCATTGTCGCAAGATGAAACGGTAGGTTTATTGAAAAATTTTCAATTCTTTATTTATGCATCATCATCATTATCATTGAGCAGAGCCATTGGAATCAATATTTCTCCGACGATGAACTGCAATCACGAATAAAGAAGGATGTTGTCCGTGCGTTTCCGGATATAAATTTTTTTCAAGGAGAAAAAATTCAACGTATCATGGTCGATATATTGTTCAATTATGCCAGAGAAAATTCACATATCGAATATAAACAAGGAATGCATGAAATATTGGCACCAATTATTTTTGTCATCCATTCAGATCATCAATCATTTTTGTTTGCTCAAGAAAATGGTCTCGATGAGTAAGTTTTCATTATTTTTTTTCAACGTTCAAATTCAATTTACTAAGTAATCTTGTTTCTTTTCTAATTCCTTGTAACAGAGAAGAAATCAAAGAATTAATGGATTCTAAATATTTGGAACATGATTCTTATTTTTTATTTGCTTATATAATGGAACGTATCGAATCCTGGTATGATAATAATTCGATAAAAACAATTCGTAAAAATGAATACGTCAATATGGAACCATTCTCGAATGATGTTGATTTTAATTGTTATTCAAAAATTGGTATCAAATTGAAAATGATTACCGAACAAATTTTACGGCGACATGATGAAAAATTATTTACACATCTGAAAGAATTGAAAATTGCTCCACAAATCTATGGTATACGTTGGATGCGTCTGTTGTTTATACGTGAATTTCAAATGCAAGATCTTCTAGTGCTTTGGGATGCAATATTTGCTCATGATTTTTCACTTTGTGATTATATTTTCACTGCAATGTTAACCGTTATACGTAGCCTATTGTTACCATGTGATTATGCTGAATGTCTTAATCATTTGATGCGTTATCCATCCGTTTGTGATGTACATTATGTCATTCATTTAGCATTACATTATCGTGATCCAATAAATTATCCTGAACCGATTGAACATTCAACACTGGTACTGCCGAATCCAAATGCAATCAAAGTACAAATGGCAAATCGATTACCACCATCATCATCAATGAATGGTAATGGAAAATCTATACAATCTTATCAGACAATGACAAATAGTTCTTCTAATTATGAACAATCCAAACATTCCAAATCGAATGAATTACGTAATGTTTCATTCGAATGGATCGAAGATAAATTGGTCAAATTACAAGGCTATGATGGAAATAATCATCGACCATCAGTTGATTGTTGTCAAGAATTATCACAAGAAATTCAAAAACTTAAATATAAAACTGATTTCTGTGCTCGATACATGACCAAACATTTGGAGATAATACAAAAATTTGTCAATCAATGTTCAACAACACATAATAATCAACAATCAAATTCAAATAGTAATCAACAGCTGAATTCGGATCAGAATCCAACGGAACATGATTTTGAATCTAGTATGGATAATGTTTTGATTTCAATAGCTGAATTGAAGAAAATTCGTGACATTTTACGTGGAACGATAGCTCTATGAATGAATTTATTTTTATTTTTTTTTTTTGAACATTAAAAAATCTGCATGAATGGCATCCATTTTTGTTTCTATTTCGTTATCTATGATTTTTACTATTACTATTATTTCTGTTATCTTCACCCATTTTTGCAAACAAAAACAGACATTGATTATTTTTTTTTCTCCTTACAAAAATACAAATGACTGTGAGATTTAATTTTGATTTTCATTCATTTTTTAAATAATAAATAAATAAAAAAAAATTATTTTTTGAAGAAAAAAAATAATACCAACATGTCATATATGAATGGATGTGCTATGAAAATTTGTCCTCGAAAATTTTTTTTAGTAAACATTCATACTGCGTTCATTCTATATAGTGATTATAATGAAAATCATGATTATTTTTTGATCAAATCTTTAAATCTTTAAATTCCGTGAAATAAACATGTTGTTACCGCAATTGATTCGTTCGATACCGCGACAACATTCATCAAAAGTGATGATAATATTACAGCAACAAAATTTGATAAATACTCAAAATTCAATGATGATGGTTTCAACGAGATTTGTGATAACTCGAAATTTGAGGTACCCAAAAAAAAAAATTGTCATTACTTGCATTGATCATTGCCTTGTCCTTTTTTATATATATAGTTCCCAGAATAATCTGACACCAATAATCCAAAAAAATTCATCTGGTCATTCATCATCATCCAACAAATCATTGACAAAAAATCCAATAAAATCTATAACAGAAAATGTTGGCCAATCAATCACATCGGCAAATATGGGCATCAAACAACGATATCGAACATTCAAACGTAAAGTTCGTATTTTTACAATTACATTCGTCATTACATTTTTGATTGTTTATGGCATTATTGATCATTCAATTCGAACTGTTATATATGAATTTTTAAAGGAACAAAATTTAAGTTCCTATATAACTCCAATGATTACCACCACCATAATGACAACGAATAGTGAAAATGGAAAAAAATCTGAACAATAAATCAATTATATATTGAAATGAATAAAAAAAATTTCAAGAAAAGAAAATTTGGAAAATTCCCAACAACAAAAATACCAATATATCGGCAAATTTTTATAATTTATTTATAAACCTGTGTAAAATTCTATTCTATTCGATTGTAGATATTTGAAACAAGAAAAAAATTTTTTTGTGTGTGTTGACAAAATAAACAAAACACAATTTATTTTCACACGAATGATGATGGTGGTGAATATGGATGAATTTCGTTCACAATCATCATTGATTGCAAGATGTTCATTAGAGATTGCCATTATATTTTCATTTCTATTGACAATGATTTTATTGGTCATCATATTAACATTCATTTGTTATGCACGTAATGATCTTGAACGTAAAGTATTAGAATGTCAAACAAGATTTTTAATAAGTGGCAGTGATGATAAACGTAAATCATATAAATATCAACCATCAAATTCATTGTCAAATGAATGAATAAAAATGAAATGTGAATGAATAATAAAAATTAAATGGCCGATAAATTTGGCCACTGTTTTTGTCGATTATCATCGCTAAGATGTATATGAATAATTTGGGCAAAATTTTTACGATCAAGTAATTCATAAGCTTGTTTCAATAAATGTTTGGATGAACGATGAAAAAATTGATGACCAGCATCGAATAGATCGATTCCGAATTCAAGGCCCATTCCAAAATCTTTTTCATCATTAGCATATTGAATCAATGTTATCATATGTTGAATTTCTTTTACCGATGAACATTTTCGTCGTTGTTCATCATCATTAAGATTGATGATTCGTTCAAATGAACGTTTTAAATTGTTATCGGTAATAGGTAATTTACGGTAACCAACATTGTTGTCGCTCATTGGAACAACAATACCGAATTGATGTAATGTTGGTGCATTCACCTTCTTTTTTCTTTCTTCATGTTTGGTTTTATCAATCAAATTGATTTGATTTTCTTCAGCAAATGTTTCAAGTTTTCGCCGTAAATTATTGTATTGATCATTATTATTTTTCAACTTGAATCTTTTATCACTAAGCAATGTATGGAAAGTAGCGAAAATATTGTCACCTTCAGCATGTATTTCACAGGATTTTTTCGAATCATTTGAAACGACCAAAGGTTTCTGATCGGTTGGATCATCACGAAAATATCCAAGATGATAATCACAGGAAATCGATTCCAATTTAAGATGATTATTTCGACAATTTGTATCGATAATGGCGAACGTTTGAAATTCTGGTGGATCATAAAAATATCGCCAATGAGTCAAAATGTTTTCATTGCCAACATGACTTTCATTGAGTTTATTGTTTAGTAAATCGAATGGACCAACAAGTTTGATGCCCAATGCGTCGATGAAAGCATCTTCAGGCTGTTTGGAAGATATTTGTTGACAAAAATTCCAGAATAGAAAAATTTCATCAGGAATTGGTGTCAGAAATAGTTTTTGATGTAAATTTCGAATTAAATCGTGATCCAAAGATTTTTTACTAATACACAAAGTTTTAGGTGATTTCAAATGATCGTTTACGATTATTTTCTTTTGTTCATCATCCAGTTCGCCGGATTCATTTGGTTTTGTTCGTTTGAAATAATTGGTTATCAATGGATTTTTAGTCTTTTTGTCTGTCAATATTTTGGTTGAATTTCTGTCATTCGTTTTCGTTCGTTTTGGATGATCATATTGTTCAAGATGTTCAGGATTTATACGATAACATTTTTCACCATATGGACATGGAGATTTTTTAGAATTCATAATTTTGAATAATAATAAATTTATTCAACAAAAAAAAAGAGCAAAATAATTCATGTGTTATGAAATGTGCGCGGTATAATTTTATGAGAATGAATTTTTTTACATGTCACGTACTATATGAACATGTACTGTATTCACAGAATCTTGAGATGCCGCCCAGCCAGCACACAAACATTTTTCATGCTTAATAAATAATATGAAAGTTTCTGGTTGTTTGTCATTATTATTCTTGATGTGATGATATTACAATTCTAAATTTATCTAAATCTTATTCTCATATTATATTACCCATTAAGTAGTGAAAGGATTCATTCATTTATAGTAATCAAAAAGTATATTTGGCATAGAGTTTTATAATACGCTCTGACATATATTTTCCATTTCAAAAGAAATCACAAAAAAAAATTCATCCACACCACAATTATGGATTTTTCATCATTAACTCAGCTTAAGGTTCGTAATCGCCAAGTTGCCTGATTATTGTGGCCTGGCAAATACATTTGCTAATGATTATGATGATGATGATGATGATTAATTTTCTTGATTATTCCACTTTGTTTTTGATTTAAGGTTGCCGATCTTAAACAACAGCTTCGATTACGAGGTTTGGCCATTACTGGAAATAAAACCGATTTAATTCAACGTTTACAACAATCTTTAATGAAGGATTCTGGATTAGTTAATGTAGCATCCACTGATTTGAATCAAGTAACAACACCATTATCATCATCGACATTAACACAACAGCAACAACAATCCCATCATCAAACGAACGTATCGAAATCAATATCGAATCAACATAATAATGAGATTGATGAAGATGCTATACTTGGTGGCGATGACGATGATGATGTTGTTGATGATGTTGATGATGATGAAACATCAAATTCAGAATTAATTGATAAAATACCGAATGAAGATTTATTGCTTAGCGACAACCAAACATCGAGCACCGTTGCTAATACATCAATAATCAACGAAAGTAAACAAAAATCCAATACAATGATTAAACAATCATCATCGACACCAGCAGCTGCAGCTGCAACAACAACAAAAAATCCCATCGCTGTTGCAGCAAAACCAACAACATCGATACCATCATTGAAACAAATGGCAACAAAAATATCATCTGCACCATTAACATCAGAAGAACGTAAACGATTGAGGCAACTGAAATTTGCTGATCCAAAAATAGTGAATCGTGTTGAAAGATTCGGTGTTCAAGATTCATCTGTAAAAAAATTGATCGAACCAACCGACGAAGGAAAATTATTAAAACGTATCCACCGTTTTGGTGAAGTTGTATCGAATAAAGCTAAAACATTGAATGAACGTGAACTTTTAGAACGACGAAAACAACGATTCAGTGGAAACGTAGCTACTACTACTGCTGCTGATGTATCATCAAATAAAATTTTCATCAATAGTAATGTACCAGAAAATATTCAAAAACGACAAGATCGTTTCGGTGTCGTTGAGAAACCATCAAAACCATTACATATGTTCAATAATGTTGGTGGTGGTGGTGGTGGTGGAAATAATAATTTCAAACGACGACGTTTCGCTTATTAAATAATAATGGTCGTATTTTTATTTGGATGCTTCCTAAAACATATTTCTCATCTATTAATAGATAATATAATTTGTCCATTGTCCATTAATTATAATTTTCACTTTTTTTTTTGCTTATTGTGACCATTGTACACAACTTGAATACTTTCTATCATTTCACAGTTAATATCGATCAACATTATTAAACATTAAAAGCCAAAATATTCGTATACAAGAAACAATTGTTGAAAAAATAGTTACTTTAACAGAACTTAATGTTGGTCATTGATGTCATTATCACCGGACATAGCTCAGTTGATAGTAGCGGTGGAGTCATAGTCGTTTGAAAATCACCTGTTGACCTTTGATTGATTTCAAAGGAAAACAACAATTGATTTGAAAAAAAAGATTCATTCAAGTCCGGCTGTCCAAAAAGTTTTGTCATCTTTTTTTTTCTTGATGACGATGATGATGATGACGAAAATCTTGATTAAAATTGATTGAAATTCAATTAAAAAAAACAGATTTTTATTGAATTGATTAAATCAGAACCCCAAAAATATTTCTCATTTATCAATTCATTCATTCATTCATCAATATTCATTTCTGTTTTTTTTTCTATCAGAATGTAACCTTGAAAAAGTGTTGTTGTTGTTGTCGTTGTATGTTGGGTAGAAAATTTCGAACACCACGATTTATGATCATTGAATGATCAAAATAAATATAATTTGATAATTTTATCATTCATTTTCTTCTTTTTTATGAAATTTTTTTTCACTGTATTATTTCTTCATTTGTATACAAAAATCTAAATAAAACTGAACCTCATGTGATTTTTAAAAAAAAATTATGCTGATATATACCATATAATATAATTTCAGATTTTTTAACAAAAATAAACTTTTTTGTACTTTTTTTGTCCATTCAGTATATAGATTTTGTTGTGCATAGTGTGCTGTAAAGTGTTAAAAATTTGATCATTTTACAATCATGAACGACGATAATCAATGTTCGAATGTGTCGATTGCATGGAAAAATCTCAGTTTTGGGGTGAATACAAATCTGTTTAATAGTAAACGAAAAATTATTTTACAACAATTAAATGGCCACTTGAATTATCAAAGTTTAAATGGATTTCTTGGTCCAAGTGGTTCGGGTAAAACAACCCTATTGAATTGTTTGAATGGAACATTACGAACTGGCATTTCGCCATTTTCAAGAATCTATTTCAACCAAAATGATGAACAACAACCAACGCCAGTGATTCGTATGATCGAGCAACATGTACATGAAACGATTATCGGTAAAATGACCATTCGTCAAGTGCTTCAATATGCATTTCGGTTCAAAAATAGCAATAAAGATGCCTCAAAAATGGACAAACATATTGAACAGATATTGAAGGAACTTTTACTCGACAAAAGCATTCTTGACAATCGATTCGAAAAATGTTCTGGTGGCGAACAAAAACGTGTAGCCATTGCCCAGGAATTAATGTCATTGCAACAACCAAATTTTTTATTCTTGGACGAACCAACTACCGGTTTAGATAGTAATTCTGCTTTACTAGTTATGCAATGTTTGCGTCGATTAATCGATCATAACAATAATCATTTAACCATTCTGGTATCGATACATGCACCAAATTCAGAGCTTCTGAATTTATTTGATCAACTTTATATACTAGCCAAAGGTGGTGTTTGTATTTATTTTGATCGACCTGAAAATCTTGAAATGAAACTTGAACAAGACATTAACAACAACAGCGAGGAAATGAAAAAAGATAGACCAGCTATTGAGAGATATTTGAAAATTGCTTGTAAAGGTTAGATGAATATTCATTGAATTAAAATTGATAAATTTTTTCATATCATTTTCAAAAGGCATCGATGATAACGATGTACAAAGGATGGCAAATTCCAATCTTGAAGAACAACGTGACAAATCATCATCAATGTTTGAAATGGAAAAGAAATTTGAACTTGCAAATAATAATTCTAAAATCACTAATAATCGAAAACCGTTTAATATTCAAGATTTTTTGCTACAACTAAATCGAATGGCAAATTTAACGTTTATCACTGGCCGAATGAAATTATTGAAACATTTTTTAACATTTTTATCATTTTCCATGTTACTATCAATGTTGTTTAAACAATCAATTGTTCGTCCAGATACTTGTTATCGAATCGATAATGATGATGATTATGATTATGAATCGAAAAAAAATGTAACATGTTTTCAACAATTGGAAGATGAACACAATGTTGATCAATATCGTTTATATCTGGGTATGGCAAATACAATCAATGGATTTGCCATTGCATGTTTAAGTGTATTGGAATTTATGTCATTGATAAGAATTTTTCGTAATGAACATCGTAATCAATGGTATAGTCTTGGAACATTTTATTGGTCATTTATGATTATCAAATTGATTGAACTTGCACTAATATCTGGATACATTACAGTGATGATTTATTTTTTCATCGATCATACATATGTTGATGATAATGAAATTAATCTGAATCGTTTGGCACATTTTTTTCTATTCATAATGATGAATAATATTTATCTACAAAGTTATGGATTTTTATTCGGTTCACTGTTTTATAATCAAGAAATTGTGTTACTAATTACTATTGTCACCATACAAACCATTCAATTATTCAATGGTGTAATGTTTAGCATCGAAAGAATGAAAAAACCAATGTTAATATTGATATCGGATTTATTAATGTCAACTGTGACACAAAATGGTTTAATGTATTCATTTTATGTTTTGGATCGTTGTGATTCAGAGAAAGAACTATCATATGCACTTGTTGATTATGGAATTGATCAGAATCTGATTTATAAGAATCTAATTAAAATAATGGCAGCAATATTGATTATACGTGGTGCTAGTTTGCTAATAATGTTGATTCGTTTTTCAGCTCCTCGAATTAAATTACAAAGATCTATTAGAAGACGTGAATCATCAACAAGAAACCGGGAAATGTTGGCAATTGATTTTAATAATTCAATGGAAATGAAAAATATGAAAATTGATTTGAATGAAATAACACGACAAAAAATGGATAAAGAAATAGAATTTGAACAATTTTCATGTGGTAAAATTCTGATTGCTTGGCGTTCAATTACATTGTTTGCTTCGGATTCCATTTATGAAATACGATCAGTTAATGATGTTAAATCAAAAACGAAATTAATACTAAGAAATTTGAATGGTCAATTTCGTTTTGGTACATTGAATGCAGTGATGGGACCATCCGGTGCTGGCAAAACTTCATTATTGAAAGTATTGAATGGCCAAATGAAAACAAGATTAAGTGAAGAAAGTCGATTCTATCTGTCCAAATATTGTCCAACTAGAATATGTTATCTGACCCAAGAAGTTTCTGGACATTTAATGCCTGGCCTGACAACGCTTCAGAGTTTGATCTATGCATCTAGATTGAAGAATGTTTTGGAAGAATCTATTGTGAATCATGAAAGTATAGCTAAAAACATTCTCAATGAACTAGGTATAGCTGATACAGCTGACACATATGTACAGAAATGTTCGGGTGGTGAACGAAAACGATTGGCACTAGGATTAGAATTGACCAGTCTTCATATGCCTAATCTAATTTGTATCGATGAACCAACAAGTGGATTGGATAGTAATTCAGCTGAAGTTGTTGTAGCTTGTCTACGAAAACTTGCACGAACACACAATCTGACCATTATAATGAGTATTCATCAACCAAACATAGAAATTTTGATGATGTTAGATCAACTTTATGTGCTGGCCAAAGGTGGTGTGTGTGTTTATTCGGGTAAACCTGCAGAAATTCAACAGAATTTACCATTAGATTCTATTCATGAAAATCGCTTGTTACCAATTGATCGATTAATGAAATATTCATGTCATAATTATAAAGATTCGCTAGTTCAAGATTTATCACGATCGATTGATGAAAAAATTCTAGCTGAAGATGAAAATATGGCCAATGATACGGTCAACGTTATCGATGGTATTCCTACACAACGTAATCGTTTTACATTAAAATCTTGTTGGATATTGATTCTTCGTTATATAACATTCGTTCGTGGATATCAATGGATATTTTTTGCTGTATTTAGTTATCTTTGTATATTTCAAGGTTTATTATTTATATTCATGTTTGATCGTCAAATGATCTATACGGATGGATGTTTCAATCCAGAAGATGATCTTAATACTACTTGTAATCGAACACAAGAAGATGATGATGAAGTTTTCAATCTTGAAATATCATTCCGTTATATTATTGCCTTTGCAAATATTTGTATCTCGATATTTTTGATTCAAGCATCATTTTTATTCTCAAAAGATATAATATATTTTTGGAATGAATTTCGTAATGGTAAGTTCAAAATGATTACAATGTAAATTACAATTTCTTTTTTTGTTAAAAAAAATTTAATCAACATCAACAGGTTGGTATAGTACCGGTGCATTCTATTTGCCTCGAATCACACTTGAATGGATGCTAATATTAACCATGATATCAATATTAGTTTATATGATTGATATATATGAAGAAATACTGCCAGGTATTTATTTGTGGTTATTCATCATTCTAGTATTGGGTATAATAAGCACACAAGGCATTGGAAATTTATTAGCAATTTTAACCACTGGTGAACTTACCATTCTGGTCATTACCATTCCAGGTGTAGTTGTGTTATGCGTATTATTGGGTAATACAGCAACACCGATTGGACAATTACATTATTTTTATCAATTTCTATCATTATTATCACCAGCTCGATTTATAATTGAAAGTATGGCATTATTACAATATGGTTTTAATCGTTGCCATGAAAAAGAAATACAAATAACACTTTATCAATTACGTATCCATCATGATGAACATTTCAATTTTTGTATAATAATGTTAATTATACAATGTATTTTCTATCATATGGTGGCATTCACATTGATCATGATCAAATCGAATCCATTTGAATCACGTAAACATCGTGCTAAAAAAATTCTACAATTTCATGAATCAATGAAACGATCTAATGTCTATATACCTGGCCTTGGTTGTGATCATCATTTTGTAATCAGACGAATTGAAATTTAATGATTGAGAGAGAGAAATTGAGAGAAAAAAAGACGAAATTTTATTCATTGAAAATAAAAATAATTTTTTTGTTTGTTTGGCAAAAATGGTTAAAATTTTCTTTGTGAATTTAAAAATCACCAGATCGAAGTAGTATGGTTGTATTCAAGTTTTATTTACGTTTATATAAATGATAACGAAATGAAAGGCCATTCTCCTTTTGAACATCCAATGGTATGTCATATTTATCGATAATATGACGATATTTTTCCAACAATTTTTCATCCGTAATATCTTCATATTGATCAAGATCGATTGACGGAAAAAAACGATCACAATCAAAATCAGCATCGATTTTGGTGAGAAAAATTAAATCACAATCTGAACGAGCCACAGATTCATTGTATACTTCAGAACCACCAATTACGTATAATTGATCAATATTTGGCATTTCTGATAATTTTTTCACGGCTTCATCAAGGCTACGAAATAGAAATTCAACACCAGCCGGTGCTTCGTTGATTGTTCGACTAAGCACAACATTGACACGATTTTTTAATGGCCGAAATGATGGCGGAATCGACATGTATGTACGTGTACCCATTATGACGGCATTCTTTTTCACTTGTTCATCACCAGCCAAACCTGGAGCCGAATCCAAAACGGTCGATGTGATTCGTGTAAAAAAATCCATTTCAGATCTCAATCGCCATGGCAGGTTACCATCTTTACCGATACCATTTGAACGGCAACAAGCAGCTACTAATGCAATTTTTTTGGTCATCATAAAAATTTTGGTTGTTTTACTCCCAACAGGTACAAGAACTTGGAAAAAAACTAAATCTAAATCTAAAAATAAATTAAAACGTGCTTTTATATCACACGTCTATTTACAGGATAAACGACCACAAATGTCAAAATAGAACATTCGAATTTTATCGCATCGCGCCAATTTCATTATTCGAAATCTTTTTGTGAAAAATAGACAAAACAAAAAATTTTAAAATGTAAAAACTATTAATTGAAAAATTATTGAATTGAACAAAGTGGATCATTATTATTATCATCATCATCATCATCATCATCATCATCACCACCATTATCATTATTTTCATTTTTCATTTTGGCTAAATTCAAATTATTATCCAATTTTTTATCGTCAACTTTTTTATGATCAACATTATGTATCAATAATTTGGAATGGCCCGAAGAATTTGATTTTGGAGGTTCTTTTAGCTTTAGATACCAATCTGGCTTTTGAACAGACGATGGTGGTGGTGTTTTGTCGTTGTGATGATTGTAAAGTTCAATAGCTTCCTGCGCGACGGTAATTTTTTCACCAATTTTTTTCGGCAATTGTTGTTTAATTTGTTGTTCTGTTAAATATTTATCTTTTACTATTTCCGCTTCTGTCATCCATTCACTGATTTCACCGAAAAATTCATTTCGTATTTTTTGATCATTTTCTTTCATAATTTTAAACGATTGATCAAAAGCCAATTCAAATTCATCCAATGATTGTGAATAAAGATCTTTAGAAGCAAGATCACGTGCACGATCTATACGATTATAGATTGATTGAATTTCTTGTAATAATTTCGGATTAATATTGACAATGCCACATTTTTGTTGCAATTCTTCAGCTTTTTCCATATTTTCAACAATCATTTGTCTAAGTTGTTCACGTTTTTTGGCTGAATATGGTTGTGTAGGCAATCCCCATCGATATAAAGGCATCAGATATAATAAGGCATCACGAAAATTATAAAAAGCTGATTTATATTCGCCTTTGGTTTCAAAATCCATTGCTTTCGAGATGATATTACGTGCCTTTTCAAATGAATCGGCCATTGGCATATGTTCGAGATCTATGAATGGATGTGTGAAAAAATTACTGAACGATATACGCATTTTTGGATCAATTTTAAGTAGTCCACCAAGAAGATCATAACAAAGTTGTGATAATCTATTTTTAGGAAATTCAATATGAACTTGATTTCTTTGATAAGCATGTGTGATTTCTGCCGTTGTCATTCCATGTAATGGTGTTCGACCAAATAAACATTCGTACAGGATAATACCGATTGACCAAAGATCAACACGAGCATCATATTCATGTTTTTTAAATATTTCCGGTGCCATATACAGTGGAGAACCGCGTAATGAATTGACACTTTCATCATTGCTTAGATATTGTGCGAATCCAAAATCAGCAATTTTGAGTATTACTTGACGCCAAACTTTAAATGAATTTAAACCATTTAACAATGTAACAAATTGTATACCGGTAATGAGAATGTTTTGTGGTTTTAGATCCAAATGTGCAACATCATTATCACGAAGATATTTCATGGCTGAAGCTAATTGTTGTAAAAATGTTGAACAATTTCTTCTGGAAAATTTCGTTTCAGGCGAATAATCGATGCCAGTTCACCACTGGGACAAAATTCAAATATCATATAGACAAATGCTTTGTCCCATTGAAAATCGAGCATTTGTACGATGAACTCATGTTTCAATTTTTTCAATATCGATATCTCATTTATAATATTGTCACGAGAATTTTTCGATAACGATTTAAGTGGTACACATTTAATGGCCACAACTTCATGCGAAATCTACGAATGAAAATAAAATTTACAAAAAAAAAATTATTTGATTTTCAATGTTTTCAAACCTTTTTTTCAGCACGAAAAACATGTCCATATGATCCTTTACCAATTAAATGATTCAATCGATAACCATCAACTTTTGGTGGTGGTAATGAAGAATTTGGACTAGAAGAAGAATTTATTATCACATTGGTCGTAGTATTTATTATTGCATTATTATTTGATTTAGGATCCATCATAAATTAATGAAAAACAAAAACTACATTTTAACAAAAAATGACAACAAAAATAATACACACACAAACAATATACATTGTTTACTTTCTTGGAAATTTCTTTCGTTCTACACATTAAAATGAATGATGAATTTTCCGGAAAAAATTCCAAAAGTCAAAATTTATTTGTTTACCATATGAACAGAATCAACGAATTTCGACCACTTTTTTTTCATATATGAAATGAATCGATTGTTTTGTACTGTAGCCAAAAATGTTGCTAATAATAATTCGACATCAAGAATTACATTACCACGTTTAGCTATATTTGATTTGGATCATACTGTTTGGCCATTCGGTATTGATGGATTTCAATACACACCACCATATTTCTATCATGAAGGACAATTAATCGATGTTCATGGTAAAGAAATTAGACATTTTCCGGATTTTCCACGTATATTTGAATTACTACAAGAAAAAGGCATTCAAATTGCGGTGGCATCAAGAACGAAATATCCAACCGGTGCATATCGTTTAATTGATTTGTTTGATTGGCATAAATACATCAATTATTATCATATATATCCAGGTGAAAAAATAAAACATTTCGAAAGAATTAACAAAGAATCTGGCATCGATTTTGATAGAATGATATTTTTTGATGATGAACAACGTAATATAAACGATGTTAGTACATTAGGTGTTGATGCCATACTTGTCAATAATGAAACAGGTGCAACGGAAAAAATTGTACGTGAATCATTGGAAAATTTTGCCATCAAACGAAATTCATCATCATCATCATGATAATTGATTGAAATTAGCTACTTATTGATTAGAAAGGGTTTTTAAATTTGACCAATAAAATAAAAAGTACTTTTCATTTATATGTTCAATTTTTTTTTGTGAACAAAAATCGTTTTCATTGTTTTTATCATATTTCAATTCATCAAAAAAAAAATGAATAGACTTTTCTTCACCGCCACACAAGATGGCGTTTTGTGTGTGTGTGAGCGCGCCTATTTTACCCTAAAAACATTTATGAATGTTCACATGGTGGTGGTTCAAATGATTTCGAAACTTTTGCTCATAGTGTATAGTTGTCATTTCACATTTCATTTCATTCTTTCTTGCGTCTTTTTTTTGTTGTCGATTGTTGAAATACCAATTTCATCATGATGATTCTTCGTCCGTTTCTTATTGTACCAACATCATCATCATCATTATCTAGTTATCAAATTCTTAATGAAAATCAACAACAGAAAAATGGTGGATTAGCAAACCATACAAATACGAATGAAAATACTAATGTAGCTCAACAGGTACAATATTCATAATTTTCCAATTTCGATTTGATTTTTTTGACTTTTTTTACTCATCTAGACATCCAAATCTCATGATCATAGTAATGATGGTTATCAATATTTACTAACAAAATTCATTGAAATGGAAAAACGTATTGAAAGAAAATTTGTCAATTGCTCAAAACAATTCGAATCGTCGATCAAAATGGATAAAGCAAACGAATATGATAAATGTGATGAAAAATTCATATCAGTGATTGAAATGGGAAAACGTTTTGATAAATTCGAATCTAAATTTGATAAGTTCTTGAGACAATTTGAATCTTTGACAAAGAATTTCATCCACCAACAAAGACGACAATCATTCAATAGTCAGGTTGAACATGGAACATCTACTCAATCAAATGTTGTGTCTATTGATCACGATTATTATAATGCCAATTATAACAGTTTGAATGAGATTTCGTCATCGATAAAAACATTTGATTCAGCTAATCAATCTGTATCACTTAATCAAATCAAATCTACCATTTCTGACGATTCTATAATCACTATTAGTGATGATGATGATGATTTAATGGGACAATATTCCTCGATCGATGAAATTCCATTTTCCATAATTAACAACGATAATTCTGTTCATTCAATCGAAAGTCATTCAGATGTACAGAATTCATCATCATCATCCTTATCGAATGAAAATTCAATCACAACGCAAATAATGGATGAAGATAAAAAATTTCCTTGCCCAAAATGTTCATATCGATTCAATACTCAACATAATCTTGATATTCATATGAAGACACATAAAGCGGCTAATAAATATATTTGTACAATTTGTGGTGCTCGATTCACACGAAAATTTAGTCTTGACCGACATCTTAATATACATACAGGTGATTTATTCAAATGTGATATATGTGATTCATTTTTTACTCAGAAAGATTATCTCGTCCTTCATCGTCGTACCCATAATGGCGATTTCCCATTCAAATGTAACCAATGTCACTACGTTACTATTCATAAAAGTTCTTTCATCATACATCGTCGTATACATGATGGAGTGGAACCTTCCTTCAAATGTAATCGATGTGAATATGCTACTCACCATAAAAATGCACTTGTTTACCATCGTCGTTCGCATACAGGTGAACGGCCATACAAATGTCAAAAATGTGAATTGGCTTACACTAATTCTAGTGCTTTATTACGCCATCGTCGTGCAAATCATCCAGATGATATAATCAACTCATTTCAATGTCAATACTGTGATTCTAAATTCACTCGATCTTTCCTTCTCATACGACATCTACGCAAACATACAAATTAATGGCCATATATCAATAATGTTCAATTTTCAATGTTAATCTTGATTTTTGTTTAATGAAAATTCCCAAAAATTCCAGTTTTTTTTTGTTTCTTCGCAATATCATTGAAATTAATATGTTGATTACAATAACACATAACACACATATAAACAAATTTTTTCAACATTTTGCCATTCATTAATTTGATATATAAAAAAAAATAATTTCGAATAATAAAACTATATATATAATATACATATGAATATGAATGAATATTCAAAAAACAATTATTATTACCAAACATCCACACATTGATTGTTTGGTCAGCAAAAAAAATTCCCATTCAAAATGTGTATGTGTTCGAGATTTCAATCGAGGTGGTATTGGCAAGTGTTATAGATTAGGATATATTTAATAGTTAAGAAAATTACCAATCAATCATCAATCAATTGAACGACAATTTTTTTTTAAAAAAATCATGTTTGCCTCTTTCATTCAATGGCGTAAAATTTTTTTGCCAGTCCACATCATTGTCAAAAAAAAAAGTTTTTTTTTATCAATAATTTTCTCTTTTTTTTCATTTGCAAAAAAAAAGTGTAGCATTTTTTTTTCTCGTGAAACAGAAAAAAAACCCCATTAAAGATTGAGACAAACACAGACACACACACACACACACAAAAAAAACATGAACGATTCATCAATCGATGTGTGTGTGTTGCTGTTGATCATAACATTGAAATTGTCGTCGTCGTCGTCGTCGTGTTCACATAATTTCATTGATTCGAAAATGATCCAAAATGGCTGATATGATGGTATTTTTTTTCCTCCGTTTATCAATACATTTTAATTGAAACAACATGCAGTAATAATGCAACAACAACAACAAAAAAACATGAATACAAGATGATGATGATTGATTGATAATTGATTCGACCACAGAACAAACAGCCAAGGTGATTAATTTTGTACATTTAATGAAACGAAACAAAAAAAAATCACGTTCAAAATTATCATTGAAACGTGTGTCTGTGTGTGTGTGTGTGTGTCATTTCTTCTTGTTTTTCACATTTTCCATGAAATCTTTAATGTGAATCAGAACCACAAACAATTTGTAAAAAAGAAAAAACAAAAATTTTTCAAATTGAAAAAAGATAATGTCTTTATTCATCATCATTAAAATAATGCGATTAAAGGAGAGAAAAATTTGGATTTTTTTTTCCACTTTTGCTGATGTGTTTTTTTTATATATATAAATACAAATTGTTGTTGTTGTTGCTGTTGTTGTTGTTTGATTCTGATTGAAAATCAATCGATAAAATAAATAAAAAAAAAGAAAAAAAAATGCTGTGATGACATATGACATAAACAAACAAACAAAAAAAACGAACAAACGAACGAAAAATGAAAATTTATGATCAAACTTGTTAGAATGAAAAATCTTCGGAAATGAAAAAAAAAATTCTAATCAATCGATTGATTAGAATGTCTTTGTGTCGGTGTCGGTGTGTGTGTGTTCGATGGCTTGGCAAAAAATTATCATCATCATCATCATACAGAAAACGATGATTTTTATGAAAAAAAAATTCATGGAATAAAATTATCGCACACATTCACTTTTAACATTCGCACAACAATCACAGACATTATATATACACATAACAAACAAACAAACAAAAAAATTAAATTTGGAAAAAAAAGAGAGAGAGAGATTGAGATAAACACATTCACAAATTCATAGATCATAGAGAAAGAGAAATGATGAAAAAAAAAAATTTTCAGAGATTTTTTTGTTTTTTTTTCAAAGAAAAAAATTAATTTGTGCTCTGTCAATGGCTGATAAAACAAAACAACAACAACAACAACAAAACAAATAGACAGAAGAAGAAGAAAAATGCAGAGAAAAATCCAATGTGCGTGTGTATGATGGGTGTGTGTGTGTGTGTATGGAGGAAATGAACATAGGTGGGGCTAATTGGGTGGGTGGTTGTGTGTGAAAAAACAAACAAACATAAAGGTATTTCCCATCACCAAACAACATAGATAATAAAAAATAATCAACACACACACCCACCATCACACACATTTGCACAATTGAAATAAAATGATTGATTTGATGATCAATTTGACAAAAAAAAAAATTCATAATTAATAATTACATAATAATTTCACAGAGAATTTTTGTTTCAAACATGAGAAAAGAAAGAAAAAAAATTATTAAAAACGAAAAAAATATATGAAAATATTCTCGACGACCAGAAAGATTTGGAAAAAAAATTGTGTACGTGTGTGTATGAGAAAATACATCAAGAATATTTAAGAATTGGCACAGCAACAACAACAACAACAAGAGAGAATTATCAAGTTTCCGTTATTTTTTTTTTTTTTGTTTTTAATTTAAAGAGTTAAATATTGTAATTGGAAATTAGTCGACGAATTTCAGCCAATGTACCACTATCTAAACGCATTAGATCAAATTGTAGACAATTACCAATGATTGTAAAACATGATGAACGATTATTACGTTCTTCGATTAGATCAACAATACGTTGTAATACAAATGTTTCCTGTATGGAACTGATTTTCAATTGAATTTCTTGTAATTCGGCCATTGAAAAATTTGTGATCATCATTGTCGATGTTGATGATGATGTTTGCGATTGCGGTTGTGGTGGCGGTGGTATGTTTGCTGGTGATAATGATACAGCAGCACGATCATAACAGGTCATTGTATTCATCGTTGTAACACGTTGCTGTTGGTGATGATTATGATGATTAATTGGTGAATTTGAAGATTCAACAGTCGTCATCATCATCGTTGACGATTGCTGATGATATTGATGGTGATTAAATTTTGATCTTACTGTATTCTGCTGTGATGTTGACGATGATGATGAATTATTACTTGCAGGTGAAACAATAACCATCGGACTACCATGGTAATGTTGATGATTCCTTTTTGTAAATTTCGAATCCAAATTTGGTGATGATCGATCCATTATCATTTCATTGTCATTATGTTGATGATAATGTCGACCTTTATTTTGATGATGATGGTCATCATCATCGGAAGATTGTCGCTGTTGTTCATCATTATCATCATCGGATGAAGAAGAATCAGAAGAATCATCAGATTCAGACGATGAATCATCATCTGATGATGATACGGCTTGTTGTTTTTTCGATGACAATTTTGTTTTAATCATTTTGGATTGAACATCTTTCTCATCATCATCATCATCATCGTCATCGTCGGATTCATCCGAATCAGAAAGACCAACACTTTTTGTTGTTGTTGTGGAATACTTGTTGTTTTTTACCATTCTTAATTAAATTTTTATTCTTCATGTCTTTGGTGGATGATGATGTTTTTGAATTTTTCAAATTCTTTACTGCTGTCGACGATGATAATGATGTTTTGCCTTTTTTCTTCATATCAGAATCTTTTTTCGACTTTTTCGACATTGATGATGATGATGATTTTTTCGAAGATTTTTTCCGATTATATTCACTTTGGCAAGATTCATCATCATCACTAGAATCATCATTGGCACTATCATCAACACTATGGCGTCGTTGTCCATGTTTTTGATTACGATGATGATGATTATGTTGCCGTTGCTTTCGTTCATCATCATCATCATTCAAATCCATTTTCACTTTCACATCATCATCTGAATCATCTGATGAAGAATTGTGTTTATTTTTATTCGATTTTTTCATCTTCGATGATGATGACGATGATTTGATCTTTGTCTTTTTCATTTTAGTCGATGATGAATCATTTTCATGAATTTTATTGGAATATTTCTCGGAACCACGAAATTGTGATTGAATTTTTGCCGTATCATAATACTTTCCACCATTATTATCATCATCATCAAATTTTGATTTTGATGATGATAATTTCATTTCATTGGCCATTTTCATCGATGCTTTTGATTCATGATGACGACGATGATGATGATGGTGTTCTTTCGTTTTTGTTTTTGTCGTCTTAATTTCTTCACGATGTTTTTTATTTGATTTACCATTTTTTTTATTGGACATGAAATTATCATCACAGGAATTACCATCAGAATCAATTTCATCCGATGATTGACGATGTTTATGATGATGGTGATGATCAGAATCGGATGAATCATTCGATTCTGATGATTCCGAAATGGCACCATTATTATTATTATTGTTACTATCATCATCGCTATCATCATCATCATCATCATCACTAATGGACGAATCAATTGATGCAATCGATGATGCAGATGATGATGATGGTGGAATAAGATTATTATCATATTCATTTATCATTTTTCGGCTACCATTTTTCCTATGATTATTGGATTTCATCATCATTAAATTATCTGAAATCGTTGGACTATTATTACGATGATGAAAACGATGATGATCTGATGATGGAAATTTTGATTTTGAATTTTCCAAAAATAATGTTTCCGAATGTTTATTGGAATGATGATGATTTTGTAATATTGTAGTAGCTGCTGCTGCTGTTGTTGGTGGTGGTGGTGGCATTTTTTCGTCCATTATTTCATCATCATGTCGTCGTTTACGTGATTCAATACTATCAATTTTTTCCGACGATTTAGTTTTTTTCGTTGATAATGATAATTTTTTTTCATCTGATTTTTTCGTAGATTGTTGTGGTTGTTTTTGTTGTTGTTGTTGTTGTTTTCTAGAATGATCAAATGATTTTGATTTTGTTCGTAGTTTTTGTTCTTTTTTACTGGAAATGTTCGATGCAATCGATGATAATGATGAATTGGATAGCGACAATTTAGACGATTCTTTCATATTCGATGCCGTTGCCATTGACATTGGTGATCCTGTTGCTGTTGTTGTATTCTTTGATTGATTCTTTGTATTCGGTTGCTGTTGCTGTTGTTGTGTTTTTGTTGTAGTCGACGATGATGTTGTTGACGACGACGACGACGACAATGATGATGATTTCGATGATTCTTTCATTGTTTTATGTTTTTTAATTTCATTCATTTTATCCCAGGTTTTTTCTTTATTTATCGATTTAATTTCGATTGTCGTTACACTATTATCATCACGATATTTTATTTTTGTCGACATTAAATGACTTGTTTCCGTGCCCGATGTTTGATTCATCATGTCCATTTTTGATGTTTTTGATGATTTTTTCATATTTTCTTTTTTATTATTATTATTATTATTCGCAATCGTTGTTGTCGTCGTTGTTGTTGCCGATGATGGTGGTGGTGGTGATGATGATGATGATGGTGATGGATCATCCATTGATGATTTGTTCGATTGATTATTATTCGGATTCAATAATAACGATGATGATGAGATCATTTTCGTTTGTTTCATTGGACTCATCGATGGATATGGTGAATGTTTTCGCTGTTGCTGTTGGCCATTATTATTTGGAATTAATGATGGAAAATATGGCTGATTACCACCATCAATCAAATATTTTGATGACGATGATGATGATTTAGATTTTAAATTTGACAATTGTTTTGTTGTTGTTGTTGGTGTTGTCCCGGCAGCAGTGATGGCTGCTGTTTTTGAAAATGGTGAACAATCTCTAATTATCATTGAATCACTAGTGCCGCCATTGGCAATATTTTTTGTAATTGATCCAGAATGATGATTATTATTATTGCCACCATTGTCAGATTCTTCATGACGTCTTTTTTTCGTTTTCGATTTTGATTTATGATGACAATTATTATGATGTCGTCGGCCATCATTATCATCAATCTCACTTTCATCTTTTGTTGACATTCTATGAACATCTAAATCATCAACTTGATGATGATCATCACCATCTGAATCATTATCATCACTACTATTATCACATTTATGTTTTTTACGTTTTTTATCCATTTTCAATAAAGATGATGACGATGACGATGTTTTTGCCAATTTCATTGTTGATGATGATGAATTTTTTATCACCATTTTTCTATCATTTTTTTTCATTTTTTCCATATTGCCACCACTTCCACTACTACTACTACTAATGCTGTTGCTGTTGCTATTTCGTTCTTTTGAATCTTTACGTTTTTTCTTATTATGATTTTCCATCATTAATATTGACGAATCTTTTTTACATTTTTTCTTCATCACTTTTATATTATTATTATCAATTTCATCATCATCATCATCATCGTCGTCGTCATTGCCATCATTATTATTATTATTATCACCAGTTTCATTATTATCACAATAGTTATTCAATGTTTTTGTTTTGTTCATTTTCATCATCATCAATATTCGTTGCTGTTTATCACCACCATCATGATCATGATTATTTTTTATTGAAATTGAATTGGATTTATTCGATTTACTACTAGATAAAGACGAAGTGGATCGTGGTTGATTGTTTGTGGTGATTGATGATTTTGTTGATTTATTAATCATCGATTGACCATTATTTTTATTACGATAATTGTTTCCAATTATAGATGATTGTGATGTTTGTTGCTGTGCCATACTACCACCACCACCACCAGTTGTTCCTTTAGCCAATGATGATGATGATGATGATTGTTTTTGATTATGATCATTCTGATAATGATGACTTAGTGATGATTTGCCCGTTTTAATTGAATTTGTACCACCAACGTTTAATGCATTGTTGTTGTTGTTGTTTTTTCTATGAGAATCAATATGATGGTCCTATGGATATTTCAACAAAAAAAAACAGAAAAAAAATTAATTTTTTAAAAACAAAAATTGAAAATTTCACTCAGAAAAAAAAGAGAAAAGAAAAAGTGAAAGCAAAAATCATTACTCTGCCCCACTGTGTGTGTGTGTGTGTGTAAGTGTGCATGTAAATGGATCGACCTAAAAAAAACATGGGCACCTGTAGAAATAACCCAGACGTGATCAAATAAATCAAGCATAAAATCACACATAAAGACTGACTCACTCTCTAACTATTCAAAACAAAACAAACGAAAAAAAAATTCCACCCTAATTTGCATATTTCACCTCAGACAAAATCACGTGTGTGTGTGTGAGTGTGTCTGTGTATATATTGCACAGCACGTACAAAACAAAATTTATCTATTGCAAAACATTTGACATAAAAAATAATCAATTGATTGATTGAATAATAATTTTTTCTTTTTTTGTTGTTGTTGTTGTTGTTGTTGCACACACACATAGACAAGGACCAAATCAAACAAACATAAAAAAAGTGATAATCATCATCATTACCACCACCCACACACACACATAAACAAATCTATTTTTCGTTGGTGATAATTATCGATAAAAAAAAAATTTCATTTGACAACAACAACAACAACAAAGGCTACAAGTTATGGTCCCCTCTCATCCAATGTCTATCCATGTCCAAATAATTGGCCAATAACACACAGACACAGACACTCAGACAAACAAACAAACATCAAACCCATGTCATATCATTTCCGTTTTGTCTTGTTATTATAAAGGACAAATGTGTATGTGAAATAAAAAGAGAATGAGAGGATGTGCAAGGATGGTGTTTATGTAATATTTAGTGGTGGTTTCATTGTGTTTTTTTTGTTTGTAAATATATCGTACATTGATTTGATTATATGGATACTGTTGCTGCTGTTGTTGATATTGCAAATTTTGATTTTGATTTGTTGAAATTTTTAAAGACAATTGTCGTTGTTGTTGTTGTTGTTGTTGATGTAATAGAGATGATGATGATGATTTTTGTAATAAATTCAAATTTGATTTTGTTGTTGTTGGATATCGTTGTTGTTGTTGTTGTTGTTGACGTTGTAATTTAGTAGTAGTAGTCGTCGGTGTAATCATTATTGCATTATGATGATGATCAATTGAATCCTCATTATGATGCTGATATTTGGCCTTGTTATGGTCATCATGGTTATTGACAATATCTTTTTGAACATCATCATCATCATCATCATCATCATCAAAATCAAAATGTCCACGTAACAATAATGATGGCTGTAATTTTGATAATTTGGATCGTTGTTGTAATTGTAATTTGCTCTGTCTATTATTCTGTATAAATGATATGGGCATAATTTTTGGTCGTAATTCATTATTGTTGTCAATTGTTTTTGGTGACATTTGTTTTTGTTGAAATGATAATCGTTGATATGATGATGTCGCCGTTTCCGTTTCCTGTTTAATGTTGCTGTTATTTCTTGGTATCTTAAATCCTTTGGGCAGTCCCATTCCTCCTGTTCCACCATGTTGTTGTTGTTGTTGAGATTTTGATCCACCACCATTCGACGATATGATTGATGATGATGATGATCCTGTTGTTCCAAAATTGAACAAATGATCTTCTTTTGTTGTATTATTTCGATTATTTTTGATTCCATTATTGTTTACGAAATGAATCGTTGTTGATGATGATGATGATGATGATGATGAACGTGATAAATTTAAATTTGATGAAAATTTTTCTATTGGATTCGTTGTTGTTGTTGTTGTTGTTGTTGTGGGTAAAAATGTTGATGCAAAACCTGATTTTGGCTTTAAATATTGTTGTTGTGGTTGATTTAATTTTTTATTAATCGGTGTTGTCGTTGTGGCAGTATTGGTCAATGATGATTGATGATTTTGTTGTTGTCGTCGTTGAATTATTGTCGATTTTGGTTTATAATTTATTATTGTCGATCCTGATGATGACGATGATGATGATGATGGCAGTAGATTTTTATTTAAAAATTGGTTATGGGACAATGATGATGACGATGATGATAATAATGGTGGTAGCGGCGGCGGTGGTGGTGTTGGTGATGGCGAAGGTGGTGAATGACAATTGGTATAATGTTGAGAAACAAACATTGACGACGACGATGATCGTCAATTGGATTCATTCAAAGAGATTTTTTTTTTTTTTTTTTTGATTTAAAAATTTATTCGGCAGAAAAATTTATATCTTAATGTAATGGCCGGTGGGAATTTTTCAAAGATTTTTTTTTCAAAATTATTTCCAAATTGCAAGAAAAAACACGTACAAACACACAGACACAGACACACAGGAAATCCAGATACAGATGATTGGATATTGATTTTTTTGTTGGAAATTTTTTAAAATTTTAAAATTTTACTGCACACGCTAAACATCATCATTTCATTTTCATTTCTTTTAATCGATAGAAAAATTAGCCAAACAAAAAACAAACAACGATGATGATGATGATGATGATGATGGACAACACAAAACGTGTGAGTGTGTGTGTGTGTGCGCGTCTGTTTGTTTATTGTTATTATTATTATTTTATCTACAAATTAGAAATTACACACACACAAAGACAAAAAAAAGGGAAAGCCGGAAATCACAACGGAAATCGATCAATCGATGATGATGAAAGCGTTTTAGATTTTTTTTGGATTAATTTTTTTTTTTTTTTTTTTGACACACCACACCATAGATTTGACCAGATTTTTTTTTATTGTTTTTGTTTATTTTTTCTTCAATTGAATTTTTTTTTTTCACCAAAACAACGCACACACACAAAAAAAAACAACCGACTAGATTCAATTGAACAGAAACAAAAAAAAAAAAATCGTGATGGCAAAATGTGTGTCTGCGTGTGTGTGTGTGTGTGGAAAATTTTTTTTTTTTTTTACTTTTTGACTGATTGATTGAAACAAACAGGCAAAAAAAAATACAGAATGAGATCTTCAAAATGCAAAGAGATACGACGTCACCAGGATTGATTTAAATTGATTTTCAGACACAGACACACACACACAGAAATGTTCCAAACAAGAGCGAAAGCAAAAATTTCAATCTTCAAGTAACACACACACACACACAAACACAAACGATTGTTGTTGCATCAATAATAGCCACACAGATCATTTGATTTTTCTTCTTATTTTTCTGGTTAATGAAAAATAATCATCTATATCAAGTTGGAACCATTTAATATACATATACATACACAAACACAAAACACACACACATATACACACGTAAACACTTGTTGGATTGGTTGTTTGATTGATTGATTGATCGATTGATTTGTCTCTGGCTTGGCTTTATTGGTTATTATATTATATGTACATTTAAATTATAACGACGATAATATATCGATAAAATCGATATACTAAGGGCTCACACTTATGGATTTATGTCTGCTCTGTTTGTGTGTGTGTGTGTATATATGTGTGTTTGGATGTGATGTGATATGATGTATGTGTGTGTGTGTGTGTGTGTGTGTGTGTGTGTGTGTGTGATCAGATTGATTGGATGACAAACACCAACTGAGAAAAAAAAATTATCGTAAAAAAAAACTACGACTATATTTTTTTGTTTTTGTTTGGCATTTGAAATACAACAAAATGTTGATGATGATGATGATGAAGAGACTAGAAAGTAAAAACTAGACACACACATACACAGTCAATGAAATTGAATTGAATCTAAATGATTTGATCATGATGGAAGCCAAGCACAGTCAGCAGTAACAGCAGAAAGAAAATCTAGTTTTTTCAATTAATTATATTTTTTTAATGTACAACCACCATCAACATAATTGATGCTACTTGTTGGATATATGGACATCAGTCACCACCATCCATCCATCCTATCTCTCCAATTTTATCCATTTTTTTTCTCTCTTCATTCGTTCGTTTTTTTTTTTTTCTATAATCGAAGAAGAAGAAATGTGTGTGTGTGTGTGTATTTGGATTCAAATGTATCCATTTTTTTTTGGATGGAAAGTGGTTTTGTAGTAGTAGCAGCAGTGTAGTTTAGTGTTGTTGTGAAAGTGTAAAAAAAGTAAATGCTGGTTGGATAGTTATCCATCATAGTACCACAGTTGTTTTTATCATTTTTGGATGTTTTTTTTCATTTTCACTTTTTTTTTCGTTTTGTATTTCAAGTTTTTTCATTTCTCTCTCCCTCTTCTTTCTGTCTGTCTGAATATAATTTCAGTTTCTAAAGATTTTGATGATGATGATGATGGCCGCTGGCACTTAAGTGGATTTTGTTTTCGCTGTTGTTGTTCAAGCATAAAAAATGAAGCAATTCAGACTTTGAACAAATAAATCAAAAACAACAACGATGGCGACGACGACGACGACGACGAAAAAAAATCCACATAAAACGAGAAAAAGAGAGAAAAGTCAAATCACGATATCTCTAAAATGAATTTCAATTTAAATCTTATTTCATCATCATCATCATCATCATCATTGATCGTTGTGATACAACTTGTTGATCATGATGATGGATGGAAAAATTCAATTTTCAACTTTTACTTTTTTTTACTGATGTTTCTCTCTCTCTCTCTCTCTCTTTATCTCATTGTGTGTGTGTGTGTGTCTAGACAACTTGAATTCTCTCTTATGAAACGACAAAAAAAAATATTTCGAAATTACAAATTTTTTTGGATCAAAAAAAAAGAAATCTAGGCCTTCTCTCTCTCTCTCTGTGTCTGTTTCTGGATTATTCATCGTTTGATTTGTTCATTCGTTTGAATTTTTTTTTCTCTAATTAACAAATCAAACTTGAACTTGATTTTTATCCATTGATGATGGATATTACCTCACCACCCACCCCTACTACCATCATTTCACATCCGAGAATCGTGTTTCAATCAGAATTGAAAATCATTTAGATCATTTCATAATATATGTAGGTAAAATAATAGGTGAAAAAAATGGCCCTAGAGAAAACAAAAACAAAAACAAACACACACACAGAGAGAGAAAAAAAATCAGACAAAATCAGAATTTTTTTAAAAAAAAACCTGTTGATTTTTTCGTGTAGAGCACAACCAAACAAAAAGACAGACAGACAGAAAAAAAAACTTGAATCTCATTTTCAACTTACTCAATCTGTGTCTGTGTGTGTGTTTTGTTTGTTCCAACATGGAATATTTCAAATTTCTACAAAGTTTTATGACCGAGCTGTGTGTGTGTGTTCCAGATTGCAAAATGAAAAATTTTTTTTTTCTCAGATTTCGATGATGTGATGATGATGACAAGTGCCAAGTACGGCAGCCGTGTCTGTGTGTGTGTGTGTAGAGAGAGAAAAAAATTGTTGCCTTGTTTGATGGCCAGAAAAAAATGCCAATCTTAATCAATCAATAACCGGTTGAAAATGGAAAAACCCTAAACATTAACCTCTCTCTCTCTCTCTCTATCATTCTTCTCAAAACTACAAAACAAGAATCACATCACATCAACCTTGAACCAAAACAAGAAAAAAAATTTTTAACCATTCTAAGGATGAAAATCCAATTAAATAAAAAAATTCTCACTTAGCAACAAGTGATGAGAAAAATAGATCCAGATGGTCGGATGAATTTCAATCAATTTTTATTATGCATTGCATATCATCAGAAAAATGAAATCGATCAAACTAATCTAACAGCTGGAAATTTATCTTTTTTTCATGAAAAAAAACAATAATCATAGATCCGGTTATGTTTAGGGCACACACACACACACACACACAAAGGACAAATCGATAAAGGATCAATTGTTTTTTTCTTAAACAAAAAAAAATATTTTTACACACATGAATGATTATTATTACTACTACTACTGCCAAATGTCATATTATCCGATCATAATTATCATCCATTATTATATTATAATCAGATATACACACCACAGTATTGAATCATAATCACACACTATTATCATTCATTCATTCATAATAATGGGAAATTCTTTCAATTTTTTTTTGTGATTTCCATCCATAAATAAAGTTACATTATCATATATTCAAGGTTTCAAACAAAAAAAAAATTCAGATAGAAATTAAAGAGAGAGAGAGAGAGAGAGAGAGAGTTGACCATTGAATATTTTCATTCAATTTCTTTTCATCATCATTGGGATTTTTCATTGAATTTTATTTTTCGTTTCGTTTCGCCCATCATTTACCATCAAACAGACACACACATTTTTATTTCGAATTGCATGTTTTTTACATATGAATAAATCCGAGCACAATAATCTCTCGCATAATTGGTAATTTGATATTCACATATATCACACACACACAAACACAGGCAAAAAACTGATTTCTTTCAATGATTCGGTTGAATCAAAAAAAAAACGAAAAAATATTCCTTTTTCGTGTTTGTATTTATCATCAAAATGATAACAACAATCAATCAATTAAATCGATTGATTCATCAATACACCAAACAAAATATGAAAACAAAATCGCATAGTATGGCAGCATTTTTCATTTTTCATTTATATTCATTCATTCATTCATCAATCAACCGAAACAAAATAAAAAAAAAATTAAATTACATGGAAATTCAATGATATTACACCATCATCACCATTATTATTATTGCCTGATAAAAATGCAGCTAGGATATCATCATTATCGTCATCAATTTTGAAATTTGAAATCAAATGCAACACACACACACACACACTTGTTGCTGTAATCTCTATCACTTTATCTAAATCTAAATCTAAATTCATAATAATTAATATAAATCCGGTAACCACCAATTGCTTTGCTTGCATTATTTTTTTAAATTAAAAAAAAATAAAAAAATTTGAAATCATCACTTACATTCAATTTGGCCAATATTTTTGCATTATTATTTCGATTTGATTTTGACGTTGATGTTGTTGCTGATGCTGCTGCTGCTGTTGTTAAGGCTGATGTTGTTGTTGTCAATGCAGATGCAGATGCAGATACAGATGATGAACCTGAACCTGTCTGTATTAATGGTGTACCAAATAAATCAGTAAATTGACTATCAGGTTGATGATAATGATGATTTAGATTTAGATTATTATTATTACTACTACTACCACCACTATTGATATTCAAAGTAGTAGAAGTAGTAAAAATTGTTGTTGAATTTTTTTGAAATTTATTAGACGATATCGTCGTTCCATTATTATTATGATTATTATTGATAGGCGCCGTGTTGAAACCGCTACTGTTGCTGTTGCTGCTGCCAATATTGCCGCTACTAGTTGTTGTCAATAATAATGGTGATGATGAATTTTTATTCAATGTCGAAGTCAATGGTGATTCTATTTACCAGATCAAAAACGACAACAACAACAACAAAAAAAACGAGATTATCATTCAAGGGATTTATTATTTGAACGAAGGATGATTGTGTGTGTGTAACAACAACACACAAATGGGAAAAAAACCATTAGCCTAATCTCTAATCCAGTATGAAAATGGAAAAAAAAATCACCAAGCATCTCTATGATGACATCTTTTTGGCTTGCAATCCATAATCATCATCATCATCATCATAAAAAATGAAAAATTTTTCATCATAGAAACACATGCACACACACACACATCATAATCCCATTGCCATTATTATAAATCATATCAAAAGGTAAAACACCTGTTGATTGACAAGACAAAAAAAAAACCAGAACCAAAAAAAAACTTTCACCCACTACCTTAACCTAAATCCTATTTAATACCACCACTACTACTACTGCTACTAAGTAAAATCAACTTTTTAAAAAAAAACAACAACAAATTTTACAAATTAAGAAGAAGCCAGATTATAATTGAAAATGACATTGAATCTTGAAATATTCAAAATAATCTCATTTCAAATCACCATAATCATTCATCTTGTTTTGAAAATTAGAAATTCACGATAAAAATGAAAGAAATGTCAGTCTTTTCAATCAAACATACAGCCCTTTTTTTTCTTTCATTGCCACATTTCAAAGAAAAAACAAACAACTTACCAGTCGTCGTCGTAGTTTTGGAATTTGTTGTTGTCGCCAATGATAATGATGATTGATAATTGCTGCTCGATGATGATGATGATAATGGTGATTGTTGTTGGTGGTGGTGATGGTGTGATGATTCAGATATTGTCGACGATGTTGTTGTCGTATCACCTTTGAGTATCTAAGAGAAAAAAAAACACACCGAATAATTTTAGGTCAATCAATCACACAGTTAATAATCAATCAATCAATTGAAATCAAAAACAAAAAACAAAAAAAAAATTTGTCCAGTCATTAACAGTCAAACTTGAACTGAATGTATTTTTTTTTGCTGTCTTGATGCGCTGCTGCTACTGCTGCTGGCTATAGCGGGGGTACGCGCGATTTATTTGAACTTTTCGTGCAAAAAAAAAAAAAATTCCCAGAAATTTCCAGTTTTTCATTGAAAAAACTGGAAATTTTTTTTTCACGGCCAATTCTAATTATCAGTAGAAAAAAAAAAAATATACCAAAACAGGAAACCCGAATTTATCACAACACACATCCGAATAACAAACAACAACAACAACAACAACAAAATCCCGTTAAACCTGACGAAGACGACGACGGGTAATGAGATTGAAGAAAAAGAGAAAATTTCAAAAAAAAGAGAAAACAAAATTCAAAAATGAAAACAAATCTCTCATTGATGAGAAAAAAAATCCCGTTAAACCTGACGAAGACGACGACGGGTAATGAGATTGAAGAAAAAGAGAAAATTTCAAAAAAAAGAGAAAACAAAATTCAAAAATGAAAACAAATCTCTCATTGATGAGAAAAAAAAAGAGAATGCGGAAATGTTGAAGAAAATGGATTTTTTAAACATTTATAATATTTATGAATTATTATTGCGAAAACAAAAAGAAAAAAAAGAATTTTTCGGAAACTTTCAAAAGAAAAACGTTATTGACATCCTCTCTGTGTATGTTTGCCATAATCATTGCAAACAAGATTTTTTTTTCTTTATGAAAATTGATCCATAATGAAATTCAGTCAGAAAAAAAAATACAACAAACAAACACGCGATCATGTTTTTTTTGTCGATAATCATCATCATCATTGTTGTTGTTGTAATGGTGGTGGTGGTGGTGGTTGTAATTACACAACAATTTGGTTTTTTGTTTCTTAATTTCCGAAAAGGAAAAAAGAATCACCATGCATTTTGTTGTTGTTGTTGAACCGGAAATGATTGTTTTTGTATAAAGTTAATGGTATGGTGGTGGTTAAAATTATGTATTCTAGCCATGTTCGTGTGCGTGTGTCTATCGTCATTATTTTTGTTCAATCTGCATAAGTGAATGAATGAATTAGAGACAAGCAAAACAATTTTTTTAGATGATTACACACATTGGATTTCATTTAAAGGTCATCATCATCATCACTATACACATCGATCGATCGATTGAAATTCAACAAAAAAAAAACAGATTCTTTTTGCACACTTTTTGATTCAATGCAATTCATTGATTTTTTTTTTTCTAGGCGAGTCAAGGGTGAAAATATATTTTTTGGGATAAAGAGAATATTTTTCGCAAATTTTTCATTTCATTCAAACATGATGATGAAGGTTTTCCAGAAAAAAAACATCATTATTCAGGGATATATTCAACACACACACACACACACACACAGAAACAAATCTACAAATCTCGGATAATCGAATCCATTAATAATCATCATCATCAACAGAAAAAAATGAAGAAAAAAAAGTCAATAACAGGCAAATAACACTATTTTTTGCCCATTGAAAAAACAAATCAAAAACTCAATTATAAATAAAACTAAACTATTACACAACGGGGTTAGATATATACAAATTATATAAAAAAGAAGAAAAAAACGTCAAGGTCGGTCACCATGTTTTACAATGGTTCTATCACACACACACACACACATACACATCTAATCTCTTTATCAAGACGAAGAAAAAAAAACTTGTCAAATCATCATCGAGCATAAAGGTAATGAATAAATATAAATATACATTATTAATTTTCAAATCACACAGGTGTCAATAATAATAAGCCCAGTTTTTGATGATGATGATGATGATGAAAAAGAATATGATGAAAATCTAAAAAAATACACACTGACCTTGTATTATTGTTGTTGTTATTATCATTGATATGGTCAACAACAAAAACATTATTATTATTATTATTATGGTCATCATCATTGGACATGGCCATCATATTTATTCCAAAATTATCATTATTTTTGCATTGTAAAATTAATTTCTCATCATCATCATCATCATCATTGTGATGATTTGATGGTTGACCAACAATGTGTTTTTCATCATTATTCAAAAATCGATTCACATTTGGAACACGAATTCTCCAACACGGATTGTTCATTGATGATTGTTGATAATCATCGATCATTGTCATATATTCATCATCGTTCATATTTAGATTTGAACAAAAGAAATGAATCAAACATTTTTTTTGTTAGTATTTGAAATAAGAATTTTTATACATCAAATGAAATGAACAAATCAAGGAGAGAAACTTGATTTGATTTGAATTTTTTGTTCCTATTTGGGGAAAAAATTCGATTTTCAAATCAAAATTGATTTAAAAATTCGATTGATTAGAAAAGAATTGAAAAACAACAACAATGGAAATGATCATAAATGCGCATGCGTATGGATCTCGAAATAATCAATTTATATCGATCGATGATGATGATGATGATCAACATCATTTGATTGTCATCAATGAAAAAAAAAAATCAAATGATGAGGGAAAAAACAGATATATTAAATAACAACAACAACAACAACAAAAAACGTCGTAATCATGTGAGATTGTTCAATCAAATAAATATGTTTGAAACAAAAAATGAAGAAAGGGAAAAAGGGGGTGAAATAAATCTTTGCCAAATTTGGATTGTTTTTTTTTCTTTGCAAAGGTCGTGTGTGTTCAATTCACATTCTATTCATTGGAAATTTGAAAATTGAACAAAATAAAAGCAGAAAAAAAACTATACATCAATCTAGATCAACAAGACAAAAAAAAAATCAGGCAGCAGCAGCAGCAAAATAACAAAATGGCCACATAATCATTGTGTGTGTGTTCATTTGGCCATAATAACAACAAGACAAGACAATGGAAAAAAAATGTTGAAAACAAAAAAAAACCTTGGAAATTTTGACATAAAATCGATCGATATATTGTGTGTGTGTGTGAGTGGAAAAATATAGAATATGATGATCAATTGATCATGAATCGATTAATGTCATCGTATTGTGGATTTTTGATCAATTTTGCTAAGCATGACGATTATTGTGTGGGGGCGAAAGGGAAAAAAAGAGATAGAGATAGAGACAGAGACAAGGACATGGCCAATAAATGATGGAGATATAGCCATTTAAGATTTATCTATCTTCATTATAAATACATGAAATGTAATGAAATGAAATCCATCCATACAAACAAACAAACCATCATCTTGATGTCTTCAGGGTGTTAATTTGATGCAAATAATTTATTCATAAACATTCGTGAATGAATGAAAAATGAATGAAAAAAAACGAGGAAATTATTACATTACATTTAAAACGGAAAAAACCGGTCAAATGAATGATGATGATGATGATGATTGGGGCCATTTTGGCAATTTGAATGATAAAGAGAAATTTCCATGTTATTATGAGAAAACAAATTTCAATAGGTTTTTTTCTTATTTGTCATTGATACATCGTTAATGATTGAAGAAATTTTTGAAATTTTAAAATTCTAATAACACAACTTTCAATTTCAATTAAAAAAAAAAAAATTCATGCAACCAGATACGCCATCTTGTAGCTGAGAAATCAAATAAAATGTCGAGCACTTGATTTTTTGTTCCAAAAAAGATAGATGGCGTTAGTATAAAAATTCGAAAAAAAGGTATACAGAATCCATCATCAAATGAATATATAATTCCACAATGATAATAAAATTTCAATGTCATTATCATTGTAAAATTATTCCTTGACATTCATTTCCAATAAAATATTTATTTATATATATGAATACCAATAAAAAAAACCGGCTCAGATAACCATCACATATTAGAGCCGAACAACAACAACAAAAAAAAAACCGTTATATAATTGCATAATGTGATTGTGTGTTTGGGCGTAGATTTGACGCCATCAGCTATAGCTACTAAAAACAACAACAACACACAGAAGCAGACACAATGACTACAAAGAAAAAAAAAAAATGCACTTGCACAAATACGCACACACAGTGTCTATTTGGGAAAAAGAAAAAAGTATAAGTTTGATGATGTGGAATCTTTTTTTTTTCTTTTTTCTTCACTTCTAGCCACAAAACAGCCACACACAAGAGAGATGGTAATATTTTTAGCATGCAGGAAAAAAATAGAATTATAAAAATAAAAGAATTGTCGTCATCGATTCGAATTGGGCATTTTTTTGTTTTGTTTTTTGTTTTTGGTGTTTCTTGTGTATTTCATATACGTCATTCGATTATGTGTTGTAAGAATTTTCTCAATATTTTGTTTTATGGAATACCAAAACCGGATATTTGAAATGAGCAAATGGCCAATGAAAAGAAATGTAATAAAAAAAAAGAATCGACAATTCAACGAATAATGATGAATAAGAAAATTGAAAAATCAAAAAAATCTACACACTTACCCCACAACCTTTTAATAATTTTTTCTTAAATTCTATGCTAGGATTCTGAAACGTTAAACGTTCACGTCTTGTATTCGCTACTGGTTTAGCCAATTCAATATAGAGATCATATTCGAAACAAATTTTTTTCGGTTCTTCTTTATTACGAAAATAAACTTCAATAGGCAACTCGAATGATGCATATCCAGATTCTTTTATTTCATATGGCGGTTCTTTGATCACTAGAGAGAGAGAGAAAAAAACATTAAATCAAAAATGAACCAAAATAAAAATGGTTGCAAAAAAAAAACAAATACCTCTTTTTGGTTTAGGAAAACTATCATGAAGATGAAAAATGACTTTTTCAACAAATGGATTTATATGGCCATTATCAACGCCACGAACAAACACCGTCCTGTGATTGGAAATGTGAATGGAGAGAGAGAGAGAGAAATTTAAAATTTAAAATTAGAATTCAAGAAAAACTAATGTCTAGCCATTGTTTTTTTTTTAGTTTCCAACAAACAAACAAACGAAAAAATTTTCTCCTTTGAAAATCCAAAGTTTCTGGTTGTTTTTTTCAAGTGAAAAAAAAACAAAATGGAAATAAATCGGATTTTATTGGATTTTGTTGTTGTTGTTGTTGTTACTCTAAATGAAAAAAAAACGAGCAAAAAAAACTACTACTACTCACCAATCATGTGTATGGCCATCGGATGTTGATTCCAGTTTCGGTGTTGCTATATGGCCAATCTCTAATTGTACTTCAACGTGTTGCTTTTATTTTCCACAACAAAACGAAAAATGAAACAAAATCCGTTGAAATTGAATAACCGGATAAGAAAAAATCGGGAAAAAAAACAGAAAAAAAAAATTGAGATTAACAACAAAAAACATCAAAATATCATTATATATGGACAAAAAAAAACAGGGGGCGCACATCATCATTTAGGCTTCTGTTTACATCAAAAAAAAAACATGACCAATAATAAATCAATCATCACATTCAATTAACGCCTGGTGGTGGTGAGAAACAAAACAAAAAAAAAAAAAAAACTCCACAAAATCCATCAAGGTTTTAAACAACAACAACAACAACAACAATTTCACTTTTTTTCCTCCTATTCTGTGTTATTGCATTTCTTATCATCATCATCATCATCATCATCAACAACATGATTATTTAACAGCAAAAAGATTTGCTGAAATTTTTTAGAATTTTCTTGTTAAACACAACATAATCTGATATAAACATTTTGGTCATTATTAGGAAATACATACATACACACATACAGGGGTTGATGTTCGTTTCGAAGGTTTTGAACACTAAAAACTAACAAAATAATCATCATCATCATCACGTATATATATTACGTACCTGTATGGTTTTGTTTTTTTTTTTTTAATGAAAATTTTTTTTCCTCTCTCACATTCATTCACTGTTTTCTATCTAATAACATCATCATCATCATCATCAACAACAAACAAACATTTTTCATCATCCATAGACTATTGTGAAAAAAAAAAATATATTTAATTATCAAGGTCGTGGACATATTCATCAATAAAAAAAAGGATATCTATTTACAATAACAACAAAAAAAAAAAAAAAATTATGGCCCATAATGTGCGTGAGTTCGTTCCTGTGTGGGCGGATGGATTGGTTACCATCGACATGTATATGGACCCAAAAAAAACACAATGGTTAAACAAACAAACAAAAATTTTCTTCTTTTTTTCATTTGTTTAATGAAGGTTGGAACCAAAAAAAACCAAAAAAACCAGCCACCACCACCACACCCATGATCGAACAGAGAGAAAAAAAAATTTTAGTCCACTGGTTTTATTTATTGATTAATACTTAAAAAAAACTTACCGAGGTATGAGGCATTTTAAATGTGAATGTTTAATGGAATTTCATATTTCATAATCATCATATAAAAATAATTGCCAAAATAATTGAAAAGGCAAGACTTTTGTTTTGTTTAAACATTGCATTTGCTGTAAATAATAAATTAATTTGTAGAAATTTGAGTATCTTCTTTGAACAAAAAAAATTATATATATTGCATTTGAATGATTCCCAAATTGATGATGGATTGATTTTTCGTCAGTCTGTCTGTAGGTGTGTGTGTGTGTGTGTGTGTGTGAGGTTTTGGTTGTCGAATTTTTCCCCCCCCAAAAAAACACACCAAATGCTGGTTGATTTATTTATATTTTTTTTTTTGTTTATAAACAATCAACCAGAAATGCGGGATGTTGAACCAAAGTTCATTTTTGTCATTTAATTCACGATATATTTGGTTGTCGATGTCAAGCAAAAAAAAAAAAAAAAAAAAAAGGTAGTCAGTCAATTAGTTGCTGTTGTGCTTCATTTAAATCATCACCATCATCATCGTTATCATCATCATTGATTATCACACATGTATAAAAAAAAACATAAAAATTATATATTTACAATTGCCACATTATAATTACACATACACACACATATACAATTGATGATAATGATCATTGTTTTTTGATTAAAATTAAAAAAAATTGTCATCATTTATGACCATCAATACTTGAACAAAACAACAACAACAAAAAAAAAGTTGAGAAAATTTTTAAATTAATTAATTTTTTTTTATCCATCAAGCCAAATAAAAAACTATATATAAAATTCAATCATCAGGTTTCAGGTGTATTCAATGATCGATTGAGTATGGAAAAACAAAACAAAAAAAAAACAAAACTCTGTTGTTGATGATGATGGTGAGCAGCAGCATGCGTTTGTGTGCTTGAAGCAACAGATGATTTTTTTTTGTTGTTTTTTTTAAATCACAAATTTTTTTATGTTGGATATAAAAATTACAATCGATCATTCTCAATGATGATGATGATGATCATCATCATTATTATCGTTTCATTGATGAAACCACAGACACGCACAAAAATTGCTGCAGAAGCAGAAAATTTTTTTGTTTTTTTTTTAGTATGAGTGGTAAGATTGAAAGTGGTGGTGGTTGTGGATGGTTGTTGATGGTTGTGTGATGAATGTTTTTGTGCTGTTGTTGTTGTTGTTGAAAGTCAAATTGACTTTTAAACGGAAAAAAAGATTGGAAATTAATTTAAATTCAAAATTTGAAAATGATGTTGATCTAGGATTCTTGACGGGCACAAACACACAAAAAAAAAGATGATGATTATGACGACGAATTCAGACAAAAAAAAAAAAGTAAAGCACAAAATTATTTGATATTGCTGTTGATGGAATTTTCGATGATCAGTGATCAATAAATGTTTGTGTGCGTGAGTATTCCACTTATGTTGAAAGGGTTATGATTCATCAATTGTGAATGTTTTGTCTATCGATTAAATCAAATCCAAATTGGCAATCGTTCAGTGTTTCTCTGGCAAAAACAACAACAACAACAACGGAAAAAACAACATCACAGTTTTGATTTTCGATTAATATATTAACATTGGCATCTTTTGTTGATTACAAATTGTGAACAACGATTCTGGTGATGATGATGACGGATTCGATTTAAGGGTTAAATTCCTGAATTGTTTGGCCTTTTTTCCGCTGAATTGATGTGCGTTAATCTATAACGAAAAGAGAAAGAAAAAAAAGGATTAAAAATTTGATTTTTTTTTATCAAACAAAAACAAAATACAAACTGATAATTTATCTACAGATCCAGAAACAACAATAACAACAACAACAACAACAACCACCACCGCTCTTGGTGATGATGATCATATGGCCGACAAAAGAATGGAATTTTTCACTTGGTTGAGAAGCAAAAAAAAAACTGGATTAAAAGCCGGCCACCGAACAAAAGATCATCATCATCATCATCAACAACAACAACAACAGCGACCAACGACACCATAACGAAAAAAAAACATTTAAATATTTGAGTAGTGAATGTGTCAAATCTCTCATTGCGCTCGCACTATATCTTTGCATCCAAACACATTGAAAATAAAGAAATGAAAAACCGGTTTAACCGATCATTTACCCGGTTTGTTTTATTTTTTGACTAAAAAAAACGAAACAAAACGAAACGAAAATGAAAAACAAAAACACCAAGCACATGAATAATATTAGAACACGAACAAATGATGAACAACGGTAATAATCGGTAATGATGATGATGATGATAGGATATGATGGATTCAAAAAAAAATTCCAAAATTTACAATTTGGAATATCAAATGATAATGTTGATGATTTTCATCTTCAAATTTTATTGTTGTTGTTGTTTTGTCGTTATCGTCGTCGTCGTCGTTGTTGTTGTTTTTGTTGTTGTTGTTGATGTTGTTGCTCACAAAAAAAACTCACATTTTGTGTGTGTGTGTGTAAACTCAAAATTGCAAAAATTGCTCGTATTAAATAAAACGAGAGAAAGAAAGAGTAAAAAGTAGGTTTCAGAAACATCTTCTACATTGCAAAGTCAATCAATCAATGCAATCAATCAATCGATCGATCGATTGAATGAATGAATGAATGATGATACAAATACCAAGATAATGGATGAAATTGAGAACCAGAAACAAAATTTAACAAAAAAAAAAAAAAAAATTGAAATTCATTTCACTTTTGATGATCGAATCATCACAAAACAAATCAATCGGTCAATCATCAATCACATTCGAATCGATTTCGATCATCGCATATATCATATTGTTTTCGTTTCTGGGTCCAACAAATATTGTGCAATTTTCTCACTATACTGATTATCATTTTGAAAATCAAAAAAAAAAAAAAAAACCACCACTACTACTGCTACTACTACAATGATTGTCTCTTTTTTCAGAAGAAAAAAAAACAATTTTGATTTTAATAGGGAAATTTTCAACAGGGAAAAAACATCAACATGATGATGATGAGAAAATAATCGAAATTTTTTCGTATAAATTGCTTCAAACCGATATACATACGTTTTTACGTTCTCTTTCGATATATTTGAAATATGGCTGCTGTTGTTGTTGTTGTTGCAAAGAAAAACAAATTGATGATGATGATGATGATCGAGTTGCAACATTCACAGACAAGGATAAAATTTTAAAAAATTTCAAAATAAACAACAACAACAACAACAACAGAAAATCCGAGAGTAAAAAAAAAACATCGAGATTTCGATTTTTTGTTTGTTTGTTTGTTGTCGTTGTTAAATCTTCAGCTATCATCGGCATCGGCAACAGCGGCTATCATCACCACCAACACCACCACCACCACCATCATCATATTCACAAAATATTTTTAATGTTTATCATAATACATACACACACATGTAGAAGCATTGTTGATAAAGATGATTGTCTATAGTGGTGGTGGTCGATGTTTGTTGATTGTCGTCGTCGTCGTTGTCGTAGTTGTCGTAATTTTCAAAGTTCACATTGCTCATCAAGTGTGTGTTTGTTATGACAAGCAAAGATTATTGGTGACACACACACACAGCCACTCCTTCCTCACATTTAAATCTCATCTCGTGACAGAAAAACGCCCACCAGAAAAATTAAAAACAAAACAAAAAATTCTTGCAATCACACACGCACACACACACTAAATTCGTAATTTAAAAAAAATGAATTTAAATCACCAAATTATGTTGAATTTTTGTTGTTGTTTTCATTTTGTTTCTGATTTCGATCGATCCATTGAAAAACGATTCCATGAATTTGATGATGATGATGATGATTAACCGTGTTTTGTTGAAGAAAATAAGCAGTTTGTTCGTGTGTGTGTGTGTGTGCAAGCCCAGTGTTTATTTTGTTGTGCTCGTCAATCAGTTTGTCACTGTGTGTGTCTTGGTTTGTTTGTTGGATCGATTAGAGCAAAATCCAATGTACCAATTGGAACAGACGATTTATTTTTGTTTGTTGGTTTTGCTGTTTTTTTTTTTTTTTGATTTTTCTTATTCATTTTACACGCACACACATGAACGCAGTTGTCAGACTCTTCTCTCTTTCTCTCATTGTATGCTGCAAATATTGTCGACTGTGTTGTGACAATGACGTTTTCAAAATTTCGGTTTCCAATTTTTTTTTTCATCTTCTACAATAGTACCACCTGATGACCAGGTGGCTGACCTTCGATGACATTATCCAAGGTGTGTTGCGCGGATGGGCAGGTTTTATTTTATTTTATTTTATTTTTTTTTTTTTGAACTGACCTAGATCAACAATTGTTGTTGTTGTTGATTTTACCCACACACACACACACACACACACACTATCACTAAGGGTCAGGGGCTTTCTCAACTATACAGGTATCAAAGGTAGTGGAAACCGAAATGAATTTTTTTTTTGTTTTGTTTTGTTTTTATTTTCAACCAAAAAAGTCCTTTTAACATTTTCGTTGTTGACATTATGGATTGTTTTTTTTTTTGGTTCAGTATTTGATCCCAGTATTCAGTATGACGTACGAGAGAGAGAGGAAATTTAATGATCCGGATCAATTTTTTTTTTGGGAATTGAATCCGATCAAATTTCCGTTGTAATAAATTCCATTTGTGGAAGGTTTATCAACAACAACAACAACAAATTCCAAACATGCGTTATTTGGATTCCCGGATGACAAAAAAAAAAAAAAAATTTCGATTAACGATACCGCTTTCAAGTCTAGAAAAAAAAACAAACAAAAAAAAAAAAAATAAATGGAAAAGAAAAAATCAATCATTAATTTCAAATGAAATTGAAATTGTGTGCGTGTTATTATTGCAAATCTAGTTCAAGGTGATAATGATGATAAAGTATTTTTTTGTTTTGTTTTGTTTTGTTATTAGGTGCCATATTATTGAATGGTTTTCATTTCATTTCATTTCGATTTTTTTTTTTTTCAAGGCCGGATATCATCATCTTCAATCCAAACTTGTAGCTGTTGCTGTAGTAGTAGTAGTAGTAGTAGTGGATACTGTCAAAATCAGAAAAAAAACGCTATCCGGCTATAAAACATCATTTTCGTGAGTGACCATATTTTTTTTTTTGTTCTTGACAAAAAAAAAATTTTTTTTTCTTCATTAGAACGAAAAAAAATCGGCTTACCTTGTCACACACACACACACACACACACACACACACACAAAATTGATAGAAATTTTAACCTTGTGTCATTCATTCATCTATTTTTGTGCATTGTGTGTGTGTTAATAGCAATAATTTTTCAACAAAATATTGAATAAAAATGGATTATTTTGATTTGTCCATGCTGGACAATGGTCATATATGATGATGATGATATTATCACGAAGCATCATTATTATCGTTGTCGTTGTTGTTGTTGTTGTTGTTGTTGTTGTTGTTGTTGTTGTTGTCATAATCATCATTATTCAATGGTGAAATAAAATTCAATGTAAAATCGAACACAATGATCATCATCATCATCATCATTTTTCTTTGCAATCATGAAAATAACGATGACGATTTTAAATAGAAAAAAAATAAAGTGAATGAAACACAATTAAATTGAGAATTTGATGGTGTGTGTGTGTGTGTGTGTAAAGAGAGAGAAAAAAATGACACAATTTTGAAACAAGGAAACAAAATTGAAAAGTTTTTTTTAACTCAAAAAAAAACTTGTCTTGTCTTGTCGTTCGATTTTTTTTTGCCCCACTATGGAATACAATCAAAAATTGGAAATGTTGGCTTCACTACAATACATTTATTCTATTGGATTCTATTGGATTATGTAATGTAATTCAACGAAAGGCAATTGAACTCAATATAACCATAGAATCCATTATTGGTTGGCAAAAGAAAAAAAAATTTGTTGCTATAGTAACGCGGTTAATCTGTAATCCATATATTCATAAAAGTGATGATGATGATGATGATGATGGATAATCCACAAGGATTTATTCGGTTTTGCTTTGATGTCATTTACGGTTTACCTACTTTACTTACCCGACTTTAAGTTTTTTTTTTTTTTTTTTCGTTAAATTGCAAAAAATCAAATTTATTTTTTTTTTAAAGCGCCATCTGTTGAACGGAATCAATATTTTTTTTTGTTGTTGATTTCAGAAAAAATGATACTCTGCGTGTTCAGTATGTGGTTGTGGCCATTCCGAAAACTAGTATAGTCACAATGACCATCAATTTGAAGCCGGTGTATTGATTGATAAAAATTGATACATACAGTATATATGGATTCAATTGTAGCTACAACTGATGAATATTTTTTTTTCGTTTCGTATGTCAATCTGTCCATCTGTGTGTATTATGAATTGAATTTACACAACACACGCACACGTTTTGGATTGACGAGTTCATTTTGTTGTTTTTGTTGTTGTTGTTGTTGTTGTTGTTGATGAATATTTTTGATCAACGATGATGACGACGAAGTTCTTTTAGTTTTTCTTTCATTTTTTTTTTTTTTGGTGATAAATAACCGTATGTGGATGTAATAATATTCATAATTTCATCTTGTTTGACAAAAAAAAAAAAAATTGTCAACCACCACCTGGATAATTCGAATTTCAATTTTTCTTTTCTTTTTTGTTTGCAATAATTTCATCTTAAACACGCAATTGCTGAACTTTTCATTGAAAAATAGGAAAAAAAAAATTTCGTTTGAATTTCATCGAATTTGAAAAAAAAACATACAAAATTCCAAATAATGATGGCTGATGGAGCCGAAGAAGGGTATGTGTTGTTTTCGTTGTTTTTGCTGTTGAAATTGGATTTTTATTCAAAAAATTTTTTTTATTTCTCTCCATTCATATCATAATTTTAGGAAAATTTTTGTCGGTGGTCTTAGCTGGGAAACAAATGAAGGTTTGTTTGTTGAATGTCGAATTTCTTTTTGTTTTTTGCATTTTCAATTTTTTAACATTTAATTCTCTGTGTTTGTATCATAGATAAATTACGTGATTATTTTACCGAATTCGGTGATGTAACCGAATGTTTAATAATGAAAAATCCAGAAACGGGTAAATCACGTGGTTTCGGTTTCGTTACATTTATGGATCCAAATTCCGTAAGAAAAGTACTAAATGTACAGAATCATCAGCTTGATGGACGAACAGTAAGTGTGAAAATTTTTTTTTTTTTTGGATTTTAACCAAAAAATAAAAAAAAAATTCTTTTCCACTTGTAAACACAGATCGACCCGAAAGAATGTAATCTACGTACGGCGGCCAAATCACGAAAAGAATATAGACATACAAATTTTTCGAAAATTTTTCTCGGTGGTTTACCGCCAAATATAACTGAAACAAGACTGAAAGAATTTTTCTCCAAATATGGAAATGTATGTGTTTTCAAAATGAATGTTTTTTTTCTCTTTGCTCACCAAAAAAAAAAAAAAATCACTCAAATACAGGTAACTGAAGCAATAATAATGTTTGACCAGGAAAAGAAAAAATCACGAGGTTTGTTTGTTTGTTTGTTTGTTTGTGTTTGTGTTTGTGCCTGTGTGTTTTTTAAACAATTTTATCACAATTTCAATCTAAATTTACAAATCATATCTCATATATTAGTTTTAATGATGATTAACATTAGTTTTTTTTTATCGCTTCTGATCTGATTGGTGTGTGTGTGTGTGTGTGCGTTTATTTACTGAAACAAAAATCATTCACTTCGCTTTACATTTCTCAATCAATTTTATCGATATACCACCACCTGAAGATTCCTCTAATAATAGAATTTCTGGTTTTTTTTCTTTCTTTTCCACTTTTTTTCTGTTTTTTTTTTCGTTTCATTTTTGTAATCAACAACAAACTAATCAATTTTTTTTCATTGTTTTTTTTCGTTTTCATATTTATTATTTGAATGATGATCATGATGATCATGACATACACATACACACATGATATAATTTGAAAAAAAACCAAAAACTTATCATTACAAAAAAAATGATTCAATGACCCAAAACAAAATCACATATACATGTATATTATCACTATATATGTATATATATATATATTATATATGCACAGGCTTTGGATTTCTATCATTCGACAATGAAGAATCGATTTATAAAGTAGTTGCCGAACATTTTGTTACCATCAATGGAAAACAGGTTAATATTATTATTATCATTAATATATATATATCATTGTTATTGTTATTCATTTATAATAATCACACATATATTTCCTTTTTTTTAAAATCGTTTTTCTCGTGCACTTGATTGTTTGTTTGTTTGTTTTTCATAGCTAAAGAGAAAGAGAAAAAAAACCTGTTGCTAGTTATCTAAATAAAGTAGTTGTTGTAGTAGTAGTAATGTGTTTGTTACATAATTATTCACCGTTTTTCATAATTATTATTATTGTAATTTTAATATATGCATGTCATTACGATTTTTGGATAATTATATATAGTATATATTGATTGATTAATTAATTAATTTATTTATTAATTACCATAATTGATAATGTAATTTAATTTAATTATAACTAAATTATTAATATTAATATTTTCTATATAGTTTAAAATAGTGGTAAATACGCTAATCATCGATTTTATTTGTTTGTCTGTCCATATCATCAACGAAGTGTATTGTGTTTCTGTTTTCTTTTTCTTTTTTTTTTTTTAATTTTGTTTACACAATTTTTTTTATAAAAATTTTTATTTGATTTGATTTCTAATTGAATTTTGTTTTATTTTTCTATTTTTTTTTTTTTTTTTTTTAATAATACCAGGTGGAAGTAAAACGTGCCGAACCACAGCATAATAAATCTGGTACTCCTCTACCTACGAATGGTAATATACAACATCATCATCATCATCATGGTATGATGATGGGTAGTAGTAGTGGTGGTATTGGTGGATCAATGGCTGCTATTGGTGGTTGCAGGTTCCGGTACCGGTGGAACAAATATTTCAATGCCTTATTTTATGCCATCATGGCCAATGTGGCCAACATCTGTTGCCACTATGAATGGTATGTCCAATATATCCGGTTATACACCTGCTGCTGTTGCTACCAATGTTGCATGGAATCCATCAACAGCGGCAGCTGCTGCAGCAGCAATAGCAGCTACAGCCGCTGCTGGCCCACCAAATTGGACACCGTTTGGACATCCATATCCACCTGGATGGCCAACGCCAACCGGTATGCATAATCCATATGGATCGTCAACACCTCATCAACAACCAGGAACACCAGCGACTGTAGGATTACAACCACCACCAACAACACCACAACAACATCATCCAATGTCTCCCGCATCATTTGGTCATAGTTCGGCAACTTCTGCTGTAACATCAGGTGTTGTACATACACATCAACCACAACAACAACATCCACCTCCACCATCAACAAATTTTCTTCCACCACCACCAGCACATAATATGACTTCCATGAATCCAAATCACCATCATCATCAAATGGCCAATGGTGGTGTTGGTGGTGGTTCTACTAGTTCTGTTTCCAATTCAATTATTCCAACAGCAATTGGCCAAACTTGTAAGGGAATCAGGTGATGAATAATTGTCATAAACTAACATTATTTTTCTCACCCTCACATTAGCTATTGGAAATTATCATCATGAAACAAATAGCTTTAGTGGTGTTGGTCATACATTATCACATCAACAACAACCTGTTGGTCCAAATATAACCAATATGTATAGACCAACCGCAGCAACAACAGGTGTTGGTGCTGCCGGATATCCACATGTTACGGCTGCTGCTATGTTGAATAATACTCATCCACAACATAATCATCATCATCATCATTCAGCAGCTGCAAATTCAATAAATGCAATAACAAATAATTTACCAACAACGACAATGATTCCAACACAACAACAACAACAACACTCATCACAAACACCAATAGCAGTAATAGCAGCACAACCTATTCATTCATCATCATCATCATCATCTGATTATATAATTGGTGGATCATTTACTATGCCACAATCTCAACCAATACCACCGCCACAATTACAACAGCCAAATATTAGTGGTGGTGCTGTGGTGGTATTGTTAATCCAAATTCATATAATCAACAATCATTTCATGGATCTCGAATGATGAATATACAATCACAGAATCAAGGATATCATCCATACAGACGATCATAATAATTGATTGATTGATGACACACACACACACACAGACAATCAACGAATTTCAATTTACCAATCTTTATTGTTGGAAATATTCTTTATTTCTTTATATTTCTTACTGGTTCATCGTTGCTGTTTTTTTTGTAATCCACCGTTTTTTTTTTGATTGAGAAAATGAATCATTCTTTCGAATATATTTGCTCTTACCATCCCACCATCCTTTCCCGGTCTTTCGTTCATCTATTTTTTAGACCTATTTACGACAAACAAAAAAAACGAAAGCCCGGATTTTTTTTTCTTGATTGATATATCAATGATCCTCATTGGAAATTTGTTTAGATTTTCAGTGTTTTTTGTTCTGTTATGAATCAAAATTTTACATTAACTTTTTTTTGAAATTTTGTAATTAATAAAAAGCGAAAAAGAATTTCAAATTTTTATTTTTATATCAATCAATCAATCGTGGAAATTTAAGTGGAAAGAGTTAGTTTTTAGTTTTAGCAAAACCAACACGATGATTAGCATAATCAAATTCCGTGTAATAATAGCCAATGAATACATCGCCCAATATCCATAGATCACCAATTTCTGGTGGTAAACCAATAAATGATGAAATGCATGCTGTTTGTCCTAATGCTTGCATCTTCATAACATATTGTTGTGGTGTTAATGGAAAATTTTTACCACCAATTTTAAATACAATATTTGGTAGATCGTTAATTTTGCTACAATTGAACGTATAGATTCCTTTGATTGGACCATTTGCACCCAAAGCTTTATTCAGATGATCGACTTCTTCATTAGGGCCACCAATCAATGATGTACCAGTATCGGCAATAGCTTGACAACCATATTCACAAAGATGGCCGACAATTTTATCATCTTTATTCTCAATATTCACCGATGACATATTGAATTGCCAATAGCCAATTTTACTCAATGGAACATATGTAAAATTACCATCATAATAATTTGGATCCGATCCACCAAAAATGATTTCACCACCAACTTTACCATTTTCATCACGATTCAAATAGAATGAAAACACTGGATCTTTTACCAGACCTTGACGAACCATATTACCAAAAACTGTTGGTACTTGATCTTGGCTAATTGTTTCGAAACCTAAACCAAGAATACCATCAAATTTGGCGAAAATAAATGTAACACCTGGTTCTTTTACAGCTTCAGCAAATGTTTGATCTTTGATGGCAATTTCAGAGATGGACACCGTATCGGTGCTGAGAAATCCAGTCATACTACCAGTACCATAACGAATTTCAAATGCAGTACCATTCGCTTTGTATGTCGATGATTTGCTACTATCATATTTGTTATGTAACATACAGGCAATATTGGTGTAGCTACATTTTTTCGATGGAATCCATAGATTCGAGCTACCAGTATCGAATATTACCTAAAAACAAAGTAATATTACATCAATCAAATTGAAGAGAATCAATGACAAACTTTGAATTTTTGTGGCGGTGTACCGATAGAAATTTCACCATAATATTGTGCATCAGCATAATTGGACAATGGTTCTGGAAATGGGCCATATTTTGTCCAATGATGAAAATGATGATCCAAAAGTGCTAGTTTGACATTCGTACCAACTTCAAGCAAACGTGAACGAAATGTTTGTGTATGTTGTAATGGTATACGAAATAATTCTTTTGCAATGGCCATATTGGCCATCATCATCATGATGATGGCCAATGATGATAAAACGATCAATTTCATTTTCGATTCTGGTTATTGTATGATTTTTTTTTTTTGTTAATCAGGAGATGAAAAAAAAATACGTTGTGATTCCAGCGACAACCACAATAGCAAGTAAATGCGTTGTAAAAAAAATGATTTTTTTTATAGGAAAAAACCAAATAATTTTTATTTGATTTCAACGATTCAATCGAACGACGTATGTGATATATTTATTTATTGATTGATTACCACTGATAATAATAATGATCAATGATGATGATGATGATTAACTTTTGAATTATGTTTGAAATATAATAATAAAGCAATCATTTAATGGTGATGATGATAAACAGAACCAATCAACCAACCGACCGACTATCAAACGTTTTGTTCGATTCAAAAAAAAAATCGAATACAAAATTGTAGTGGTAACAAAAATATAATAAAACTTACGACCACACACATACAACGTATTGATAATGATCGATTATAGTGAATGATGATGATGATGATTGATTTATATTGATGGATGGTTGTCTATAGAGAAAAACAAAAACAAAAATTGAAGAAAAAGAAATTTGATGATGATCATCATAAATCTCAAAGTTCAAAATTGTCTGTGTTTGTGTGTGTGTGTGTGTGTGTGTTTTATATATTTGTTTTTATTATGGGGTAATTAAAACAAAACAAAAAACTGTCAACAACCATGATGAATATATATATGAAATGAAATCTAATCAAAACACAATCAATTTGATGACAAAATAATAATAAACTTGATTGATTTAATTGATCAATTTGTAAATGATAAACGATGAAGCTATTAATTTGAGAATGATGATGATGATGATGATAAAGGATTACAAAATGATTATTGCAATAATCGATTGTAATTCTGGCTTTTGTGGCCAAATAATTTTTTTTTTTTTGTTTTTTTTTTTTTTGATAATTTCTTCCTATTTTCATGAATTGAAATGATTAAGTGAATGTAAAAAAAAACATGACCTGTATATAGAGAGGAAAAAAAATTTATGATGGACATTCTATTCGATAATCGATCCAATTTTTTTTTTGTTTCGTTCATCACTATCGCATCATCTTTTTTGGAAGAAAAAATAAGATGAAAAACATTCGAATAATTGATTTGATCTTTATTGTTTGTGTGTGTGTGTGTGTACGTGGTTTTCTTTATCACTTCCGTTCGTGATTTGATCTACAAAAATTGACATTGTTATCTTTTTTTTACATTCTCTGACAAATAGCTGATCGATTATTATGATTATTGATTGATTGATTGATTGATCGTTTGTAATAATAATCAAAAATAAATGTCAATGACACATGAACAATGAATGTGCAATTGGAAACTACTTTTTTTTCTATGTGTTGATTTTGTTGTTGTTTGAATCAAACGAAAAAAACGAACGAACAAACAACAACAAAAAAAATGAAAATTGATCATAAATTGATCCATAATCAATCACATATACATCAGCAATCAAATCGATCGATCAATCAATCAAAGTGATGAACGAAAGAATCGATAACAACGGTTTTGAATGACATGACATGACATTCATTCATTCATCGAAAGTAAAAAAAAAGTGTTTGACTGATTGATGGTTCAATGATGATGATGATCATCATCACCTTTATTGATGAGACATCGAAGTGATATATAAAGGTCATATATATGATATATATCAGTGTTTTTGTTGTTGTTGTTTTTTTCGCTAAATTATTATCAAATCGATAATCATCATAATGATTATTATATGAATATTCCCGTCAATAAGCAACAACAACAACAAAAATGAACAATTAGGGCAATCATCACCTGTTGATGATTTGCTGACAACAACAAAACACCTGAACATACAGCGAGATTTAGATTGAAGATAAACGTGTAAAAAAAAGAGAGAAAAAATACAAACAACGTACAATAATTAATTAATTAATTCATTCAAAAAGTTGTTGTTGTTTATTTCAAAAACAACAACAACAACAACAAATTAACAAATTTCGGTTCCAACACAAAACATCGTCATTACGTTAATGATATTTTTTGTCCTAAACTATCACTATTTATACCTGTCCATCATCATCATCATCATCATCATCATTATTTGAATCTCAAATTTCACACTTACACTCAACACACACACACACACCCGCACAATGAATGTAAATGAACTTGTTGCTTTGGCTGCTGTTTGTTGTTCTATTCAATGATAATTTATCAAAAAAACACATTAAACTCGGCAATATTACTGGAGCAAAATTCATCGGAATTTTTCATTGTTGTTGTTGTTGTTGTCGTCATTTTTTCGATCAATCAATAACGACTATTGACGATCAATCCAATAGATGAAACTCGTTTTTGTTGTTTTGTTTTTGTTATTTTTCACCGATTAATGTCCGAAAATTACGTGTATATTTGTGAAACTAGCCTAAACATTTGCACGAGTTTGAGTTTTTCATTACATTTCATTCATCATTACATCAAGTTGATGATTGGGATCAAAGAAAAATAAAACGTGATACAATCACCATTATCCTCATCGTCATCGTCATCGTCATCATCATGGCGATGACTTTTTCGGATCATCACCATTACCGGCCATTATCATCATCATCATCATCATAGTCATAATCAAATCGAATCAATCCAGTATATATATGTAATAAACAACATAATCATCTCATTCACTCGAACGGATGATGATGATGATGATGATGAAAGTAACATTTCTACATATTTATACACTACAGAGAGACGAAAAGAAAATGATTATTTTTAAATCAAAACAAAACAAAATACAAAAAAAAATCAATGGAAACATTCAGATCGAACACATTCCCCTTTTTCTGATCCCTTTTGCATGAACCGAAAATCAAAAAAACAACAACAAAACGATGACAGCGACGACGACGAAACACATTCCCCTTTTTCTGATCCCTTTTGCATGAACCGAAAATCAAAAACAACAACAACAACAACGATGACAGCGACGACGACGAAATAAAAAAAATCCGGTCTTTGCACAATTTTTTTTCTTCATTCTCAAATCAATCAATTTGATACGAATCGATTGATTGATCCAATCATGGATGACTGGATGGTTGTTTAACCCGGGGTACACCTGTAAATCAATTTTTTCAAAAATTTTTTTTTCAATTTTCAAACAAATCAATAATTATTGGCTAAATTCGATTCAATTCAAAGCGAATTAAGAAAAAAAAACCTGTTATGCGCTCGTAATATAATAATTATCATCATAAATCGATTCAATGATGAAAGTATGTCAATTTGGTGCACACACTGTTGTTGGACTAAAAAAAAAAAAATTTGTTTTTTCGACATGAAAAATGATGATGATGATGATTTTTAATTCAGTTCAAATGCACGACAACAACTACTACGACGAAGTTTTTTCGTTTACATTTTTTTTTCGCCAAATCATCACTAACAATTTTTTTTTTTTGAAACAATTTCCGTTTTGGATTTCCCGATTGCTACAAAAAAAAATATGATGATGATGATTATTAATGTAAAATGGGATAAAATGAAATTTAAAAATTGACCAACGAAAGTAAATCATCTTCATTCAAAAGAAATTGATTAATTGTTTTTTTTTTGTTATGGCTGTAATCTCTTTCCGAACAAAATGTGTCCAGTTGTAATTGTGAAATTGAAAAATTCTGTTAATCATTTTATATACACATTCATAAATGACGTTATTATTATCTTTATGAATGAATGAATGAATGAATTCAATAATTGATTGATTGATTGATCATTATTATTTCCATACCAGCAACTGACTTTTTATTTCGTTTGTTTCTTTCAAACTTGATTTTTCATTTTATTCATTCAATCAATCAATTTAATTCAGTAGATATCTATTTCATTTCATTTCATTTTTTTGATCTCGTTTTTCCTTGATCTTCTTGTGTTTGGATTTTTTTTTTGTTTTGTTCGGATATATACAAAAAATCTAATTGAACAGTAAAGTTTTTTTTTTGACCATTGTCTGTCTGGTGTTTGTTTAGTTTTTCTTTGCCATTTGCAAATCCTGCTGTTTGTTTCTCTCTCAATGGGATATAATTGATCGTTGATCGCTGATGATGATGATCACCATCATCATCATCATCATCGTGATGACGATGTTGATGATGACCTCAACATTTACAGTGTCATTGTGTGTGTGTGTGTGTGTGTGTGTGGATTTTTTTTTGGCGGCCAAATTCACGTTTGTTGAATGAATTTAAATAAATTTCATTTTTATTATTCAAACTCGTACATCACATGATGATGATGATGATGATGATGATGATGTGTCCGTGTGATTTATTATAAGAAAAAAAAAGAACTGGTCTGAAATGAAATGTAGACCAAAACGCACACACACACACAAAACGAATCCATTCCATTCCATTCCGCAGATGATGATGATGATAGTAACACACACACACACAGAAAAAAAATAAAATCGACTGACCCAAACATAGATCAATCAGAATGTCAATGGCAAAATTTTTTTTCTTCTTCGTTTCCATTATTGTCGTGATAATGATGATCTACTTTGCTGTTGTTTTTTGTTGTTTTTTTCCACTAAATCTAATTTTTTCCATTTTGAATGTCAAGATCGAAACAAACAAAAAAAAATATTGGTCGTTTTTTGTTTTCTTGCTCTGAAAATCATTGTTCCAAATTCAAAATTTTCGTTTGTTTGTCACATTCACACACACACAAACGGATAATTATCATATATAGGAAAAAGGATAATATTTGACACACACACACACACACACACGAGAAAAGGCGTGGATGTGATGATTTGAAAAAAATTTTTTTTTCAACATATTAAAATCATCGAACAAATTGGAGATTTTTTGTTGTTGTTGTTGTTTTTGTTTTTTTTTTTTTCTTCACTACTGATCCAACACACGAACAAAATCTACATAAAAACATACGTCGATGATGATGATGATGGTGATTAAAGGGTTTCCGGTTTTGTTTTTTGTTTTTATTACTGTGTTGTGTGTGTGTGTGTGTGGGTTGATGATTTACAGCTACATCCGTCCTTCAGTCTTTAACTATAGCCATGGCTCTAGAAGTGTTAAATACACACATACACACACACTGAATGAATGAACTACTGTGAACCTGGATAAAGATTGATACATTTGAAGTAAACAAAAAAAAAT